GTAACGGAAGGGCTTACGCTTAGTTAGGTAAACTAACCGGAATTAACTACGCCTCGTCGTAACTTTACGATCTTAGGTATCGCGGATATTTACTTTCCGTCTTAATAAAGCGTAAGGAGCTCCTTTATTATCGTAACGAACTTAAGGGCTTATAAGTAACGTTAACGAGTATTAAATAACGCGGAATAAAGCTTATATATCGATAAAACCCTCGATACGAGCGACGATAAAATAAATAGCCGGTAAAATTAAAACGTCGGCCTTATATAATATTAACTTTAGACCTCGGCGTACGGAAGTAAGAATACTTATAAAGGTACGTAAGCGTAACCGGATAAGTAACGGTAATAACGGCCGGTACTTTAAAAAAAATCGAAGTACTCTTTAATAAACTTATTCTAAGCCGTATTACGTACGTAGCTTAAGTAAGGAACTATACGGCGAATTCCGTACTTTCGATTACGAAAGGCCGAGGTAATTCCTAGGGCGACGGTAATAAAAGCGGGAGCGGCCGGCGCGACGAAAGTATTAAACGGAACCGCCGGAACGACCGGGCTAAAGAAAGTAACGGGAACGATAATAACTCCGGGAACCGAAGAAACGCTACGGCCTCGTTCCTATTTTCGTTCTCGTCCTACGATATTATTACGAATCGGAATAATAATAATAACGGCCGCTTAAATTATATAAATAACGGCGATATTACTAAAGGACGTAATTTAATATACGCGAGTCTAAGCTCGGATTTTACGCGAAAAAACCTTACGAATAATTAATATAACCGGGCGGTCGCCTTCCTTAACTACTCCCTCGTATAAAAAGAAGGAGTCTTTCTCGGAAAACTTTTCTTTAAAAAATTCGTCGGTAGAAACCTTAATAGCTCGGGATACGATACCTTAAGAAACGTAAATAACTAAGGCCTAGGTACGTTATACTAAAACGCTAGGTACGATTATATCGACGTCGCCTTCGTCGATAAAAAGATCCTTAAGAAGTTAAGCGATAACTAAGGCCCCGGACCCGGGAGTAAAGGGTATCCTTCCGTAACGAATAAGGCTACCGGCCGAAGCTTTAACGCTATCCCCCGTACGAATACGGAAGGTAAGCTAAGAACTCGCGGCGGAAAGGCCGAATATCCTTTACTTTAACGAGGCTACGATACCCTAAAGCGCTAATATTATCTTACGAAACTTTTAAATATCGGATATATTAAAAGATCGTTAATTACGGTACTATATTATTACCGGTAAATAACGAATAAGTAATAAACGGATTATTTCGAATAATCTCTTATTTATTAATATAAAATAACTAACGGTCGCTTTATTATCCTAGGATACTTTAATATTAAAAGTAATATATTAATCGTAAATAATAACCCTTACCGTAATAAGCTAAGCTATTATTCTACGGTCGCTTAATAGAAGTATATTACGATTCGTATAATACGCGAACTACGCTTTACGTAAATTATAAAAGAAGTAGACTTACCTTACGATAATAAATTAGCGAAGCTTTATTAATTATATTAGCTTACGATCGCGTAATTAATGGAATTACTTAATTATAGTTAGGAATATATACCTATAATAAATAACCTAGGAAAGAAAGAAAGAGAGAGAGGCACGCTTAATTCGAGAGCGAGAAATCCTAAATATATTTATACTTAACCGCCTTCGTAAGAGAAACGGTAGAATCGATTAGCATAGGTAACGCGCGCGAGCGCGCGCGATAGTAATAAAGGAGATTAAATCCTAGTATTAATACTAGAACTATTACTATTACTATATTACCTATATAGCTAATTACCGCTTAATCGAAAGCGAATAATTATACGAATAATTATACGAGTAATTATTTTCATTTATAATAAACTATAGAGTACTAAGTAGGAGGTACGAAGAATATATAACTTAGGAGAAAATATTACTAGTAATAAACCGGAGCATATACGGATAAGGAAATATAAGGAAGCCCGAGATAAGGCACCTAGTAATCGATTAACCTTAACGAGGTATAGCGAGACTAAGGAACAACCCCTTAGGCTATTATCGTAAGCAAAGGACTATAATTAACCTTACCGTCGTAAGCTTAACTAAGGGATATATTACGTAGGTATATACCCCTAGTAGGAACTACCTAGCTTACCTAAGCTAGCTAAGTACTACTATATATACCTATAGATCGCTCCATATTCTCTAGTAACTTTCCTTCTTTTCTAGTTAGTTAATATATACCTTCTTATCCTCATTCCATTACTCCCTTTACGAACAATCTATTAACCCTAGCTTAGCTCTCGCCAGCTACGTAATATATTTATATATTTAATCTATATCGATTAATAGGTTTAGAAGGAAAAAGAAGCTATCGTAAGATCGATTAAGGCATAATTACTATTAGCCTTTATCCGCCCTTAGTATTAATAAGGGAGTAACGGGTCGTATAAGTTATCGTAATTTATATTAAGGCGCTCGTACGTCCTCTATATAATAGGTAGGTAACTATAAAGGGGCTGCCTTAATCGTTAAAAGCGTTATTTATTCGCGTAAGATATACTATACTACTAGCGGTTCGAGGGAGCGGTTAGTATCGAAGGCTAAGTATTATCCCTAGTAGCGGTAGTATTACGACGATAGTTTCCTAGGCTTACGGGTTCCTCCGTATAAGTAGGTAAATAACGATACGAAGGATATCTTAATCGGTATAAACGCGGTTTAGTCGTCGTATTATATCGTAGTATCGATAGCTTAATGGCGTTATAAGTATTAAGGGCTAGGTATTATCCTAATAGTAATAATATCGTAATAAAGGTTCCCGGGCTTATACGTACCTCCCTATAGTAAATAAATAACCATAAGGCGGGATACTTTATTTAACGTAAAACGCGGACTACCTCGCGGGTTAAATAGCGGCGCCGACGGCGATCGGTATCCTCTAAATCCTAATAGCGTAATAAAAACTCCGTAAACTAAAGGTTAAGGGGTCGAAAAAGTTACAGGGTAGTCGCTACTAAGGAAGAACAAAGCGTACGCGATATTAAAGACCCGGATATATTTACTCGAAAGTATATTCTATCGAAGACTATAATACGTACGATAATCTAAGATAGATAAAATTAATATCGCTATACTAATCGAAAGGCAAGGAATTTAATATAGTTATCGTATCTTAACTATACCCCTTAGTCGTAAAGAGGTAGTAATCGCTAACCCGAAGGTATAAGAGATAAGGAAAGAAAAAAAGCAAAACGTAAAAGTTACTTATTCGGCTATAGCGGTACGACGAAGTAACTTAAGCGCCTATAACTAAGGTAAATATACTAATCGGAGAACGACGAATCTAATAATAAAAACGAATCTTTAATTAAGGTAAAAATAATAAAAATAATAATCTAACTAGGTAATAAACTCGATAATAAGCATGGCATATCCCGTACTTACGGGAGCTATGGTTACTCTATATAGGCATAAGGCCTATCGTAGCGTATCACGTAATACATCAAGAGGGCATGTCTTACCGCACTACTACATAAGGCACCGTTTTTATAAGTACTAAGTCTAGGTCGATTCCTATCGACCTTTTAATGGTTTATATAAGTCTCTCCGTATTAGGATAATAAAAGCGGCGATACTATAATATTAATTACTTTATGGTATTATCGTCTAGCTATATTAATATCGCTTATAATATCTCGCTAAGCTTACCGAGTTAGTACCCTAGCGCGTCCCCTTAGTACCGTTTAAAGGGGAGAAGTTTCGGCTCCTTTTTCTTATATTCCTATAATAAGAAACCTCGTTTCTCGGGGTTTAGGGTCGTTAGGACGGTCCTGTTAAGGTTTATAATATTATTCTTATCTAGTTAGCCTCCGCTACGATAAAATAACTCTCCTAAAAAGATCTTAACTAAAAAGGAGCTAATAAATAACGTATAATTTAACTACGCTTGGTTATATCCCCCGTCGTCGCCGGTAAGGTAATAAGTAGCCTTACTTATTTTCGTAACGTTTATAAGGCCTCCTTCCGTATTAATAACGTAACCCGGTAATAACGTTACTACCGTTCTCGGGTTTAAATTTCTTAAATCGTTCGTAACGTAAACGTTAGCTCCTATATCGAAAAGTAGGTAATCCTTATAAGCGTTAGCCTCCGTTCCGTAGTTAATTCTTAAAGGCTTTACGGGCCGCTCGCCCTTTAACGGGTTAACTATAATTAGGTTACTACCGGGGTTAATAAGAATAGGCTTTTATTTAGGGTCCTTTTTACGGCGTAGTTTATTATGAGCGCTTACTAGCCTAAAGAGCTCTACCGTATCTATCCTCGTTCGATATACCCCGCCTCCGCTATCGTAATAACCGAATTAGGGTAGCGTATACGGTATGTACGTAGTATATTACGTCGACGGTTATTTCGAACCGCCCCTTAATCCGCCGGGGGCGCTATCGCCGTTACTATTACCGCCGCCGTTACCCTTGCCCTTTCGTTCCTTTAGCGGTTTCGGGCAGTCCTTAGCCTTATGCCCATACTCCTTATAGTTGAAACAGAGGGGCTCTCCTTGTTGGTTCCACGAGGGCTTCTTCTTCTTGCCCTTTTCCTTGCCTTGTCTTGTGATCTCGTGGCCATCCTCGTGGCCATCCTCGCGATCTAATCGTTTAGCTTGTCGATAACCTCTCTCTGCCGTCAATCGTGGTTATACGGTCACCCCCAGGCCGCTCGTCTATCGGAGCTTTCGTTACCTAATTACCTCCGTAGCGCAGGTGGTCAGATAACAGTAAAATAGCGTAGTAATAAGCTTACGAAACGTATGAGGTGCTACCATATGGCCATCTAAGGAAAGGGTGAACAGTTAATTGAATTGCAGTTATCTACGTGGCCTTTTAGAGCCGTTTTACGTGCCTTTTATATCCCGATTAGCCCTCGCTAGGGCAGGGCTCACCCTGTGGCTGCACGTGACCGATTACGTGCTTGCGCGCCCACAGAAGGTGTAAAAACTGAACCTAAAAGGGCTTAAATACAGCGTTTTACGAACAGTTAGCTGTTGTGTGTTTTTCTTCAATTCCACCAATCACAGGCCTCCATTCTGGATGCCTGAGGATCCACATAAGGGCCGGTGATTGGCCCGGACTGCAAATCCGGGGTTATTCGATAATCGGAACGCTGGAGTGAGGTGCCAAGTGGACGGACTAGGGAGAGAGAGCTCTAACATCTCCCCAGTTGCTGTACCTCGCCGCCGATCGTTCGGAATAGTGGTCATGCTACGCAGCTACAATCATCGCTATCACGCCCCGCCCAATCACTACTAGTTCTGGCGGCTCGCCACCTCGCGCATGCGGTCTTGTCTATATTATATGCAGACGCCTTCTGCACGAACCTGTGTCACCTCCTACACGTTGAGACCGTAGACTCGTGAGAATCCTATATCGTTCCTGTCACCGTTTGCCCCTTCGGCTATGCGCCGAACACCCGGGTGCGAGGGATGTAGCACATGGCGCCGCTGTCTGATCCAGCTACCCCCACTATCAACTGCTACTCGAGCTGTTTTCCACCGTAGGCATCGGGATAGCTCCCCCGGGCGAGCTCTCGGTCCGCGCGGTGAGCACCTCCACCCCAGTCTCCGTTACGAGGAAGGTATGCTCTGTATGGGGAGTTAGCCGGCGTAAGTAATATGACCCCGAGCGAGTCGGGACGCCGGCCGCGGGTTCTACTCACCGAACTGCGCAGTCAACTTGCCATCGATCGTGGTGCTGGTCCAGTTGTCGGGCCAGGTGATGTCTCGGTACTTGCCCAGCGCAATCATCGGCTCAATAGTAAAGGTCATGCCGGGCTTGCACTCTCCCACAGCCTTATTCCTCCCGTAGTGGGGGATGCTAGGCGGGCAGTGGAACAAACTGTTAACGCCATGGCCACAGTACGTTCTTATCACGCTGCAATTCCGCGACTTGGCGTGCTTCTCAATGATATTTCCGAACTCTCGTATCAACGTGCCTGGCTTGATAAGCTTGGCTGCCTCGTCGAGACATTCTCGCGCCGTTTCTACCACGCGAACCGCGTCGGGGTTAGCTTTCGCCTTATCGCCGACGTAGTAGGTTTCGTTCAGATCCGAATGGTAGCCCCCGTGGTAAAGCGAGACGTCTAGGTTGATGATATCGCCATCTACGAGCACTCGTTGATCGGGAATGCCGTGGCAGATCACTTCGTTGACCGAGGTGCAGAAGGACTTGGGGAAATTGTTGTAGTTCAAGGGCGACGGATATGCCTGTGGCGATTAGTTCCGACCGGCCTTTGCGCGCCGGGGCCGAGAGAAGCTGGCTTACCCCTCGTTCTATGCAAGCCTTATGGCAGACCTCGTCGAGGTAGTCCGTCGTGACGCCGGGTCTTACCTCGGCGGCGACAATATCCAGGACTTCTCGGCCCAGCACACACACCTTTCGCATGGCCTCCTGTCCCTGGGCATCGAGTATGTCGACCTTGTTCCGATTCACGAAGCGCTCGCTCTTCGGGAAACCGGTCTCGGCATAGTCGGGATGCGGTATCGACTTCGGGACGGGGCGCCTTTCGGACAGGGGGTAGACCGGCCGTAGGGTTCCGGTGTATGCGAAGGCGGGGAAAGGGTTGTAGACACCGGTCGCTGGATCAGGTTTAGAGACGACCTTGGGGGTGATGATCTTATCAAGAATACCGTTCAACGTCTTGCCTTGCGCGATCTTGTGCAGGGCCTTGTGCTCGTTCTATGGACCGCGCGGCAGAGTCAGCCTCGAGCAGCAGGGCGGGATCCAGGGCGGGATCCGAGGCGGGAGCGTACGGACCCAATTCTTCTTGAAGCAGTCCTGCGAGCAGAAGTTGCTGTCCTTGATTCCCAGCTTCAGGCAGGTGGGACATTGCAGGGCGGAGGCGTCATTCTCGCACCCGGCTCCCAGGCACTTTTTCTTAGCCGGCGGTTCGGTCATAGCGGAAGGGATGGCGGTCGAGGAAAGTCAGGAAGAAGACGAGACTGTGTGCCGACGCTACACCTATTCGGCAGAATGAGATACTGCTGAGGCAAAAGGGAGAGAAGAATGGTGATGTCGGGGTTGATGCTCTGCGACGAGGCGTGTGGATTTAGGTATTTGGTTTGTGGATTTTTCGGATCTCGTCGAGATGGGCAGAGAGTGCCGAGTACGACGTAGTATTCATTCTTCTCGTTGGTCCTGGAAAGGCGCAGACCCGCGACCAAGGGACTTCCCTCAGCGCTAATACCCCGTAAAAAAAGCCGAAACCATTCCTTCTCCTTGCCGGGCTGTTCTCGCCCCGCTTTGCGCAACGCCGGGTTTAATCGTTATCAGATTCCTCTCAGCGGGCCTGGCAGCGGAATATCCTCTTAAGAAGGCATTTTGCTCGTCCTATGAGTATTTTGGTTGAGCAAATTCATATAAGCGTATCGGGTGCTTACATGTAGGTACAAAGTAGGTACCTACCTGATGTGCCTACAGGTACCCACCGAATGCAGACCTGCATCTGTGGCGTATTCTCCAACTTCGGTTTAGTTCATATAACCCTTAACAGGCCATCCTTTCGCCATCTTCGATAGTGATATTTCATTAGCAGAAGCGGACCAGATTGGGGTCTGCCGCTTAGTTTCGGGCTTACCAGGCATTCGGTATGATAATCTGACCATCTCGACTTTGTCATCCACCGAAAAGCGGCGCTCCGACGGACGGATATCTGGGTCGGCTGCGAGGGAGATGGAAGCAAAGTCATCCAAAGACCAAGAGCGGTATCAGCTTCTCCCCAGCGTCGGATGAATCAGCCATGGCGAATCAGAGGTATGTGGTAGTCGGCGCCGGTCCCGTAGGGTCTCTGGCTGCGCTCTATGCGGCCAAGAGGGGCCACGATGTCGAGATCTACGAGCTTCGAAGTGGTAAGTGGACTCCGGTTTGCGAGGCGGCTTTTCTCGTTTCGGCGCAACCGCCATCCCCCCGGGCGACGACGAAGCCGCATACCTCTGGCCTTCGACCCAGGCTAATGATGGCAGGGCAGATCTTCGAGATCCCTCAACGACGCCGCTGAACTTCACCAAGTCTATCAACCTCGCCCTGTCCGAGAGGGGCATCAATGCTATGCGGCATGCGGACCAAGGACTCCTCGACCGCGTCTTGGCCGCGACCATCCCCATGCGAGGCAGGATGATCCACGGCAGGCGCCCGTCAGGCGAGCTGTATGAGGAGCCTCAGGATTACGATATTCACGGAAGGGTAATGGAACTTGCCCAGAAGCACAAAGCTTGTGTCGTATTGACTTGCTAGAGTAGACGATTTTCGCCGCTGACAGGGCCGACCTCAACAAGCAGCTGCTGGACACTCTCGAGGCGATGCCGAACGTCAAGTTCTTCTTCAACCACAAGCTCACCGGGGCCGACTTCAAGCAGCGCCGAGCCTGGTTCGAGGTCCAACACCCAGACTCTTCTGACCCGACAGAGGAGGTCGAAGCCACATTCGATTTCATGATAGGCGCCGACGGGGCTCATTCCGCCGTACGATACCACCTCATGAAGTACACGAGGATGAACTATCAGCAAGAGTACATCGACACGCTGTGGTGCGAATTTCAGATCGAGCCACATGATGGGAGCGACCAGAAATCCAAGTTCCGAATATCTCCCAACCACCTTCATATTTGGCCGGGCAAGCAGTTTATGTTCATCGCCATCCCCAGTCAGGCATGCAAACCCCCTTCCTCCCCCTTCTACCCCCTTATCCGAAGCCCTCTATGGCAATACCGCTGACCGGCACAAGGACGGCTCTTTCACCTGCACCCTGTTTCTGCCGGGCGCCGAGGTCTCGAGGTTGGAGGCAGACTCATCCAAGGTGCCGGCGTTTTTCGACCAGCATTTCCCCGGCGTGACATCGCTCATCGAGCCAGACGAGCTCGTCTCTTCGTTCGAGTCGAATCCGCACCTGCCCCTGATTAGCATCAAGTGCCAGCCGTACCACTTCTCGCACTCTGCCGTCATCGTGGGGGACGCAGCACACGCGATGGTCCCTTTCTACGGGCAGGGCATGAACGCCGGGTTCGAGGACGTGCGCATACTCTTCTCGATCCTGGACAAGCACGCGGCCGGCGAGAGCAACCGGCCGGACGGCGCCGAGCACTCGGCGGACGTGGCCTTCCGGCGGAGCTCCGCGCTCGCCGAGTACTCGGCGCTCCGCACCGTCGACGCCCACGCCATCAACGACCTCGCGCTGCAGAACTACGTCGAGATGCGCGCCTCCGTCCTGAGCCCGGCGTACCGCCTGCGCAAGTTCCTCGAGGAGTTCCTCTCCGTCCACGTGCCGCGCCTCGGCTGGCAGACCAAGTACTCGCGCGTGAGCTTCGGCAACGAGCGGTATTCTGAAGTCGTCGCCAAGAGCGACCACCAGGGAAGAGTCCTGGTTCGCGGCTTCGTCGCGGCGCTGTGCGGCCCCGTGCTCGCGGGCGTTCTGGGCCTGTACTGGACCCGACGCCGGGCTTGGGGCGGCATACCTCTCTTCAACGCCGTTCGGAAACTAGCGAAGTGAGCCCACGCGGCGTTGGTAAGAGGGAAGATAGGCAGAGCGGCCGTGAATTAGGCTCTGGAACTGGGCTTTGATGTGCTTGGGAGCAGATAACCATAGTTGGTGGCTCATGCCATCCGCAGTGCTGCTTCTGGTCCACTGCTATGCGTGCTCTCCCATTTCCTCGTAAGGCGGGGGGACGGCATACGTTCGTTCGGCCGGCGTCACGACTCCTAGGGGTAAATGGAACACGGGAACTGGAAAACAGGGGCGGGTAAGGAACTTTGGGAGGTGCAGAACTGGGCGTAATCCTCCGCCTGTCGTCGGGAGTGCATATGTGTACCTACTCGTTTCACAGCATGATGTAAGAATGGCGGGTGATACCCTGCTCCTATTCGTTGCAAGTGAGAAACGAGGCTCCGGTAGCCTCTATGAACCGCGCAAATAGTGATGACCGGGGACTAGACTCGGCAGAGCAACCCGTTGTACTTGTCCATCCGGCCTGGCCCTCTCAGAGGCTGCGTATTCAGCCAAGGAGGGAGTCAGACAAAGCGGTACTACCTAAGTTTCCAAGAAACGCGGGTCTATGGTCCTGGCTACAATCTATACCTGTTCGCCAGCCGGCTTTAGATACCTATGCTGGGAAAGCAAGTCGTTTTGATTCGGGGTGAACCAGGTCTAGGCTAACTCGGCTAGAGCAATCGGATGTGACGGGGGGGTCTTAGACACAGCGGAACGTACGTGGCAGCTCGCTCAACTGAAAGAGAGGCCAAACAGGAGGGCCTCAGTTTGATCTTGTGCTTGTGCTGGTACGCCACCCCAGGCAGAGAGAGAGACCATGGAGACGGAGAACTCTCGCATTAGGGGCGAGTGAGTCGCAGAGGGTAACATCTAGGTAACATGACTATGCAGGATCTACAAGTGCTCAGGTTACAGCTGCCGAAAGTGAAGACGGAAGTAGGCATTAAATACTGAGTATTACCATTGAGCCCAACACTAAGATATCCCGATCGCCTTGCTCTATCCCATATCCCGAGCCAGAAATGCCGTGACACAATTTAACCAGAGTACTCCCATGCTCTACGTAGTAGTTATCTATCTCGGCCTCACAGACGCCCGCGAATCTTTATCTCTAACGACCGCAAGGCCATGTACGCTAGGAACGCGACGACGACGGCGAACTCGAAGCCGAGGTCGCCCGTCTTCTCGGCGATCGGGCCCGTGTACCAGTCGGCCGCCATCGAGGGTATGATGAAGGCCCAGGCGATGAGGACGGACGCGAGCGCGCTCAGGCCGGTCGGCAGCGCGCGGCCGTCGTCCCAGATGCGCGGGTCAAAGCTCGCCGGGTCGCCGCCCCGGAACCAGAGGAACTCGACGAGGAAGCAGGTGACCGACGCGCCAGCGTAGTAGCCGATGATACTGAGGAAGGCGGTCACGGACCGCACGAAGGACTGCGACGCCGGGATCGCGACTGCGATGATTGCCGCCGTCGCCACGACTGAGAGCACGATGCGTGGCACACGTCGTAGTGCTGGCGCCACCGCCGTCAGGTTGAACGAGATCGTGTACACGTCGCGGCCGCATGTCGCAAGCACTGAGATACCGAGCACTACGAGCACGAACCGGCCGAAGTCGCCGAGCCGCGTGATCAGGATATGCCCAATGACGGCGCCGACGCCACCAGCCCGGTACGCGGCAGCCCAAGTGGGGATGGCAAACACCGCGCCGCCGATGGCGGCGCCGAGCACCATAAGCAGGGAGAAGGGCAATGCGATACCGAGGAGACAATAGACGGCGAGACGGAGGCGCGGGGCCGTCGGCGGCATGTAGCAAGCGTAGTCGCCAGCGACGTTACCCCAGGTGACCATGTTGCCGGCGGCGAAGGCGACCATGCCTAGGTAGTCCTGTGCGTGGCGGATGCGCGCGGGGGCCTGCTGAGCGAGCTGTGGGCTCGCACACACGACGAGCACGATGATGGCGGCGAGCGTGGGGATCCACGCCCAGCGCGTGAACAGGTGCATCACGCGGTAACCCATGAAGCCGATGGCGAGCGACAACACCATGATGATGGCGATGGCGCCCTCGACCGGTAGCGTTCCTGGGCGCACGGCCGCAAGACACTGCGCTCCGTTGATGCTGCCTGTGACACCGAAGCCACCGACGGTGAGGGTTACGACGACGGAGGTCAGGATGTTGCAGTATTTCCTAAAATTCAAACGAGGGAACGGGAAGGCCGCCACCCCTCCGGCGTCAGTTGTGTGGTTCGTCCTTCTCCTCTACGCAAAACTAAGGGGCCGATGGGTTCCCGCAATTGGAGAAAGGAAAGGGGGAGGAGTTAGGTTGGGTGGCTTACCCGAAGCAGTACCGCGACTGGATCATCTGCCGCATACCTGTTCGAGGCGCGATGGTGATGATATATGCAGCGGGGACTCCGAATAGGAACTGGAGGAAAACGATCATCAGCGCCGCGTCGCGTAGCGACATTCCGAAGCCGAGGGTCGTCGCGGAGCCGATACCGATCCTGTAGTGAGGTGCCCTCAGCTTTGCGTCCCTTTCTGTGCTCCTCCATTTCCATTGTTCTCTACGACACTGAGCACACTTACGGCAGTAGGCTCGTCATCGACGTGGCGAAGACGGTAAAGACGTTGACGTATCGCGTATCAGTCCGCTTCTCGACCGGTACCGGCTCGGCGCCGCGCATCTCGACTCCGTGGTCAGATAGCTTCGTCCAGAAGGATGACTTCGGTTCTCTGAATTGGTCCTCAATATCGCCGGCTTCACTCGTTTCTACCAACGAGGTGGATCCTTTGGACAGTCCTATCTCGACATCTCGGGCACCCGGTGTCTGGGTTGATTCCCCCTTCTCGACCGCATAATCCGCCATGGTCGTAGTTTGCCGAACCAGCGAAGAAAGACTGGCAGCGCTGGACCACCAATCTCGACGGTATGCACTAACAAGATGCCCGGCGCGCTCTCTATACCTAACGCTTCGAGAACGAGAGGAAATCCCCAAGAGGATATCCACCGGCTTCCATGGTAGGGTCAAGCTTATTTAGTTCCCGCAGCTTCGGTGGGCATCCCGCTTCGGTCGCAGAACGGTAACCTATTCCGCGAAATAGTGTGGTCACGGTAGCATTGGATGAAGCTGAACTCGCGCCCTTGTCGGCGTCTTACTGCTCGTGATAGGCCTTACGCAGCCTTACCCTTGCAAGCCCCACCTGGGAACACACTGTTGGAGCGAAGTTCTGTCACATATAAGTGCAAGCAACAGTTGTTCCTGTACGCAATTACCTTTTAGTACACCGATCTATGTGATAACTTTTCGCTGGGTCCTCCGGCAGGCATCTTTGTCTTGGGCGAGGCCTTATCTGTGCTCTGGCCCCGGCCTAGGGTGCTGGCATCCGAGCTTACGCGCGGTGTGAGTAGTTACAGAGTGTCGGATTGGATGATCGGGGTATGGATTCCACGCCCTCCAGATTGTCTTATGACAGTCCCGATGGAGCCACCACGGCGTTGTCGGGTTCTGGGTTCTTCCGCTTCTCAGGTAGAAGAAGAACCACTGGCGACGTAGGTAGGTCTCGAAAACACAGATGACGCTCGTCTTCCTCGGGACCCGGCAGATAGGCGATCGTCCTCGACGTGGAGGTAAGAGCTAAGAGGAAACCGGTTGACTCGCGAGAGGCCGAATGGGGGGAATTGATGCGAAGACGCGGTGGACTTTTCGTAACTAGGTACAGGATGGCGAGGGCCTGAAGGTGGCGGCTGAAATCTCGTCCTCAGGCAACGTGGGCTTGGGATGCGTGTTGCGGTCGGACCTCCATCATCGAGAGCCCTTGGCACAGACGGGTAATATGTGATAGGAAGACGCAGATGCAGTGATTATCCAGCTGTTTGTGTCTACTGTAAGGGAAAGGAAGATGTTTTTTCTGAAGTGCAGCTGGCCTAGTAAGGGCGGTTAAGTTTCCTGGTCTGCTGGGAACGCGCCCTTACGTAATATCCACCAGGTGCTCTGCTCTGAAGTACCTTGTAGGTAGGTAACATGTACAGCGTTACCTACGTAACAATGCCGCTTCATTTCGTCTACGTATAGTAGGCACCTCACCTCACGCACACCTAACATACTACACACCTAACCTAGGTATCGGTATCGCATAGGCGTATTGTATACCTACGTATAGAGTCTCCCCAGGCAGGTATCCAGGCGTCTAAATACAGCCCTTGGGCTCTGGCGGCGCAACCCATGCTTCCATATATTATACCTACCTACCCCCTATCGATGAGGATAGCTATTGTACCTACAGGCTGACCGGTAGTTGACGGCGATGGGAAACCAAACTTATCAGGATGAATGTTCAAGCCGATATTCTTGAAACCTCAACCTCTCCCGTCTTGCTCCCAAACCCCCACCCGCTTCTCCGACAACGAATCCCATTCCTTTTAGCTAATATCGCGCTGTCTACCTACCCCTTAAGGCTCGTCGAGATGGTTGGGGCCGTCCCTGCGCCACGGGGTCAGCTCCCACAATCACAAGAGGCAACATCAACATACTCACGAGGCGTTCACCGAGCGAGTCATTGAGGAGTACACTCCATATGTGCTGCCCCTCTTCGAGAAGCACAGCGTCATTAGGCGCTCGCTCGCTCGCGCTTCCCCCTGGACAACACCCAGCACTGCTGGGCTCGATATCTAGGCAATCTAAGTGTGTTACCATCTCGGCTCGCTTCTTAGCCCAGATTTCATCCTATTTCAACGTTTGGCGATGAATGACACGTCTGGGCCAGCAGCAGCATACCTACCACTGTGCGGAACGGCATCGACGTTGTGTTGAACCGGACGAGACTCGAAGAGAAATATTTCCAAAGGCGGGCATATAAGTCGACTAGCCGGGGCCGAGAAGGGGTGGGGATTAGGATCCTCACGCTCACCCCGTCATTCCGTGTCTGGGCTGGGCTGACGCCACTGTCTCCATGTCTATAGGCTTCCTCATTCAGCCTCGTGGATAATTCAAGCTCCTTGTGGTGATGTTGAGTGGTCGTGTCGCCAACTCGACGGTCTTGCTCGTGTAAGATGTCTCCAGCCTCCAATCCCCCTCCGGCACAGCGAGTCACTGGGGCTTAATCGAGCACAGCTCAGAAGCACAAGATTTGGATTAGGTATTTATTGGCTCTCTGTTTCTATAAGCTATGTTGAGCCGCCCTTCTCTTCGGTGTGGTTGTCCGATGGGTTCCCCCACGTCTCTCCCCTCGTGTGTCATCGGTGCTTATGGACTTCGGAAACCTACTACTATAGGCGATCTTCACCGTCTCTCGGAACCCTTGAGCGATCTTTATAACTGTTAGAGAAGCCAGATCCCTGGCTTTGATTTCGCATACGGATACCGGCCCAGTCTTGCTTTCGACATCGTCTTTCGTGTACTTTTCGGCATTGCCTTCTTCGGGCACGCCTTCCAGGCAGTCCGCATGAGAAGATGGTCGTCGGTTCTGCTCTCCCTCTGCGCCTTGAGTACGATTCCCACCAAAGGCAGTTTATGAGACAGGTTAACATTCGTTCGTAGTCGAACTCGTAGGATGGGCCGGTCGTACGTGGTCAGCCGAATGTCCGTACAACTAGAATGCTTTCCTGATACAAATCAGCACCCTCACAATCAGTCCTGTCTTCTTTATGGCTGTATTATACGTTATTCTGGGTAGCTTTATTATTATCTTAGGTCGGAAATATAGCCTGATTTTGGCCGAATTATACATAAATGTCTTCCTGTTATGTGACGTGATCTTGCTGGTGGTCTAGGTGAGTATTATCGAAAATCTTTCCTCTCCTCTTCTTTTATTGCTACTGACTAGATGAGCCCCTGTATCTTACTCTGATGCTGATCGACATTATATTTCGCTAAACTGAGCTATTGGCGGTGCGATGGCTTCCACAACCGCTAGCGGTCACGAGTCGCCTCAGACGGGGACCAATATCATGATTAGTGGCATTGACTTCCAGCTTGGGGCCATGACTCTCTTTGCCTTATTTGCGCTACACTTCTAACGAGGACAACGAAGCTGGGCATGGCGAGGGAGTATAACAAAATCGTTGCTGCCCTGCCCTGTTCATCTCGCCGCTATTTAATATGCACGCAGTCTATTCCGAGTAACCGAACTGGCTCAAGGGCGGACCGGATACTTGATTTTGCACGAGTGGTATCTCGTCAGCTTAGACGGAGCCCCCGTGGCCGTGGCAGTGAGCGTATTCTTGCCATTTGGCCTAGCTCGGACTTTTCCCAAGTCCACTCGTGTTATCGAAACAGTGTCTGGGGATCTCAGTGATACCAGCACTAATGTAGTGTAATTGGATATGTGTATAGATCGCCGGCTACACTACGGCTATTGGCTTTTCCGGTCATGTAAATCTAGAGCTATTAATATATAGAAATTCGGCGTTAGGGATAAGGTTCGGTGTAAACAACAGATACCCGGCTACGTTTCTCGGATGACTGCCTAAACATGTTTCGTAGAGATAGATGTAGCTATAGTGTAGGTAGTAGCCTAGACATTCATATGTTTCAGCAGGTACGTATATTTATATTACGTAGCTAGCGAGAGCTAAGCTAGGGTTAATAGATTATTCGTAAAGGAAGTAATAAAATAAGGGTAAGAAGGTATATATTAACTAACTAGAAAAGAAGGAAAATTATTAGAGAATATAGAGCGATCTATAGGTATATATAGTAGTACTTAGTTAGCTTAGGTAAGCTAAGTAATTCCTACTAAGGGTATATACCTACGTAATATATCCCTTAGTTAAGCTTACGATAGTAAGGTTAACTATAATCCTTTACTTACGATAATAACCTAAGGGGTTATTCCTTAGTTTCGTTATGCCTCGTTAAGGTTAATCGATTACTAGGTACCTTATCTCGCGCTCCCTTATATCCCCTTATCCGTATATACTCCGGTTTATTACTAATAGTATTTTCTCCTAAGTTATATACTCTTCGTATCCCTTACTTAATACTCTATAGTTTATTATAAATGAAAATAATTACTCGTATAATTATTCGTATAATTACTTACTTTCGATTAAGCGGTAGTTAATTATATAAATAATATAATAATAATAATAATAATAACTTTAATATTAATATTAAGATTTAATCTCTTTTATTATTATCGCGCGCGCTTACGCGCGTTATCCATATTAACCGATTCTATCGTTTCTCCTACGAAAGCGGTTAAGTATAAATATATTTAGGATTTTTCGCTCTCGAATTAAACGTACCTCTCTTTTTTCCTTTTTTCCCTAGGTTATTTATTATAAGTATATATCCTTAATTATAATTAAGTAATTTTATTAATTACGCGATCGTAAGTTAATATAACTAATAAAGCTTCGTTAATTTATTATCGTAAGGTAAGTCCGCTTCCTTTATAATTTACGTAAAACGTAACTCGCGTATTATACGAATCGTAATATACTTTTATTAAGCGACCGTAAGATAATAGCTTAGCTTATTACGGTAAAGGTTATTATTTACGATTAATATATTACTTTTAATATTAAAATATCCTAGGATAATAAAGCGACCGTTAGTTATTTTATATTAATAAATAAAAGGTTATTTAAAATAATCCGTTTATTACTTACTCGCTATCTATCGGTAGTAATATAATACCGTAATTAACGATCTCTTAATATATCCGATACTTAAAAGCTTCGTAAGATAATATTAACGCTCTAAGGTACCGTAGCTTCGCTAAAGTAAAGGATATTCGGCCTTTTTGCCGCGAGCTCTTAACCTACCTCTTATATTCGTACGGGAGGTAGCGTTAAAGCTTCGGCCGATAGCCTTACTCGCCGCGGAAGGATATCCTTTATTCCTAGGTCCGGGGCCTTAGTTATCGCTTAGCCCCTTAAGGACTTTTTTATCGACGAAAGCGACGTCGATATAATCGTACTTAGCGCCTTAATATAACGTACCTAAGCCTTAGTTACTCGCGCTTCTTAAGGTACCGTATCCTAAGCTATTAAGGTCTCTACCGACGAATCCTTTAAAAAGAAGTCCTCCGAGAAAGACTTCCCTTCCTTATACGAAGAAGTAATCGAAAAAAGCGACCGCCCGGTTATATTAATTATTCGTAAGGTTCTTTCGCGTAAAACCTAAGCCTAAATTCGCGTATATTAAGTTACGTTCTTTAATAATATCGCCGTTACTTACGTAACTTAAGCGGCCGTTATTATTATTACTCCGACTTATAATAATATCGTAAAACGAAAACGAAAATAAGAACGAAGCCGTAGCGTTTCCTCGGTTTCCGGAACTATTACCGCTTCCGTTACTTCCTTTAACCCGGCCGTTCCGGCGGTCCCGTTTAATACCCCCGTCGTACCGGCCGCTTTAGCTTTTATTACCGTTACCCTAGGAATTACTTCGGCTATCCGTAATCGAAAGTACGGAACTCGTCGTATAATCCCTTACTTAAGTTACGTACGTAATACGGCTTAAAATAAATCTATTAAAAAGTACTTCGATTCTTTCTAAAGTACCGATCGTTATTACCGCTACTTATCCGGTTACGCCTACGTATTTTTATAGGTTTTCTTACCTCCGCGCGTCGAGGTCTAAAACTAATATTACATAAGGCCGACGCTTTAATCCTACCGGCTACTTACTTTATCGTCGCTTATATCGAATTCTCGGTTAATATATAAGCTTTATTTTACGTTAATTAGTACTCGCTAACGTTAATTATAAGCCTTTAAACTTATTACGATAATAAAGAAGCTCCTTACGCTTTATTAAAACGAAAAGTAAATACCCGTAATACCCGAAACCGTAAAATTACGACAAAGCGTAATTAACTCCGGTTAATTTACCTAGCTAAGCGTAAGCCCTTCCGCTACCGGCTTATCGATTATCGTAGCCGTACCCGCTCCTAGCTTTATACCTACTAATCCTTTTATTACTTTAGTTAGCGTAAGTAACGTTTCCGCCGGCCTATCGACCGTAATACCTAGCGTAACCTCGCCTATTATCGCCTTCGAATAAGAATTAAATATAGAAATAAAAGACGTTAAAGGAAGGAAAGAAGGAAATAAAACTTCTAAGGACGAAGAATAATCTTCTAAGGAAGTAATATTTAAAATCGCTCGCGCTTACGCGCCTATTTCTTTCGAGTAATACCTATACGAAATACTATACCGATAAACCGACCGCTTATACGAAGAAATTATCGAATATTAAAATAAACCCGTTAATATTCGTATCTTTTATTAGTTTAACCCCGCTTATTATTTCCGTAATTAAGTTCTTTATTTTAAAATAATCTTCCTATATTAGGATCTAGGAGTAATACGAGTTCGGTATTTAGCGGTAAGGAAAGCTATTTTTATATAACGGTAATACTTTATACTTATATATTAATTAATTAAGAAAAGAATTTACGTACCGTTAATACTTACGGCGATTCTTTAAGTATTATCGTAATTACTTTTCCGCGAGTATCCTATAAGTTAAGTAATACTTTAAAGTACTCGAACGATTAACGTAATAGGACTTTCGTAAGTCCGTTTATTAGTATTTAATTAATAAGAAGGTAAATTATTTCGAAGGTACCTTTTTAGTACTCCTAACGTAGCTATATATTCTATATATCTATATAACGTAGCTTAGTATTAATCCTTTCTTTTTCCCTTATTACTAGTCTTATCGTTTATTAATTATCGCTATATATCCTCTAAGGTTCTCCTAGCTTTAAGGTAATATCCCTAAAGAAACGTTTAAGAGCTATCGTTTCCTTAGCTATATACTTTAGTACGAATAATTTAGCTTTAATCGTCGATATCGATACTATATCCTAGCGAGCGGCTCTCTATATAATCGGACCTCTAAATAAGGATATTACGTATCCTTAAAACGACTTTCTTAACTTAGAATCGTTTATAAACGAAGCGTTACTATTAATTAAAAGTACTTAAGCGCTATTATTCTTATCCTTATACCTTATGCTAAGAAAGCGAGTAATATATAGGTATTTAATCGTTTAATTAACCGCTTTAAAGTACTAAGGTCCTAGATTAATTAAGAAATAGAATAATTAAAACGCTACGAAAGCGACGTTTAGGCGTATTATAATTACGCTATAAAGGAATAACCTTACTTTCTTTTAATATTCCTTAACTTATTATTTCGAAGTAACGCTTATATACTTTACTAGCTCGGTAATTAATAATAATATTATCGGAAACTAACTATTATCCGCTAGTTTAAAGCGTTTAGTAATTTTTTCGATATAAGCGTCGTATATTAAGGTTATAGTTCGTACTTTACGATTACGTATTACCTTAATCCTTAAATACTACTTTACTAGTTTAAGCTCTTTCGTCTTATAGGTATCCTTTAACCCTTAAGCTACCTTTTATATTATCGCCTTTAAGCTTTTATAATTTATAACTAATATATCGTTTACGTATATTAATACGAAGACTTCTCGTCCTTTTATATAGAATAAGTACGGCTCCTTTAGAAAGCTCTGGAGTCCTAGGCGGTTAAGGGTACTTTCGATCTCCTTAAACTAAAGTAAGGATAAATCTCTAAACCCGTATACTACTTTCATAGCGAAGGCGTATTTTCCTTCTTCCTTAAACCCGTTTAATAACTTTATAAGTATAAGATCGCTTTCCGGTTTTACCGCGTTAAAGAACGCGTTTTTAATGTCATACTAATTAACTTCGAGGTCGAATTAGGTTACGATAATTATTATTATACGGAACGATTTTATTATTAACGTAACTACGTAAGTACTCTCGAGTAACTCTTTAAGTTATAAATCTCCTCGCGCTATTAAGCGCGACTTATAAGTAATAAGGAAATTATCTTCGTCGAATTTATAATCGAAGACCTATATTAATGGAATTAGCTTTATTCTTATCCGTTCGCGATTAATAATACGCTATACTCTAATACGTAAGAAGGCTTTAATCTTAAATCTAACGTTCTCTTTAAATCGCTTTCTTAATAAATACTTATCTAGGTCCTTTTATATCTTTAGCGGTTTAAGTAAATCGTCGCGATAAATTCTTATCTTATTAGGCGATACGCCTAATCGCTCGGCCTTCGTTTAATTAACGGCTATTACGAAAACTAAATATAGCGTAATATACTTATCGTAGCTCTTTACTTATTATCCTTTTAATTAATTAAGCTAAAAGGTTATTATAAAATCAAACTAGCGATATCTTAAGAGGTTATTCCTAGCCGTTAGGTTATCCGATATTACGTAAACTCTAATACTTAAGCTACCTATTACTTTATCCCTTTCCGGGCTTTCTCCTCTCTTCCTTTTATTATAACGAATAATAGGGGGATAGACCTTTTTCTTACGCTACTTACGCTAAGTAATTTACGGGAATAGGCTATATTATTCCTCTTCTTCGAAGGAAGTACGCGTTTCTTTAGTTAATTACTCTAGAGGTTATTCCCGAGTATTTATTCCGTTAACGAAGTATACTCGCCGCCCCGGACTTTCGGTACTTTTACTAGTAGCCGTACTTAACTTTAGTTATTTTATACTCCTTATCGGAATGCTCTTACTTCCCGTAGTTTCCGTAGGTACGATTAAAGTAAGTCTTAAACTCGGGAGCCCGTAGGATATATCCGTTTTTTCGTTTAATTTCTCCTAGGTTCCCGCTTCGAGTTATTTTTATATCTCTTATTCGATTAATTCGAGTAGTTTTATTACCTTTTACGGTTATTCGTCTTTAGACCTAGCCGTTTCGTATTTTAAATTATCGGAATCTATCTCTAGTTCTTCTTTTTCCAGAGGCTACCTTACCCCCGAGCTAGGACCGGTAGACTAAGTCGTATCTAGATCCTAGTTACCTAAGGTAGGCTCGCTACCCCCGAGAGAAATTAGCTCGCTACTTAGCTTTCGATTAAATAATACGAGCGAATCTTATAAATCTAATACTTCGATAATTAATTAAGTAACGTTATTACTTATACGTATCGAAAGATCTATGCGATTAATCTCTTTTCGTTCGAGTTACTAAGCTTTTAACTTATCTATCTAGCTATAAAACGTTTCTTCGTTAAAAACTATATCCTTAATTAGGATTACTCTACCTAACCTAAGAACCTAAATTCGGTATAAGTTACTAATATAATATCCTACTAAATACCCGATATAAGCTCGTAGGTTTACCTTAAACCCTCTCCTATTAAAATCTTAGGTACGTTCTCCTATTAAAGGATACGCGCGATACCCGTATATATAAATACCGTTCTAGTCCGGTCGTAAGTCGTTCGTTAGCTTCCTTATTACCTTTAGAGTATACTATCTAAAGTACTACTTAAACTAGGTATTTAAAAGCTCGTAAGGTATACGAAGATTATAAACTTAACTAGGGCTAATATTAATTAGATATACCGCGGCTTTAACGGTTTCCGGCTATAGTTTCTTTAATAACCTTACTTTAATCCTTATCTTAATCGATTTAACGATAATAATTTATTTAGCTTTCTTACCCCTACCGATTAACTCCTTAATATTAACCGGCGGGAATTCGAGATTAATGCCTTCTTCTACTACCTAGATTTTATATCTAAATATACCTTTAATACTTATTACTAAGCGTTCGTTATCGTAACGTATCTTATAAATTAAGAGTCGGAATTACTTCCGAACCTATCTTTTAAAGAATCGAAGAATTTTTATTACTAATAAGCCTTACTTACTTTCCAGGGTCTTAACCTATAACATTCCGTTAAATTTATCCCTAATTACGATAAACTACTTAAACCCGTCGTAACCTTCCGGGTAATTAAATAAATCCTAATATACCTTTTAAAAAAGACGTAGCGAGCGATATATTAATAAACGGCGCGAGATTACTCTTTTACTTATCGCTTAACTATAATACTCGTACTTAATTATAGGTATATCGTTAATCTTAACGTTCCGGGCGTTTTTAACGAAGGCTCTAAGCGCTTTAAGACTAAGATACCTTACTCGCTAGTATTAAAATACCTCGGAGTCTTTTCTCGGTTTAATAATATCTTTCGATCTTCTCTACCGAACGTTTCTCTCCAGGAAATAAAGTATTACTACGATCGACGTTACGCTACGTAGAATGCTCGATAGTATTATAGATAGTATCACGAGTAAGACTTACGAGTAAAAAGAGAATTACTTAAATTCGAAAAAGACTAAGTTAAAGCGTCGCTCTAGCTTCCTTACTATAGTACTTTTCTCGAAAGTTCTATTCCTTAAAGTATAATTTAAACCGTAAAACTAAATACCTATACTACGAAGTTTCGCCTTAAAGATAATATTAACGTAAAAATCTTTAATAAATACGACGTCCTTAAGCTTTAAATCAAAGGCAGGCTTACTAGATTAATCTAAAATATATTTCTCGATAATCCTACGACCCGTACTAGCTATAAGAAAGCTTATGATACTAACTTCGACCGTCTATCCGTCTCTAGCGGGAACGAACGACTCCTTTACTAGAAGATTACGATTATTAACTAGGTAAACTACTTCATAGTTATCGAAAACGGTACTTTCCGATAGTAGGTATCGGATTAAGTTCATAATAAAATAAATCCTAGTTTAAGTAAATAGGTATATAATACGTAAGTCGATTATTATTACGTTAATATTAATTAATTAAGTAGTAGCGTTATTTCCTCCCCCGTTCCCGGAGCGATTATTAGGTATATTATTTACGGGAACGTCCTACCCCTAGCGGTTAATTTAGTTTCGGAGCTTAGCGTACTTAAATAAGTCGTATTTAACCTTAATTTTTCGTATAATATTAACCGGGATCGGCTTTAGGTTACGTATAATTTAACTAATAACGGACTTCTATAGGATTCCATAAGAGCGAGCTACCTATAAGTATGGTTTACCTTTAGACTTATAAGGATATTCGTAACTCGTTAGTTTTCCTTAGCCGCTATTATTAACTAATTTCGCTCTTAAAGTCGGTCCTTAATAAGTTATTACGAAAATTTTATAACCTAATTTACCTTTCTATTTATTCTCGGTAGCGAAAGCGTTAAATACGATACCTAGTTACTTAAGGGTCTTTAGTTACTCGCCGAGTTTATTAGCTTTAATAAAAGCGATTAATATCCGTATAGCCTAGTCGATTACGATCTTAGCCTTAATTATTTCGAGGAAATCCTTTGCTCTTATAACGCCCTTAATCTCGTTAATATAATAAGCGCGAGCGTAAAGGAAGGCGTATTACTATATAACGTAAAACTACTCGGAATTATAAGTACTTACCTTTATTCTTTAAAGTACCTTACGATATTCTCGTCTAACGAACGTCTTAATAACGGTTTCGGTAGGAATAATTTACTTACGGAAGATCTTTACGAGGTTTTAAATAATCGGATTAAGGTCTAGGAATTATATCTTTATATTAGCTACCTTAAGAAAACCTACCGAAATAAATACGAGAATCTAGCTATAGAGAACCTTATATTACTTATTAATAGCTATAACCTAAGCCTCGATCGTTATTTACTAGGAAACGAACTTATTATACGCTACCGTTTATTACTCTCGAGTTCGTACCTTAGGCCTTAGTAATTAATCTCCTCGGTCTTCGGTTAGGATCGACGCTTATTCGTAAACGGCTTTCTTATAGTTTTCTTTAAGGAGTTCGTTCTCTTAAGTAATATACTCCTTAAAAGTACTTATTATAACTCGAGTAGCGTTAAACTTAGCTCTATTTAGATTAACGTTCTTCTAAATACCGAACTAAGTAGCTATTAAGGAGGAGCAGAGCGTACGCGATGCTAGAGACCCGGATAGGTTCACTCGAAAGTACACTCTATCGAAGACTATAGTACGTACGATAGTCCAAGATAAATGAAACTAGTGTCGCTATATTAATCGAAAGGCAAGGAATCTAATGTAGTTATCGTATCTTAGCTATGCCCCTTGGTCGTAGAGATGTAGTAGTCGCTAGCCCGAAGGTATAAGAGGTAAGGGAAGAAAAGGGGTAAAACGTAAAAGTTACTTATTCGGTTATAGCGGTACGACGAAGTAACTTAAGCGCCTATAACTAGAATAGATGTACTAATCGGAGAACGACGAATCTAATGGTAAAAACGAATCTTTAATTAAGGTAAAAATAGTAAAGATAGCAATCTAGCTAGGTAATAAACTAGATAATAAGCATAGCATGTCCCGTACTTACGGGTGCTATGGTTACTCTATATAGGTATAAGGCCTATCGTAGCGTATTACGTAATGCATCAAGAGGGCATGTCTTACCGCACCACTACACTATCGACTTAAGCGTTAAGAACTACCGTAGCTACTTATCGTAAGCTCGTAAGTAAACGTTAATAAGAATCTTATTCAGGGAGAATTCGGAAGTATTAATCGTTATAGCGAAATAAGTAAGCGATTATCTAAAGCTAGATACGAAAGTAGAATACCGGTTTAGAAATAAAAAGGGAATATAATTATAAGATTTAAGAAATGAATAAATATATTACTTACTTACGCTAGAATAACCTAAGTAATAATAGCTCCTTAAAAGTACCCCGGGCTTATAACTATTACGTAACTAACGAAAGCTAAGCTAGGGTTAATAAATTATTCGTAAAGGAAGTAATGGAATAAGGGTAAGAAGGTATATATTAACTAACTAGAAAAGAAGGAAAGCTATTAAAGAGTATGGAGCGATCTATAGGTATATATAGTAGTACTTAGCTAGCTTAGGTAAGCTAAGTGGTTCCTACTAGGGGTGCATGCCTACGTGACAGTTTAGAAATAGAGTTTCGCATTTGACCACGTCGTGTAGGAATTTCGGGACGGTTGAGCCCTCCATGAACGTCTAGGGTTCTGAGCTTGAGTCCAAGTTAAATATCTCGTTACCCGGGAGCGAGTAAGTCTTTATCTGAGCTTTTCTCACCGCTACAGTCCCCTTCAAAGTTGTTGCGTAAAACGTAAGTGCTTACATTCTACTACTTTCTTTGGAATAAAGCCTTATAAGTGCTACCTTACACCGGTGCCTTGCTTTCTGGGTAGAGATCATATTGGGCTGCTTCTGAGCCTTCTACTTGAGGACTTTGCGCGTTGAAGACCTAAGTGCTTATAAGCAACTACCCTTGCGGTAAGGATCTCGAGGAGGGCGTCTACCGCGACCTTCCTGATGTAATCATGAACATAGCAACCCTAGTGAGCCTCTTCAGACATAGGTTATGTGTGGTGCCTTGATCACTACCGAAATGCCTTTCGATCTTCGAATCCTTGAGCGGATGTGGGAAATTATGCGACTAGAAAGAAGAGAAGGAGAGAAAATGAAAGATATTGTGCCAGGTCTGGAACTTGTAAATTAATAACACGGCTCTAATATCTCCCGACCAGTTGTCGTTGTGTAATGGTAAGCCAAATCTAAACCTCCTAACCCAACTGTGTTGCATTGTGGTCTCCCTACACTCAGCGCATAAGTCAAGCCTAAGTGAGACATTAAATGCCCCGTAGGGTTATTTCCCTTAGTATAGGTAAAGTAAAGTAGGACGCTTCGGGCGAGAAACGTGGTTATGGGTGCCGTCTAAGCCTAAATGGACCAGGTTCGGCATACATTTACAGGTGCTCGGCGCCATACTACCTAATAAGGGCAGCAACCTATACCCAGTACCGCCTATATTCACGGTAGATTTTGGCATCCTGCCATCCACCAACCAGGCTAGTCCCGAAAGATCACGGCAGCGCACCCAGTAGGAAGTTATCTTACCGCAGAGCCCACTGGTGGTGCATCGGATGACCGCCCAGCGCGTGCGTTGCAGGGGACAAGGCCCGCTGAACAATACTCGCTATAATAGGTATATAGCAGCGGACATGCCCTCCCTCGTCCACTTACACCCGCTCGACCACTAAACTAGTCATAGGCGCCCGCCACACATAGTATTGTACAGAGGGCCTCGTCCGGAACCTCGCCGTCATGATTCTATATATAATATCTGGTATCGCGTGCATTATCGGCTACATATGGGTAAGAATACCTATCTCTACTTATAGTTGCGAATATTCTAGCTTGGGATCTAGGCATAACTGTTGGGTTTCCCAAGACGCTCATGCCCCAGCGTCGAATCCCACCACAACCCGCATTCTAGCGAACTACTACTTTCCTCGGTAGACTAACACGATTCCTAGTACCGAGCAGCGATATCTAGCACTGGGAGCACGAGAGCCGGAGAGGACGCCGTCAAGCAGACCCCCGACCCGGACATTGTCGTCGTCGGCGGGGGCCTGGCCGGGATGGTAGCAGCGCTGGCGGCGGCGGAGCGCGGGGCCTCGGTCGTGGTGCTCGACCGGGCGTACGGGGGCGGCGCGACGGCGATCTCGGGGGGCGTGGTGTACGCGGGGGGCGGGACGCGGCAGCAGGCGGCGGCGGGGTACGGGGGGGACACGGCGGACAACATGTTCCGGTACCTGGGAGCGGAGGTGGGCGACGCGGTGGACGCGGCGACGTTGCGGCGCTTCTGCGACGGCAGCGTCGCGCGCATGGCCTGGCTCGAGCGCCACGGCGTCGCCTTCGCCGGCTCCCTTTGCCCCTTTCGCACCAGCTACCCGACCAGCGAGTACTTCCTCTACTTCTCCGGCAACGAGAAGGCCCACCCGTTTGCCGCCCTCGCCGACCCCGCCCCGCGCGGCCACCGCGCCGTCGGCGAGGGCACCGGCGGCATGGGCATGACCGGTGCCGCGCTGTGGCAGGCCGTCTTCGACGCCGCCGTCCGCCTGGGCGTCGTCTTCCGGCCCGCCAGCCGCGTGGAGGCGCTGCTCCTGGACGACGCCGGCGCCGTCAGCGGCGTCCGGTACCGCGCACTCGACGAGACGTCGGGCGGCTTCGCCAGGCACAAGTCGCTGGTCCAGAGGGCCTCCGGGTATCATCAGATTTCGATGCAGACTGTGGCCAATTGGTTCGACCTCTGGGCCGAGTCTATCTGGCAACGGGAGAGCCGAGAAAGAACGATGCATTCGCGGGCTGTCATCCTAGCGGCGGGAGGATTCGTCATGAATGAGGAGATGTTGAGCGGGATCATCCCTTGGGCGCGCAGAGTGTCGCCCCTAGGCACGGCGGGCGACGACGGGAGCGGCATCAAGCTTGGCCAGTCGGTCGGCGGCACCGTTTCGCACATGGACCGCGTGTCGGCCTGGAGGCTGATTTACCCCCCGGAGGCGCTCGTCGAAGGGATCGTGGTTTCTCCGGGAGGGGAGCGCATCGCGGCCGAGGACCTGTACGGCGCGTCCTTTAGTGAAGTGATGATTGATCGGTTCGACGGCCACGGCTATCTCATCCTGGACTCGACACAGTGGAAGAAGGTCAAAGACCAGGTTAATTCGCAGACGCAGATGCCGTGGAAGGCGTTCATCTTGTACTTGCTCTACTGGGCTCACAAGAAGGCCAGCTCGATCGAGGGCCTTGCGCGAAAGCTTCGCGTCGATCCGGGCACGATAAAGTCGACGGTGGATGCATATAACGACGCGATAACGAACGACAAGCCGGACCCGGTAAACAAACTGTCTTACAGGACTGTCATTGAGAAGGGGCCGTTCTACGGCATTGATATTTCTCTACAGCCCAGCGGTTTGTTAGTCTCGCCGGCGCTTCCTCTTGGTGGTTTAAGGGTTGACGGCGAGACTGGTCTAGTGCTTAACGAAGCGGGTGGTACGATTAAGGGCCTATATGCCGCTGGGAAGAATGCTGTAGGTGTCAGCTCCAACCGCTATATTTCGGGACTTGCGTTGGCAGACTGTATCTTTTCGGGGAAACGAGCCGGCGAGCACGCTTAAGAATTCACATTTAGGTCCTGAAAGATGGATTTGGTGGAGGAAATAGAGCTCGGCGACGGTGCGAGATTTGAATGAAATTATGCCTAACAACCTTGGTGCAATGTCGCAGTTTAAGGCTATGGAAATTCTACAGTAAATTCACTGCCTGGCTGAGGGGCTTGAAGAATCTTCAGGGCGTACCTAATAGTCTCTTCTAGGTACTTGTAACTGTTGTCTCGGCACCTGGAACGCCACGCTGAATACACCCTACTAGAGAGACGGGGCCGGGCAGGGGCAGCAGGACAGGGGATATTAACGAAGCCACACACTGACGGGCAGCATAGGGGCTTAGGATCTTCTATCGAAATTCATCTTCTATCGCAATTCAGGGCCTTTTTTATAATTCTACGGAGGGCCCGGAAACCTCATGTTATACACTATCACTCTGACAGTAGGAATACGCTTCCAACGGAATTGTGCTCTTTCCCTTTCGCGGGGATTCGCAGGACGGAACACTCGCCGGACATTCCAAGACTCTCGCGCAATTGCCTACTTGGTATTGCATCTTGGAGCCGATTACAGCTTGAAGCCGCCGGGGACTAGAGTCTGAAACACGCGCCCGGGATCGTACTTCTTCGCTGTCGACTTCAGGAACTCGTAGTTGGCGGATCCGTAGCCCTTGAAAGGCTGCTGCGAAGCCTTTGCATGGTTCAGGTCGATATATGGGTGGTAGGCCCCACGCTTCTTGGTGGCAGAGATGACGCTGGCTAGGAGCTTGTCGGCCGCGGCACTCACAGCCGGGTAGTCCTCAGCTTTCGCGAAGCTCGCAGACAAAAATCCCAACGTGAGTCCCTGGGGAGGTAGTACCTCGAGGCCCAGAACATTCCCTCCAGTAGCCTTCGTCCGGTCAATGATGGACTGGACGACAGGCTCGAAGGTAAGCGCCCACGAGATTCTCTCGAGACTCTGGACTCCGGCGATACTGGCTTCAAAGATTGTCCATAGATCTAGGAGAATCTCGGCGCTGTTCACAAACGTCACCGCAAAGGTGATTTGCCTATGAAGTGCATATGTGAGAACTAGAATGGAGAGGTAGGGAAAGAATTGCAAAATATGCGGTTACTTACTGCAGGCCGTGAGGAGATTGCGCTTCCGATGCAGCGGAGAGAGCTGGGACGGTCGTGATGGACGTCTGGTTCCCAAGCTGACCCTCAAGGGGGTAGAAGACGCCGAACGCAGCTGGGTTTTCGGTGGGGGCAGCGTAGACGTACAGGTTGGCGATCTGCGTGAACCCCTGGGTGAAATAGTAGGTCACCAGAAGACTGGCGTTGGGGTCATAGTTGGGGTCAGCCGTGAAATCAGCGAAGGCCTTTGCAACGCCGTTGACACCAGTGGCTGGCAGGTACGCAGCGTTCCCGCCCCAAACATCCTTCACGGGGAATGTCTGGAACACGATTTGAGTGACGACGCCGAAGTTGTTGCCACCGCCCTTCAGCGCCCGCCACAGGTCGCTATTCTCCTTCTTGTTGGCTCGACGGATCTTTCCGTCGGCGGTGACAATCTCAAACTCGACAACAGAGTCGGCCGCAAACCCTTGCGACGGGTTGATAAACCCGAGACCACCTTTTTGTACGCTTAGCTTGTAGCTCGTCTCGGGAGTTGGAATATGTGAACACTTACCACCCAGCGTGGAGCCAGACGCGCCGATACCAGCCGCTCGTGCTCCGGGGATGGAGAGCCCCTGCTCGTGCAAGATCGAGTAGAGGTTGCCCAGACGTTGTCCGGCTCCGACGGACACCAGAGACTTATCAGAGCTGAGCGTGGTGGCGTCAAGCGAACGGAGATCGATGGTAACACCGTCCTGGATATTGGACGCTCCGGTCACGGATGTGTGACCACCGCTGCGTACGGCAAACTGGCAAGAGCCGCGGGCGAGGATGCTGACCGCCACCGAGACATCCCGAGCTGATGTCGGCGTCAGGATGCACGCCGGGGTGATCAGCTGTCCCTGCTGGGTCCAGTACGAAGACAGCGAATCAGCATAGGCCGCGCTGCTCGGATAAGACAGCTTGGCCGACAATGACGCTGAGAGACTTTGGCACTAGATCGTTTCATGAGCACGGCTAGAAACAAAAGGGAGGGATGTAACATGGTGCATTGTAACTCACGCAAAGAGAGCTCGTGGCAGCGGAGACGGAGGTGTCAACCGGCGTCGCATAGCCCAAGCTGATGCAACTAGCAGCCGCCAGGAGCGCGCTGAACCGGGAAAGGCTGGCTATCGACATCTTGGGAGACTGATGGCGCTTGACTTGTCGTTGGTGCTAACCCCGAAGTCTGAGGCTCGAGGCGAGTAATTATAGACGAGCTCTCTGAATGCCTATTAATCATCTGAACCAGCCACCACTCGGGCCTCGCCCAGGCCTGAGCTTCAATGACGATGTAGTAATGAGACATTGAGGGATTCTCATAGTTCGAAATCGCTTCGAAGGATGAGGTGAGTTTTCCTTCCGAAGGATTCGCTCCCTAGCTTCCACGTGTACCACTCCGGGGCGAAAATGTAACCGCAGTCTTCTCGGCCGATTTGCAACTGGGGCAGCTCGTACGTATGGCTTATAGGATGCGGTCCCCGGAGAGGAGCTTGACGCTATGGGATGCGAATCCAGGTACAGGCCCGATAGTCGTCGAGAAAACCCGCCTACAATGTCCATGCATGGAGGTAGGCGACATGCCGGCGGCGGCTGGGCAAGCATTCCCAGTCAGAACAGCCCAGATGTGAGGCGGTATCCAAGATTTGCACCTACTAGGTAGGTACTCATCGCTCCTACACCCCTCATCTCATTCCTTCTGCCAAGGGCCTTTGGCGTTCCATGCACACGACGATGGTACGGTAACTCGCACATGGCATAACATGGCACAACTCGAACACGCATCCGAGGAGGCCTGTTTAGGAAGGAGAGGTAAACGACAATGGGCTAGATGAGGACCGGGCTGACGTTGGTGCTATTTACAGCGCCTCAGTTGAAAATGTCTCGATGAGCCCAGCCTTGGCTAAGATGTCCTGTCCTGTTTATCAAATCTCGAACAGGTGGGCTTGGAGTCGATTTTAAAAGAAAAAAAGAAAGAAAAAAAAGAAACCAAAGAGGGTCAAATACAAAAGAGAAAGGTATTGAATCTCGCGAAAACGGTCATAATTGGAAGTTGAATCTGTCAAGAGGATATTAGCATTATGCATTATAGATATGTCACCTCGTGATGCCTTTTGGGACACAACGAATTGGCATCCTAGCCGAACTAGATCAGATACAATATTATTACCGCATCCTGGTGAATTGTAGCTGAAAGTTAGGGCCTGCTACGAAAGCACCTACTCTTCAGGTGGCGTGAGTCGCCTAGACCTTGATTATCTATCTGTTCGTCAACACGTTGTCGCTGACATGGGTGCGACGACCAGCTGGGCGTAGCGCCCCAACGCCCGCGAGCTATCGTGGGTTCGTGGGAGCAGCTGGCATCGTGGGAGCAGGACTCCTGTCAGGTAGATCTAGTAATAGGAAGCTCAGCTTCGTCGCGTATATATAGCTTGGGACATCTCCCCTCGTAGCTCACACGGTTTGTAGATCAAGCCAATACACCACCTAGAAACTCATACACTGTAGCCTCCAGCGGGAGTTTCTCCAAGGCAAAATGGTCGGGAAACGGGATCTGGGACCTTGCGTAAGTCTCGGCGGAAGATCTCTTCTGTATTCCACCTCCGCCAAGCGTCTTCGCTGACCAATTTGCGCAGTGCGTCTCCCTACTTGCAGCGCTCGGGAACCGAGTCATCCTGCCAGGATCGTCGGACTTCAGCGACTCGCTGTCCGGCTACTATTCCCAGCAGGAATCGACCATCCAGCCGCAGTGTATAGTCAGGCCTGAGTCTACTGCCGAGGTGTCCTCGGCCCTGAAGACGCTCTCGAGAGTGTCGAAGAACCTTACCCGAAGCGCCGACAAGGCCCAGTGCCGCGTCGCCGTGAGGTCAGGCGGCCACGGCATCAATGCCGGAGCGGCTAACATCCAAAACGGCGTCACGATCGACCTGAGCTATCTCAACAGCACTACGGTCAGCAACAAAAAGGTCGCATCCATCGGGGTCGGTGCCGCGTGGGACCAGGTCTACGCGCAGCTGGACCCGATCGGTCTGTCGGTGGCCGGCGGCCGGAACGCGGGAGTGGGTGTCGGTGGTCTGACGACGGGAGGAGGGATCTCATTCTTCTCGCCGCGGTACGGTTGGACGTGCGACACGGTGGTGAATTACGAGGTGGTACTCGCTGACGGGAGCATCGTGAACGCGAACGAGCGGACGAACCCGGACCTGCTGTTCGCGCTGCGCGGCGGCTCCAACAACTTCGGCGTCGTGACGCGCGTCGACCTGCAGGCCTTCGACCAGGGCAAGCTGTGGGGCGGCATGAGCTACTACGACCTCTCGACCATCGACGCCCACGTGGACGCCTTCGTCAACTTCGCCGCCGCCGACAACTACGACGACTTCTCGTCTCTCGTCTTCACGTACGTGCTCTTCAACGGCCAGCCGCCCCTGCTCGCCACCGCGCTCGAGTACACCAAGCCCGAGGAGAACCCGCCGTCGGCGCGCCCCATCACCAGCATCCCCGCCATCCTGAGCACCCTGCGCGTCGCCTCGATGGCCGAGCTCGCCGTCGAGCTCGCCGCCCTCCAGCCCTACGGACTCCGGTAAGTAATGCCGCGGCCTCCTCCACCAACTACTCTTATTATGTGTCGGCGCTAGCTAACTCGGGGGCGACCTCAAGCCAACTGTACGTGCAGGTGACGCACAAGGCGACGGCGCCGATGATCCGAGCGACGTACGACCGGTGGAGGGAGAGCGTGCCGGGGGTGCAGGACGTGCCGGGGATCGCGTTTGCGCTGTCGCTGGAGCCGCTGCCGCCGTCGATCTTCGCGCGGGCGGCGGGCGGCAACGCGCTGGGGCTGGAGACGCGGTCGGAGTCGCTGGTGGTGTCGCTGCTGACGGTGACGTGGGCGGACGCGGCCGACGACGCCAGAGTGACGGCGGCGGCGCGCACCCTCATAGACAACATCGCCAGCGACGCCCGCCGCCTCGGCGCCTACGACCCCTTCGTCTACCTCAACTACGCCGCCCCCTGGCAGAAGCCCGTCGACTCCTACGGCTCCAAGAACGTCGCCCGCCTCCGCAAGATCCAGCGCGCCTACGATCCCACCGGCTTCTTCACCAAGAACGTCCCTGGCGGCTTCAAGATCCCTGCCTGAGCGGGGGCGGCAGCTCTACCCCGATGGAAGACACAAGAGCCAAGTGGTGCCTGATAGGGGGTTTGGCGAATCCCCAGTATTATTCGGGGTGCATGGCAAAGAAGAGGAGAGAAGAGCGAGGAGGGAGAGGACAGCGTTTCCCGGAACGGGATTATGGAATCTGTACAAAACGCGAGTGTGGAATACGGGACTGTGTACATAATTCACTAACGGCTACGGTAAACCCGTTTATGAAAGTATATAATACCTACCTCCTTCTTATATGTCGATACTTTTATCTAGGTACCTGACATCTTTTACGTATCGCCATTACAGGGCGGGCAGCTCGATTTTAGCGAGTGATACAGTGGTGCACCCCTAAATAAGCAGATTTACAGGCATGTCCACTAGCTAATGGCAAGTGGGGGGTGCCTATACGTAGGTACCTACCTACCTACGGGTAGCTATGGAATCCGTCATAGAGCGCGGAATAGGGGTTCTCCCGTAAAAGGTAGGTTAGGTATACCTATGTCGGCTAGTCTATCTACAAAATATCCAGCGTCATCTGTCCCGTCAGCTCATCTCGTTCACTTGCACCTATCAGTAGCCATTCCCAATACTTATTATTACTATGAACCCGCCGTGAGCCTGTTGCGATTACCTACCATCAATTCATCGTGATGGTAGCTCCAAAATACCATACCCTGCTACACCAACCCTGTCCTCTCCCCCTCTCTCTTGCCTAGTACCTACCTATTTCTTGAGCTCGCTTAATCCTTGGTTATAGCTCATCGCGGCGTCCTGGCAAGATCCGGTGGCGTCAGCGACAGCCCAGAGGCAGGAGTCGTGGCAGGGGGCAGATGCGGCACGGTGGTGCACTTACTGTTACAAAGGTCGGGGCCCACTGGGAGATGAACTTGATGCCGCCGGAATGGGGGCCTCGCCAGACTAGGCCGCCCTTGCCGGCGCCGACGGTGTCGTCTACGAGGGACTCGGCGAACTGGGCAGCGGGGATGCCCTTGGGCTTGAGCTCGCCGCTGGCCCAGCCGGCGATGGTGGCCTGGATGGGCAGGTAGAGCGAGCCGGGCGGCAGCTGGAAGTCGGGGTCGTTGTGGTGGAACTCGCTGTCGACGACGCCGGCCATGACCGTTACGACGCTGACGCCGAACGGCGAGAGCTCGAGCCGCAGCGTCTCGGATATGATGTTGAGAGCGGCCTTGGAGGAGGAGTACGTGGCTGCGGCGGCGACGCGGAAGCACCCGAGTTTAGCAGACGGACGGAGAGACCAAGGCGAGGGGGACGGAGGGGGAGAGTACATATCCACGGCGTGTTCACGACGGAGCCGCAGGTGCTGAGGTTGACGATGCGGCCGCGGCTCGCGATCAGCAGCTTAGCAAAGGCCTGTATGGTGCGGACGGGGCCCCAGACGTTGGTTTCGTAGAGGGCGCGGGCCTTATCGATGTCGACGTCGAGGACGGGCATGGCGTAGCCGGCGCCGGCGTTGTTGAAGAGCACGTCGAGCCCGCCGCCGCTCTCCTCGACGGCCTTGACGGCGGCGGCGATGGACGCGGCCGAGGTGACGTCGAGCGCGAGGACGGTGACGTTGTCGAGGCCGGACAGCTCGCTGGGGATTTTGGCCACGGTGCGAGCGGTGGCGAAGACGTGATGCTTCCGCTTGGCTAGCGCGTGGGCGACAGCAGCTCCAATGCCGCCGGCCGAGCAGCCAGTCACCAGTATCGTCTTCGGAGACATGTGGGAGGTTGGTGGGACGGGGGGGACTTGGTGGTAACTTGGGTCAGTGGACTTGGTAACTTGGTCGGTGGTGAGACTAGCGAGCCGGCTTAGCGGGTTGGGGGGGGTGTGCTGAGAGGGTTCTGGCGGGCACCGGTCGATACGATGAAATACAGAAGAGGGTGGGCGTCGGCCGAGATTTGGGCAGTGAGGCCGATGCTGGCGGTAGAAGGATTGGCTAAGACGACAAGACGCTTGGTGCTGTTGGCAGGCTGGCGGGGCGGGTACGCAGGGAGTACCTAAGAGGTAGGTAGGTACTCTACTCTGTAGGTATGTGCATACAGTAGCACCTAGAGGATTTTAGGTGCCTAGCTCAGGGGCCTACCTACTGCCTAACCGCCTAGAGGTATAGGTGGGATAGAGGTAGGTAGTGGTTGGTAGGTCCCTAACCTACCTAGGTAGGTAGGCAGGGAACGAATCTAATAACCGCCTAAGGTGACCGTCGGATAGTTGTTTACCAGTTACCTCTCTAGGTACGCGAGGAGGGATTGGGACTCCCGTGCCTCTGTCTCCCCCGCTTGCCTGCCGATGCAAATGCAGGATTACTCTACCTACAGCACGCATGGGATGTAATCCGGCTTTCGTTGGGTCGTGGGCTGGGGGTGGACGACAGGATGGACGACATGGATGGCGATGGGAGGCTGTCGATGCTGATGCGACATTGCAAAAGGCACCTACTCATATACCTGGGCTGAGAGGTTACAGGCGTATCCGTGCAACCCCGCGTCGCATCGAGGTCCGCTGGCATCTGTAACCTTTCGGTCCCGCCTATGCCAGTTCCTGACCCGTTCCATCTTGACACGAAGGAGTGGCCAGTCATACCACAGTGAAGTTGGCATCACACGTGCTTCGTCTGATGTGTTCCTGGCGTTCTCCTCCTCGGCACATTTCATCGCGACACTAACTGGTGATAATGATGGTTCGCCGCGGGACACCCAGGCAACCGTTTTCAGAGCTGGCCGAGCCGAAAGGTCAGAGTCAGTCCGTATGGAGTTTGCGTCATAAGCTTAATCGCTGCCGACACTACGTGTATTGCCTCTCGCCAGGCCGCCAGACCAGATGGAGCATGGAGCCATATCAGGAAGAGAGGCAAGGAATGGTTCCCGCAGGCAGTTCCATCACGTGTGCTGCACGTTTCGTCTCCGTGCGTCCTCATTCACCACCTTTAGACCAGGGGCAACGCCTCCATGTTCGCCTTGTCTCCCCATGCTACCCAACGTAGGCTCTATAGATGCCTCGATGTGTAGATACCTAGACATGTGCATACGCCCTCCGCCACTCGGCTGGGCCACACGGTGGAAGAAGGCCTCGGGACCAAGAGGCACCCAGATCCCTCGAACTCGCCCGCGCGCTCTCTATGAGTAGTCGACGCAGACGGGCTGCACGTGGGGTAGCATCGGTACGCGCTCGCAATACTACCACCACCTCTCCTCTCCTCTCTGCCGCTACGGCAAAAGGGGGAGGAAGAAAAGGAGAAAGCTTCCGAGGCCCGTCGCGTCCTGTTAGATCCACCGCCTTCTCACCCTCTCCCCCCCTCTCCCCTCCCCGCTCCTCTGCCTCTTGTCTCCCAACCTCGATCCTAACAATAGCCTCGTAGACTCGCAATTCTTGATCATGGTCATGCTACTAGCATCGGCGCTACTGGGCCCACGCCCAGGACGCCCACCTACCTTGGCCAGCGCCTGGGAGATGTAACATTACCGCGGCGGTTTCGTGCTATCCTAGGTGCGCCAGCTCCCTCGATAGGCGCCAAGCTCCGGACTACCATCACCCAAGCAGTTAGTAGGCCTCTTATTCAGCGATGCCAAGCAGATGCACGATCCTGCTCGGGTCGCCGTTAGGTGTGTAAACAGTTAGTGCACCCGACACGCAAGTATTGTCGTCGTATCCGGTTTCGTTCTGTCAGGTCTGCAGCAGTCATGTCTTAGGTCAGCTGGGAATTCCTTCGTTGGCGCCAGCCCGTCCCGCGCGCCGAGACGAGACATCGACGCGGTCCCGGTGCTTCTCTGTACGATCCAGCCCAGGCCGCCGAGCTGCCGTTGGCGTCGGTGCCACAGCAGCCGTGGGAATCCCCGGAGGCTACCCTCATATTATCAGGTGTGCATCATGACACCTACAGGCAGGTAGGTAGATGGAGGGATGGGATTGTGGGACGTGGGTGCATCGACGGCACCCACGAAGAATCCCAGCGCCTGGGGACATGGGAGATGCCTAGGTACCTCTGTTTGAGCAAAAGCTTATCTCCAACAGCCAGAAATAGACGGCCCCACGATGTGGTACGTACCGGAGCGGGTCCGGGCCCACTTGGGCGCTGCAGTCGATTCAACCCTAACCCGTTCCTGGCTGCCCACCCCGGTCCCACTCATCAATATCACCAATCACTGGCCGGGAACTCCGTTTGGCCTGCTTCCTCCTACGGACTAGAGCCACGTTGTGCGACGTAGTACAAAGCGAAGGCGGGGCAGCATCGAGACCCGCTTGTACCTGTACTACGTGCCACGACCTCAGGTACGTATCTCCGTGGGATTCTGGAGAACACAAGAACGTCTAGACCAGGATGCATCACGGCAGTGCGGGCCACCGAGGAGAACAGCGCCTCGTTCTAGTCTTCTTCGCGCCCCCATCCGTCCCATACGCTGCCTTCTTTCTACTCCCTACCCACGTACGCCGATTCCCATGGGTTTCACGACCCCTGCAGAGAGCTACGATAGGAATGATGGCCCTAGTATCTCCCGCTGCACATCATCCTCACGAACATAAGGTTATTATCGCGAGCTTCTCGGGCACAGACGTCTTGGATAGATGTGTAGTAGCATGTAGGTATGTATGTGTTATGTAGGTATAGAGGCATAGGTGGTAGATCGTATTACAAAGCCTGGGGTAAGCAGGAGGAGGTATGTACATTGGTAGGCTTACGAGAGATGGGTAATATACAAGACATAACAATCGTAGATTAGATCGATTTTACAGAACCGATCCACCTCAGATGGCATGGGCTCATCTGACAGAAATAACATGCCCTGAAACAACGAGAGCCGGTTCTCCTCTTAACTTACACTCCCGAGCCTACATCCTACATATGAAATTCCTGACACCGCCAACTCCTGTCCCGTAATAACCGTAAGGGGATGCTACTGTGTGCACCCATTCGCCCGCTCGCTCTACACCATCGAGTGAGGATGCGATTCCTGCGTGAAACCTGTCGTCTTGAAAATGACGCGATCCTTGTCCCCCGGGCTCTGGGGCGCAAACTCGTAGTTCGCCTGGGTCGTGATGTTCGCCTGCGTGTTGAGCATCGATTCGTCGAGCTCGTAGTAGTCGGAGCGCGCGCGCCGCTTGCTGTTCTTCGCGCCCGAGTTCTCGCTGGGCAGGCTCGGCTTCGACACGCCGGTGACGCCGTTACGCGTGCCGAACACCCGGCTGCGGATCGTCCCAATAAACGTCGACTTGCCCACGTGGTTCTTGAGGAAGACCGAGAAGCTCGGCATGCATCCCACCACGAGCGCCGTGTTGTGCTCGACCATGCTGCATTGCACACCTGATTAGTTCCGAACGCGAAGGACGGGGGAACTCCAAACAAACAAACAAACAACATACATCCAGATGAAGAGTTGCGCCTCTTGCCACGTGAAGTCGCCGTTGTTAGAAACTAGGATCGTGATACGCCAGTAGCAGGAGAATATGCTCGAGATGATGGCACTAGTTTTATCAGTTAGAAACTGTAATATCATCCCCTCGGGCTAGGGGAATCATGTAGGCTTACAGGGAGGCGATGGTGAAAACCGCGATAAGCGAGATTCTCTTCTGCTTCGAGATGTGCAGCTTGCTCAGCACCAGCAACGGGATGATGAAGATGTACGTGTCCACGACGATCGACCCGACCCCGTGGATCGGCGCGTAGTACGAAATCTTCTGCGGCATGCCGTTGGTGGCCAGGTCCGCCCACCGCTCGCCGGGGCGCGGCGCGTTGTAGAGGCCGACGAGGATCGGGTGCGGGAGGTAGAGCAGCCCGAGGAAGATGATGCCGGCCATGATGACCCAGCGCATCTTCTTGCTGACCGCGAAGAGCTGGAAGTACAGCACCAGAATGCCTGCTTTGGTGACAAACTGCGTCGGCCCCAGAAACACGTTCTGCGTGAAAAGCATCTGCTCTAGTTATTAGCACGACGTCTTTTGAGGCGCTGCAACGCGAAGAGCCTTTGCGAGCCTACCTTCCAGATGTAGTCTTCGATATACCAGCAAGCCGGCATATCCCACGAATGGCGACTATACCCGTGCACTGATATGGTAATATTATTAGTGGGAGAGGGCGAGACGCGGGAAGTCGTCGGATTCTTCTCTCTTACCAGCCATAACGAGACCGGAATAGGCAGTGCTTAGGACAAACGCGAGTATAGTGAGGTCTTTGCCAAGTGGTCAGCTCCATCTACGTCGTCCATCTCTCTCTTTCTAGGTTGAGGCCAGAGCCACTCACAGTCTGCCAACTTCATGTGCGTCCGGTTTACGTATAATCTGCCGAGCACAAAGATCGTCGAGATTGCCGTCAGAACCGAGCCCGCCACCAGCGTCTCGACGGAGGCGTCGACGGGATCGACAAAGTTAGGAACTACTCCATCCGGCGGCACGCCGGCGGGGATGGAGCATAGGTCGACTCCAGGCGGTAGAGCAGCCATGGCGATAGGCAGGTATTACGAAGTTGATGCACGGCTTCTCTTTGCGTTTTTTTTTCTGCGCCTATAGCGACGGCTCTCAGCCCCAGGACTTTGCGCGGGGTTACGAAGAAAAGAGTGAGGCGGCGACGGCGGCTAATCGGAAACGAGCAGAAGGCGGCCGGGGACGAACCGTTAACGTTGACGGCGAAACCGGTTGTGCGTAAACTCGACCGCTTTCGGGGATGTCCGTACTCTATCCTGTTATATATCGTCATCCAGAGGAAAACACATCGGAATCTCCACGCACATGTGCTGGAATCGAAAACTTGTATTTTTCACGACTCCTCCCTATCGGTATGTCTAGCCCCGCGAGCCCTGTTCCTTAGCTTCCGCCTTCGTCGACGGTTAATTCTCAACGGGAGCTTAACCAGGCTCGCCCGTCTAAGAAGGGTAGCCTTGGAGGGTGTGCATTGCGAGATTCAAGCAAGACAGTAACACTGCCACCCTGGTCGTCCTATCGATCCAGTAAGGCTTCGCTTGGCTTTACAAATATCTTCAGATGCACCACCTACACCCTGGGCTAGACCGGAAGATATTATTAACTTACTAAGCCTCCTTCAGCTACCCCCCGACACAGGCGAGCAGGTGGTAACGCCTCCCACGGGCTCCACGGGTAGCATAACGCTATGTCGCCCGAGCCGCGACCTACCTTCCTATGTAGAGTATTGAGACATTCTATGCAGAAGGGGTAGGATTCCTCTAGAAGCTTATAGGCTTACTCAACGGTGACAGGGGGGTTGGGTGTATCGGTTGGGGGCTGGTACCATACAGGAAATGTCCTTTGAGGATCGGCCCTTTTCGTAACAGATTCACCAGATTCGGATTTGTCCCATGTCAGTGGGTATCTTAGAACGGTTGGACGCCCTGGCTCATACTACCACCGATGTGACCAGAGGTCTCTGGTGCCACATATCTGAAGATAGCCTCATTTATATGAGCACCGCGCACTCCTTCCAGCATTTCTAAGTGGGACGGACGGACGCGGGAATAGGGCACGGCCTGGATACGACTATGTACCTACATACCTACCTACCTACCTACGTATATACATACATACTGCTTGCTAGCGAACACACCCTGGTCTACAGGGAGAGAGAGGACGATATCCTACTGGGGGTTGGGAACGCCACTAGCCAGCGGGGCCTCCGCCGCGACCACTCGTGCAGCAGCATCCTCCGACGCATCCTTGGCTGCATCCTCAACGCTGACCACCGCGGTCATCTTGTGTCTTTTCCTGAACATGACGACGGTACTCTCCAGAGGAACCATGCTGGACCTCCAGAACATGGTCCTTGGAGACGTCGTGTCAGGCATCTTGCACTCCCATTCGTCCAGAATCTGCACGACGAGCAGCTTGAGCACCAGGGAGGCGTAGAACCTGCCGGGGCTGCGACAGCGGGGTCAGTGAAGGACTCAAGTCTCCTCTTGGAGGGGTAGTCGATGCCGGCTAATAACTGCCTTGCGGAAAGAGAGGAGAGGGAGAGGGAGGAGGGAGAGAGGGGAGGGGGAGAGGAGGGAGGGGGGGGGGGGGGAGGCGGGGAGCGTTGCTCACCATGCCGTATTACCCATTCCCCAGATGGGCCATTCCACGCCCGTGGCCGTGAGACTCGAAGGACTCTTGTCCGGGACTTCTGTTGTGGTGGCGCCTTGGCGCAACGCCTCGTTCGCCCGCGCGAAGCGAAACCCGTCAAAGTGGTGCGGGTTGGAGTATCTCTGGGCGTCGCACATCATGGCGCGTTGCGGAATGCATACCCAATCGTTCTTCTTCAGCGCAGATCCGTCTTTCAGCACGTAATCTTGCAACGCCTTCCTCCGGCAACTGACTGTCGAAAGGGTTAGCAGGGATCTTTTGAGACGAGATCTCGAGGCTGGTCGTCCACTCACTGGCATCCGCGTTACTGTAACGCACTGACTCCTTCACGAAGCTGTCTAATAGAGGGAGCTTCTCCGTGTCAATCGAGGCGCTGGATCTCCCCTCCAAGCACCCATCGATCTCTTCCCTCAGCGGATCGACGTATGCCCCCTGCAGACAGAGATCCTCTACTACATAGGTTATCGTCTTCGGGCATTATTATGATCCTGGTTAGCGAACTCGACACTTACAGCCAGCCTGTCTCCCCACCCCACTCTCTTCACGGGGGGGGGGGGGGAGGGGGGGGCCCTTTTGGTACTCACAATTGCCAGTTGATGCACAGAACTAAACCATATGGCCATGATCTCTCCGATCATCCGCCCCGTAGACCACGGGTTCTTTCGTGGGGACGTTTCGATGAGCCATTGCACACAGTCGGTCTAAGGTGAAATCTCTAAGTCCCAGATGTTCTGTAGATAGGCTCGTTTCAAATTAAACATACCGGTGCGGCCCGCAGGCCATTAGATGAATCCGATTCTGCCCTGTCAGCTAGGCGTTGCCGAACCACGGGCTCGAGGTATCGAAATAGAGTCCCGGCCGCGCGGTGTCTGTGTGTCGCTATTGACGCCACCAGACTAAAGCCCCTGTTAGCGAACCGACATGGGGCGCTCCAATGGAAGGCGTATTCATTTCTCCCTGCGCTGGACTTACGGGCATAGGAACTCCGGTGTTATTCTCAACAACTCCGCAGTGAGCACAACTATCTGTGGAAATTCCAGAGCCGCGGCAGTGAATTCCGCGTTCTCGCCTACCGATTTCATACTCGGGTTAATAGGGGGAAAAGCGACGAGATTTGGGATAGAAACATACTCAGATCCTTCCCAAAGAAAACAAAGCAGTTCACTTTCGTCACGATCCGTTTTATCATGGGAAATAATTTAGCGCGGGAGAATCCTAGGAAGATAACAGTTAGCAACATGTGCTGTAATTTTCACCAGACGCTTAGACATACCGTCCTCCCCCTGTTTCTTGAGCTCTTCATCGAGGCAGCCCCTAATGATTTTATCGAGCTCGGGTTGAAAATGGGGCAGATGGGAGGTGAGCCTGCTCCGGAGGGCCCTCACAAACCCCGTGCCCTCAACGCCGCGCTGGTTTTGCCATTCGAAGCCGCACATCGTATACTTCGGTTGTAGAAGCTATATTGCACGTCATTTAGCTGGTCTGAACAATCAAATCCCGTACATAATGGAGACAGACAAACCTCTTTCGCCACAGCGTGGAGCGAGAGGGAATCGTGTGGTGCATCCAGAACCTCCTTTATCAGTTCGCTTGAAGTGATCATCAGGTGGTCGTTCGAAGGCGTTGGAACTTTGAATGACGATGCTCCTCGAGCCTGGAATAGGTCAGATTCAACCCGACAGAACGACGCAGAGGGAACTCGACACGGACTTTGACATAGGCTTGGTCGATCATGTTGGGACCGGCCAACAGATACCGCATTCCCTGGACCGTTCTTGCATAGTAGCAGCGCTATATTATCCGATATCCGGTTAGAACGCGGCGCGGAGTCGACACTGACGATACAGACATCGAGGAGCTGGAGACGTACGAGGCTATTCGACAGTGATCTAACTAATCGGTTGAGGAGGAAGAGGGAGAGGAGGCAAGCCAGGGCCTCCACGCAAACTACAAGCAATGCCATCTCTGGCCGGATGGTCTCTTCGAACACGGATCTCGAGCTGGATCGGCAAATGCTTTTGCGAATTTTCTTCCCTCGACATGGGAATTTGCTTCAGTCTTAGACTGTTCAACCTAGGCAGCAACCGTCGAGCACATCCTTTAGTGGCTCGTCCATTTGTTATCCAGGACGCATAGGAATCACATGTTCATCTGAAGTCTACGGCTCGACAACGATTGGCTGTGCTATACGCACTTGAGGCGCTTGCTAATTCCGAGCTCTTGAAGGCATTAGCATCGGCACCCGATCCTTACATGACATCTTCCGACAACCAGACTCCGGTGGACTAAGCCATCCGCCAAACAAACTCCGGAGAGTCCTTGTGCCCCTGTCTCATCCCCCCCCCCTTTTATGGCCCTTAAAAATAAGCTTACACGGGCAGGTCTCTTGGTAAAGGCCAGGCTCGAATTAGATAGCCATACCACGTCATCCGTGCCCTCCGTCGGTCCTATGGCCTTTACGGGCTAAAGGCGCTGCAACGTAGTCGAACACTTGCTTATCTCGAATTCGCATATTGATTCGAGGATTCTCAAAGGATTCGATTCGATATAGCCAGGTCTGCGATCGATCATGATAGGTAGTGGGTCCTTGGCCGGAGAAACCAGGTTGTTGCCAGCATTTCGTAGCCATGGTGGTCAAATGGCGATCGCCGTAGCATCGGGACGTTGCCGAGACGCCATTGCGGGGCGAAGCAGACGCCTGGATGGGGACAGCAAGCAAGTAAGTGCCTTCGTAGGATTCTGGCGGCATTGGCATCGTACATCAGACTGCGGATGGCCGGAACCACCACGACGTATCCATCCCACTTCTGCTTTGGGGATCGGTTGCCTTGCCTTGGTCTCAAAATTCGACATGCTTCTCGGACTGGCAGTTCATTGGGTAGTAGTCCATCCCGTCTGAATGACTCTGCCAGTGACTGATCAGAATGAAATTGGTTACCTAGATTAAGGCTGCATTCGACGCGCTTATGACTGTCGGATCCTTTTGTCGTGTTGTTCTATTCTGAATGCCACCGCCAGCAGGCAGTTACTCCGTAAGACACCACCATGTTACTCGAATCGCTGGTATCGAGCTTCAGCAGAGGCGACTTGGGCGAGATCTATGCTGTCTTGTCGGGTGCCGAGGGTCACAACTCGCTCCTACTGAGAGCCTTCATCATTTTACTGCCTGCACTTGCAATATGGCGGCTCTTCAGATTCACGATTATACCCAGACTCTATCCGAGTGACCCTAAAGAATTACCGTACTGGATTCCTCGTAAGCCCTTCACCTGAAACACCCATCCAACTCGAAGTCATAATGCTAACTTGGAGGTAGTCTTAGGTAAGGTCTGCCTCGTCAACGGTGGAGTGTAGCCGCGAACTGACCTGGATAACAGGGCATCTTATCTCATTCTTTGGCGACGCAAATGCCCTGATCACTCGGACCAGGTAGGTGATATGATTATCGGTCTTCGGCCTAGAGTAATACCCGTAGCAATGCTCACCCGTAAACTAGGAAATACTTTGGCGATACCAGGGAGCCATTTGCCCTCACCGTTGCGGGCATGACAACCTATGTCATCACCAAGGCCGAACATGTTGGAGAGGCATACCGGAACACGGAGACGCTTTCATACGAGGTCTTCGTGCAGTCCATGATGCGAATCCTAGGGAACTCGGAACCTAGCGTACAGGCCATGTTCACGCCCCTCCCAACAGACAAAAAAGGCTTCCCCAACCCTCACGGGAAACCCCTTGGGATCCTGTTCCGGCAGATGCACATCCACCAGCTATTCCCAGGTGACAACCTGACCTTCCTAGAAACCCGTTTCTACGAGTTCTTCGACAAGAGCCTTCAGCTCGAGACGCTCAGGGAGATGTGCCCGTACTCCCCCAGGGCCACCTCCGGGAGTATCGTGCTCCCCCTGGTGCAATGGTGCTCGGATTTCTTCGTCAGGGGTGGCCAGAGCGCGTATTTCGGGCCCAGGCTGTCTGATATCGACCCGGGCCTGACGGATGCTTTCCTCATCTTTGACGAGCTCAGCTACCAAGTCATTTATCAGTACCCGCGCTTCCTCGCGAAGAAGATGAGAGACTCTCGAGACCGCGTGCTGAAAGGTCTCGAGGAGTACCTCGAGCTCCCCCACGAGGAGAGAGTCGAGGATGCTTGGTTCGTCAAGGCGATGGAGACGGAGATGGGCGCTCTTGGAATGTCTAAAGAGGACATGGCCATCGCCACGATGACCATTTACTGGGCGTATGTCTCCCAACCTCCGCATCTCCCCTATTCATATCGCACAGGGGTCTAACATTTCAATAGCATCAATACCAACAGCCGCAAAGCTTCGTTCTGGCTATTAGCCTATCTACTCCAGACGCCGTCGCTCATCGACATTGTCCGCGAAGAGACCGCGCCGGCATTCCGCCCAGATGGCAGCCTCGACTTCAGCTACTTGCACACGTCCGTGCCGAAGCTCAAAGCCATGTGGGACGAGATGCTGCGCATCTCGGCGTTCGCAGCGTCGGTGCGCTACATCACAGCCGACACCGTCATCGGCGGCAAGACCCTGCGCAAGGGGAACCGGCTCATCATCCCGTACCGCCAGCTGCACATGGACGAGACCGTCTTTGGCGAGTCGGTCGACAAGTTCCGGCACACGCGCTTTCTCGAGAACCCGCGCCTGGCCCACAGCAACAGCTTCCGCCCCTTCGGCGGCGGCAGCACCATGTGTCCCGGCCACCACATCGCGAAGCGGGCCGTTTTCCTGTTCACCGCGATGGCCGTGCACAGGTTCGACATCCGCCTCGAAAAGGGCCAGCAGATGCTGAAGGCGGACTTGGCGAAGCCCGTGCCCGGACTCATGTCCCCCAAGGAGGGCGAGGACATGCTGGTGGTGTTGACACCGAGAAAGACTGTTTCCTGAAATCACGACGGGCATGCTGGTTCGGATTAACGTAGCTGTGGGGTTTGTAGCAATAGCTCAGAAGTATATACTAAGAATAGAAATACCAGGCATGAGAATTTTGCCAGGCAGCAGCAAATGTGTCTTTTCTAGAGTATTGTTTTCTCTCTACGCTTGGAACCACATCTGTGGGCGACTAGAACATAGGTGCCAATGTAACTCCATATAATGCCATAATATTGATTCGATCTTGTTAACGTTACAGCACTAACCACGCCGTCGAACTAGAAATCCCTAAGACCCTCATCCGGGTTATTTCCAGCGACTATGTCTTCCTCCTGATCCTGATCGGCACCTTGCGGTCTGGCGGCAAGGCGCCAAAGGGTGCGAATTTCTTATCGCACTTCACTCCACTGGTGTCCTTAACCGCTAGCTCAATGTCGTACCTCGAGAATAGGTAGGCATGGGTCACTAGAATCTCTATGATGGCGAGGTGGCGCCCAGGACACATGCGATCCCCTCCGCCGAAGGGAATCCACAGACCCGCCAGCCCCTCGGTGGAGTACTGCGGGCCTGAGTCGGTGTCGACGAGGAATCTCTCAGGGTCGAACTTGTCCAGGGGCACCTTGGACGTTCGCCCCGCCTGAGCCCAGGCCTCGGCGTTGAAGTGCACGCCATCAGTAGGCATCAGGACGAAGTCCTCCCGCGGGATCGTGTAGCCCGAAAATTTGACGTCTTGGAACTCCACCATGCGACTCACCAGAATCGAGACGCGCATGCGGAGGACCTCGGCACAGACTGACTGGAGGAGGGGCAGCTTGGCTAGCTCCTGGACGTCGATCGTCTTATCTGGGGCCACGCAGGTGGCCACCTCGGCCATCATGCGGGCGTTCAGCGCCGGGTCCCGAAGAGCTTCGAGGAGATACCAGAACGCAGTTGGTGCGGTGTTCCCGTTTGACCTGGCGCAGTTAGCGAATGAAGGCAATATTACTGCTGGGTTTGCGTATCATCGTCGAGCGCTTACCCGAACATCAAGCCCCAGTCCTCCTTCGCTCGGATATGTGCATCGAGCGGCTTCATCTTCAGCATGTACTGCAATCGTATCTTGACATACTTGCTCCCGAAGATGGGGTCCCAATCAGGGTCGTTCTCTCCGGTGTTGGTCCAGTCGCCGTTAGCAAAGGCGTACGTGTGCCACTTTTCGACGTATTCCAGCACGCGGTCCCGCTCTCTGAAGGCCTTGGGGATGAGCCACCGCGGCCAGCCCTGGAAGTACAGGGGGGCATTTTTCTTGGCCTCCCAGAAATGCTCCATCAATTTCGGGTTGAGCTCCAGGAACTTGGAGCCCATCATGGCCTCGATGTTAGCCCGGGCGAGAGTCACCTGCATTAAGCCGTAGAGGTCTGGATAGTCGACCCAGTCCTCTCCGATCTCCAGCAGCTCTACGCTTCGATGAAGCGTGTCCGCAAAGAGATCCGCCAGTGGCTTCAGGTACGGAGAAGCTAGGTACTTCTGAGCAGTGTGGGTTTGCTGGTAGAGAATTCTGTTCTCCTGGAGAGTTTTGCTCCCCTTCCGAGGCATCGCCGCCATCCCCGAGTCGTCGGCATCGTAAAATTCCAACACCTTGTCGGGGATATCTAGAAGATACTTGGCGGACCTCCTCGTGATCGACTTCGCGGACAAGAACCTCGAATTCTTGAAGACTGTCTCGATATGATTAGGGTTGGCGAGCAGGGTGAAATTAACCGGACCCGCCTTGAGTTGGAACGGCCGCTCCCAACCGAACTTCTTTCTACCTATCGTTAGTTATACAGCCCTGCTAGATGTTATCATAGTGAATGGACGTACATGATGCCGTACACGAACGCAGCAGGAGTAAACAAGATGTAGAAGGCATGGTAGATACCCGGAAGCCAATATGGGACCAGAGGAGCAACAGGCCGCTTCTCGTCTGGCTTAGTTGACAATGAGTATCTGAAGCTTAAGGTGGATGTTATCTTAGTGAACAGCGGGAACAGTAATAGCGACAACACGGCCAGTGTTGCCAGCGAGGTCGGGGGCCAGTCCTGGAGCGCATCGCTCCATCCAGACAAAGACTCCGCGGGGGGCCTCTCCTGGTGCTGGGAATAATTCATTGTCAATTACGCAAGCCACCACGAACTTGCTGCTTAGCGAGGACGACGCGGCACACCAGGTCCCCTGGAGGGTACCGAGGTCATTTTAACGCTCTACATGCTCTGCACTCCCAAGGTACCACCCACACCTTTCGCATCTATTCCGTGCATGGGTCCTGGTGCCGTACCCGAGGAGACGGCGTAATGGGTGATGGTACCACTCCGATGGTTGCATGTAAGCATGCGTCGAATCAGCCGTGTTCGATATACCGAAAGTACTCACCGTTCCTGGATTCTAGGAACGCCAGGACTACTGCAAAGACGGCACTGGCCCATGGACGTGGGTAAGTCGACTTTTGGGGGCGTATTGCGAAGACCCATATCCGGGTGATGCCTCCGAAAAAAGGACAGTCCCGTCAAAGGACGGAATCCCTGCCGCCCTAAAGATCCTACGGAGCGTCGACACTGGAAGGTGGCATTGGCATGCATGTGCACCACGGATCTTCGGATGAAAGAGCGGGCATCGGTTGGAAATGAATAAACGACACAGCTATTGGTAGATGGTAGGATTCCTATATCCTTGGTAATGGACCGATAGGGGATAGTTGCAATTGGCGAGACGGCTTGACGGCAAAGGCATACCAAAACCTAGTAAACTCATAGGATCATGCAAACGTGATGTACGCGTACACTGGAAACACTCAGATATCGCCTCGCCTGCCTGCTTACTGTTGTTTGGCCTACTACGACGCATAGAACCGCTGTTATTATCGTGGTTCGAGGACGTGTGATCAATGATAGTCTGGACTACGTAGCTAGATGCCTCGTAGGCATCGACTGTTGTCCAACTATTACAAGTTTAATGCTAGGATGCCCATGCGTTGCCTCACTCCAACCCATAGTTCCCCGCTTAGGTTCCAACATTCGTATCTCGGAACAACAAGAGGAGTTGCTAGTCCGCGAGATAAGAGCCCGCCAAACTACAAAAGGCCTGACAGCCACGAAGCCGGTCAACAAGCAGAAGTAGGTAACATAAGATTAACTCCTACTCGAGTTACCTATAATGAATCCTAGTTCCATAATACCCACAACGAACCACTCATTCACTTCATCACACTAACCTCGCCTCTTCCTTCTAGGATCCTCGAGTCGATAGCCTCGTGCAGAGTTTATCGTTCGATAGAGGAGCAAATTCTGATGAACCCCTATTCAAGTTTTAGTCCTTGCCACCAGAAATAAACGACGTGCTCATAAGATTTCGGGCCGCTGATTCCGGAAGCTTCGCCAATTTTGCTGTATTCTAGAGACAGGGTAGGAGGCGGGTTCCTCCAAGTCTCTACGCTATTAAGCTAGTGGGCGGAGATTAAGAGATGAAAGGGTTGTTCTTATTAAGATGGAGATAGTCAACTCATACCGTGTGAGGCTTGATACTTAGACATAGGACAGCGTACAGGTGATCATCCATGGACATGGCAACAGGCGTTGCTATAGCCGCACAACGATATCCGCTGCAACTTTTGCTTCAAGAGAAAATCGTTGTATTAAGAAAAAACTAAAAAATAATACCGTGGAGTGACGCTATGTGGTTATATACCCATTATCTTACAGGTTAACCTGCTGACGGCGAAGGTTTGCTTTAGCCGGCGCTTGCCCTGGGTACGCAACACTAGTAATTACCGGTTGTTTATAATGAGGAGCGCGGACATTCTAACCCGGGAACTATCGGTTTAGATTTGTCCGAGGTAAGGACTCTAGCCACAGATGACTTCCTTTCTACGAGCTCAAGGACTACCGACACAAGCTACTCTGGAGTCTCTCGTTGATTCCTCAGGCACTAAAGAAAGAACTGAGAGCTCCCTTATTACCTGTCACGTGAAAACGTAGACGACTGTGCTTCTTCGTTCGGATGTACACGCAGGGTTATAGCATAGGGGTATCTCAGTCGCGGCATTAAAACTCGTATCTACTCAGGTGTCTAGAGGGTTCACATACCAACCTGAAGAGTCACATCGTACATAAAAAATAAGGACTTAGGAGCCCTTGAGGCTAATCAATACGAAAAGGTTTATATTCATTTCCTGTCCTCCCCCTCCCCTTTCCCAAATGATGTCTCTTTAGTTCCATAGTGCAGACTCAAATTACGAATCAAGCCAAAACCCATAACTGCACAACATCGATACCCTCTGACGCTGATACGGGCGAATAGAATCACAGTTTAAATGCACTGCACTATAATAAATCCACTCTCGGTGAACGACTCAGAAGGCAAATCTTTCGGCAATGTGATATTCGTTAGACACACACGGTTACCAAGTGGTGGATGTTGCTCCGACATAGTTTCCGAGGGTTAGGACAGGATGTCGAATGCCGTAATCTAATACTGGAATAGCGAAGTATACAATGCCTCTATCAATCCGTGGTATGACATCAACGCCTAGGAGACAGGTACTGGTAGTCGGAATTTCTATGAAAGGCGGTTGGCTCCGACACCTTTCAGCTGCCTCCAGGGAGACTCGGCCTTGAGTCAGTCAAATACAAAGCACCGTGCCTAAACACACATAACACATCCGACTTCCGATAATTGCACCGTCGAAACTCGGCCGACATCGAAACGATGCTCGGCTTTAGCTCGGAGCCTGCTCGGATATAAGCTTACCACGTCCGCGGTGAGGAGAGGGTGCTCGAGAAACATGCCACAAGACATGGCCATATGGGCTGCGGAAGAAATGGGTTTAAATATAAGTCTGTACGTCGATTGACAATCGACAGCATCTGACCTCAATGCAAGCAAATGTCGCTACGTCGCGCGCTTGTTCTCCGCCGCCCGTTGACCTTTCGAACCGCCAGCACCACCGCCCGCACCACCGCCAGGATGAGCTCGGCGTCGTCGTCGGAGTCGTTGTCGTCGAAGAAGGAGGACCCCGGCTTCATGGAGGGCTTCCGACAGTGGAAGGCCATGGGCCAGGGCGGCAGCCCGCTCAACATGCGGGGGTACTTGTCTAGCCTCAGCGCCGAGAAAGCCATGGCCTTCGGCGCGGACGAGACCATCAAGCCGGGCTTCTACGACAACCCCGAGAAGCGCGCCACGGGATGGTCGCGAGCGACAGAGGAGCAGAAGGCGAACACGAGGAAGTCTTTCCTGAAAGAACCCCTCCCGGTGCGGCCGGGGCCGCGCGCGAGAGCGAAGCGCTTCGTGTACCCGCAGCGAGAGAGGAACGCGGACGTGCCCCAAGACCCCGCGGTAAAAGAGGTATGACCGGTCTTAATTTCCCCGGTGCAGAATTCGTGATGTTTTTTTTATTCTGATCGTCTTCAGGCGTACTTGGCAGCCTACGAGAAGCTCGGCGAAACCAACGCCGAGTTCACCACATGGGCGACCTCGGCCCTGGAGAAGCATGGGCGGGCGCTGTTCCTCAAGCCTCACATGCCTGTGACGCCGCTGGCCCGGCCGGCGGAGCGGGAGATCGGCCACATACACGGCACCGACCTGTCCGGCCACGTCACGCTGTCGTTCGCCGACGCCGAGGAGGTCATCTCCAAGGGCTGGGGCGAGCGCCACCGCATGAGCGGCACCAGCTGGATCCATCTCGGGTACACCATGCTCTACGTGCCCAACACCGTCGAGGAGACGGCCATTTACGCCAAGATATTCCAGGCAGCAGTCGACTACATGAAGAGCGGCTGAACCCGGTCTTGCGTTGGGCAATGCGCCCGACGTGGCGCCGACTTGGCGTAAGGATAGGAAAGGGGTTGTGTGCAGACTTGAGCCCAAAATAGCAAAATGTCACCCCTGCGATGTTTCCCTGGGTAGAAGACTACTTCTTGGGAGAAGATGGAGTGTTGATATCATGGATATGTCCAGCCTTGCGCGGGCTTGGGCGTTGTAAATAGACAGACGATGCGTGCATAGCACCCCTAGGGGTCAGATCTCAATCTCCACACAGCTTTACAGAGGACACTCTATAATAGCATGGTAGCATGATAGACAATAGGGCTGGTCCTAAATACGACATTACGAAGTGTGATCAAGCACGGAATGCGTGTCTACCTTGGAATTGCTGTGTCCTGATTGCTTGTCTATGCGCTTGGTCTATTTGACGAACTCGCTGACGATGCAGTACTGCTGAGTTCCGACGGGCGCGTCGCATATTATTCTTGAACCTAGCGCAGTTTGATCAAGGAGCCGACGAAGTCTCGAATTGTGCCCTCGGCCTATGTATGTAATCGAGTTCCTCGGGAGAAGCGCGATGCTAGAAGACTCCCTAGTCGTCGAGAACGACTCCCCATTCCTATCCTCCACAACGCGGTGTGTCTGACCCCAGTATATCACGGGATACGAATATCCTTAAACTTCTTCATGTTCTCCGCTATGGCGGTCTCGACCGGGATGCGCTCCATGCTGCTCGCTCCGAAGAACCCGTGCACGCCCTTCGTTCGCGAGAGGACGTACTCGGCGTCGCCGACCTCGGCGATGGGCCCGCCGTGGCACAAGACGATCACGTCCCCCCGGGCCTTGACGGCGGCGTCTCGGATGTCCTGGATCAGGCTCACGCACTCGTCGAGGGTCTTGTCCGTCTTCGCGCCGATGCCCTGGCTCGCGGTGAGACCCATGTGAGCGACGACGATGTCAGCGCCGGCGTCGGCCATGCGTACGGCCTGGTCGACGTCAAAGACGTAGGGCGACGTGACGAGGCCCATCTCGGAGGCGAGGCGGATCATGTCGACCTCGAGGCCGTAGCCCATGCCGGTCTCCTCGAGGTTCGCGCGGAAGACGCCGTCGACGAGCCCGACGGTCGGGAAGTTCTGGACGCCGCTGAAGCCCAGCGCGCGCAGCTGGCCCAGGAACTGCCGCATGTCGCGGAACGGGTCGGTACCGCACACGCCCGCCAACACCGGCGTGTCGCGCACCACCGGCAGCACCTCCCGCGCCATGTCCACCACGATCGCGTTCGCGTCGCCGTACGGCATCAGCCCGGCCAGCGACCCGCGTCCCGCCATCCGGAAGCGCCCCGAGTTGTAGATGATGATGAGGTCGGCCCCGCCCGCCTCGACGAACTTGGCCGACAGCCCGATGCCCGCGCCCGCGCCTACTACGGGGCGACCGGTGGAAATGACGTGCCGAAGTCGCTGGAGGACTTCTTGACGGGGTATTGGCGCCATGGGGGATCTCGAGGCCCTGGGGTTGTGCGATGTGCGATGTGCGACAGCACTATAAGTACTACCTCGTCCTACTTAAGTACCTAGTAGGAAGCTCGCCCTTGTCAGCGACCGGCTGGTTGCGTATTTTGCTACGTGTTCGACACCGTGTTGTTAGTTGTAACGTGTACGCAGTCTGTGGGAAGCCGATCGCCGGGATTGTTCGCAACCAACCGCTATATAGGTATGCATACATGATTTGTCCGTCATACGTTCTTAGCTAAGTCGTCTCTCGTCCTCCCCCTCCCCACCTCGTCTCGGTCTCCCTTTCGCCGTTCATCGCTTGCTCTACTTGCCATCCCCGGATCCCGCCGTTGAGGGGTAGCGGGGAGGCGACTATGCCTTGTCCCCAAATCGTCTATGAGGAAGAGACAGCGTAATTAAGAGCAGATCGACTACCCGAGAGATCCCATTCTGTAACGTAGCTGACCATGGCCCCCTCGAGCATCTCTATCGCTGCAATCGGCACTCTCGACACTAAGCTCGTCCAGTATCTCTACCTGCGGTCACAGATCCTTCGACATGAGCCCTTGGCAAGCGTCATTTTAATTGATGCGGGCCGGTCCGCCAGCGATCATGAAGCCGTGTCCGTGTCGCAGGCCGAGGTGGTCGAAGCTAGCGGATACCAAGGCGGCGACAGTGCCCTAAAATCACTTCCGCGAGGGGAGCTCGTCAAGACCTTGATTGACGGGAGTATCGCCGTAGTCCGACGCCTTTATGAGCGTGGGGAAATTCACGCCATCATCGGCCTCGGCGGGTCTGGCGGTACTAGCATCGCATCCGCCGCCATGCGCCAACTCCCCTTAACATTCCCCAAGCTGATCGTATCTACGGTCGCCTCCGGCGATACCAGCTCCTATGTCGCGGAGACGGATATCACTATGATGTACAGTATAGTGGATATCGCGGGGCTCAACGAGGTACTAACGCCCGTGATTGATAACGCCGCCGCTGCGATCGTGGGCATGGCCAAGGCGTACGCTGCAAGAATCAGCAGTGTCCCGACGAGCCCGCAGAAAAGGGGTGTTGGCGCCACGATGTTCGGGGTTACTACGAAGGGGGTAGATGCCGCGCGAACGTGGCTAGAGAGCGAAGGATTCGAGGTCTATGTGTTTCACGCGACCGGCGCGGGCGGGCGCGCGATGGAACGGCTCGCCCAGGAAGGCCGTCTGCACGGAGTCATGGACATGACCACTACTGAACTGGCCGACGAGCTGGTCGGCGGCGTCTTCAGCGCCGGCAAGAGTCGGCTGACAGGTGTAGCAAAAGCAGGCATACCTCAGATCGTCAGCGTCGGCGCTTTGGACATGGTGAACTTCGGGCCGAGAGAGACTCTGCCTAGGCAGTTCGAGGGGAGGAACATCTACGTGCACAACCCATCGGTTACTCTAGTCCGCACGACGGAGCAGGAATGCACTGAACTCGGGAACAGGGTGGCGCGGAGGCTCAGAGAGAACAGTATCAGGCCGGAATTGACCGAGGTATGGCTTCCTCTGAAGGGCACCAGCGCCATCGCCGTCGAGGGCCAAAAGTTTCACGACACGGCCGCCGATAAAGCGCTCTTCGCGGCCATCAAAAAGGGGCTTGACGGAAGCGCAATTAAAGTAGTGGAAGTGGACTCCGACATAAACGACGCAAAGTGGTCCGAGGGCCTGGCTCGCAGGCTCAAGGAGCTGATAGAGCAGAAGAACGGGGCATAAAGCGCAGAACAATCACCCAATGCAGCTGGTCTGCGTGTGGACTGTAAGCAGGGGCAGGGGGAATTTCATGTAATATCCTGAGAATGTCTCGCTATCGTTAATTCATGGTGAAATACTGGCCATCATAATACACTTCGTAACGAGCGGATATTAATCTCCAGGCTTTTCCATTCATTGAGCCTTTGCAACCGCCTCGGCCAGAAGCCACCGTGCCCTTTCGGACCTTGGCTTGAATACAACGTCAAGCTTTCCTGGATGGCTCGAGAGGCCGGTGCTGAACGTGATGGTCTGCTCGGTTGGCTTCCCGTCCGGTCCCAGGGGCTTGGATATGTCGGTCGTAGCTATGAGAGTCGCCATCATAATCCACACAGATGCCTGGGCTAGGTGGCGTCCGACACACACCCTAGATCCCTTGGTTAGAGATACGCGATCGTATTCATCGTGGAGACTAGGATCTCACCTGCGACCGAAGCCGAATGGCCCCACGAGGAAAGGCTCTCCGTCCCCTCCCTCTTCCTTCGGGGTGTATCGGTCCGGGTTGAATTTCTCGGGGTTCTTATACACGTTCGTGTCCCTGGACATGGCATATGCGTTATAGTAGACAAATGTTCTAGTGCATGATTAATCAGTTAACAGGGCTAGGTACTAGCAAGTGTATGAGGGGACGCTGCATCTGTCACAGACCCTTTGGGGATGAACATTCCCTCATATACGTCGTCCTTCAGAGACCTATGGGGTATGCCGATGGGTGACAGGGGGCGCCACCTCGAAGTCTCTTCTACCAGGTAGTCGATATAGCGCAACTTCGGTCTGTCGTCAAAGGTAGGCAACCTATCCGTTCCTACTACTCTGTCGATTTCCGCCCTCGCCTTCTCGAAGACCCCTGGGTTAAGCATCACGTTCAAAATAGCAACCGTCGTCGTGCCGAAGGTCTGCTAAATAGGGTCAGTAGGCATAATAATTTTGAGTCCGAGGAAACGGTAGGTATCTGACTGTATTCGATCCCGCGATAAAAACGGCACCGGATGCACCTTGTATGTCTTTAAGCGTAAATTCGTTCGGGAGTCCTTTCTCTTCGTTATCCTTGTGTTTAGCGAGGAGCGAATATGCAAATGATGGGTTGGCCGTCCCTTCGTCCTGCGGTCTTGTCAGCGATGCCAACATGGGACGGCTCTACTAAAGCTCACGAATTCCTTCTTAACGGCTGAGAACGGTATATCATGCAAGTTCCTAATTGCCCATCCCCACTTTCGCGCATGTTGTAGGCTCTTGGAGAAGTTGAGGAACTCAGGGGTATATCGGACTTCAATGTCGTTAGCAGCGCATTATCTACATGGTATCGTTCTAATGGCGGACGAACATATCGGGAGGTAGTCAACCAGAGCAGTTCCCGCGTTTCCGCCGCCTCCCGTGGCAAAATTGGCATCCGAGGCAATCTTGATATAAGGGTCATCATCAGATCGTACGGTGACGCCGAATCCGATGCGAAGTACTATGGCCGACGCAAACCTATGCGCCATGTTAGAAGCGAAGTTCCGAGTCAGGGAGGGTGTGGTCCCTGGCTCACCGTCGTAGCGAATGGTCCCAGTTATCCGGGCGGGCAAATATCCTCAACACCGCCTGTCTCGCTTCGTCTAGCTGGATGGGCCGGTAGTTCGCGATAGCCGTCTTGGTGAATCCGGTTTGCAGTGCTGAGCGATGCAAGCGGAACCTCGGGCCGTAACGGAGGAAAGTCAAGGTAAGGCCCCATCCCATAACCTCGAACAGCACGAACCGAGGCCGATCCTGATAGTTGGCGCCGCGTTTGTCGAGGATCTCATTGGCGACCTTTTGCGTGTTGAGGACAACAACGTGATGGCCCAACACATTGAAGTAAACGATGTCCGACTCTGCGATCATGGCTTAGCACCCACTTAACTAACGAGCCAACCCAGGTACTCACTGTACTGCTTCGCATACTCCATATGCTTCAGGTGGGCATTTTCCAACGGTAAACTTCTAATGTGGCCTAGGATCGGCTCAGCCGGAGGGGACGGAGGAAGAGGGTACGGGAACCGCCAGTACCAACTCTTCAATGCCCAGTAAACGAGGAAACTAATGAAAGCGATGATCACCCCCAGCTGCGCGGGCGAATCGACGACGGACGTAATGGCATCCATATTTCACAGCTTCTCAAGTGCTCCTAGATTGGATGACTACCCCTCCAATGCGCGACTGACTGAGCGTCAGAGCAAATTCGGTAGTACTCGGCTGACGATCACTTTTGTCGACTGCCGTATGTGCTTAGCACAACCCAGGCGATCCCTGATCCTCGGGGTTGGGGGTGAGTCGCCAGTTTTGGTTTTGATTGATGGGCAGTGGAATTCTAGGGATAGGATGACATCCCCCACATGCTGGCGCCTCATGGTGAGATGAAGTAGAGAAGGGTCTCACTTGGTGTCGCTGTCGAATTGCTCTCGAATTGCCTGCCGGAGCCCCTGACGTTCGGACCTGACAAAACCCCACCAACAAATGGCTGGGCGCCCCTGACTGGTCCGACGAATTCGTCGCAATCCTCACCTTGTGCAGCATCATTAGCAGACATAATTCCACGGATACGGTTCTGTGACTATGCATAATTATGTGATAATCGAGTGTCTGAGGCTACGGGTAGGAATGGTGAGAGCAAGCCACGGGCAACCTCTTTCGTGGAGAGAGGACCGAATGGCTGGTGAAGTTTGATAGGCAATATTGTAACACAACGCAATAGACCACTTGCTGTATTATGAGGTGCCCTGGCCTAACGTAGGGTTGAGCTTACATCGCCACGAGCCGTGGATACTTGAACTCTCATATTTAGCAGTGTAGGCTTATACCAATACTATACACAGCTACCTTCGCGGCAATTTCGCCGAGGAAGTAACCCTCAGCCTAACGACGATACGGAATTAGCTCTCGACGATCTGTAGTTAAGAAAGTATCATGGATGCAATTTAGGTGACTTGTATTGTTGTCGAACCTATTATTACGCCCGTCTTCGTAGTCTTGAAGACATAGTGAGGACGTAATAATTGTCGATATGCACAGCTGATACTCGTAGACAATGGATACGTTATGAGAAGTCATGTTGATGATTACTGTCACTGGTGGCTTTTCCCGGATATTCCGTAGGATATTTCCAATCGTATGATATATACTTGGTAATAAGCAGCCCATATAGTGCTGCCGCAGATACATCTTAATTGCCAGACTATTCTATTCGCTATCTCGGCGTTACCTGGACACTACGCTCATAGAAGCGGATATTACAATCAAGAAAAGGTGCAAACATACCTATTGGAAACCTACGATACATGAGCATACTAATACCTGTTGAGTACAAATCGAGCTAAGTTAAGACACGGAGGTAACGGGACGCCTTCATTGTTCTATTAAGAAGACGACGTCGTGCCAAGGGGGAACGTTAACCCGATGATAGTATCGAGAAAGCATCAACCTACTGTGATAACCGGGATAGCATTCGAGTGTCTAAGGCCAACCGAGCTCCAAGTCTTCTCGCCTTGTTAACATTCATTCCGCGGAGGAATTCGATAAATTCTCCTGGGCTCAACGGAAATAACTGAAACTCACGGCCATTCTGTGGAGTGTGTTAATATTATTAAAGCAGTCCCTGTTACACAGCTACTCTTGCCGGTCAGGGCAGATTGCCTAACCGCAATTCTAGCCTGTCCCCTCCAAAATTCGTTACCGTATCGAACGTAGTTCCACAGGCACATCGTGTGTCACCGAACAGACAACCGTCCTAGGTATTACCGGATGGTGTACGGGGATCGATACATGAAGCCGTTGTAACCCGTTCTCTTCTCACCGACTCTTCGTGGTTGTGTGTCGGGAATGCACTAGTCGAGGGTATATCTACTACTTAGTATGTGTATACATAGGATTGAACCCGGTGGATTCATACCATTACGTTTCGTAACCCACCAATTGGCTCTCAACTCGTTCCTGTGGAGGGCTTTCCGGATGGATGCCCCGAATGTTGTAATCTGCATAGACAACGATTATATACTCGTGGCAATGCTTCGCGAAATGGCGTTCATTACATGAATGCCGGCGGGAGAGATGCTCTCTTTAGGTATCGCCTCAACGCTCTTTTTACCTCTACCGACTTCCGCATCGAGCGACAAGGCGTCGAGACGTCGGAGCCTGTCGGTAGCCATGCCGAACGAGAATTCTCGGGTGTGGATCTCGAATTGTCGTCCCATCGAGCTTCCCGAACCGTCGCGGAACCCCGACGAGGGCCAGCCGTCTACAAGGGTTGACCTTATCAATACGAGATTTTGAGGGGAATCCCGTGAATGCAGATGTAACTCCACCACTGCTACTTACCCGCCCAGTCTTGGCCGTGAGATCAACACACGGATGGAAAGGGGTGGGATGCCTACCCACGACTCGTGGATTCGTGTATAAAAAGGCCGCCAGAAACCCGCGACGGAACAGACATTTGAGCCGGCTCAACAGCGGACATCTCTCTCCACCATCCCACACCCTCAGCTTTCGGACACGAAACACCCGAGAACTTCAAGATGCGTCTTCCTACCGTCACGGCCCTCGCTGCCATCTTCTCCCTCGGCGCTTCGAGCCCCACGCCCCAAGAGGAGCCCGAGGTCGATCTCTGCCTCCAGCGCAAGTTCCTGGGCGCCGAGCTGTGCCAGGACATCGACACTTCGTTCAGCAACGAAACCCTGCCGGCCCTCGGGTGGTACTGCTGCTGGTACCAGGGGCCGTTCGCCCCTCCGCCAGCCCTCCCCGTCTCGTAAGTTGTGTCAACAGGACCGCGCGTATCGACATATTTTGCTAACCTGTGAGCTGTCAGGGCCTGGCTGACTTTCGCGGAGGACGGATCGGTAGCCAACCGCTGTTTGACCAGAGGAATTTGCAAGGAGGGCCTGCCCGACGGCAGGTCCTAAGCGGCGAATGGGGTGGTTTGACGGGATAACACGACCCGAGGGATAGGCCGTGGAACGGATCACTAGTAAATTTATATCTACAATCCCGAGACTACGTGGTAGGAGCTCTCGCGAGTCGCCGACGCGGAGGGGTCCCTACTTGAAAGCAACACGGTTATCCCGGAAGCCTCTGAAAGAGATCTATGTTGCCATCGCAAGCTGTTTTCGCGTAATTCGCCGTACGAGAGGGCAGAGAGGTAGTACTGTGAGCAGATTCGCGGGTTAGGTACCTAAGGTAGAAGGTCCCCCTATATCCATGCCGCTCGCCCATCCATCCGCCCGATTAACGGGGTGCGCGATAGAGAGACAGGAGGTTGGCATCCCGCCGGATTCAGAGGAAGCAGGAAGAACTCCACGTAGGGCGAGAAGGTACTAGAAGTCTGGGGGTATTCGGAGGAGACGATGTCTTGTGAGAGTAGTAACGGAATCCAGGGGAGGAGGTTCGACGAAGAGGTACCTAGCAGGCAACAAAATTAGGGGAAGGGCATTTGGGTTATGTGGGTCGCGTACCTAAGAGAGGTATCTGGGCTGATATAAGGATATCCACGGCTGCAAGGAATACCTTACCTTACAAATGCCCTCCAATTGCATCAGCGCAAAGGTCCATGCGGTTAATGAAGGTAGTTAGGTAATAACTATTCACTTAAGGCCCGTCACAACCCATTGCCGTTTTCCCCTGCGCAATAACTTCGTACCGCATCCCACTCTGCGTGCAAATCCGTTCTCGTCAAAATCTTCTTTGCCCACCACACATCCCTCACGTGCCTCTGCCTACACCCCGGCACTTCTCTATATACCTACCTACCTACCTACCTACCTACGCAGCCACTCCGAGGCACGCCCTTCGCCAACAGGCTGTCCAGCCAGTGGATGAGACGCGCCCGACGAAGGGAAACAGAGGCCTCACGACCAATAGTCACCCCCTCCGTTCCCATTGCAAGATGATCAACACGAGGAAGGCTATGTCCTCGTTGTTGGGCGTCATTGAAACGTTGCCGCTGAGGCCTCCTTCGCTGTTCCTCGACATGGAGGGCCCGAATCTCGGTAGACGGGGTAGCATCTCGATCATGCAACTCTGTATCCCCAGAATTCGCAGCCCATTTCTCATCGACATCACCACGCTCGGCATGGATGCCTTCACCACCCCAGGACAGTCTGGGTCCACGTTAAAGGCCGTGCTGGAGTCCAAATACATCCCCAAGGTGATTTTTGACGTGCGGTCCGACTCTGACGCGCTCTACGCCCTTTACAACATCAAGCTCGCGGGCGTGGATGACTTGCAGCTGATGGAGTTGGGATCCCGCTCCAAGAATAGGACGACCGTCAATGGGTTATCCAAGTGCATCTCGGCCCATCTGACTCTGGATGATGACGAGATGGAACATATCAAGGCCGTCAAGCTCCAAGGGGCCAAGCTTTTTGCCCCGGAACTAGGGGGGAACTACGAAGTCTTTAACGAGCGTCCCCTCCCCAAGGCCATCCAGGAGTACTGCGAGCTGGACGTCCGGTACCTGTCCCGACTGTGGGACCACTACCACAAAAAACTTTCGCCGATGTGGAAGTTGATAGTGGCGGAGGAAACGGAGAGGAGAATCGCCTTGACCCAGACGGAAGACTTCGACGGGTATAGCCCGGAACTGGCTAATGCACCGCCAGGCTGGGGTAACAGGTCTCGTAGGATACATCCATCGCTTTCTAAAACGTCGGAAAAGTGGAAGATTATCAAAGATCCGCGATGATAGGACAAACACAAAGTACCACGATGGGAGCGACACACACACGGCTGTAAGAGGGGTTATATACCTACCTACATGGTCGGCCGCGGATTGTCGAAGGCTCGCGGTCGATACCCATGTTGTTTTCCTTGATACAGCTCTTTAATGCATCCTTGCTCTGCATAGAGATACCTGCCTTACGTACAACGTAGGTACTTTGTAAATAAATGTCAAACATGGCTCTGCCTATCGGTACCTGTGCACAGCTTTTTTAAAGAAAAAAAAAGTACCTGTTGACATCTCCGCCACAATGTGGCTGGTGTCCAGGAGGCTGGTTAAGTAGGCAAATTCGTCGGTGGGGTCTTGTTTTTCTCTTCCGTCTTCTCCTTTTCCTCTGCCCAGCATGGGAACCTTCTGAATGCGGGACATTCCCCATCTGTTTGCTCTATCATCGCCGACACCTTCGCCATGACGGCAGCTCCTAAGCCTAGTAGGCTCCGGGTTGTCAGACCCCGGCCGGTTGCGCAGCGCGGCCAACAGCCTCCCCGATCTGCTGCGATGGCCGCTAAGAGAATCGACCCTAGCAGTCCGGAGTATAGGGCAGCTGCGCGCAAGTACACGGCCTTCTTGATCGCCATGCCCATCTTCCTCGTGACCTCGTGGGCGCTGTTCAACCGGCTCGCTCTCGGCGCCCAAGTCAAAACGCTACCCCGAGAGCCGGCACCGGCAGCTTCGAGCACGGCAGAGAACGGAGGATGAGGTCACAAAAGATAGCCCCGAGTCTCTCTCTACCAAACCTGCTTGGGGTCGTGTCACGCCTCCATTGAGGTCCCAAGATAGCACGAACGATAGCCGCTACACCTGACAATGTGAAGCTCGTGAACAAGGGCCGCCGAGGGTTGCTATGGTGGCTTTGTATCGGTCGGACAGATTCGCAGCTATTAAAGGGTAGCCTTTGTCGTGAGAGGAAAAAAAATAAACACGAATGGGCTCTCCGGGTCTCGAAAGATACTTGACGTCCCCCGTCACAATGCCAGGTGGTGTGGCTTGAATACACGCAGCGACTTCTTCCCAACTTGCTCCGTGGACTCAATACTGGTACTGTCCGCCGGCATTTCACCAGCTAGACATGACGGCCTATTTCATACGAAGGTTGCCGTATTATTCGGGCATGGATCTGTCTGCTTGCCGCCTTTCATCTACCTACCTTACGTTCGACATTGTGACATTGTTCGAGTCACGCGCTTCTCGTTGTTTTTCTTACCTCGCCAAGTCGAAAGAGGCTTTCCGCGCCCTTTGTGGCATTATCGTGAAAGAGGCTTATTTCGCCAGCTTCGCCTCCAGGTCCTTACAATACTATTGATTCTTATAAAATCGTCACCTCGCTTCTCCGTGAAGTAGTATTTGCTCCCCCTTCCGGCAACAACAGCAACAGCAAGAACAACAACAACGATAAGTAAATCTACGATTAACCACCAAGCAACGATCATTGCAGAAACCATGAAGGCTATCGCAGCTGCTCTCGTATTCATCCCCATCCTCACCGGCGTCGACGCCATGGGGCTTGCCCAGATTTTCAAGAACGGCTTGGGAAACTCGGATTGTAGCGACATCCACCTGACGGATCGGTACACGCTGCACGCCATATGCAAGGATCCGGAACACAGAAATTACAAGGAGTTCAGCCTCGACCTCAACGCGTGCTACGCCAACTATCTCGGCACGCTGAACCGCGTCGACGGCGGCGGCGGCTTCGGCGCGTCGTGCAGCCCCTGCTCCATGTCCGGCACGAACCTGACGTGCGAGTGCGCGATCGACGGCAGCGGCGCCACCAGGCACACCGAGGTCGACCTCGGCGGCTGGAGGGCCGTCCAGGTGGCCAACGGCCAGCTGAGCTGCTCCAACATGGACTCGTTCGACGTGGAGCCGGGGGAGAAGAGGGCCGTGACCAAGGAAGCCCAGTTCTTCGTCGCTTAAGCGACCGCGCCTGAGGCACTGGGGGTGTGGTTGAGCTATATATAGACTTGACGATATTAGATAGGATTTGATATTTAGTAATCGATGCGGTACCCTTGAGATACGAGACGGGTATAAGAAACGTTCTGCGCTGATGATCGTGATACGCGTCCGTGGACAGTCCCTGGGCCGAAGAACAGGAGCCACCAGCAAGCATCCCTACGCCAGGTCGGGTGATCTGAGGACGACGGCCAGGAATCACCACACCTACTCCCCGTATAGGGACCCCTCAAGGATCAGGGTGTGGTCCTCAACACGAGCCTAGGGAGTTTTGTAGCAGGTTTTAAAGGGTGCCCAGCATGCCCCTATGAAGCGATGGGGGCTAACGATATATATGTTATCACCCACGCAGTCACATACGCCGCTTGGCTATCTAAATAGCAAGAACAGCAGTATAGAAATATTTAGTCATAGACACACGCAAACGTCCCATATATACTCGGTCAACTCTGTAATATTCCTGAATTCTCGTACGCCAGTCTTAGCACAGCAGTTTCTGTAGGTAATACCCACGGACCTATCACATACCTACCTACCTGCCCGCCCTACGGCAGTACCTCTCAGTCGCACGTTCACCAATTAATTACCCCTATCCGACCCTCTACCTCCTTTTTTTTTCTCTTCTTCTTCTTCTTCTTCTTCTTCTTTTCTTTTCCTTTCTCTCCCTCCCACTCTCTCCATAGCCAACCTCTCTTCCTTCTCCCACCCCCTTTCCACCTCCCGCACTCGACTCGCGCCCCTCACTTACGCGCGGCGCCGCCGCCGCCGAAGCGCCAGCACCGGCCGCACACGATGAGCAGGGCGACGAGCGCGAGCACGCCGACGGCGCCGCCGAGGACGCCGCCGATCAGCGCGCCGTCGACCGTCGTCCCCGCGGCCGGCGGCGGCGAGTCCTCGCGCCGCGCGAGCGGAGCCGGCGCGGCCAGCGCGGGCGCCGCGAGGAGCGTGGTGCAGAGGATGAGCGCGGCGGTGGACATGGTGGAGACGGGTGGTGGTGAGGGTCTGAAGGTAGGCTATCTAGTGATGCTGCTGCTGGTGGTTGTGAGGGCGCGTGCGGTGGGGGACTGGCTTCTGAGATGTCCGGACGCACGGATGAGTAGGTAGGTAGGTAGGCAGGCAGGTATATAAGCGCGTTGGCTGGGTTCGCGACAAAGCGATTGTAGTCCAGGCCTTTCTGCCCGCAGACAAAGCTGGTTCTGGTGGGAGCTCGCAAGGACTACCTAGTAGTCGATGCGAAGTCCTTCTCAATCCCCTCCGACAAAGGATTTCGCCTTTATAGCTACGGATCTACATATTCCTTGTCCGCGTAGTCACGCCTCTACCTGGTGTACTAACCAGGGTCGACGGCGTAGGTACTGACGAGGGTTGGGTTGACGGACGCGCTCTGGGTTTGTGGGGAATAATTACCTCGTTGGATTCAACGTACGCCCCCTTCCTTCCTGAGTGGTCTGGAGCCTCCTCTCCTTCGATCATACACACCGTACATGCCTCAACCTCACCTCTTTGTTGGTCAAGCGCTACTTCAGACGCCGCCAGCCAAAGACTGTCACTCACACGTTGCCCTACTCATTGTCTTCGGTCATCCGAATATATGATAATAAAAGCATTGTTTGTTGGAATATACCCATCGCCGAGGAACATGTCTCATACTTAATCAATGGGAGTCCTCGTCACGTCCTCGCCCAACCCCATGTATTCTCGCTCACGGAACTCGGGGGTCGTATTTTATCTGGTGTACTAAGGGGTAAGCCTAAGTAAGTGCCAACACGTACCTACGATCAACATCCCAAGTAAGCAGGGCGTCGATCGGCTCCTTATTTCACACCAACGCCGCCATGCATCCGAGATCAGCGTTATCTGACGGCACGATCCTTGCCATCGCGGTCGTGGCCATGCTGGCGACGCTGAAGCTCGTCATCCTCGTCGTCCTAGCGGGCGCCTTTTACGAGCGCCGACGCGTGGCGCTGGCGATTAAATACCACAGGAGTAGCTGAGCTACCGTACGTCAGGGTAGGATTCCGGGGTAGGTAATAGGAATACTAGAACGTTTCAGCAGGTATACGGCAAGACGTTAGCCGCCCATGCTCCATTGTGAACCGCGTAACTACTGGTCTAATTCCTAGCTGTGACTAGTTATAGTTGTAAGTCGGGCCCGTAGGGCGCAGATCGACGCCGAGCTCCCCACTTGTGCACTACTAGAAGAACGGTTCGCCTTCAGCGCAGTCGACCCCTTCCTCGACGCACCGCTTCACGGCGGCCTCGGGGTCCTCGTCGCCGTCGAGCATGTCGAGCCAGGAGTTCTTGACGTTCGGGGCGTCGAGCAGCAGGGCGGTGAGGTGGGCGACGGAGGCGCGGCTCGAGGTGCCGCTGGCGACGGGCAGCTTGCCGAGGCCGACCTTGCCGACCGGCTCGGTGGTCAGCCGGCCGGGGCGCAGGCAGATGCCGGCGAAGTCGGGCCTCTTCTTGCCCTCGACGTACAGCACCTCGTCGGCGGCCACCTTGGCCTCGTAGTACCTCTGCAGCGCCTTGCGCGACGTCGCCAGCTGCTGCTGCCAGATCTCCTCGCTCCACCACGCCGGCCGCGCCAGCCGCGATCCCAGGAACGAGATCATGACGAACTTGGTGACCGACGGCGTCGCTACGGACGCGCGGATGAAGTGGATCGCTGCGTCGCGGTCGATCTTGTACGTCTGGTCGGGGGGTCGTTCGTCAGCGACGATCACGCCGAGAGGGGGAGGTGGAGGGGGTTGAGGGCCAGTACCCGCTCGGGTGCGCCCTTCCCGCCGGCGCCGGCGCTCCAGACGACGTAGTCCGGCTTCACCTCGTCTATGAGGGACTTGGCTTGGGCGTCGCTCGTGACCTCCTCCAAGCTCCGTACCAGCACGTTCAACTTCCCGCCGAGGCCGTCGCCGAGCTTCTGCAGGTTCGCCACCTGGGCGGGGTCGCGGATGATGCTGGTGACATTCCACGACCGCTGGAGAAGCAATGGGGTGAGGAGCTGGGCGATCTTGCCGTTGCCGCCGAGCAGGAGGACGTTGTGGAGGGAAGCCATGACTTTTTCTTGATTTTTAATTTGTTTTGTCTTGTTTTGCTGGGATTCCTCGTTTCGCCGATGAGCTGCGGACGTGTGCTGTCAGGAGGACAGAATGCTTCCCGAGGCGAGAGGGATGCCGGATGGGCGGGCATCGCTTCTGTAACCACGGTGCGCTCGTTGCGTGCCTACGTCATGGGCTTACAAAGAAAAATAAGAAATCCCCCACCTCTCCCCCCAATATTTTCTCCCTCGCATATTGAAACCACCAAGCTGGGAGAGACACTACGTACAAATGCGCAGTGCAAGCTACAAATGCCCGTCATATGTCTAGGAATGTCTTGGGCTCTTGTTGTGGGTACAGTACGGCTTGCTTCCTGTCTCGCTTGTGCATACCGTACCTATTTATCTCCGAGAGGCGTCATCTGAGGTCGGCGTTAAGGCCTGCGTGATTCCGCCTACTGACCTGGAGGACAGGCCCGGACGCTTCCAGTCACCGGTTTGCGTTCGCTTCTTCCACCGTCATTACTGATAAATTAAGAACCCCCCCAATACATGCCTACATGACTTCTCTCGCGACCGTTCCCGTGTAAGAGACACGCGGGACGAGATCAACAGCCACGACATCCACGGATAAGGCACTCGGGACGTATCGAGCAGGCCTGATACCCCCCCTCCTTAAGGTGATGGAGTTGCCGGAGCTCACGCGAAAGAGAAAACCGCTCTGCTGACACGAACTGCTCGGATCCAGCGAGGTGGTAACAATAGACGGGGCGATAGCAGAGTTGTATTCGGGAGAGGCATCCTCCTGCCTGCTGCATTTGCGTGCGCGTCTCCCGAACCACGGGATCGCCTCGATGACGAGCCTATTCCCCTCTACTACTACCTTAACACGTGTTGATATATGTTCAATGGCTGCCCTAGCACTCGTCCCCCAATTCTCTCTGGTACTGTCACGGATATGAACTGGCCCATCGCTAAAGGAGGTCGTAGACGTAGGAAATGGCATGAAAGGCGAGACTTGAGCTCGGAAAGGCCACAGGAGAGTTGCAATACCATTAATACTATTTCCTCCTCGGGTTCCTGGTGTATAACGCGATGGTAGGCCCCTCGACGCGGGCAGCCCTGGTCGAGCCATAAATCGGCGGTCGTCATCACAGATCCGGGGCGCTTTCGCTAAGATGGCGAGCGGCCTCTGCCACGAGTCCAAATAAACCACCCTCGCTTCAGCCCGAGTCGAGCATCAGCTCAGCGTATCGGCGTCTATGCCATCGAGATGAACATTGTAGGAGAGATAATAACAACCATATCGATGATAAGGTGTAGAAAATGGGCTAAATTTACCCTCTAGTACCTAAGAGCCCATACCTAGCTAAAAGATGCATACAAGGGTAATATCTGTGAAAACAGAGGGTATAGCGAACGCTCATATACTCGCACACTGCTCTGAAGATATAAAGTAACCGTATTGCGAATCCGGGCCGTGACTTCAGCCATTTCGGCTGTTCGCAGCTCCACGAGCAGCCGAGCCTATTCACGAAACGAGCACACAACTCCACCGATTCGCGGGCCGATTGTAGCGATAAATGCTGTGTTGAACTGACAGTAAATGTACACGAACCTTTGGCCCGGCACCTCGAGAAGTTCTCCCATATATACAGGTCCCCCTCGATCTAATGCTGCGCCGGACGGCAACTAATATATACTTGCGAAGCGTAGACAACCTGGAACACCGCAAACCCCCGACTATGGACTGACGTAGAAAGAATGAGAAGAAGAAGGAAAAAAGAACGGAGCAAAGGTTAGAAGATAGCTATATGCTCGTAACCATTGCCCCCTCTTTGGTCGCGCAGCCAACCGCCACCTTGTCGTCCTCGGTGGTTCGGATGCCCGTCGGTGGCGATGCGTCTATCGGCACGAAGACCACCAGTCGCCCTGTTTGACGCAGGTGTAGGGCGGCTCGCACTCGGTAGAGCCGGTGTAGCCAATGCCTCCGCATCTGCTTCGCGTTAGACCGGTGTACTCGAGAGGACAGCAGGGGAGAGGGCAGCGAGAAAACAGAAGGGTCTACTTACTGGCCCCACTGAGGCACCGAGGTAGTTCCGGGGGGGATAGCCGTCGTGGTCGTGGTGGTCGTGGTGGTCGTGGTGATCGTGGTGATCGTGGTGGTCGACGTGGTCAGGGTCGACGTCGGCGCGGGGGTGCCGGGGCTGCTGGGGCTGCCGCCGCTAGATCCGGTCAGGGCGCTGTAGACGCCGTCGAGGAAGCCGCTGTTCTGGTACAGCTGCGACATGTCCCACATCATGACGCCGCCGAAGCTCGAGAACTGCTTCGAGTACTCGATGATTGGGGCGAGGGACGAGGCCGGCTGGTAGCCGCCGCCACCACCCGAGTTGGCCGGCACGCCGAGGAAGATCTTGGCGTTCTTGTTGAGGCTCGTCTGCTTCGCCCACGTGTCCCACGTGTCCATGTTGAAGTTGTACTGCGCCGAGGCCCCGGGCACGAACGACTGCACGCCGCAGTAGTTGTTGTAGAACTGGATCATGATGAAGTCGAACGAGGTCGCCCCGTTGAGCATGTCGTTCATCGCGTGGTCCGGGTAAGGGCACTGCGGCGCCGCCGACAGGTAGTACTTCTTGCTCGTGTCGGCGTCCATCAGCGAGCGCAGCTTCGTCGCGAACGGCACGAAGTTCTGCGTCGTTGCCTCAAAGTCGAAGTCGAATCCGTCGACGACCGCCGAGCGGAATGGCCGGTTCGGTGCGCTCGTGTCCGGGCCGAACAGCGACCAGACCGTCTCGGCGGAGCTCTCAGCCGACGCCGCGTCCGGGAAGCCGCCCTCAGTGTAGGTCGCGCCGCCGATCGAGACGAGGATCGTCTTCCCCAGAGACTGGCAGGTCTTGATGTCCTCTTCGATCTCGGGGCAGTTGAGCAGCTGAGTACCGGCATATACCGTGCACTTGTCGCCCGCGTTGGCGAAGTTCGTGATGGGCGTCCGGATGCCATTCATGAAAGCCAGCGGGATGATCTACAACATAGCCACCATGGTTAGCGGGGGTCAGAGCCGACCAGCTTTTCTCCTTCCCCTTCTGACGCATCTCTCTCGCGACTCACGTTTATCTTGCTGGCTGTAACGCGGGATATTAGCAGGCGAGTACTATGACGCAGGGGGGGTCGGGAGAACTTACTAGAGCAGTACGTGCTCAGCCTCTCCTGCGAGGACTGCTGGCCGTACGAATTCTGGCCTGTTATTATTAGTATTAGTATCTTAGCCTGAATTCGAGGGCGGCGACACTAGTTTCATGCGCAGCATGAACATACCCCAGTACACGGCAATATTGCTCTGCGAGCCGGCATCGTAGCCGGCGAGGACGGACGGGATGAGTGCAAGGGTGCTGGCGACGGACGCCAGGGTAAGCTTGGTAGAGGCCATGTTGGAATCGGTGCTCTTGATGCTCGACCGGAGGGGGCTGGTCTTGGGAAGGGATAGTCGTCAAGTTGGAGCGAGGACAACGCATACTTATATAGACGATAGCCGACATCTACGGCCTCTCTCGCCCTCTCCCTCCCTTCATTTCTCCCCTTCCTCGTGGGCCCCCGGTGGTTGTCCCAGCGTTACAAACCCGGAGATACAAGCCCGGGACCACCGGCCTGCCATGAGATGACAACTTCCCTCGTGCAACCCAACCCATGACAAACCGCCATTGTATCCTCGCTTCGCTCTTCGATAGATGTCAAGTGGCTTGAGGTAACGGTAAGATGGGGGAAACCACTGCACCGAGCACCGACACGTAGGAGAGCGGCCGCTAGCGGGTCGGGTCCAGATCGAGTCACCGGAGATTTACCTGCCAACCATCTGCCGCGCTGGTTCTAGCAGATGATCGGGCTGCCAGATCCACGCGGCCTGGCCTGCTCGCACAAAAGGAGAGCTTCGCAGCGATGAGATCGGCAGGGGCGCACGTGCGGGCCGTCTGTCTTCCTCTGCCACTCTCGGATGGAAGCTGGGAGGACCTGGTGGTAGAAAAGGGGGAGGCCAAGGAGAGGGGCCACCTTGCTCCTCTTTCTCGGGTACCACCCCGGTCGGAAACGAGCGGCGGCGTTAAGCTGCCATATTCGGATGTTGAGCCTGTGAATGTCTCTCCTCCTCCCGCTGGCACGTAACCAGGTTTCCAAGCCTACGGCCGCACAAATGCCACCCGTGTCAGACATCACTGCGGCTCCGATCAATGGGATATCGACACACGAGTACCACGACGCCTGCCGTTTGATTTGCGCCACCTTTTTGCAACATCACAAGAGCGATAAGGCTCGTCCGCTCTCTTCGCTAGGGACGGGGTCACCTCTCAGCAGGTCACGCATCGTGATAGTGCCCCAGATTCCCCAGCTTCCTCATTCGGATTAGAGGTCGCGAACCGGCAAATAGGACACTCGCGTTCGTCGCTTCGCCTTGCAATCACTTAAAAAGGGGGGGGTCGACAGGGCTCATGCGCGTCATTGCAACCTCGATAAAATAAATTCCCTGTTGACGACGTCTTCGGCACGCTTTGCTTGTGATGCCGCCCGAGTCGAGAAAGAACCCGGGTTGAGCGCGACACATGCCCACTCATTTCGCCTAGCGGTCCAAGGGGGTGGGATGCGGTCATATGAGGTGGGAATAGGTTCGCGTCCCATGCAACGATCCCCTCCTACAGGCGCCCGGGCCACCGCGTGGCCGGTATATATCATCGTGGGCTAGCCCCCACTGCTTCCCCGTATCTAGGGATCGAGTGCCGCCCGCTAGCGATAGGGCCAGGGAGCCGAAGACGGCTCCCGCTCGGGGGCTGCAACGTTACCACCACGGCAAACTTGTGAGATTCCATATCGCGGAGGAGACCTGGTTAACTTTAGTTATGTGAGGACGTCCATGGAGAAGAACGCATAAGCAGGAAGACCTCCCGCCGGAATCGAGGGAAATCGAGGGAATCGCATGGCGCCGAGCCAGAGAGAGGTCGGTGCGAAGGGGGACTCTTCGCTCGGTTAAGCGCTAGTTTAGAAAATACTCCCTGCCGGTCGGTCGAGGCCATTGTCGCCTCTCCAAGGAATGTTATCATACGCGTGGCCTCATTGCAACTTCATTCCAATCGTGTAGACAACTGCATGCGAAATCCACAGCCTTGAACATCATCTTTCCAGTAGTGCCTCCTCTATGGTCACAACGCAGCTGTCTTCTCGAGTATTCGCAGTCTTTTCGTGCATCTCGCAATCGGGACCCGAAGTTGGACCAAGGCTTCGCCTGGTGGACGCGACGATAGCGGTGGTCTATGAGGCGCCCGGCGCTTATCACGGATGGCGTCCTACAATGCCATTATCCCTGGAGGATTCAACCCCCTGCATATTCCGGTAGTAAAGGCTAGCAACCCTCCACGATCAAATACACTCGACCGCGTGGGTGGTGATATCGGCGGGCTCTGAACAAGTATCCTCATGATCATGCGAGTTTGGACACGTTCACACCCATCGGTAAGCCCGACGTTGTACTTCGAAAGGGTGACTTAACTGCTCGCCTCTGAATAATATCGAGAGGTAGGTAACCTTGCACTGAGGGCCATAAGGATGGCCGCCCACTAGCCATAACATGTTCCATCGGGTCTTCTAACGGCCTCGATCAGGGAGTGATGCAGATCTTGGATCCCGAGTATCTGCCCATTGCAGAGTCAAGTCGATAAGCTAATCCTAGAATCGCAATTGATAGTTGGTATCGGCAACGTGATGCTACGTACGGCGAGTGTGTTTCGTTCAGGACTAATGGCTGATATGTCGAAAGGCTCGCCCGTATCATAGGCCTGACTTACACTCAAGATAACATCAAAAGACTTGCTATTCATCCCATGTCGTTCGGCGTCGACTTCAGCCTCATTCTGCTTCTGCCTGCTTCCTGCAATGCCTCGAGAATGTCTCGGGATTAGTTATCTGTCACTAAAACAGCGTAGGGAGCGATTAGTTTCTGTATTGTCGATATAGTCACACCCATAAATCCGTATACTGAGATGTTGAAAAACAAGACGCATTTATTTCGTCGCAGTGACCATCAAACACCGTAGATAATGAATTTATTTCGCATTCGTATCGAGTTATCATGGTGACATTAGAGCTGTCAGACCGTCTTTGACCGCCACTCAACTTGAAGGGCGCTCAGCGTTTTGGCCCATTGGGTATTGAGTCTATTGACGAAGGGATAAGTGGCGGTTATACCGCATCTCCGTAGAGAGCAACGCATATTCGATTCACGACATGCCGTCGCAAAGAAGCCATACGTGTATATGCCTATGCTTCTAAATGGGGTGGGGACGAGGGGGTCTCAACATCTCCGCACTGTAAATCTGCTGCACACTCCATATATCTCGACGAGACTTGAGCGGCTTGAAATGCCTCGGTATATGTCGAATACCCCCCGGCGTCGGCATCGCAGTGCGGGATTCGGGGCCGCCCTTATGTGGTCGTCGATGATCCGTATCTATAATGCCGTCTTCAGGCACCAGTGTTAAAGCGGCGAAATGCGAATGCAAACACGCCGGTCCGCTAACCACGCCGTCCTACTCCGGGTCCGATGCAAACACGCCGATTCTAGGCCTCGCTTAAATGGAGACGGCAGCCAACCCTTTGGTTTTTTTTTTTACCAAGCCTCTCTAGGGGCGGTTTTTCACTCGCCTCCTTCGTCGTCGCTCTCATCAATATCGCTCAGCTCATCCAGGGGTATCATATCGTCCTCATCGCTTGCCACGACATCGTCTTCATCCTCGGACGTCGGCTGGCTACCATCACTAAAGCCTTCAAAGTCTTTTTTCTCTCCTCTACTCACACTCCCCTCCTCTTCTTCCTCTGGTGCGGACGTAGCGATTGATGGCGCTATCGACGTATCAGGAACGCTCTCTAGGTCGTCCCTCTTTCGCTTTTTCGACATCTCCCCGAGTCGGCCTTCGCGGCCTTCCATACCCGCCCCATTATCCCCTTCGGTAACCGGAGCCGGCGTAAACCAGGGGATCTTGCCGCGCATGAAGTCTTTCAACACCATTTTCGCAACCCCATCGACGTCCGGCTCTCCACCCTTCAGCAAACGACCGCCCTTTCGGGCCAAAAGCTCGAGGAAGTGTATGTGATCTTCCCATCCCGTTAATTCGTAGGTGCGCTCCATGTGGTGTTTCTTGACTTTTGCCAATAGCGCCGGTATGTACTGCTCTGGGTTCTCCACCATCTCGACACGAACGACGCCGCGAAGCAAGATATCCTCAGGCGTGTCGTTCTGATTAGGGGGGACGACACCAGGACAATCCACCATGAAGATTCGTTTCGTTAACGTAACATACTGCCAGACCTTGGTCTCGCCCGGAATGGGGGCTACCTTAGCGACTTTCTTCTTCCGTAATGTATTGATGATAGATGATTTTCCGACGTTAGGATACCCTATCAAGCCGACTGATATCTGCTTGCGATCTGAGTGCAAGGACGAAAATTGGCGAAGAAGTTGGATTAGTGAGCCTTTTCCAAAGGGATTCGTTATGCTCGAATGGAAGGCAAGAGTCGGGTACTCTGCGGAGAGGTTGCGGACCCAGGCAGCCTTGATTACGGTTAGTATACTGACAAACGAATAGTCATCCAATTGGCAGAATGCGAATTTGGGGGATGGTATGTATGAATCACTACTAAGAAATCTACCACGGGCCACCCAAAACGGGTAGAGATAGATCTCAACTCAGACGAAACATGGCCCAACTCATGACGAAGTCCCAAAACGGGACCCAGTCAGCTTCCTGCCCGAAGGCATGGAAACAGCGAGATTAGAGGTTTAATCTCCCAACGCCGTAACGGATAAACTTCTCACTGAAAGAAGAGAAAGTACCCTGACAAAAAACATTGGGGACGGAGGGAAAAAAAAAGAAAACGGATATGGAATACGTAAGAAGATGAGGTAGGAACTTACGGCCACGCTCGTTGGAACTAGATCCGTCTTGTTAAGGACGAAGATGAGGTGCTTATGCGGCGCCTCCTCTCTCAGATATTTCTCCACGCTCCGACAACGGGTACCGAGAGGATCGCGGGCGTCGAGTACGTGGATGACAACGTCCGAGGCGCTATTCTCAGTTAGTACTCGAGTAGATGGAAAAGCGTAGACATTGGTGCAGGGCGGCAGATGCACGTACTCGAGAACCTTATAGAGCTCATTAAAAATCCTCTTACTCTTCCCCTTAGAGAAGATAGGCTCGATAGCCACAGTGAGAGCGTCCTCTTCAGCAGGTCGACTCTCGCTAGCCCCCTCGAGATCCACTCCCGAGTTTCCGCTCAACAGCTTCGCCTGCTCAAGACGATCCTTGTACACGTCCATGCTCTTCTCAGTGTCTTCAGCAAGGTCCACCAGATTGCTCACGTCCAGCTTGACCCTCTTGCGCTGAGCCTTAGGGCCGAAGGCGTCGGAGAAGGGCGAGCTCTCGATGGCCATCTTCGCCTTGTGCTGCTTCAGGCCGTTCTTCGTGTCCGAGTTATCCCTTATCAAAGACATGGGCAGCTTGTTTGACTTGAGGAGGACTTGGTAGGGGTCGTTAGCCTTCTCGGCCATGGCGTCGCGGAAGGCCGTGAGGGCATCCTGGGAGATGACGCGGGTGTTGGTAAACCATCGCCTGTTCGGCTCGACCCTCGCCGAAGGAATGTCTCTCGATTGGTACTTGGCAGCCTGGACGATCTTCCCGTCGGCGTTGCGTCTCGGCTTGGCTCCATCCTTCCGAATGTTCAGGGCTTTGACTCGCGCGGCAGAGCGATAGAAGTTCTCGCCCTTGACCTTGATATTATTCATGCCATCCGAGGTTTTGCCCTCGCGGATTTTCCGGTTGCGCTCCTTCTTACCGGTCCCCATGGCGCCGGAATTACGATTGAATCCGGGGGCCGGAGGGGGGTTGGGCGGAAGGAAGTTGGTATTACCGTCGGCGAAAGCGCATATAAGTGAGGGATCCGGGAATTGGCAGATGAAGGAAGAGAGATGCTGGAAAAAAGCGAAGGTGGGACCTTTTTTTCACTCGAAATATTCTGCCGTCCATGACCGCCGATGGATTTGACTGACCGCTTAAGTGGGGACAGACTTGATTCGATATTCTGCCGAACTTCACCCAACGCCCCGACCTCCGGGAAGTGGGTCTCGAATAAATTCTGGAATGCCGCAACTATTCATCACTATCACCAACCAAGCCGCCTGCCGGGCTCAGCAAAAGTACCGGCGCATTATTGCGATCGTTTCCCTCTCCTCTCCTTGAGGCGAGCGTCGCACGGAGAGAAACAAAACCCAGATGCTTTACGCCCGTTGGCCAGGAGAAACACTCCCAGGCGCCAACTACACGGCTCCGCACGTCGAAAGCCGGCGGTAGCACCCCCGAGATGCCGCCCGCGCTCCCGCGGCCGTCGCCCTCTCTCCTCTCGAGAGGAGCAGCGTCGGTAATCCCATTCTCACCAACCTCCGCTGCCGCCCCCCGCTCACCCTCGGCCTCCTCCCGCCCGTTCTCCTCCGCCGTCCCGCGGTGCGCCTCGCGCCGGCAGCGCATCCCGCCCGAGTCCCCGCGCTTCATCAACGTGCCGAACCCGCCGCAGGACCAGTCGATCGAGGCGCGCCGCGAGCTGAAGCCGATCAAGGGCCACCTGCCGGTGCCGCGCCCCATCTTCAAGCACCCCGAGGACCGCCGCAAGGTCACCGACGCCTGGCTGCGCGCCGCCGCCCCCCTGCCCACCCCGGGAAGCAAGAGCGGCAAGGCCGAGACGCCCAGCAACTCCGCCCAGGCCTGGAAGCGCCTCATGGCCGAGACGCGCCGCAGCAACTTGCGCGACGGCGTGCGCCGCCTCTACGACCGCCACAGGCGCCTCCAGCGCCAGCGCCGCGAGCGCCAGATCACCGGCGCTGCCCGCGCCCGCGCCGCCGCCGAGGCCCCCGAGCGCGAGGACGAGCGCCTCACTGCCACTACCGTCAACGCCGGCACGCTGCAGACCGCCGTGATCCTCGACCCGCTGCGCTTCGAGCGCGCCCTGGAGTCGCGCGAGCGCACCAACGCCGTTGCCCAGCGCCGCAGCGAGGCCCGCCGCGACGCCCTCCAGGAGCTCTACATGCGCGCCCGCTCCTTCATCGTCACCGAGGAGCAGCTCGAGGCAGAAGTCAGCCGTCTCTTCTCCCCCACCTATTGGAAGGATCAGGGCCTCTCATCGAGCGGCTTCGAGATCACAAATGTCTGGGATCTCCACGGCCGCCCCAAGACCGTTGCCGATATGTTCACCGACATCTCTCGCAACTCGAGCACCTTGCTGAAGAATTACGAGACCGATAAGACACGCACCCTCAAGCGCCAGAAGGAGGTCGCCGAGGAGCTTACGGGTGGCAAGCTGGACGGGACATAATATCGTCCACGCGGAACTACCAGAATTTACTTTCGATTGGTCACGGTCGAGAGGCGAAAAGCGGTGTTGAATGCGGGCCTCACCTTACTTCCCCCTCACTATCGAGTGGTGACAGGTGCAATGTTAAGACGTTTACACTAATTACGCCTGTATTTATGAGATCCGGCAGCTTCTTCACGAACGTATGTATATATCTCCCGTACAGGACAAAGAATAACGTCCATCATGGAGCGCACGGCGTAACGCGACGATTGACCCTCTTGATGAACATGACCGAACCTTGCAACGCCCCCGTTACGCCCTCAGGCAGACCCAGCCCCAGCATGCATTGATCGAGTTATGCAGAATAGAAGGCGATGCATCCGTGTAGCAAATACCAATTCGGTGTCATGTTTATGTGAACAGGTAGCAGCATAATCCTACAGTTATTATTTTCAAAAATATAGCCCTCTTCCACATTCTATCGCTTCTCCACCAGTAAGAAATGCATCGCGACGTAGGCTAGCACGACAAAAACTGCGGCAAACACGCCTAGGTTGGCGACATCCGACCATTTTGCCGAGTTGTTGAAGCCGAACGAGCTCAGGATCGCCGCACCGGGTACCGTGATGTCGAGGCCATACTTCTTATCAATAAGAGTCAGTTTTACGACTTCGTTGACGATGAGGGCCTCGAAGCCGTAGTGGAAGATGGACAGGGACTGCAGCCAGAGCGCTGCATCGGGAATCGCGTCGTGGTTGAGGAGCAGCCCAGCAAACAAGAGGGAGAAGAGCATGACCAGGCTCCCTATAAGGTTCGCCACGCTACTATCCTTGCACACAACGCCAATAAATAGGCAGATGGCAGCTGCGGCCATGTTGAACAGAACTAGAATGAGCATGAACGTGAAGAAGTGTGGCGCATCCGGGATTAGACCTGTCATGGGATAGATGATGGCACCCATCAGGATCGGCGGAATAATTCTCAGGGGGACAATGTCGAATAGAACCTTTGCGACGAAGTAGGTGATAGGCGAGTAGTATCCGTTCGCCCTCTCCCGGACGAAGAGGAGACGTTCGGAAGCGAAGACATTCAGGCTAGTAAGCGTGCTGAAGCCGTAAAGAGCGAGGAGGAAGAAGAACAGGCCGAGTCGGTTCTGGAACCCAGGGATATCGTCGGTTAAACCGTAGAAAAGGTATCCCGAGAGAACAGCAAGAGTTATCGCGATGGCGTAGTGTGTCAGCATCAGGAACGGGTTGCGGTAAAGGTTCTTCCACGTCCTCTCTGAGAGAATGATGAATTGCCTCAGGTAACCGATACGTGCGTAACCGCGTCCAATCGCGCTGCCGTCGCCATACGCTCCCTGTGCTCCGTTCCCGTTTTGACCATTGGCGGCCTGGGCACTGGCTGCGGCCTGGAGGATTTCATCGTGGATGTCGCTAGCAATGTCAGACTCGGCGAAGGCTAGAACAAGACTATCGAGATTTGTTCCGGCGGCAGGCGGAAGGTCGTGGACGTCTTCAATAACTACCTGCGGGCGAACACCACCGCTGGCCGGTTGCTTGTGTAGTTTGTAAGACCCAGCATCTTCTTCGACATCGGAAGAGGCAGCAGTGTCGATGATATTCTTCCGTCTCGTAAAGAGCTCTCGCTCCTGTCTCGCCTTGACCGAATCCTTGCGCTTGCCCTTAGGTCGGATCGTCGACGGTTCTATCGAGCTGTCTTCGGCGATGCTGGCCGTCCCAGAGGCGCTGGCAATCGACTTCACAGCGGTGGTACTGCTGGGACCAACGCTCCCACCGTCGTTCGTGATGGATCCATCGTCGAGAATGCTAGAAGAGCTGGCATGCATCGTGAGATCGACGAGGTAATCCGCAATGTTAAAGCCTGGCGGACACGTGTAACCGATCCGGTCGAAGTACTCCTGGCACAGGGAGAAGGGGCCTGAATATACGGTCTTGCCCTGCGCGAGAAGAATGAGACGATCAAACAAAGCCACAATGTTGGACCGCGGTTGGTGAATAGTGAAAATGACAGTGCGCTGGTACGTCTTGGCCAATGTTACGAGACATTCGATGACATTGAAAGCGTTGAATGCATCGAGGCCACTGGTGGGCTCGTCGAGGAATAGGATCGAAGGGCTGGTAACCAGTTCGCAGGCGATGCCGACGCGCCTCTTTTCGCCGCCAGAGATACCTCTTCCTTTGCCCTCTTCGGACCCGATCAAGGAATCCCGAATGTGGTAGATGCCAAGCTGCTTCTCAACTTCAAAAACCCTTTGCTCCTTAGCCGCGCGACCCATTCCGCGGGGAAGACGGAGGAGGGCGCTAGTCAGGATGGTTTCGTGCACAGTCAGCGTCGGGAGCATAGTATCCTCCTGGTCGACGAAACCAACGACGCTCTTAAATTCGGTATCGGTGACCTTCTCCCCGTTGACGAGGAAGTCTCCTCCGGTCTGACCACGCTTGTTCTTGCGCGCTAGTATATCCAAGAAGCTCGTCTTTCCCGCTCCAGACGCGCCCATGATAGCCGTGATCTCTCCGGGGTGCGCGATGCCCCTGATATCGCTGAGGATGGCCTTCCCATTGAGCCCGTAAGAAACGTTTTCGAAATACAGAGTAGCCGGTTTGTGGTCGATCATCAATTTGGTGGCTTCGTCGTCGGAATCGTCCAAGTGGATAGGTCCGTACCGGTACTGGCGGTGGGAGAGATACCAGATCAGCAAGAAGACGGCAACGAGGAACAAGGAGCAGCCGGCAATGATGCCCGCGATCAAAGGCGTGTTGATCTTCTTGATAGGGCGCTCGTAGCCGGGAACTTGAGTGTGGTAGAGGCACTCGCCAGAGCGGCAGTCCAACTCGATGCTCTCATCGCCGAAGATGGTGCTAACCATCCAATCGAGCTGCGGTTCTCTGAATTTGCAATTGTTGATTCCGCCATTCTCTTGTAGGCAATTAAAAGTAGCAGGGCCAGTGACGGATTCGTTAAGGAAGTCGGTTAGATCGATGGAGCCATCGGCTCCACAAAGCATACGGTCTTTAACACAGCTACAGCGGACGTCGGGGCACTTGTAGAAAGTGCTGTTCTGATCCGAAGTGAAGTCGGCGTTGGATTCGCAGTTCTCGAGATGGCAATAGAATGACTCGACTCTATCAATCCAAACTGTTTGTCAACCACGTCAGCTCCATGTGCCCAAGCATGCCAGCAGGGCGATGAACCTACACTGGAAATCGCAGATTCCTTCCTCCTTCTTGCAGGTGAAGGTAGCCTGGGGTATCTTGCCGTCGAGCATGCCCAGGATCTTCTCGTTGGTAACGGCGCACATCTGGTGGTTTTCGTTCACCACCTCGCCGTTCTGGTAGCAAACACCGCCGTCTCCGGTCTCCATGAGAGCATCGCAAGCATTATCTTGGATGCAGACATTGCAGTTGATTCCCGTCCAACCTTGGTCGCATTCACAAGTATCGCCCGACCTGATCGGGCGGTCTCTGCCTCGAGCAAGAGAACCGCACGCTAAGATGCATGGTCAGCTAGGTGCGGGTCAAAATCGGGGGGTATCGAGGGCTATCGTACTAGGCTCTAAGCAGTCGTCGCCTCCAAACCCGGCCGGGCATTCGCATTTTCCGTTGTATTCGTTGCACTCGGCGTACTGGCCACACTCGTGAGCCGGCAGGAGACAGTTGAAACTGCGTAGATAGTTAGAGGTTAGCTCGGTCAGCTGGCAAAGGACGGGGGCATGACGAGAGCCGGCATACCATGGCGGACAGTCGTTTGGTCGGTCATCTAAGAGGGCCAGCTGGGCCCGCATCATATCGAACTGCGTGTAGTTCTTCTGACCAGCAACAAGACACGACAAGGCGAGCGCGCCGACGGCCGCACGCCTCGCGCCCGGGGGCAGCATGATGGGCGTGACCGGAAAGCTGGAGCTTTCAGTGCTCGGATAGCTAAGGACGGTGTTGGTCGAGGGAGATGAAAAGACGCGACTCGGCGGTAGGCTACCACATTAAACCGCAGGTCTCACGGAGGTCCAAGACAAGGAAAACGGTCAAAATGGCAGGTTCGCAGTCGGCAGTTCTGAAGGTGACGGGCGTGCTCTGTCGCGGATGCAAGACGCTCCACCGGCTTGGCCAGCTGACAACGTCACCACTACACCACCAAGTCGATTGGTTAGACAGGTGGATGGGTGTATTAGCGAGGCGCGTGAATGATGTCAGACAGGGTCAGTGTCGAGCCGACGGGGTCACTAGGAGAACCGACGGGGACGGGGCTACAGGAAGAGGATGCAGACGGCGACGAGCGATAAGGCATAGAGAGGGGGAAAGGGAAAAGGGAATTCAAATGGCGCCGACTCGAGCCGGGAGACGGTCCGGCGGTGTAGAAGGCTGGGAAGGGTAAGAAGAAGACGGAGAGCGGGCGATGAGGATAAAGAGTAGAAGGTCGGCCGGCCAGTCAGTCAGTCAGTCGGTCTCGATAGAAGCGGGCATGAGAGGAGATAGGCAGAGAGGGAGAGGAGAGGAGAGGTGAGGTGAGGAGAGGGAACCAGCCACAATCAGCCAGTCAGTCAGTCAGATCACTTGCCGAGCTTCTGGAACGCTCAGATGACATCGGGGGCAGAGAGGAAGGTTGTTGCGTGCGCGGGTGTGGCTCAAATAGCACGTACCTGGGCGGTATGGAGGTACATCAGCAGCAGCGGTTAGGCCGGTTATTGTAGTGGTATATTCCTAACACGGCGGCCAAGAGTCGATACCTAAGGTACCTAACCGCCAGAAAGAGATTGGCGCAGGTTACTACGCGCTCGGCTTGGCAGACATCCCACGTACCTGCAGCGCCCACAGTCTGTGGGAGAGTACATTCTTATCTCCCTCTCTTAGGTACCAGGTACAGTGATTTAAGGTGTGTACGCTTCCATAGAGGTACCTAGTAACGACTTCATACAAATTACAGGTAGGTGCCTACCCACCTAAGGTACCTAAGGTACCTACCTCCTCTAGGTGGAGTACTCGAGCCGATGTAGCGTACCTTAGGAACCTGTATGGAAGACTGGAATACGAGATATGCCTAAATTGATAGGTACCTAAGTCTAAGGCGCCACCAACTTACTCATACGCCGCCTGGGTCTTATTGTCGCCGGAAATCAGATTGTCAAAAGGCCTACCTATTTATTGAAATGATTTGCTCGAACGCCACTCGGAAGCTCAGTATGCCGACGATGTTTCGCGACAAATGAAAGCTTGTGAAGAGATGGATCCCCAAAACGAACTCTCATAGTGAAGATTATAATGACCCCGACCCAAGAGCGACCATAGTTATGGTAGGTACCTAAGGTAGGTGAAGAAGGATGGGAGCGCCACAGCTCGTGATAAGAACCTCCCGGCCCTAGGCAACCTCCAGGAACTCGAATATCCTCCTTACCGCCTGATCATCGCCCTCAGAAGTCCCGGCTAGATGCTCATCCACCCATCCGCGTGTGTTCCCACCACCAAAATCAATCAGCCAAGGTTCATCAGTATCGGGATGTATCAAAACATTGTCCGCCTTCCCGTCACCCCAGACGATGCCATTCCCGTGCAGCCAGTCGACTGTCTCTCGCACCTGGGTTGCCCAAGTCTCCCTTCGCTCCTTAGAAATTGTGGATATATCATCGATTCTTGCTAACGTTGATAATTCCGGGTCCTTGGGATGCGGGATTAATTCTTCGAGGATTCCAATAATGTTTCCATTATCAGGCATCTCGATGAGTCCTAGAAGTTTTGGCACGTGGATTTTCAAGGACTGCTGGGTAGCGTAGGCGGTAATCTTGCTGAGACAGTCCAGTTCCCGCTGCATAGCTCCTCCATCAAACTCACGGCCAACCTTGGCGCACGTATCACGTCCGTCCACTAAAACATGCGAGATATAACCATCACCCAACAGCTTTTTGAGCACCCGGATCCCCGTGGTTAGATATCTAGGCAGTCCAAGGTCCTCTTTGACCTTGAGCTGGACGTTGAAGACTGGAAACTGTGGACTTGGCAACTGTGGGCTGAGAGAAGGAAGGTCCCTTTTGTAACCCTTCCCGGGGATTTCGGATAGTTCCAGACGATAGGATCCTTCCCGAAGGAGCTTCGGCGTCCCGTCCACGGTAGTAAGACTGAAGGAATATTGCGGCGGAAGGAGAATTGAATGGAGGTCGGACGGGGGTTCTGCTGATGGGGGAACAAGATGATCAAGTATTGACTCTCCAGCTCCAATGACGGCATCAAGGAGTTCGTCGTCAACCGCGTCCTGTTCGTCCTCGTTACCGCGAAGACATGCCGATGTATATTTCTCGATAAGAAGATTCTCTATCGCACCAAGATAAGGGTTTGGATCGAGGTATATTATTATTCTCGCGCCGTTCCAACGTATGCGAACGGTGACTCCATCGCCACATCCATGTGACGTTCCTTCGATGTAGTAAAGATCGGGCATAGCGGATTTTAGCAGATAGAGGAGGGTGTTGATAGGGCCTGAGATGAAATACTTCTCCCTTTAGATTATTCTTGGTAAATTTCGACGGTCTGTTTCGTCGTGAATGACCTGGGGTTGTACCTGAGCGGAAGGACATGTGTTGGGCGCTTGAATGTCACGACCACTAACACACGGATGAGTCAGCCATCTACCCACGCCAGTTAACTGCGCCAGATAATCGGTATTGATGTTCGAACAACCTAGCCAGAGCCACGGCACTGAGCGCAGTCCCACCTAGGACCGTCCCGACGACATTATTCCCAAGCACGAGTTTGTGTTCCCGGCCAAGGTCCGCCAACCGCTCCTCCGCAGCGTCGAGGCGGCTGTCTCTGCAGGGTACCACTGGGCGATTGCGACGAGCTAATACCTACCTATATCGAAGGCATGGTTGATTGCTAGGATCTGCGCGAGCCGCTGGGCTGCGTCGCCGGATGCCGGCCGCGCGCGACTACGCCGGCACGAGCATGTTGCGGCTCGGCGACTGCATCACGCGCGCGTGGTTTGCACCGAGGGGGGAAAAGCGATGAGCCACCAATGTAACTAACCCTCAACAAAACGTTTTTGTCGAAGCAAAGGCTATACTCGTGCCAGGATCGCAGTTCTTCGAGCACGGACGGCCGGCCTTCGAGGGCTGACGACAATCCTCGCTCAGGTGTTGGAGAGGCCTCGACGCCTATTCAGCGACCAATCTCGCGTGTTGTGCCGGGGAGGTAAAATAATAAAAGGCGCCGTGGCGGCCCAAATATTGAAGTATTCGTCGCAGACATTCCTCGCGCACGTAGGAGCACGAATGCAACTTGCCTACGACGACATACCTACCTACCTACTTGCGTAGGCGCCGACTACCGTCCTGATCGCCGTCGTATTGTGGAATGGCTGGGACGCCCCGCAGCAGTGTATTGAAGAACGTCATCGCCTCGGATAAATAACCTAGGCGTTACTCCCGATAACCCCTGACCGGGTGTTGTTGTTCTGGTTGCAGACCCCTCAACTCAGAAGTAACATCCCAACCACGCACGAGCCCCGGGATGGAAGCAACCCGGGAGCTAAGGAGTCGACGCGGCGATCTTGAATAGTACGCGAGATCGGGGCGAGACTCAGCTGCCTAGCCGTCAACTAGATTTAAGCATAGGGGGAAACATGTGCCCCGAAATGCTACGTGATCGGGTGGCGGTAGCGGTCGCACGGCGTCCTGTATGGCACCATTCCGAGTGCGACTTCGATGAAGGCGGCTATGTATTGCTTGTCTTCCGGCTAGAGCCGCCAGGCCAGCCGGAGCTCGAACGAAGTCGGATGGCTCGTCCGAGGCCATCTGTGCCAACCCCATGCCGTCGTTTCAGATGCCTCAACTGCCATGTATATCTGCGCACGCTTACCGACGGCAAAGCCTGTGGCCCGGAGCGAGCGCGCCTCGGGTTCTCGTCGCTTGTCGTGAGACGACGAGAGTAGGGCGCGAGAGAAAGAGACGCCGTGCATATGCGCTGTAACTGCACGAGAGCCGGTGGATCTATAGTGGTAGCATGGAGGTATCCGCATGGCCCCTTTCCAAGACGAGTCAATACCACCTAAGCGAGGGATGAAGGCGTACAGCTACGTACCTACATGCCCACATGCCAACCTTCATACATACCTCGTACGCAGGTCACGTCGGCATCGACACACTTGTCTGCTCCCTCTTTCAGTAACCCCTTCGCCGTGCCCGGGTACGTGTAGAGTGAGGGTAAGGTAATATACATAGGCACGCCGCTGAAGAGACGAAGAAAAAAGCGTACGGAAGCAATCGACTCGGGATTCCATGTGCAGATCCCCACCTTAAGTCTTCGGCGCCAGGGGGGAAAGGAGGGGCAATATCGAGAGCTCTGGGATCGATGCACCAGCTCGACGTGGCCCGGTCAGCCGGTTGATTATCTGATTATTATGTACAACAACCGCGAGCCAGCAGTAATCAACCTCTTGCTGGCTGTGGTTATTAAAAACCTTATGGAGAGGATAATGCCTATGGAGAGACGGATAGGTAGGTAGATACGCACGGAGAGAGAGGTGGAGCAGACACTCGAGACCCTCTCCCACCCAGTCTTCTAGCCGCTTTGTCATGGACGACAAAACGAATGATAATCCACATTCTCTTTTCCTTCTACCCCCTCCACCCCCTCCATTCTTTTCTTTCTATCTCGAACACTCACGTCATGCCACCTAAGTAGTTAGGCGTAGCCCGGCCTAGCTAGCTCGGGCGATCGCGGGCAGGACGAGCACCACCGGGGCAACGAGAGCTTCGCGGACACCCCGCCGCCCTCCCTCCCCATGCAGCCGCCCCGGATCTGGACCTCGCATAAGACTTACGCGAGCGGACTCGTAATCCTTAATCAGCAGCCTGGAATGTTGCCTCGCTGCGGACGTCGAGAGACGGGGTTGGTCGGGACGGCGATCCAAGTACCGGAGGTTAGTGAGAGTCGCAGATACGCCTGAGAGCCAACGAGAATCCTCGCTCCCGGCCAAGATGCAAAGAATAGTACGACTGATGACATACGTTCCTGGATGAATACGGCGTATCTGTTGTTAGAGTCTTCCTTCGCATTACACTAGCCTGGCTGTATGTCTACTGCCGTACGTTGGCGTTGGCCTCGGGCGAGCTCCCCGTAGGAGCGACGACGAAGGCACTCTATCTGGCATATGGCAAGTGAGGAATCACCAAACTACTGTAGGAACCCGGTATCCAGTCCTCTGAGCGGGAGCTATCCTCCCTCCCTAGTAGATAATTGCTTAGGTACCTACCTACATGTGCGCACAGGTAGCTTGTAGCTCTCTGCTGAGGATCCCGATTCGCGACTTGGCATTCCCCCGGTGGACGGGGAAAGATTTTACCTAGATATTACGTCCCTCTTTGCTGGCGCGCTGGCGAAGTGGTCAGCAACCAGGACAAAGACGGCGATTGACGAGGCAACAATTGCATCAATCCTAGCCTGCATTGCTAATATATATCAGACGCGAGGGGAGGAGTAGGAGGGGTGGGAGGTGGGGGAGAGGGGGGGGGGCGGAAGATCCCCTGCGGTAGCGTACCTACGCAGACGAACTGCCCGCCAGGTTGCCAGCAGCTTGAGAGAGAGATACAGGCGGCGTTGCTACTCTGCAGTCTTAGCTAGTCATTGAGGCGCGCCGGGTGCCCGGGGTGGAGAGAGAGAGACACGTTCGAGCGGACAAGCCTCGCTAAGAAGAGAGTGGCGAGAAAGTCGCCATCCGGAAGGGGATCCCAGGATTCGGTGTCCTGCCGAATGAGATCGTCCCAGTCACGACAGGGCCGTCACTACAGATCCGTCCGCAGGACCGCGCAATTAATAAGTGTTGACTGAAGAAGAGGTAAGCATATACGCAGAGCACACCACCGCGATCCCCACCCCCTTTGGCCCAGCAGGGCGCCCCATTCGCCCCTACTGTCTTCGACGCCTACGTCTGTAATATGTGATGGTGGCTGTCTGCGTGCCAGCACATATAAAGTCGGCCGGAGTCCCTCTCTCGTAGCGTTCATCCTCTTGCTCTCCCCTACCTCCCTCAGCATAAGCAATACTGTCAGGACCCGATAGTAGCTACAGCCCTTCTCACGAGACGAAACGAGACGAGACTCTCTCCTCCCTTGAGCAGCAGCAACTAGACGCCCATTCTATTCCTCCATACCTATCCACTCGTCAGCTACCTATCTACAATGGCTCCTAAGATTGCCATCGTCTATGTAAGTGCCTGGGCATTTTCCTCTGTTGTCCACCATACAACTATCCGGCTTTCGTACCTACGCGGGGACAGAGCTGTTCATTGGGCCGGGGCTGAGGAGGGAGAGCTTGCGGACGCCAACCAGTGGGAGCTCGGCGTCGAGACATGCATCGAAAGCGGCGGTCGTGCGCGGCGGAGGGCCTGCGTTTCATTTGGCAGTGCGTTGGAGTGGGAAGATGATGAATCATGACTTTGCCGGCCTAGTCAGGGCTCCCCACAACGAACGCAGGCCGCCACTTTTTTTGTCTCCTGTCATGTCTCCGTCGTTATGATGTAGTACGGCGCACACTAACCCGGATCGCGTCCGCTCTAGTACTCGACGTGGGGCCACGTCCGCAAGCTGGCTGAGGCTGAGAAGGCCGGTATCGAGCGAGCTGGCGGCACTGCCGACCTGTACCAGTAAGTAAGCCTCCGCCCGATACATCCCCTCACCTACCTGGCCTGGGCACCTTGCCGTCCGCTTGCCCCTGGCCGGCAGGTTGCCCGCGAATACTCGGGAGTTGCTGATCGCGCGAGCCGCGCAGAATCCCCGAGACGCTTTCGAGCGAGGTGCTCGCCAAGCTGCACGCGCCGCCGCAGTCGACCGACCACCCTCTGCTGACGGACCCGGCGACGCTCGAGGCCTACGACGGCTTCCTGCTGGGGATCCCGACGCGGTACGGCAACTTCCCGGCGCAGTGGCGCGTGTTCTGGGACCGGACGGGCGGGCAGTGGAGCCGCGGCGGCTTCTACGGCAAGCTGGCGGGGCTGTTCCTCTCGACGGCGTCGCTCGGCGGGGGCCAGGAGTCGACGGCGCTCGCCAGCATCAGCACGCTGGCCCACCACGGCATCATCTACGTGCCCTTCGGCTACGCCAAGGCCTTCGCCGCGCTCACCGACCTCAGCGAGGTCCACGGCGGCGGCCCCTGGGGCGCCGGCACCTTCGCCGCCGGCGACGGCTCCCGCCAGCCCACCGAGAAAGAACTCGAGATCGCTAGGATCCAGGGCGAGGAGTTCTACAAGACCGCGGCCAAGTTCACCGCCGGCTCCGCGTGACTGCATGGTAGCCACGCCGAGCAGCCCGAGGGAGCCAAGACTACTACTCAGCAGCCGGGTGCCGCCGCGTCCGAGTCCGGCGCTGCACCGCAGGGCGAGAAGAGCGAGAAGAGCGAGGGTCCCTGCGGCTTGCCGACGAAGTGCATAATACTGTAGAGAAGACATACCTACCACGAAAGCCACGAAATAGCATCAAGATAAATTTAATGAAAACAAACATCTGCACTCGATCAACCGCTTCTTGTGTATAAACTAAGAAGTAGGTAGGCAAAATAACTAGGTGATGGCATCCCGCTGCTAGGAGCAGCACACAGGCGGAAGCGAACTCCTCTCCAAGTAGCGGCTGTCTGTCCTTCAACCCCATAACTCTGGTGTAAATAACAGGTCCAAGTCTACGCGGCCATCGGTCACTTACATACCTGCCTATCTACGCACTTACACGCACACACCCTCATACCTACACGTATGCACTTACGCTTGGCGCAATGCGTCCAGTAAAATGTAGACATAGACACATTCCTGATCTACATCCACCTTTACTCTGAGTGGCTCATATGGATCTGCATCATGCAATTAGGTAGGTACACAGTTGTCAGTGTCTCTCATCTGGACCACCAACCCCGCCGCCACAACCTCCCCATTTCCATCCCCCTCCCTCTCCTCCTTCTCCCTTTGATCCTTTGATCCTTTGCTCCCCTTTTATCTCACGGCGCTACAACTTTTCCTCCTCAGTTTTCTCCCCAGCTTCCTCTCCTCCTCCTCCTCCTCCCCCTGTTACTACTCCTCCTCTCGCATCCACCGTCTCCTCCCTCACCCTCCTGACCCGCAACCACTCCGTGACCGCCCACCCGGCCGAGCCCGCGAGCAGCGTCGTGCCGCTGAACAGTATGAGCCCGCGCCACGCGGCGTCGGCGTCGGCGCCCGTCCCGGACTGCAGTATCGCGCCGGCCACCGGCGTCCCCACCAGCACCGCGGCGCCGACGAACGCGAAGGCGGTTCCCATGCGCGCGCCGAGCCGGCTCAGGTCGGGCGTCAGGCTCGCGATCGCCGCGGGCGGCAGGCTCGTGACGCCGCCGTTGCAGAAGCCGAAGACGACGGCGAACGCGGCCGCGCCGCCGGCGCTGCGCACGCCGAGCCAGCCGTACGCGGTCGCGGCGGCCGCCAGCGTCGTCGCCGCGAGCACCCGCAGGCTGCCCAGCCGGTCCGCCGCGAAGTTGGGCAGCAGCCGGCCGGGTACGCTGCCGGCGTTCAGCAGCGTCACCAGGTACGGCGTGACGCGGCCGTCGGCGGCGCCGTGCCGCAGCACGTACAGCTGGAGGTAGAAGAACGGCACGTACAGCCCCATGAAGGCGACGAGGCCCGAGAGCGTGTACACGGCGAACGGCGGCTCGCGGAGCGCGGCGGTGTCGATGAACGCGCGGCGCGGGCGCGGGCCGGCGAGCGCCGGGTTCGGGCGCAGGAAGGCGAGGGGCACGGCGGCGAGCGCGAGGGCGATGAAGGCGAGCACGCGCGAGGCCCAGGCGAAGCCGACGCGGGGCGCGAGGCGCGCGAAGACGATGGGGAAGACGATGCCGCCGAGCGGCGAGCCGACGGACTGGATGCCGAGGACGAGGGCGCGGCGGCGCGCGAAGTACTGGCTGAGCACGGCCGCGGACGGCAGGAACAGCAGGCCGGAGCCGGCGCCGACGCAGACGCCCTGCGCAAGCACGATGTGCCAGTACGCCGAGCACAGCGACGTCATGAAGAGGCCGAGCAGGACGAGCAGAAGCCCCGCCGAAGTCAGGTGCCGGAAGTAACCAGCGTCGAAGAGCGGGCCCGACACCAGGCCGCCCATCATGAGGAGGGCGCCCTGCAGCGAGCCGATCCAGCTGATATCCGACGACGAGGCCTTCCCCACGAGCAACTCGGTCTCGTAGTAGGTCTGGTACACACCGAAGGAGTTGACGATGCCCCACGTGAGGAGCATGACCACGAAGGCCCCGAGGACCTGGAGCCAGGCCTGGAGACCGCCACTGTTGGTAGAGAAAGCGAGGAGTCAGCATATTTTCCTTTCCTCCTCAGCGTATAAGGCGGCTACTCGGGCGGCTAACGGAGCGCCCGCAGAGAGGGAGAGAGAACTACGTGCGCACGAAGGTAGGCCTCAAAGCATACGCACTCCCTATCGTTTCTCGAAATAAGCATCACACACAGACGCAGACACACACTTACTCCGGAACTGCGGGCTTAGCGGCGGCATTCGGCGGCGCAGTAGATGGGCCGTTCGTCTCGGTGTCGGCGGGGATGGTTCGGCCATCGGCCACCCGTTCGACGGTGGTGGGTTCGAGGGGCTCAGCACTTAAGTCCCTATCGCTTTCCACGTCCACCTCATCCTTCCTGTCCATGGTGTAGGGCTGGTGGCCGAACGCCCCCAAATCCAGTATGCTCTCGCTAACCCTGCCGTTCTGTCGGACAACTTGTCTGTACCTGGGCTCTTCCTTCACCGTCTCTGAGGGCGGTTCCGGCTGTGCGCCCGATGCGGTCAAGTATGCTAGTCGAGCAGAAGCAGGAACCTAGAGAACTCCACGGGTCCTTCTATTGCCCCCGAGCTCTCTTCAACCAGCACCGTCGGAATTTGCGTGCTTCATGAAACCACCATGTAATACCTAGGTAGGTAGGTAAGTAAGCGAAGTCGGTCCTAGCCGCGTCCCCATCCACCTGTCTCTCTCCGTACGACACCACGACTCCTAGTAGGTATATACATCCATTATTAGATAGGGGGTACGTACGTTGTGTTAGCTATCACCACAGTACTAGGGGTCCCCTAGATCAGCCCTCGTCTCGGTCCTAGTGGCTTGGGAACGAAATGGAAAGAATTGCGGATTGTCTCTTTGCCGCCTCCTCTGGTTTTAGTATGGTGCATGTGCGTGTGTGTGTGCGTGTGCGCATGCTCTTGCGTATGGCAATGGGATGTGTGTGGCGTATACCTCGGCCAGAAGAATGAGGGTGCAAAAAAGTAGGGAGGTAAGTGAAAGCGAGGTAACACGATATAAGAGGGCAGAGAGAAAGTTGACCAGATTACGCGGGCCTCACAGCGCCCAACTGCAGCTTCTTTTTTATTTTTATTTTAATAAAAAAAGTTTCGGCAATAAAGCCGAGAAAAATAAACCGAGATAAATAAATCGAGATAAATAATCAAGATATAGCCAGCCAGCCAGCAACGCCAGGATGGAATCGGAGAGGAAAATGGTGCAATGGGGCAATTTTGACGATTGCCCGCTCGGTATCTTCCCGGGTTGCATAACGAAAGATGCGACCCCCATACCGCAATATTAGATTAATAACCAGCATCGTTTCGTTTCCCTTCCCTCCTCGGCCTTCTTCTCGCCCCCCCACACCTCCTTTCGGCCTGCCTAACTTGGGCATGCGTACAAGTCGCACTGCAACTCCGGCTTCCTACACATGCTTGTCTACTACCGACCTGCCTACCTAGCACACCCAGAGAGAGAGTGTATGTGTGCAGAACTCGGCAATAAGGAGGCAGGGAGGGGGAGTTGTGGCTCTGGAAGGCCGGCGAGGAATGAGGCTATCGGGAGGGACACGCACACTATGAGTAATCCATAAACCATACCTAGGCACATACACCTTACACCTATACCTATTCATAAGCAATACTTGAGGCGTCCCGCGCGTGTGTAGATAAAAACACAACCTCCCAACTAACAGAAGAAACACCCATCCCTACCTACGTATATAGCCTTCTATAGCCGATTCGTGGACCCGTTTCTCCGGGGCGCGGGTGCCGTGCCTGTGGGCACCCCTTCTCCTTACAGTTAGGTATGTTTGGCACGCGCCAGGCCGAGATGCTGGCGACGGCCGTACATACATACCTAGGTATATACCCGCGTTTCATCCTACGAGCAAGGCGAATTCTACGGGCATGGGGCGGATATGCGTACCCAGGCAGGTAGGCGGTGGTGGTGGTGTACATACCTGAACCAAGGCGCGACCAACCTCGAGGGACCTCGAGGGCCCTCGAGCTTCTGGCCTACCCCTGGCCAACCAACCCTGGGGTCAATTCCCTTCTTGGCTCCCACGAGCTCCTTCGCAGCGGAGATCGGCCTACGCACATGCATAACCTAAGGTTAATGAGCCCACGACGATCGAGGGCATCCGCGTAGCGTCGCACCCGGTACCACCCCCAGTAGACCAGTGTCTAGACGTCTCGCAGAGGGCTCCGACACGGTAGGCGACGTGGATGCTGAATCTCGTTGAGGGGAGCCCGACTCGGCATAAGACCAACATCGCATTGGTGATGCTATGTATATCATGATTCTCGTCGTTGCGCCCTCATCCCGTCGCTTTCCTTGACTCCACAAAGATTGATTCTGACGAGAGGCTCTCCTCTCATACCGTCAACCCTTGATATCCCTTCCGTCGCCTCAGAGAAGAGCCGGAAACCGCTGGACGCCACGCAAATATGATACAGAATCGAAATGTCGTCCACACTATAAATCCACCGGGTCCACTCCGCCCACCCCGCAGCCCCGTCCACATCGTATTACATCAAAGAAGTTTACCTTTTTATCACAAGCCACGTCGTAGTTTGGTATACCGGAAGGCTGGTGTCGGTCTGGATCGAGCATCCTTCAGATATTCGTGCGAGGGGGTTGTCGGGACGGACATGGGCAAAATGCGAGCTATTTAGTGCCCAAGATAGGTACAGATCAGGGCTCGGCCTAGCTCCACTCCCCTTGCTTATTGGCCTCCCCAGCGCCAGGTTCGAGTGATCGGTACGCATTCAGGGTCGGTCGGTGTCATTCGGGTGCGCCGTTGAAGGTTCGATAACAATTTGCGGCAATTTCCCGATCCGCAGGCTGGGCAGTTGTGGCGCGCCTCCAACCCCCCTCGATGAGCTTGCCGAGCCACCGTCACCTGAATTATCCGTAGGTGAGACGTCTCTGCTATCGCCTCCAGCCCACGCGCTCGGCCTTCGCTCGGGGCTGTGAGACTGGTGAGTATAGTGGGGTGGAGGCTCATTAAATAACGGCGTCGTCGCCCCGGATCTCACGTCATCTAGGCTCACGTCCTCGTAATCTGGCGGAGGCATCATGGAGTCGCCCAAGTCCTCCTCGCCAATGATTTCGGGGCTCGACCCTGCGCGGGTGTGGCTACTGCTCCCCAGCCGAGGCGTCGAGGTTGCGGATCTCAATCCCGGTGACGGAATATCGGTATCGAGGCTCAGAACGGAGCTCGCACTTCGGTCGCGGCGGTGCGACAGGGCCGAAGGTGATCGAGTAGATGCAGCGATGCTGGCCGCGTCGGAAAGCAGTCCGACCCGTTCGCCCTCGTGGCTGTTTGCGCGGACCCTGGTGCCGTTGAGCTGAGCGACGCCGAGATCGTGATAACTAACGCTAGAGACGGCACGTTGGCGCCGCTCCTTTACTTGTCCGTAGGCGTCGCGCAACTCCTCCACGACGGTACTGTTGAGAGCAGCTCGTCGCTGAGCCGATAGCTCGCCCAGCGCGGCCGTGTCCCCGCGTTCCCTAGCCTCCCGGGTTAAACGCCGTCGCTCGTCCCGTGCTGCGTTCTCCCGCCTCCTCGCCTCTCGGATCTGGAATAACGCCTCCATCTCTTCGTCCCGCATGCTTTCTAGGTCCTCGGTGGTGGGGCACTCTATCACAATGTCGATCCCGTCACGCTCGCCCTCACGGCCGATGACCTGCTCGGTTTCGATTGCTTTCGTGCGATAAGGAGGCAGGGTCATTACCGACCGGATCGACGTATTCCTGTCTATTTGTGATGTCGCGGTATTCTCGTTGGTTTCTGGGTCAGAGCGGCCATCATGTGCCCTCCTTCGGGAGCCGGAAGCGTCGAGGGATTCGCCGTCCGAGGCTTGCTGGTATGCGCCCCGTTCCGATTTCGACCGTTTCTTGTACCGCGAGAAGCAGTAGATCGAGAAGACGAGGATGAGCACAGACAAAACTGACCCAACACCCTACAACAACGTGGAATTTCTCCGGTCAATAAAACGAACCCGGGTATATCGTGCTCGCTCGTGCGTTACTTACGACGAAGATGGTGGTAGAAGAGGAATTCGACTCTCTAGGCACCAGTTTGCTGATGGCAGGCGAATCGCCGGTAGCAGCAGGCCGCAGGGGCACGGGAATACGGTTTGGGAGCCACATGGTGAGATGTAAACGAGCGACGAGCGAACGCGGTCCTTTGCGACCGATGTGTAAGGTGGCACCAGACAGTTGCAGGCTCGGAGCCAACAAGCCCGAGACTATCTTCGGGAGAGCGCCGCTCGCATGACCACTACAACAAGCTAAACTGAAAACCAGATATCAGACGTTATTAGAAGCGGGGGGCCCAGCCGACACAACGGTGAGGATGGACGACGCTAATGGCTATGATAGCGACCGAGCGGCCTCTGCCGAGGGCGCAAAAGGTTGGCACAGACAAGGTTAAGCTTTGACCGACGGGGACTGATGGGAACCGCGTGGTTATAGGGCCAGACGACGCGGGCAGTGGTAGCAGGACCGTCTTCTCGTCGCGGCAGGCTCGGGACTGCCGGGCGATAGAAATAGCAGTAGACGCTGGGGACCGGCGAGCTATAGGCGAGTGTTATGTATTAGGTAGGTAGGTATGGGCCGTGGATGGAGGGATTTTACTGCACGGCCTCGAGCTGGGCTGGGACGAGCACGGTAGGTAGAATTGGCGATCAGCGGCCGGCAATAAGGGTTTGACGAGCTGTGTTGGTGTTGGCACCCGGACGAAAAGATTGCAGGGTGGTTGTTTGAAGGTGGGTAAAACAGATCAGCAAACCGAAGCGATTATACTAGGAAAGTAACAGGAGGGAACAGGAGGGATCGGAAGTGACTGAGATGCATAAGCTCAGGTGCCTGTAGTAGATCGAGATGGCTTCTTCGATATAAGTAGGTGGACAAGGCAGTATTAGCACGGTATATGCGGTAGATGTGAGGGTCGGCTCGTGTATGTGTGTGTGTGCAGGAGAACCGGATGTGTATGTGTAGGTGGAGTGGAGTGGGAGGAGGAGGAGGAGGAGGGGGAGACGGCGACGGGGACGAGGATGAGGAGAGAGGGAGGAGACAAGAGGGCTGATTAATGTGGGCGGGACGTTCGGACGGTAATGTAGGTACCTCTTGTGTGGCAGATCGTTGGGTCCTTCACTTATACCTGCATCCCGGGCAGATCGTTGCCATTTACTCAGGTACTACGTTAGGGTGGGTAGTTGGCTAAGGTAGGTGCATTTCCCAACCCGTTGCTGCTTAATTGCCTAGCAGGTTGGCTAGGTACCTCCTACCCTCCGGTCTAGACCGCATGCTAACCCGCTCAGGTGGCATTCTTATGCCAGTCATAAGTACCTACCTACCATAAATACCTAACCTACCTACCTTCTCCTACCAAACCTGAAGTACCTCTGAAGAAAGTAGCTGCCTTGCCTACAAGTACTGCACATGCTATAGAAACTCATACCTCCTGACAACTGCCATCGGAAGGGAATGGAAGGGAAATGGGGAGGTAAAGCTATCTTGGGCAGCCTCGAGAGGAGATACTATGTGTAAAGGGCACGATAAGGAGGTAGGTACCTAACCTAATTAGCCCACCTATCCTACCCTTACCCAGGTAAGTACCTAGTAGGTACATATGTATTGTATCTACCTCCCTGACGTTATCATTAAGTACATAGGTAGGCAGTGCCTCAGCGCCTAGCAGACTCGACAGTCTGCCCAAGCCCAAGGCCGTTTAGCAGCGAAGCAGGGGAATACGCACCGAGAATCCAGTGTTGCTAGGAGAGCTACGTGTATAGGAAGTACCCAAGGTGACGGCCTCGAGTGCGCGCCTTCGTCATAACGCAGTCATACATATAATAGTGAGAGCCTTTCTAAAATCGACCATCTCCTAGTCTTCTGCAGGTACTTTGGGTAATCGTATACCTAGTATATGCACCTACCTGCCCACGCAAGCGCTACCCAGGTAAGGTAACCCAAGCCTCGCAGGTACCTACAGTAGGTCCCTCCTCTAAGCGTCTTGTACCAGCGGGCTGGGTGCCTCAGGTGTTAGCTCCCGTACCCGTAAGGTGAGACGTCGCCCTGCCTATCTACATCCTCGGAATGGCTTCTTCTCCGGCAGATGGACTGACTGACAGGCCTGCGACAGATGAGTTCATTACTTCGAGCGCCCGCGGTTGACATCGATATCCACCAGCCAGCCTGCTTCCGCCCACCCTGTGCGCCCGCGCGCATCGTGCACCGCACCACCCACCCGTACATCCACCCTATCACCAGCCCCCGTCTCTGGGCTGTGCCGTCGGAAGCTCGATCCTTCAGCACCCCTCCATTGGGTCGCCCTCGCCCCTGGTCAACGCCTCTAACCCAATGGTCCCGCGACTTTATAATTTGCCCACGTACCGACATACGCACTCGCGCCCACGCTTCCGCCCGAAGCAGACGGAGGAGCAGTGAGAATTCGTACATGGCCAGGTACCTAGATCAGCGATCGACCTGCCTGGCTGCTGCCGCCGTAGGCCTGTCTACATGTCTTCCGGAACGTGGGAAACGCCACGGTCTCGTCGCGTTGTCCCATTCCGACAGCTTGGTAAAGCTTACGCGCTGTGCCCGCGGTAGGTAGAAAGGAAACGAACGGGACCTACCTTATCTGCAGGGTGCCTCTGGCGCATACTCCCTCGAGGACTCCGCCGCGCCGTGTAGGTACGAAGCCCGAGTTAGTACCACCGGCTGTTTCCGGATCGTCTCTACCCGTGCCGAAGGCAAACGAGAAGGAAAAGAAAAAACAAGATGCCTGCCCAGTAGGTATCATTACGTGGGAGGCATGATGCTCACGGATTGTCGTGGTACGCCGGCAACGACCCTCTCAGTCTCATCGTCTAGTTTTCCCCCTCCGCAAGTCTATCTATCCATGTGCTCGTGTGCGTCTCCCCGTCCCCGTGCCCTTCAAAACACGCCGGGTCGTGGCTGAATATTTCATGTTCTACGACTGCGCCTCCATTTGTACGGGATGTTCTTGTTTTTTTCCTTGTTTACGTCTTGCCGGTCTCCCACACACCTCTCCCACACACACCTATGGACGCATCTGCCGAGTATGTCCGACCGTGTACCCTACGCAAAGGTGGCTGCGCGCAAGAAGGAAGACGGGGGCGGAGAACGCGCCAGCTCGTCACCTCAGGCAGCAACTAAGCGGGATAATGGGAATACACGTGCCTTGTCGTCTTACATAGGAACCTCTACAGCAGATTCACCAACCAACAACCAAGCAACTAGTCCGTGGCAGGCAGGTAGGCACCTATAGGCGAGTCTAATAACCAAGGTGCTTGCCAGCTCGAGACGGGGAGATGATAACACCGGCCTACGTGCCTGAATATATACGAAGGCGCTAACCGGGTTGGCACTGGAGCTGTCCGAAACGATTGTGCCCGTCGCACTAACAGGTCCCTCGAGGTGGTGTACTGTCTAAGACACGCATGGGTACGAGTCTTGTCAGCATCTGAATCGCAGCCGTCTGTATGTCTTAGATCGGCCCTCGTACGGTCGGCATGGTTACATCAGCTCAACCACCCGCCGAGTTGTCGGGGAAATTGGGGGACGAGAGCAAATAAGGGAACAGGAAAAAAAAGTGAGAAAATATCGTCCTAGATGTATGTGTTATCTGGCGCAAAGGGTCCTGTTTCTCTTTTTTTTCCTTGGGGGGGTTGCAATACGGTAAAATTAGCAACATTACAGCAACGTAGAGAAGAGAAGAGGCCAACAGACGTTGCCCTGGAATTTGTGCGATGAGCCCGTGTCGTCGCTCTCCAAACGGGATCCGGTTTCGCCCCTGACTGGCGCATGAGTGTCCGGGTACGCACTCAGCTAGCTGCACCGGATACCGCGCGCTTACGCCGCCCGCCCGCCAATCGAGCAGAGATCCCCTGGCCCCGGACATCTCTCTCTCTCTGTTTCCACGTTTACCTGCCCGAGCTGCTCAGAGACGCCCCCTAAGCCAAGCGCAACTATGCGGAGAGGCGCACCTAGGCAATGTAGGTAGGTGCTGAACGTAGGTACCTACTAACACCCGCATTGGGTGGGCACCTCCTCCGTATGTGCCTAGATCCGTCGTCCGGATATCCTCGAATCCGGCTTAATTCAACCCCCCAACGTATCCCCTCGTTTCCAACTCTCACGTGTGCCGTGGTTGCACTCATGTGCCCGAGGGCGGTGATTTAGAAACATCGCCCCTGTTTGTAGGTGCAACTTGGTCCGAATGCTGCTGTGCCGTGATTCTTCGACTTGACCTTGCTACGGTTTGATCTACCCCTAAATACAAATTTCTCCCGCGTCCGACAGCTCATCCCGTAAAAGAAAGACAATAAGATAGCCTTTGCGTGCTGTCGCTGAAAAAAAAAAGACCTCCTAGAGCTAGGCCCCCCTTCCTCTTTTGCAGGTAGGTATATAATGATGTACAAGCCCAGGCCGCTAACCGAACCTCTTCTCGAACTTCTTCAGCATCCCCGTGACCCCCTTCTCCAGTCGCTCCGCGTTCTGCCCCAGCCTGCTCTGGTGCTCCGTCTTGGGCTTGTACTGCCCGTACTTGGCTGCGTGCTCCTGCTCCGTCGGCCGGTACAGTTGCTGGTGGATGTTGTAATCCGTTCCCGCGCCCGCGCCTGCGCTCGCCTGCGGCGAGGTTGTGTAGTTGTACTGCGAGTAGCCTCCCGGAGGCGCTGGTGGTAAGCCGGGGCTCTGGACAGCTGGTGGCGGTGTTGGCTGGTGGTGCTGCGTGCTCTGTGGGGGCGGAGGTGGCGGAGGCGCGAATCCGGGCGAACCCGGGAAATTGCCGCCATAGGGGCTCACGAGTCCCGGCGACGCCAGGCCTGACACGGGCATCGTCGTCGACCGTTGCAGATTCGTGTGTGCGAACTGGGACGGCGGGAAGCCTGGACTCGTGAGGCCCGGGCTTGCTAGGCCGGGACTTACCACCCCGGGCCGAGGCTGGGGTGGGGGGCCGGGGAAAGTAACGGCTCCGTGCCCGGGAGTGTATGGAGCGACGTGGTCTCGCGCGACGGCGGCCGCGAGAGGGTCGTGCCCGTCATCTTCAACCGGCGGAGGAGTCTTCTCACGGTGTATCCTCTGCTCCGCGGCCGCCGGCGCCGCTGGATTGTACGGTATCGGTGCGAAGCTTTGCGACGAATCTCTCTGGCTGCCTGACGGCGAGCCCGAGGTCGGAGGAGGCGCGAAAGTAGGCACGGCTTGGGGTGCCGGCTTGGGCGATGAATACTGTGGGTCCGAGATGGCCACGTTCTCGAGTTTCTGGACCAACGAGATCGGGCCTTGGGGTTGGCCGTACAGATGCGGCGGCGGGCTAGGCTCGTCGGCGACCTCGACTTGGGATGCAGGGAGGACCCGACGCACGCCATTGACAAATTGCAGGGCATCGTCGTGAGTCCAGAAGTAGATATCGAGAGAGTGTAGTTTGTAGTGGTACTTGTTCTCGTTCCGCGGGTCGAAGGTTGGGAGATGCCACTGGCTTTGATCTATCGGCGGGCCGGGAACGCCTTCAACTAAGATGTTGACCAGGCACTGCTGCTTGTAGGAATACCGGACCCGGGTTCTATCTAGGGCTGCATATGCGGCGCGAAGGTTAGGACGGCAGCCCAGATAGCATACGCATGGTGGATTGTCTCGGAATCTGTCTTACATCCGTCAAATGCATCTTGGTCGTCTGTGCCCGGCTGGTTCGCGATCTCAATGCGGGCCCTGCGGTCATTCGCATTTTCGAACAGGTAAACATAAGAACCCTTGTCGAAGCGATGGTGAGGCGGGTGTGCTTCAGGAGGTCCGTAAAAGTAGTGAACGTCGCCGAAACTGTGGTAGAGGACACGAGATCAGTCACCGCAAAGCCCCGAGGGGTCCCCGAAGCTCATCTTCAGCCATCCTCGGGCACTCACAGCGTCGCAACGTTCTCCTCACCAGGCCGAACCGCCATCTCGATCGCGACTCGGCCGCTAGTACGGACGATAGTGCGCTAGCAACGGGGAGAGGGGTGAAGGACAGAAGAGAGAAGTCGGAGGAACAGCAGCCGAGACCAAGGGGAAGTAGTCCAGCCTATGCTCTCTTGATTTTGGAGCTGTGAAACCGAGTGACGACGAGGGCTTCGAGAGCTCGAAGCGAAGAGAGAGGGGATGGAGAACGTGGTTCGAGAATCCGAGCCACCAACGAGAAAAGGAGTTTTAACAGCAGGCCGCCCAGAGGTCCATCGCTAAGTAGGTACAGCACAGCCTAGGGAGCCTCCCTACAGCAATCGGGACGACGCTTTCGCCCACTATCCTCCCCGCCTCTGTGCAGTACCTATATAGGCATGCTTTCGACGGGGACGTGGCATTGCAACCTGCTGAGTTGCGAGGGGGGGCTTTGCACGATAACCGGCGCTTAGACGAGCCAGTCCCAGTGGAGGGAAGACGACAGCGGGGGGCACTACGTACCTACCTAGGTACCTTAGGTACCTACCTCTACCTCTAGGTAGGTCCCTAGGATGTACCTACTCATAGCGTAGTGTCACTTTCAGGTATGCAGATACCCGGGGAATTGGATAATCGCAGAGATGGAGGGGCTTCGGTGGGGGTCGGAGAGCGGAGTTCGGCACGTGTCGGCCCGGGACCCTTCGTCGATGGGCGATTGGTGATTTTTTCGACGTATTTTTCATTTTAACACAGAGCTAGGTACTCTTTGCGCAACTCGATCCGTCCACTAAGGCGACCACCTCGTCCTGGAGTCTTCTCGGGGGTTTTTTTTTCTTCTCCCTCACCAGTGCCCGCATCGCCGTTCGGAACCCTGCGCGCAAGATCGACCCCTTCCTAGTTGCGAGTCGACAGGCCAACTAATCAATCGAAATCGACCGACGCTCCTTGAGGCAATCCCATTGCCGAAAGCTCGTCCCCGCCTTGTTCCCTCTCTCCGTCTTGGCTGGCGGGGGAAAGAGGACACGAAGAAGAAAAATACCCTGCCGCTCGCTCCCTACGCGAGTGACGGATTATCGTCGACGGCACGGCGGCTGGGAAGAGACCACATCCGCTCGGCGAGGCGTCTGCCTACTCGGAGTCGATACGCTCCCGTTCGCCTGCCTTGGTAAGGCTCCGTGAAAAAGAGCAACGGCCGGGGGAGAAGAAGCAGGCACCTGTGCTCGAGATGGGGCTCCCGAATATAGCGAACATGTGTTCGCACCTGCAGAACGCGGCCCGCGCGAAGCTCGGCCTGACCAGCGTCCCCCACACCAAGTACAACGTGCGCCTGGCGTTGGCGATGCAGCGAGCTGGCTTCCTCTCCTTCGTCACGCGCGGGACCAAGCAGCCGCCCGACCCGGCCACCGTGGGCGCATACGAGCCCCCGCCGGTAACGACGAAGAACGTGGCGAATCAACGCCTATGGCTCGGGCTCAAGTACAACCCCGACACCGGCGAGCCCGTGCTCGGCACCATGATGCCCATCACCAAGTCCAAGCGGCCCGTCACCATCCAGCTACCTGCCATCAACCGCATTGCCCGCGGCTTCGATTCCCACCCCCATCGCGGCCTCAGCATTGGCGAGGCCATCATGATCAACACCTCACTCGGCACCCTCGAGGTCCGCGAGGCCAGCAAGCGCGGGGTCGGCGGCCTTATGCTGTGCCGCATCGGCCCCCCGAAGCTTACCCGTCTCGGCCTATAGTGTGCATAACCTTACGTAGCGACGGACCGGTAGCTGTGTATGGGCCGGAGAGGTGGGTTAGGGAGCGATCAATGACGCAAAAGCCCAAATTTCGACTTGTCCAACGTGATAGGAGGCGAGAAAAAAATACCAAGAGGAGGGAGGTAGTTGAAGAGTTGGGCGAATCCGCAAGCGTGCCTCAAGCTCAGGTTAGGATACGATCAAGAAAACGGGCTGCTTACTTGCAGGGCACTCACCAACTGATGCCGGGACTGCAAAGATGACAGAACCGCCGGGGTGAGCCAAGGGTCATCGCTCGCCACTCCCTACTCATATCTCGCTCTCGTATTTGGCTGCAACGTGTCTCAAGATATCTGGACATGGTGTCGGCCCGCCAGCCTTGACAGGCAAGGAACGCGGCGGAGCGGAGAAATCTCGAGTACGATAATGTGTATACATTTCGGAGCCATTTAGTTCCCGAAGCCTTTCGACATGGACGCGGTTGACGCGTACTCCCCCGTGCTCGCTGTACTATATCTGTCTCCATCAACCACGCTCTTAACTCTCCACTCACTCTCCTTTCTATTTTCCACGCAGTGGTGACCCCGTCATGGAATGCCTATAGCTGTTTCTTGGAATGCTACGATATGAGACGTTCCCGCTAGGTAAGCTAAGCCTCGTACAATACAGGGGCAGAACCTCCCTCCAGCTCGAACAGCTGCGCCCCAGTATATATAGGCTTTGGTATCTGTATATATATTATATATCACGTATGCCATGGATACAACAAGTGTGTAAAACGCGGTCGCGAGACTAAGTAGTAGTAGTAGTAGTGGCCGTGGTGATACCCGAACGAAGAGAGAAGCGAGGAGGGGTATACAGTGGGACAACGGCGACGGCAACGCCTAGCGGCATCAGCGCGGATGCGTTCGCCATAAGATGAAAGGATGCGGTTATAGCAGATAGTTATGAAAGGGTAGGCAGTTTTTTTATTGATGGTTCGCAACCGACATCCCCTTCCCAGCCCTCCCTCCCTCCTCCCGCAGGCATCTGCGCGCCTCGAAAACTCCATACCAATGCAAGCCATGCATCTTCTTCATACACGAGGATCAGAGGGAGTGAAAAGGGGAAAATGTCATAGAACAGGAGCAGAGACCCATCCCAATCTGCTCCACACGGCCGTTTCTTTTCCTTCTCCTCGGGGGAATAAAAGTATCATCTGCGCCTCTCCAAATACAAACCAACGTATAAACTCTTCTCACGAATACTCCTCGTTTTTTTTTGGCTGTCATATCCTCTACGGCCTCGGCCTTCTGTTAACAATGCCCTTCCGAGGTCAGGAACCGGTTTATTACTACAACTCTGCATTGCCACGACGCCCTTGCACATCTAGGCAGACTCAACGGGTACCTCCGACTTCGCCTCGAGCGCCTTGACCTCTTCCGCCTCCTGGGGTTCCTCCTTGGACAACTCCGACTCATCCTCAGTTCCGAGCTCGGAGCTCTGCGTGGGAGCGGCAGACTGCACCTCCTGTGCCGGTTGAGACTCGTCACCACCTAGAGCGGGCTCCGCAGCCTTATCGTCGACAGGCTCTTCTACAGCGACCTGAGCAACGTCTTCGGCAGTCTCGGCCTTCTCGACAACTTCTTCCTTGCTCTCAACGGGGACAGCCGCGGCAGGCTCAGCGACGACATCCTGCTTTACTTCCTCGGCAACCGGCGCGGCGATGGCTTCGGTAGAAATAGCGGCCATCTCGACGGCTGCCTCGGGCGTCTCAACTGGAGCAGCGACAGGCGCAGCCTCCTTGACGGGGGTGACCTCCTTGTTAGCCGGCTTAGCACGCTGTGCTGGCGCTTTGGTTTTGTTGGTCGCAGCTTGGAGCTTTGTCGACGCCTTCTTCGTACCGGCTTCCGCATCCTTTGCTACGGGCTTCTTCTGGCCGACCGGCTTCCGCGGGGGTGTGACGGGCACCTTCTCGGACGCCTTGCTGGAACTGCTCTGGGTAGGCCGCGTCATCCGAGCTAGGAAACTTTCGTCAACGTGACCTTCTTTCTTAGCGACTGGGTGGTCCCGAGCCGGCTGTTTCGGAGGAGGTCCGAGGCTGGGACGGGGTCTGCTGATAGTCGAACTTTGACGTCTCAGGGTCTTACCATGTGTTGCGGCGCCGACGGTCGAAACGCTTCCTCTGCTAGGCGACCTGTGAGCAGTAGGGGCCACACTAAGGTTGTAGGCAGAGGCCCGGGATAGGGACTGCCTGGGGGGGTGAGAGGTGCTGCTGCTGCTCCCGGTCTTCGAAGCGGAGGCAGTATGCGGCGCCAAGGAGGAGGCAAGCTTGACGGGCCGGGTGGGCGACTTGGGCTTCGGCTTTGCAAGTCCAGTAGCAGGCGGGGCGAGCTCAATGGGCGCCGGCTTCTTGGTAGGAGCAGCGGTCTTTGTGGGGGCGGCGGCGACCGCGGTCTTCTTCGGAGCATCGTGATCCTTAGACGGCACAGGGAGGGTCTTCTTGGGGGGGACTAAGCTCGAGCCGTGGGCGAGAGTCTTCGCAGCGCCACTAGCAGGTTTAGTAGTGACTGGTCTAGCAGTGTTAGGTGACTTGGGAGCCTTCGATACGGGCTTAGCGGTCGTTGAAATAGGAGCAGCTTTAGGAATATGCTTGACCGTCGTGGCGGCCTTGGCCTTTGTGGTTCTCGTCGCGGAACTGGCACGTGAGGGTACACTCGAAGGCCCGGAAGTAGGTGGGCTCTCATCTACCTGTGCTGCTGACCTGTCCGTCGGGTTTCCTGGGGGCAATTTGGTTCCAGGCTCCTCATCTGGGACTTTGTCCGGACTCGGGTTCGGTGCGAGGCGAGGACTCGGGGACTCCTTCTTTAGAGCCGATTTGACGACCGGCTCTACCTTTTCCAGCTCAGAAATAGCTTGCTGGCTGAGACTTGTCGTGACAGAAGAAGCACTGTTGGCCATGTTGTTGACGGGCACCTCTGGTTTCTCAATTGATGGACGCAGCGGAAACGTTTCGCTGCTGCTGTTGCTGAGTCTCGGGCTCGTTAAGCCAGATTCGCCGCCGTAATCTCTCCTCAATCCTACTCGGCCGTCTTTCTCAATCGCTACGAACGTGGTTCGAACCTTGGAGAGCGGTCGAGGACCCTCAGGAGGAGAAGGAGAACCTAGTAGCAGCAGGGAAAAGAGTCTAGCGTTAGCTAACTACCTCGAGAATCAACGATATCTAGTAACAGAATATCTATGGTGCGGACGCGACTCATCCGCTATTTCGCGGCGCAAATAAAAAGCAGAGCGGAAAAGACGAGAATGCAGCGGCAGATAGTTAACAGTAAAGCTGCATGCCCGTGTGCATTCACGTGCAGGACATGTAAGGGTAACTGAATTAAGCGATCGCGATCGCTAAACGAAAACAGAAAAAGCAAAAGGGGGTGCCTTACCGACTGAGCTTCCGCCGGGAGCAGGAGATCGCCCTCGGTCTGGGGTGTTGTCGCCCTTGTTCTCGAACATGGCGCGAAGATTCTTAACTCCCGACATGGCTGCGGCTCGGGAATTCCTCTGGGCGGTCGGCAAAAGGAAGGAATATCAGTGAAAAGAGATCAGTCGCGGCTGATCGATCATACACCAAGGGTCACCGCGGGAAAGGGTAGCAATTGCTTGCTAAAAACAATAGCATGCCCCAGCGATTGCTCTACTCTATCGAGCTGTCCGCCTCTATGAGCTGTCTCGGCTGTGAATGCGGTTGGGGCGGCTCTCGTATTGGCACTGGCACCGGGATGGATATTGGCGTCGACGAAATCGTCTGCGTTCCGCGTCTCCAAAAGGAGTGGGAGTAGGGGAGGAGGGATCGAAGACAAGCTGTGTCGGCTCGGGAAGACGAGGGGAAAGGGAGCTAGGTAGTAGTGATAGCTAGCTATAGTTGGCTCGGCCCAGGGGGGTGAAAACCATGGGTATTGGCGAGATTCGGCTGAGGCGCGTGTGCCTAGTTAAAGGGGGTATTTCCTCCGAGACGAGATAGGACCGAAAGTAGTAGAATGTGATATCACCAGCCCACCGGAAATAACAACGCGAACAGATCAACTCAACGTACAACGTAGGCGATAAAAACGAGAAACAGAAGGAGAGAAAAAAAAGGTAGTGTGTATCGAAGCGAACGAAGGTGTAATAAAGAGTCGAGAAGGTGTAAGACGCGCGGAAACGGAACCAAAGGTACTAGGAGGATGTATGCTGGTTAACGGTATTAGTGGAAGCGAAAGTGTACTTCTGTAAGTGCCAGTGCAAGTGCAATTGTCGGCGTAGGGAGAAGAGGGAGAGGAAGAGGCGGGCTGGCGACGATGATGGTGCCGGCCGGTGGTGTTTTGTTGCTGCTGTTTCGAGGAGGTGGGACGGGGTGGAGGACGGCAAGCGTCCAAGTTCAGTCCGGTCCAGCCCAGTCAAGAGACAATCAGTTCCGTCTCGGTCCAGAGCTCATCGGCCCATCCATCCATTCATCGGTGAGAGGAGTTTGGGCAGCGGGAGCGAGAGGCGAGCGCGATAAAGTAAGTTAAGTAACGGGTTTTGGGGGGGGGGAGAGGTCGGGTTGGGAATCGGCTCTAGGTTAATAAAATAAAATAAGAACATGGGCGGAGAGGTCCAACTGACGAATGTGTGTGGTGGCATCTGGTGGCATGTGGCCGGTGGCCAGTAAAGTGGCCTAATTAAGAGACGGTCCAAGATTCGGGTCCTTTAATCAATTGGCCATTCTGACAGGGGCGCCATACCTTAGGTACCTCTCTACACACCGGGAGCACCTCTGTGCTCCCGCGCGCGTCCTCCCTCTCTCATGGAAGGTACCTAATCTACTACCTGTCATGCCAGGTACCTACCTTCATACAGGTAGGTAGGTATCTATAGGTATCACATCCAGAGGCTAGGTTTAGAGATAGGTACCTAACCTGCCTAGCCCAAGGTTAATCTTGAGGTAGGTACTAGAAGATATTAGGATGTACATCTAGGTAGGTACCTCTGAATGGTGCTCCGGGGATGGGATACAGCCTGGATACAGGAAACGTCCCGCAATCGCTGTACATACCTACCCACCTCTAATGTAGGTACACTACTGCAATGAAACCACACAGGCTGGTCGACGAGTACTATATATCGACGTTCGACACTCCTCCTATCCATACCGTGTACAGAAGTAATGTCCAGCCGCAGGGTGGCTTACGGGAGATCGTGGAAGGCCAACAGAAGGGTCCAAAATATAATTCTCTAATTTTGTAATTTGTCCGCGGCCAGGTCCCATGTTCCCCCATGTGGGCTCAGGGGGCAATGCATGACTGCTCAAAACGTGTCTAACTGTCTACCGAGGCGACCTACGAGCCACATATGCATACGTAACCCGCACAGGTATACGCATATCGTGCATGTGTACTACTCGATGTCAATATGCATATCCATATGTATATGTGTGTGTGCATACATTACACGTAAGTACCTCGTAGAAGGTATACCTATCTGAATAAAGGTACGCGTACCAGCATGAGCGCGCGTGACTTTGCCAAACGGGACGGGAACCCGCAGAACGACACGAACTGGTTTGATGATTTAATGATGGACGGTACCGGATGAGATGAGTCGATTCTGGGAAGAGGCCGTCTGCCTGGAGCGACTCGGGAGGAATTATGACTGCGCCTATCGCTCATTATTGTTACGCTTACCACTTGAGGCTTATTAGACGAATAAAGAAGAAACAAGAATAAGAATAAGAATAAGAACACAAGAATAGGAGGAGGAGGAGGAGGAGGAGGAGGAGGACGGCTAGGAGTAGGAGTAGGAATAAGATATTTATGTTGCCGTGCTTCTCTAGGTGAATTATATATATACGTATACTTGTGCATGTATGCGCAGGATTTACGTAGCACACCCACCCTGCATTACATATCTGACTTGCCTACATCATCGGCGGCGTTTCCTTGACATCCCACAGGTACCTAGACATCTGTCCAAAATGAACCTCCCCCCCCTTTTTACATCTAGCATACGGGTTGGTAAGTTCGCATCATTTCACATCTCACCACAGACAGCGGACGCTTAGACTGGGACGAGGAGAACCAGATGCTCGGCTGTTACTTCAGGTGAAGGCAATACTCATAAAGGCTACCAGACCCGGGCTTGCGAATCATTTCATGCCCCGAGCCCAGGGCCCTGAATATGGCCTGCCCAGTCCGCACATCGCGTATCCCTCCCTCTGCGGCCCATCCACGCTTCGTGTTCGGAGCCGCAAGAACGGGGAGCATCGGTCGTAGGGTCGTAGGGCTACGGGATTGCATGACCAGGAAAGGCTATCCTGTCACTGCAACCTTCCGACGCTGGCATTACCGTTCATATACACACATACCTGGGTAGGTAGGTAGGTAAGCGCCTAGATAGATAGGTATGCTCAAACCCACACACCTAGCTTTTTGAAAAGGCCAGCGTGGGCACAGCAGCTGAGGAGCTATGTAAGTAGGTGTTGTTGTGTCCGCACATGCGCACAGATATATTTAGGTGTATAGATGAGGGTGTGTGTGGTTACGTGGTTATGTTTGCATGCAGATAAGCAGCCCGTTTCAAGATCCCCTCGCCGCAGACAAACATTGTGCCATCTGTAAATTTGGTCTTCCAGACGATGCGAGAAGAAGACGTGTAGGGATTGCCTGGGTAACCGGTAGGCCCGGCCCCCGAGACGGTCAGACGTGGTGGTGGACTTGGGTTGGAGCTGACCCAGCACGCACCACGTATACATATATCCCTACATCCATCTATATATCCATAACATCCATACATACAACCCACGAACGCCGGTTCTGAGGGAGCCAAACATCGCTAGCCACTACTCCTCGGGGCCATCTGCCAGACGACCGCCCCCCTCCTCCATGTATGTCATATCCGCAACCCGGGCCCCAGATTCATGCGTCACACGTAGCGCGTTATGCACGGAGGCGGACGGTTCGGTGCTGACTAGACAGCCAGGGGCGATCCCATTTATGCCGCAGGCACAGGGAGGCAGACGACGCCCTACGAGGTTGTACTCATATGCAGAGGAGGATTAGAGGTGGGGGAGGGAGGGACCAGAGAGAGAAAGAAGAAGAAAAAAGGGGGAGGCAGACCTTGGCATTTACCTCATAGGGCATGCGACAGGTAATTGCAGGTACGTAGATCGCCAGGTACGTAAAGGTAATATTGGTTAGAGGTACATAACACCCATACACCCTAGAGAATGGAAAGGTACCCGAGGCGTGTGTACCTCGTATATTAGGTTAGGTACCTGACGTACCCCCCCTGATAGGGCCAGGTACCTCCTCAGGTACTTGCCGAGGTGGGCTACCCACGTACCTACATATAACACCAACCCGTTGCGCAGTGGGCCACTCCCGTCGTCGCTGGACTGGCGGGACGGTTCCCTCCGATCGCGGCGGCAGATTGCCGGAGAGAGCGAGTTGCGAACAACCTACCCAGGTAGCGAGGTGGGCTCGAACCCCACCAAGGAAATTATTTTGCGAGCAATTTACAACCGGCGCGCTCGACCCAGAGAACACCGCTTCCCACGCTCCCCATACCCCCTCAATTGCACTCCCAGCGATGGCTTCTCGGGTCCTGCGAATAGGTTGGTGCCCCCGGCTCGTCCCCCAGATCCCAATTGGCACACCTGGACGTCCGCGTCTGCGTAGTATACCCTAACAAACCCAGGCCTCATCCCCGGCGATGGCATCGGCCGCGAGGTCATCCCCGCCGGCCGCCGCATTCTCGAGGCGCTGCCGGCCTCGCTGGGCCTCAAGTTCGAGTTCGCCGACCTCGACGCCGGCTTCGACACCTTCAAGGCCACCGGCGCCGCCCTGCCGCCCCGCACCGTCTCCGTCCTGCGCGGCGAGTGCGACGGCGCCCTCTTCGGCGCTGTCTCCTCGCCCACCTCCCCCGTCAAAGGGTACTCGTCGCCCATCGTCGCCCTCCGCAAGCAGCTCGATCTCTACGCCAACATCCGCCCCGTCAAATCCGTCCGCAGCCGCAACCCGTCCTCGTCCGCGGCGTCGGCCGCTACCGCGAACCCCGTCGACATGGTCATCGTGCGCGAGAACACCGAGGACCTCTACGTCAAAGAGGAGCGCACCGTAGACCGCCCCGACGTCGAGGGCGGCCGCTACGCCGAGGCCATCAAGCGCATCTCGGAGCGGGCGTCGTCGCGCATCGCCACAATGGCCGGCGAGATCGCCCTGCAGCGGCAGAAGATCCGCGAGTCCGCCGCGCCGTCGTCCCCGGCCAGCATCCACTCGCGGCCCCTCGTCACCATCACCCACAAGTCGAACGTGCTATCGCAGACGGACGGGCTCTTCCGCGCCACGGCGCACGCCGCGCTCGCCGACCCGCGCTTCGCCGGTGTCGCCGTCGAGGATCAGATCGTCGACAGCATGGTGTACAAGCTGTTCCGGCAGCCGCAGGACTACGACGTCATCGTGGCGCCGAACCTGTACGGCGACATCCTGTCGGACGGCGCCGCCGCGCTCGTCGGCTCGCTCGGCCTCGTCCCCTCGGCCAACGTCGGCACCGGCGGCAAGGACGGCGGCGACAAGGTCTTCGCCATCGGCGAGCCCTGCCACGGCAGCGCCCCCGACATCGCCGGCCGCGGCATCGCCAACCCGATCGCCACCCTCCGCAGCGTCGCGCTCATGCTCTCCTTCCTCGGCGAGGCCGACGCCGCCGCCCGCATCGACGCCGCCGTCGACGCGAATCTCGCCGAGGGCGAGCTGCTGTCTCCGGACCTGGGCGGAAAGGCGACGACCGAGGAGGTGGTGCAGGATATCCTGAGGAGGTTGTAAGCGGGCGAGATATATCTACCCCGCCATGGGTCTCGTAGGTGTTAGATAGGATGCGACGGTTCAAAACGCGCCAAAATAGAAGGAGACATAGATCGGCGAGCCAAGCGAAGGGGGAAAAGGGGGAACTTGCATTAAAATCTAAAAGCCGAAAACAAGGGCGAGCCGAGGAGCGAACCGTAAGAAAGGCGATACGAAGTGCTATTCCAGTGATTGTCACGTTGAAGGGATGCGACGATATCCGGGCCCGCGAACCCAATCTTCCTGCCGTACGCGCGGTTTTGAATCCAACCAGACCAGCTACGCAGAGCACATGGAATGGCACGGACTATCGTGTCGCACTTTAGAAGGTAAGAAGAAGAGAGATCAAGACGGGGAGGACCCTATATAAAAAGCAGGGGGGGGGTGCGCCAGAGGGCAGAGGGAAGAGTGTTTTTATTTATTTCTCGGCAGTTCATCCGGCTGGCTTGGTCCCCCGCGCCCTGCTCTGCCCTCCCCCGTCCCGTCCCAGCCGTGGCGGGAGAGCCGCCGCGATGCGCGTGTATACTCGCACGAGCGCCTCCTACGCAGTCCCGAACCCGGTGCGCAACCGTCGGATCCCTCTTCGTAGCACGCGCACGTCTCACCGCTCGGTATGTGCGTGACCCTGCAGTGCATCGATAGCGTGAGGCAACTCCTATGTATATATACCCGTATATTCGGTTTCGTTCTTGTGCTTTTCTTTTCTTCTTCTTTCTTCTTTCCCCCCCCCTCTCTCTTTACCATCGTACACATCGCACCCAGCTCCACCCGCCGGGCGTTTACATTCTATTCGTAAAAAACCCTGCCCACTCACTACCCAGCGCGGAGGGGCAGGCGGATAGGCGTGCGGGTATAGCTCGTTGCATTTGTGAATACAGGCGTCGCGATGACGACTACGACGACGACGCCTGTCGTGCGCTACCCGTCCGAACGGGGGGGAAACAAACAACAACCCAAACGCACGCATCCTAGCGATAGCGCCGAGGCTTATCGCGAGCTCCGACTAGCTAGGTACCGCTTCGCCCGCTGTCAAGGCTGCCGGGCAATCCCGAAGCCGTCGCCGGGATCTTACTTGGTCCGTTTGGCCTCCAGCTCCTTCTGGTATTTGTCGACCAATTCCCTCCTGCAATGGCTGTTAGTTAAAATACTACGAAGGCCGAGAAGGAAGCAGACGACGAAGATAAAAGAGAGAGAAAGAGAGGAGAGAGGGAGAGAGAGGAGAGAGGAGAGAGAAAAAAAAATCACGTACTGTAGATGTGGTGGCGCAGCCGCGTAGTGAGAAAACTCCATGCTGAACTCGCCCTTGCCCTGGGTGGCGGCGCGCAGCTGGGTGCTGAAGCCGAACATGGCGTTGAGGCTGCAGTCGGCGATGAGGGTGAAGTCCTCGTTGCCGATGTCGGTGTCGATGATGGTCGCGTTGCGCTTGTTCATCAGCATCAGGATGTTGCCCTGGAACTCGTTGGGCGCCGTGATCGTCGTCTTCATCAGCGGCTCGAGCACCTGGCCCCCCGCGTCGGGGAACGACTTGCGGAACGCCATCTGCGCCGCCAAGCTGAACGCGAAATCCGACGAGTCCGTCACGTGCGTCGCACCGTCGTTGACCACCATGCGCGCCCCGATCACCTTGTGCCCCAGCAGCGGCCCTTTCTCGCACGCGATCTCGAAGCCCTTCCCGCACGCCGAGATGAACTTGTCCGGGATGGAGCCGCCCACGACCTGGTTCTCGAAGGTGTTCTTGTCCGGCTCGTCGTTCGGCTCGATCCAGCCGCCGACGCGGGCGAAGTCGCCCGGCCCGCCGGTCTGCCTCTTCAGCAAGAAGTCGAATTCGGTCTTCCGGCTGATGGTCTCGCGGTACGCTACGCGGGGTTGGCCCGTGACGCAGTCGACCTTGTACTCTCGCCGCAGCCGCTCGATGTAGATTTCCAAGTGCAGCTCTCCCATGCCCGAGATGATCGTCTCTTCGCTCTCTTCGTCGACGAACAATCTGAAGGTAGGATCTTCGCGCTGGAAGCGGTTCATGGCCTTGCTGAAGTTGTCGGCGTCGGTGCTCTTCTTTGGCTTGATAGAAAGCGACATGACCGCGTCGGGCACGAACATGGAAGACATGGTATAGGGCAGGTTTCCGTCGGTGAAAGTATCTCCCGAGGCGCACTCGACGCCGAACACGGCACAAATTTCACCAGCACCGACTTCGGTGACATCCTCCATCTCGTTGGAGTGCATGCGCACGATTCGGGGAATCCTGACCTTCTTGTCGGTTCGCGAGTTGAACAGGTAGACGCCCCTCCTCAAGGAACCCTGGTAGACTCGTATGTAGGTGAGCTGGCCGTAATTGTTCTCTTCTAGTTTGAAGGCCAGCCCGACAAACGGAAGGGAGTTGTAAGGAATTAGCTGAGTTTCGGCCTCGTTCTTCTCACGATTCAAGGCTACGTTGTCGACGTCGCCGGGGTTGGGCAAGAAGTCGCACACGGCGTCCAGGAGGGGTTGAATAGACTTGTCCGCTAACGCAGAACCCATCATAACGGGTGTGAACTTCAAACCAACCGTGGCTCGGCGGATGGCGTTCTTGATCTGCTGGTTCGTTGGCGTGCCCTCCTCTAGGAAGATCTCGGCGATTTCGTCGTCGACGTCGGCGAGCTTCTCTACCAGTTCCTGGCGCTTCTGTTGCGCGAGCTCTTTCAAATCCTCGGGTACGGGCCCGACACGGACGGTGGTGCCCCTGATGCCTTCGCTGTAGACGGCCCTCATCTCTATTAGATCCACGACCCCCTTAAACTGGTCCTCAGTGCCGATGGGTATTTGGATAGCGGCGGCGGGGATCTTCAACTTGTTATTGATCTGCTCGACGGCCTTGAAGGGGTTCGCGCCCATGCGATCCATCTTATTGATGAAACTTATGCGCGGAATATTATAGCGTTTCATCTGCCGATCCACGGTGATGGTCTGGGACTGGACGCCGCTGACGGCGCACAGGATCATGACGGCACCGTCGAGAACTCTCAGCGCGCGCTCGACTTCGATGGTGAAGTCGATGTGGCCCGGCGTATCGATCAAGTTGATGTGGTAGGTCTCTTCCTTGCCATTCTCCATCTTTTTCCAGTCGCAGAAGGTGGCGGCGGACTGGATAGTGATGCCCTTCTCTCGCTCGAGATCCATCGAGTCCATCTTCGCGCCCGCGCCATCCTTGCCTCGCACTTCGTGAATGGCCTTGATTCGTCCGGTATAGAAGAGCACCCGTTCGGTACACGTCGTCTTGCCGCTGTCGATGTGTGCCTGTCCCCACGCTTAGTACACGATTTCTTTCTATGATAGTACCCCCCCCCGCCTCTCCTTCACTGCTCTCCTACGGGGGGTTCGGCTCCAGGCGACATACGGCAATGCCGATGTTGCGCACTCTCGACAGGCGCGCCTTCTCCTCCGGGCTCATATTGGCAAAGACGGCTTCGGGCGTGAGGTTGGCGGCGTCCTCAGCCGCTTTCTTCAACCTGTTCGACGGGGACGTCAGTCGGCCGGCCTCGCACCAACGAGGGCCGGCTAGCTGGCACGCTGGGCAGCTCTCGGCGGACGGGCATGAGGGGATGCTTACGCGTCGGCGGCAGCACTGACTGCGGCGTATCTCGGTTTGGTCAAGTTGAAGTACCTCCTCCCGTCGATTCGCAAGGGCGCAGCGATCAGCGGCGCGGGGGTGCGGGCGCCGGGAACTCGGGAGGCCACGCTCAGGAACCGCATGCTGGGCCGCGAGCCCAACATGCGGGCATTGGGGAGGACGACCCTCATGACGAAAAACAGCGGGACACAAGAGAACGTGCAATTGGCGGAACTGTCAATTCGCACAGCGAGCGGACGGCCTTCACGACGTGGGCCGATGTGCCGCGTATTGGCGTTGAAAATATGTGTGCTGCGAGTACCTATCGTTTTTGTTGCTAGTATCGTTTTTCTCTCCTCTCCCCCCACCACCGCCTGAGCCAATTGCAGCACCCCCGGATAAGAGTTTTCTTGGGTACCGACTTGGCTTATCAGCTTATCGCCCTACAGACCTGTATCGGCAGCTCCTCCGCTCCTCCGGGTACCTCTTGGCGCCCTTGTGCCCCTAAAGCGAGTCCCTGCAGGCCCCTTCACCTTCGCTGCGTATGGTACCTAAGGCAATATAGGCATAGCAGCCGATTGCGAGGTACCAATCGCAAACTTCGCACTTAGGTGCCCTACCTCGATTTTATGAGTAGAGAGGAGCCTAGGAGGTATCTACCCCTCAGTATATGGCCCGCCCCCTCCTACGATGTCCATCGGCACCTTCGTAGTCTCAACTTCTTACCTGTCTAGCTCCCCCCCTTTACTCCTCACCTCCTACCTTTCCTCTAATAAGCAACATTCGAATCATCTTGCCGGCTTACCCACCTAGCCGTTCTAGTGCCCAGGTAGCAGTTTACCTGTGGTCTTTTATTTGTTGATTTGCTTTCGTTTCTTTCTAGCATTCCATATGCCTACATATAGCTTAAGGCTGACTATTTGACAAGCTTGGGTCTATTATGCGTCGTTTTGCTCCCAAACATGGCTAATACGATGGCCTTAAACCTCATATCGGCGCGGCCGACCTGGGGCATACACACGATTGGTCCATGATCCGTAGGGCACTTCACACACCAAGTGGTTTCTTGCCGCCGCCGCAGTGCGTGTCCGAGCTACCTCGTACGCCTGGGTCTCCCACCCCCTTACCACTCGACGTAGAGACGCGAGGAGTGGAAAGACGATGGCGAGACAGCATAATGCATAGGAGTACAGATCTATACCCTAGGTAGTCGGCAACTACCACTCGATCGACTGACCAACCGGGGGGGATCCTTGTCATAGGAACAGACGCATTGCAACCCTCACGACTATACGACCCCTTTAGAAGAGGAGAAAAAACCCGCTACCGACCGTGACGAGGCCTATGCTAGCGAACAAGATAGCTACGTTAGTCTGGTCGAACGCGGGTGACAGTCGCGCTGCCGGGGAGTTGGGGTTATTGTTTTGGAAGCCATCGCTGGCGCCGAATGTCGGCGTCGATGCGGTGCCACTCTGGGTGACCAGCGCCTGGTTGGGTGCTGCCGTCGCGGACGGGATCTCGGCCCCTTCGCTAGGGAAGGCAACGATATTGGACGTCGTCGAGTTGAAGTCGGTGGGCGCGATCGCGATCTCGTTGTTGATGAGATCGTAAACGACGTAGGCCGACCGCAGGAACGTGTCGCCGAGCAGGTACGGCGAGCTACTAAAGTTCTGGATACCGAACTGACATGCGTCCTGTCCACGGTACGGCCCCGACCGGAACTGGTATGGTTCGCCGTCCGTGAGTGGCAGTACGAGCTCGTCCATCCCCACGTTGATTACGGGACCGTCGACGCCCGCAAACCCGAATGAGAAGTGGCCGGCACTGTTCTGCATACTGCACGGGAGGATCGCGACGCCGAGGTCATTGCTGTACCCAGCGCCTACCTCCTGCCAGACCTGCTCCGCCAGGTCTGACGGTAGGTAGCTGAAAGTGGTACCCGAGTCGAGGACGACGGGGAGGGGAAACTGCGAAGAGGACAGGGTGTCGGTGCCCGAGGACGAGGTCGCTTGCAGCGATGTCAAGGCGACGATGAAGGCTGTGAACGCATTTGTGTTCGCGTCGCGATAGATGTTAATCCGTGTGAGATCGCCCTGGTACTTCTCTGTATCGATACCGCCGAACAGGATATTGCCGGTGCTGGCGTCGAGGTCGTTCAACCAGAGGCTGTACGCGTTCGTGGCAATGAGGCCCTCCGACTGCATTAGCAGTGGCAGGTTGTCGTATACCACTGAGGCGGATCCCGAGTTGGAAACGATAGCTTCGTTCAGCGCATACCCGACGCCGACAAGACCGTAGGGGATGTCTGTCTCGAGACCGAGACCCATCGTCATGTTGTTCAACGTAGCGCCACCGATTTCGAAGACATCGGCGATGTAATCACCTCTTGCGTGACTGCCGTCGACGTAGGAAATGGCGAAATCATCTGAGCCTATAACCGAGAAGGTGCCGGACGCGTCCTGGTCAACTACGGCGAGAGGGGGCACAGGTTAGCTAAGCACAACTATTCCGACATACCCGTTGCCCAGACTGCCAGATCTGACGGCGCGAGGGGAGGGGGAAGAATGACTTACAGGAGCCGAAAGAGCATCCCCCGCTGCTGGAACTGGGTCTGCAGACTCTTGCGGAGCTCGAGGGCACCCAGATGTCGCTCGACCCAGTATCCAGCTGTAGAGTCAAATTCTGGCCCGGCGTGCCGACTTGGCAAGTGGCAAAGTAGCCGCCTCTGAGCTTCTCGTTCGTGATGACCTCCTCATACGTGCCATCCTGCCGCCGAACGAGCCTGGGACGGCCGGTGGGCTTTTTCACAATCTCCCACTGGACAACCTGCGCTTGACCGAGGGACGCCAGCAGCGTGCCCGTTGCGAGTGCGGCGATAGCCTTCATGATAAGTTGGTGGGCGAAGATGTGGTGGATGGCAGGATCGCTAATGTGCCGGCGAGGGTCCTACGTAGGGTTTGTAGAGAGCCGTGTGAAGGAAGAGCGCCCCGGAATAGAGCTTTCGTGGGATGGTTGGGAATGTTATGCTGTGATAGGTCGGCAGTCCGGGGATGACGCGGCCTGGCTTCTTTGAGGCCGGATGCCGATGAGGGCGACTACCAGAAAGCGGAAGAGGGCGAAAGAAAGAGGAGGGAGGGGGGGGGGGGGGACAGAAAGGCAGAGAGTCAAGCAGTATCGGTGTGCGAACCGAGCTAAGACAGAGGTATCGACGGAGAGGGTAACAAAGAGACAATGACGGGGGTACGTATGCACGTGGACAGTCCCTATACAACTAGACCGGCGAGCCTTCGACTCAGCTCGTCGGCTTGCCCAGCTCAAGGTAATCGGAATAGGTGGTATTCCGCAGTAGCCCGTAATAAGTACGGATGTACGCACCCCAGGCCAGCCCGGAGAAGAAAAGCAAGACGGCTCAGAGTTGAGACGAAGCCAAGGCCGCTCCAGATGGGCCGGCCCGACGGTGTTCTCGACGGCCAAGGCGGACTAGAACGGAGTGGACATGCGTAGGGTGGCACTAGGATAGCTTATAAGGTGGTGGGTGTAGGCATTGGGGATAGGGGCGAATACGGCCCAGCGCCTCATCTTATGTACATACAATGAGAGCCAATTGGCAGAGGGAGATGCCAATCCACGTACATAGATGAGGGGCGAAGGACTCGAGGACGAGGCGGAGGACGAGAGAGGGCGAGAGGGCGAGAGGGCCTGACGATGGTTCGAGACGCGAATTGGGGGAGAGTTGGGGAGTTGATGTAATGACGCACAGCGTCTGAACCAGATGCCCGTCCGCGTTGGGAGTTATTATTACCAGGTTCCAGCGTTCCCATCCACCCCGTCCCGTCGCTCTGGCCCGCAGGGCTTGGCATCGGCAAAGACGGCACTGCGGGAATCGGATTGCATCCAGGCACACCTACAGTCAAAGGTACATTAATTAGCTCGGAGGTACCCCAGGATCCCAAACCTGAGGCACCTCGACTCGACGCACCTCCAAACAGTCCTGTCCCCGATGCAAATGCATCCTATCATTAATACTCGATATCTAGTCCTGTATTCTGCTCTCAAGTAAGGCAAGGTCGATTTCTATATACACCCATCTACGTTTACGTGTGCGCCCATCGAACGAACCAATTCCACCCGCTGGCTCCCGCGAACTCAGCATCCGACAGACAGATACTTACCTACAATACGGCCACCACCACAATGGTGGCGGCCGCGGTGGTCGTCACCAACAACCGTCGCCCGCGGCCATAGCCTCGTTGATCGCCCGTTTAGTGTCATCCCTTCTTTTTAGCGCCGCCCTCTCCCTACTACCTACTGCTGCCGCCATCTCATGATTCGTGTTGCCGAAGAAGCCGTGGGCTCTAGGTATCTGTCTCCCTAGGTAGATATGTACCTACCCACGACAACACCATCTCTGCATGCCCATCCCCTCGACTACGTGAACCTGCCCACCGACCTAGGTATACGGTATGGGCACCTATGCCCACCTGATTAGAATCATGCGTTGGGCTGCTCGTCGGAATCTCCGTACCACATACGCCGTACACGGTTACGGACCGCCACAGTAAGCTTTGCGAATGTTCTCAGGCGTGGCAGCCCTTGAACCCCGCGACTTGTCTCAGCTTTAGGACCTAGGAGTCCGGATTCGGGGCCTGCTTGCGTCTGACCGTCCGCAGCTCCCAGGGAGGTCTGACGACGACAACCAGCTGCGGCGATCCTCGCCAGCGCAGATCGGTCAGCAGGCTGAAACCCGCGAGATGTTTCGTCGCAGGAAGCAGACAAATAGTGTTAGACGACTACTGCCTACTGGAAAGGGAAGCCGGCGGCAACGTGGAGATGAAACATCCTACCAAAGAAAAGGAGCAGCAGGCAAGGCCGTGGAATTCAATTAAACCGGCATATTCGATATTCGAAATATACATCGGTAATACGTCAGCAGCTCACATGTGGTACAGCTCTCCCCTCTTCCTTTCTCCAACCTGGACCCCTTCTCCGTCTCTAGCCTCATTACTAAAGGGGGCCGCTCCCTACCTCCGTTCCTAGCAACCGACGGCGTCGCACCTCGCAAGCCCCTTCTTTCCCTTCTCCGTTAGGCCCTTAGGGGACCACGGTGCTACCGCCGGCGAGATCGTACTGTTTCGCGCGCCGGAGTAGGCGCTTTCCTAGGCCGCGTTCCTCGCGGTCTCGGCCGTCGACGAGCCGGTCCGGTGCGGGTGTGCGCGACCTGCCGCTCGGCGCCGGGTACATGTGCTGCGCTGCGAAGATGAGGCTACAGGACCCGGCTCGGCAACCAGTGGCGCTTGTGTCAGGCTCGCTCGTGCCGCCGCGTCGTCTTTCTTCTTGCCGTCTAGTACGTATTACCCTTTCTCTCCCCCGGCTGGCCGTGATTGTGTAGGTGCTATTTCGCCAGTCGGACCAAATTGCTTGTTCGTCTCTGCTCACTGCTGGAAGTGAACTCGTTGGTGCGTGTAGGTTGATAATACCTACCTATAGGATGGCATGCTCGGCATTTCTATCTGATGGCCCTGCTAACTCAACCCGATGGGGCCTATCGTTTACCTCTTCGACTGTGAGCAAGTAGCTCAGGATTCGCCTCGTTAGGCCCGTTGAGTGATGCTGAAAACTGCTAGTCCTCTCATCGATCCCAAATCAAATGCATCTACCCCTAGAGAGGCTGTCTACTTTCTAATTTCGTGGTCATGCCTAGTCTGTCGTAGAGAACCCTCAATACCACCACTCTTCCTTCGTCTATGCACACACGCTCAAGACCAAATATATAAGGTCTACTTAGGTCTTTTTTTAGGTCGTGGGCCGTGTATGATTTCTGGCTAGTCGACTAGTCCTTCGTCTTTGAAGATTGCCCTGGTACTGTGCTGTTTTACCTTTCAACATCACGATTATATCCCCAATACCCAGACTTCCACTTAATACGTCCATAGACGCATAGCTGGACACATCCTGTCATATTTACACACTGCTTTAGGCTCCCTTTCAATGTACGTGTTCCTTCTCCTCCGCCTTAGGGATCCGCACCATAGTCGCCGTGATCAGCGCTCCCGTCAGCGTACAGCCCAACCCGAACCACCATATGGCCTTCAGCCCTTGGAGCCCCACCTCGCCCGTTGGCAACTGCTCAACCCTAACGCCAATCGAGTCCGATACCGACGTTATGATGGCCGAGCTTAGGTTCTGTACCGTGACGAGTAGCGCGCCAGCGGAGCCCTGGTACGACCGCGGCACACTAGACGTGATGAAGATGGCTGCCGCCGCGAAGCTCATATCAGGCCCGAACGTGGCCAAAGCAACGCCGGGAAGCGACAGTGTCCAGTACGACGTTTCAGGCGTCTGTGGGAGGAAGAACACGGGACCCATGGCAAAGCATATCATGCTCGCCAGGAAGATCCAGTGACCTGGGAATACGTGCAAGGTCTTGGACACGATCCACGCCGCTAGTATACCTACAATACCATTAGGCAAGATGTATAGAGCAACGGTAAGGGGGGTTGCCCCTTGGTACCGCTGCCAGAATTGGACAGCGTAAAACTGCCATGCACCGGCTAAGTAAGAGGGATCTAGTTAGCTCCGTGTCCCTCGCACCTATTTCCGCGAGGGTAGATGCAAGCGCAGCGATGAGTGCTTACCAAAACCTCCGAACCCTAGGAAATACGCTATTAATAGGGCCGCAAACCCAGGGGTCTTCCAGAGATCGTTCGGAATTAACGGCCGAACAACACGCCGTTCGACGAAAGCAAACGCGACGAACATCGCAAGCCCCACGATTATGAGCGAGTAGGTGTACGGGTTCCAATGGGCCGACGAGCCCTGTGTGAGTCCGAAAAGGACGAGGCCGCAGCCGACGGAGGAAAGCGCCGCACCGACGTAGTCGAATTGGCGCAACGAGGGTGCATCGACGTCGTGACTGTCCTTGGCGGGGCTTAGATCGGGCAAGCTCAACTGCGCAGCAAAGGCGATTAGGGCTAAGAATATAGCTGTGCTGCCGAAGACCCACGGCAGGTGGGCGCTCAAGCCGCCCCCGTGCACGCAGCCGACCCAGAAGCCGAAAGGGGCACCGGCGGCCATCAACGAGAAGACGCGTGTCTTGCGGACGCCCGGCTTGTAGACGCGTCCGAGGATGCTCATGGACGCGGATGCGAGCACGCCCGTCGACAGCCCCTGCATGGCGCGTGCGATGAAATAGAGCACCTTCAGCCGCGGCGATATCGCGCCCGCCGCCACGGCGTGCCACACGCTCGACCACAGGAAGGCGCCCACCATCATGGGCTTGGGGGCAGCTAGGTCGGCGAGGGAGCCGGCGATGATGACGGACAGGCCGGTCGCCAGCAACGCGGAACCCATAAGCCAAGGTGTCTGCGTCGGCGGGAGGCCTAGCGCGTCGCGTAACGGGGTTTGCGTGATGGTGCCATGACCATACATGAGGGCGAATATGAACTGACTAGCCGTGCAGACGAGCACAAAGACGATCTCGGCGGCGAGGTTTGGTAACTCGGGCGGCCGGCCCTGGTGCTGTGAAACGATGCCGGCCTCTTCGTCCGGGGCTCCAGGCACGGCGCTATCCTGACGCCGGCTCCGGATGGCGCTGAGTTCGAGCATCGGATCAGGCAGAACGGCACCGCAGCCATGGTCGGTTATATCTTCAGTCCGCGTCTGTATCTCGATTTGGTTCTGGGTCCGGCTCAGAGCCTGAGCAAGAGCAACACGGTCGAGGGGGAAATAGTCGTCGCTCCGGGGGCCCAGCAGAGGGTCTGGCGAAGCCAGTCCAGAGGGAAAAGCTTCAGCCCCTAACGCCAAGTACGGTGTCGAGACACCGACGTCGGGGAAGCGCTCGGCCTCAGCCAGCCGCCGTAGAGCGTCCTGTTCCATGGTGAAGAAAACTTCTCCTCGAGGATTACAACTTCTCTTCCGGCGACAATGTTAGGTAGGTAATAGCCAACGTTGCCCGCCTACTTATATCTCGTCGAGACATCGTGATCGAATGTGGACTTGTGGCAAGGAAGTTTTTTAGGTAACAATCGGAGACTAACCGGAGACGTCGTCGTAGCCCTAAGTTCGAGGTGCATAGGGAGGGGTTCCGCTCCACCGTGATTCATCGCGACGTGAATGGCTAAGAAGTAGAGCTCGACTCACGGGATGTCACCCATCACGGGGTTCAAACGGAGTCATGATAAGTGAACCGAAGCTGGCCACCAACCGGGATCTCGCCCTGCCTCGAGACCCAGAAATGGAACTAACACGGCGGCTAGACGGCTCCCCCGAGGTTTACCCCGAAGCTGAGCACGTGTTCTTCACACCCGAACCAGTATAAACCGGCGATAGATAGCTCTCTGGATCTGGAGAGGCATCACGCTACGGACGCCTGCCCAAGCGGAGTTGTCAAGATCTATCCAAGACCGGCAAGCCGTAGGTATATGGCGTCTCGGGTTAGGTACCGAGGACAAGTTCCCCCCATTCCATTCTACTCATCATATGTGCGATATAGAAGCCAGACTCGGACGGCGGCTGGACTGAGCCGTCGCGTCCTCTCTCTCCCGTGAGGCGTTTTACAACTTCATCCTTCCCTCTCTCGATCGTACCTATATACCTACCTGTCGCCTCTGCCCTATTTTCACAGCCGAGTGGCCACGTGCTACCTTACTTAGGTACTTCTGCACATTGACACGCGGGATATCCACCACGCTCGGGGGCATACCGCAAAGGATACCGCTGTAGACCACTGGGGTCAATGGCATGGCCCTAGGACGAAGATGTTGGAACACGCGCTTCTCGCCCGGGTGCTCCTCGGGAAACCCTCGCGCTTGGCTCAGCGGCTCCATCTCGAGTTGCTTCTCCCCCCCCCACACGCCGGCTTCAGTGCACACTCTATGAGTAACTCCGGCCTGCAGGATGGAGGGAGGTGTTGGAGCAAAACGGGGCGTGGTTCGATTCGCTTAGATGGTAGATTTCCTTTCCGGTCAAGTCAAGCGTCCGATCGAGACGGCGTGGCAGACGGGATATCGAGGACTACCTGGCTATGCAAGGACGCGTTCGTCGTTGGCTGCCACTATAGGCATGTATGCCCATCGTGTTTGCGCGCGCCCATCGCTCACGCCGCATCAAGTTCGGTACCGATCCGGCCTCGCGTCGATTTGGAGACCTCGCAAATTAGTCGGTGTCTGAAATACGTGCCGTTTATATGCAGGGACTAGGCAGGTAAGTGTTGATTTCGTATAAAGGGAATGAGGTATGGAGACGGCTCAATCCTTCGCAGTTCCTTCCGCACACACCTACATTCAACAGCGATTACCAATTGATGCAGGTGCGAGACGCCTCACGCGGTATACGAGCAATGACGATATACTTACAAACACCGACCCGAGGCGTGAGATGGGTCCCTCTGGTGCTTATATACTGAGTACCTGCACTGGAATGAAATTTCGCCTCGCAGCTGCCTCCCTCGCATCGATGCAGCATCGATGCACAAACAGAGCAGGTACAGGTATCACAGGCACCTGCAGCACCTGACTGCCTACCTATGTAGTGGATATGTAGGCAGGTCTAGGTAGGCACCCGGTAATCCATGCGCTGGTCTGGTACCTAGGTACAGGTATCCATTGCGTGACCCACCCTTCGCACCTCGGCTTGCCCCTTCTGGCATCTTTGGGTTTTCTTGGATAGGAAGGAGAGCCCAGGGGCGACGGCGATCCTACTTGCTGACTGCCGCCAGTAATTATCCGAAGCTTGTCAGACACATCGGAACGAGGCAATTGATAGCGACAGGAAGTCAGCCCCCGGCAGCGAATGGGTGGACGCGCATGTACTCATCATCGTATATCGGTGTGCCTGAATGTACAGATGCATGATCCTAAAGGTATTTGCAGGCCTGAACATTGCCTACAGCGTTGAGAGGGGGTACCTCGCGAGGTCTATACGGGTACGTGTTTAAACTTACTAGTGGCGGGTCGGACACCTTACCAACCTTGCCGACCCAACCTCCTAACCCCAAGCCGGATCTACCAGCTCTCCTCTCTCTCACTTCTCATCACTCATCATGAATCTCTATTCCACAGCAGGTAATATCGATATGGCCGGGGTCTCAGGCACGTGGCAACTGAGACAGTGTGTGTTCAACCAACCGGTAACGATGAAATTGACCCTCTAGATGTAACATCGCATCGACCGCGTAGGTGGCTGGCGGTCGGGGGCTACAAAAGCTCGTCTCGTGGCGTCTTGTAGGTAAACAAAGGGTCTTACCTCTCTCCCCTCTTCACGCTTCGCTGGGGAGACATCGGGCCATCGGGGACATCGTGGCATTGGCGCGCGCGGGTAGGCTTACGACACTGTCGCAACCAATCTCTCCTAGCTCCACGGCCCTACTCGCCACAACCTCCATTCAGGCGGAATCATGCCCTCGCTTACGCGTGCCGTGGCCGCTGTCTTACAGCTTGGCTTTGTGGTGCGCCCCAGCCTCGCCGCCGTATGCCCCGGAAGAGCTCCTAAGCTAGGCGCCGTGGCATCCGAAAGCGCCGTCTGCTCTCAGATCGGTACCGATCTGCTTAAGGCCGGAGGGAACGCTGCTGACGCCCTTGTCGGCACCGTGTTCTGCATCGGCGTTATCGGCATGTATCACAGCGGTTTGGGCGGTGGCGGCTTCATGCTTGTCCGAGGCAGTGACGGCAAGTATGAATATATCGACTTTCGAGAGACCGCCCCGGCTGCTTCGTTTGAGGAGATGTACGAAAATAACACGGCCGCTAGTTTATATGGGGGCCTAGCAAGGTGAATACACAGCCACTCCTCGGCGATAAATGCCAGTTCCGTAGGCGTAAGATGCGGGTCGGGATAAGAGAGACGCTGATGATGATGCTGCAGCGGCGTTCCCGGCGAGGTTCGGGGGTTAGAGTACCTGCATAAGAATTATGGGAAGTTGGCGTGGGCCGATGTCTTAGCACCGGCGATCAGGGTGGCTCGTTATGGCTTTGAGGTAACAGAAGATCTCGTGCGGTATATGGACTCCGTGACGCCGAACGGTAATTTTCTAACGGACGACCCGGCCTGGGCGATCGACTTCGCTCCCAAAGGGTACCGGGTCAAGTTGGGCGAGACTATCACGCGTAAACGCTATGCCGACACGCTGGAGGTCATCGCCACGGAAGGTCCCGATGCATTCTACACGGGTGCCATCGCCAACGCGACGATCGCTGCCCTGTCTAAGAAGAACGGGACTATGACTCTGGATGACCTGAAGAATTACACTGTCGCCATCAGGAAGCCCTCGGAGATCAAGTACCGGGACCACAAGCTCACGAGCTGTGGTGCCCCCGCGGGCGGCACGGTAGCGTTGAGTACGCTGAATATTGTCGACGGCTACGCGGACTTTGGTGACCCGACGGCGATCAACTTAACCACTCACCGGCTGGACGAAGCGATGAGGTTTGCGTACGGGCAGCGGTCCGAGCTCGGCGATCCGTTCTTCGTCGAAGGCCTCGATGAGTTTCAGGAGACTATGCTGTCTGGTAGGACGGCCGCCGAAATACGATCCAGGATCTCGGATTTCCGCACTCAGAATGTATCGTGGTACAACCCGAACGGGTTAGAGAGTCTCGAAACGCCTGGTACAAGCCATATCGTGACCGCCGATAGGACCGGGCTTGCTATCAGCCTTACGACGACGATCAACTTGCTGTTTGGGTCCCAGCTCATAGTCCCAGAGACCGGCGTCATCATGAACAACGAGATGAACGATTTCTCCATCCCGGGCTCGAGCAACGCGTTCGGCTATCTGCCCAGCCCCGCGAATTTCGTCCGACCGGGTAAGCGTCCGTTGTCCTCGATCTCGCCGACCATCGTAGAAACGCCGGACGGCAAACTGTATTTCGTCATTGGGTCGGCGGGTGGTAGCCGCATAATTACGGCGACCATCCAGAACATCCACCACGTTCTGGATCGGGGTATGACGACGTACGAAGCCCTCGCGGAACCTAGGCTGCACGATCAACTCAGCCCTAACCAAGTCTCGTTCGAATATGCGTACGACAACGGCACCGTCGCGTTCCTGAAGTCTCTAGGACACAACGTGACTTGGGTTGCACCGGGCCAGAGCACCGCACAGGGATTACGATTGCTGCCTAACGGGACGTTCGAGGCAGCGGGAGAGCCGCGACAGCGCAACTCTGGCGGGTTTGCTGTATGATGACGGTATTGGGAGGGGATTCATGGGTGGTACATATTCGCCTCTATGCTTTCTACTTGCTGGTAACACATACCTACCTACGATTCCATCACAACCCTCGTGACCTATACAACCCCATTCTTCTTTGAAGTCTCATCCTGGGTGTTGTGAAAGATCCAAGAGAATCTCCGGGGTCGTCAGCCGGCGCACCCCGTCGTAGTCTAATTATAGAAAGGGATGGAAAGCACTGGGCATGGGACCGCCGAAGATCGACTGGACCTTATTGTGGGCGTCTGTGAAGCGGTCAGAGACACGGCGCCGCTATTGAGAGAAATAAACCTGCCGCGTGGACAAGGGATCACTATCACATTCGGATCCTCGGGAACTTGGGCATTTGAACCCACGTGTCTCAAGCTTCCTCTTTCAACCTCTCATCCATCTAGCGGAGACGTGCAGATCCCTCTAACGAGCTTGTTTCGTAGAAGACCTTAAACCTGCCTAGCTGCCGACGTGGACTCCACGAATGGAATGGGTAGGCAATAGCGAACCCCCGTCAGTATGGGGCATTGCTACTATTGATGCCTGCATTTCGCTGACGACTTGGTCCGCCAGACACTTGGCGTGATTTGATCCTGCCGCTCCTTTGTACGGACGGATCGCGTAGGAAACCAGGGCCACGGGATATTACCCAGGACAAAGACCATTCACTCGTGGGGACCGCCTTTGAGAAGCGGCGCCGAGATGCCATGCTTACTACCGATTATGCACGCGAAACTTCTCTCCGCTGCGCACCGGAATAGCGATTATTATCTAAGTCGTGTTGTAGGATTTCGCGAAGGTAACGACAACCCGTAGGCAGATGTCAAGTGTTATATAGACATATATATAGGTAGGTTAGGTACCTAACCTAGGTATATAGGTCCCTATATAGGTATATATATATACCTACCTACCTAGGTAGATACCAGCCTGTCGACCGCTGCCTCGATCACATCGGTCTGTGGTCTCAGCACCTCGGGAGTTCGTCGTCATCTTCACCAGCCAGGCTCGACTCTCCGATCGCAGTCAGATCGCCCACCATGGTTAACATCACTAGTACGACGGCGCGTCTCATCCTCTGACGGGCAGCTCGTTCTGTGGCTAACTCGATGCTCTTGCAACAGCACCCCTCCGCATCGGCTACCTGCTGTACCCGGGCTTCACGGCGATGGACGTGTTCGGGCCGCTGCAGGTGCTGAACCTGCTGTCCATCGACTACAACATGACGCTGTCGCTCATCTCGGAGACGCTGGACCCGATCAGCATCGACCGCAGCATCATCGGGGGGCAGGTGCAGGGCATGCTGGCGTCGTCGGCGTCGCCGTACTTCTCGCAGTTCGTGCTGCCGACGCACACGCTGGCGGACGCGCCCGCGTCGGATGTGCTGATCATCCCGGGGGGGCCGGGCACGCGCAACCTGGCGGCGACGCAGCCGTACGTGGACTGGATCGGCGCGCGGGTGGACGACCCGGGGCTGGCGTACCTGATGACGGTGTGCACGGGGACGTCGCTGCTGGCGCGGACGGGCAAGATCGCGGGGCGGCGCGCGACGACGAACAAGGCGGCCTTCCGGTGGGTGCAGAGCGTGCCGCACGCGGACGCGGTGCGCTGGGTCGCGCGCGCGCGCTGGGTCGTCGACGGCAACCTGTGGACCAGCTCCGGCGTCAGCGCCGGCACCGACATGACCTTCGGCTGGGTCGCGCACCGCTACGGCCGCGACGTCAGCGAGTCCCTGCGCCACCGCATCGAGTGGAACGCCCTCGCCCAGGACGACGATCCCTTCGCCGACTACTACAACCTGACCGATCCGCAGCCTCAAAAATATACCTAGGTGGCTCTTTTTTTTTTAACACGAAACCCTCGCCAACTTTCCTGCTCTCCGACGCTGGTGAATGTAGTTCTGTGTCGGACTAGTAGGGGAACCAACTCGCCAGGAACCAGGCAAGCGAGCAGTGGCCGCTAGCCTATGAGGAGCAGATACGACGAACCGCCACCACGATAGCCTTGCATTGTAGCTCTTCTTCGTCGGGAGGCCGGGCCGTGTAGCGCCGAGGCCATACCGAGGGCGTACTTACTGTACCTATTACCTATGCTGTATCTTAGTATTGCTACCAACACGCTGCAAGCGAACTCGCCCTCCTATGCCCGTCTGCGTACCGCAGGCAAGTTGACAGCAGCCAGGGCAGGCCTGCGAGGTTGTGCCCAAACGAGGAATCGAGGGGGAAATCTTAAACCCAAGGGCGCACACGTTGTAGGGAGTAAATATTGCGAATCCAACTATGGAGCCGGAGTTGCGGGGCGGCTAGTATAACTCGCTTACTGGTAGGAAGCGAAGCAGGGGGTCAGAGTCAGAGTCTCTCATCTTGATGTGTATGCTTGCTTGCCTGCTTAGGAGCGAGCCGGGGGAGTGGGAAGGGGGGGAAGTTTCATACCTATTTCTATTCGAACGAGACGGCCAGGCATGCAAGTGTGAGGCCGCGGGAATGATGAGCTATCGGTCTGGATCTAGTAGTTGACGCGCGCTCCCCTTGTTGCTACGGGGCTCGACTTTCTCCTTTCCTATGGCGTTCCCTCGCAAGGCAATACCTACTATTCAACAGGACCAGGCCACGCCACCGCTTCCTCGGAGAGGGAGAAGAAGGGAAAAAGAAAAGAAAAAATAACTCGACGCAGACTCTGCAAGGCGGGCTGCCTCCTTATGGTCTTAAGAAGTTCGCGTTGGTCGTCCGAGCAGAGGCTTGTCTCATTGTTGTGAGTAAATTTAAGCGTCTTTAAAGGTAAAGATGTTAGAAGGTAGAGGGTAAGTAGAAGATGGATAAGTTGCTGTAATGTTAGTGCGTATCCTGTTTGATACCACCTGGTTTGTGGCGGCTCGTACTGGTGGAATCGGTAAGCCACCGACTCATAGACACACCGAGTGAGCTCAGTCTTGGAAGAATGTAGCCATGCTCAAGCATTTCGTATCTCTACCGAACCCACGTGCCTATTTATTATTACCCGTCAAGCAGGTTGCGAACTCGACTCTAAACTAATGAAGGATAGAGAGTTGGTATTCAAGATATCTAGATGCCTATCGGTTCATGAATCAACTGCGCCAACCCTAGGCTTAGATGTGATAGCGGACGCCGATATAAGTTTAATGTCAAGAGAAAACTTAGGCACTATCAGGATGAGAAGTTGGAAAGTTCTGATACATCATGTACTCCGCGTGACCAGGCATGGCGAACCCAAGTGTTGGAGAACTAGCCTTCACCCTTTGCTGGCGATGGCTTTAGACCATCCGTCCCAAGCCTCCACCTTGAGCAAGTTCCGAGGTCGGCACTTAGGTACAATATCGCGAGCATGATTAACCCAGTCAACGCCAGAAATATCTCATGTATTACGGTGCGAGGCAACTTTCTGCGGTACACCTCGCCGGTCTTACCATGTAATGACAGACGCCGCCCCTCCTCCCGGGTGTTCCCCCTCACGTGGGGGCGCCGAATACACTGCATGGCACCAGGCCGGGCGTCTCTACGGCCGTGGAGCTGTTATAGCCAGCCGACAAAGCATTCGACCGGGGGGCGATTATTCATGAGTTCGGAGAGAAGAACGTGTGCGTCGCGTCACGCGAGTCTGCCGAGAATCTAGGTACATCGCGACTAACTTGCCGCACCTCTATTAGTGGTGGACGACACCCCCCCGCGGCCGTCGAGGTCGCTCGCTGGAAAAGTTGCCATCGTGACCGGGGCAGGATGCGAAGGTGACGGCCTCGGCAATGGCCGGGCCATCTCGGTCTTGCTAGCCGAGGACGGAGCATCGGTCGTGTGCGCCGACTTGAACCAGGCGTGGGCCGAGAAGACGAGCGACATGATACGAGCGGAGGGCAGGGGGGAGACCGCAAGCTGCCAGGGAGACGTCACCGATCCCGACGACTGCCGGAAGATCGTGGACGTGGCGATGACGACGTTCGGCCGCGTCGACATCCTCGTCAATAATGTCGGCATCATCGGGGCTAAGGGCACCGCGACCGAGTTCGACCTCGAGCAGTGGCGCCGCGGCCTCGACGTGAACGTCACGAGCATGGCGAATATGGTGAGGCTCGCCGTGCCCGAGATGCGCAAGAATGACGAGTCGCTGGGTCGGGTCCGCGGAAGCATCGTCAATATGGGATCGGTGGCGGGGCTAGTCGGAGGGACTCCCCATCTGCTGTATCCGACGAGCAAAGGCGCCGTGGTCAACATGACGCGTGCGATGGCAGCGCATCATGCGCCCGACGGCATCCGTGTGAACTGCGTGTGCCCAGGTAGGAGGTGTCTGTTGCTTGATTCCAACATATCGCCCCCCCCTCCTCCGACCCTGCGCGTTCTCGGGCACTAATAGAGACAGGCATGCTGTACACGCCTATGATACACGCGAAGGGCATGAGCCGGGAGATGCGAGAGGCGCGAAGAAATCGAAGCCTCTTGCGGACGGAAGGGAACGCGTGGGATTGCGCGACGGCCGTCCGGTTCCTAGCCAGCGAACAGGCCCGTTGGATCACGGGAAGCGTGCTCACCGTCGACGCTGGCGCTACTGCGGTCTCGGCCATCCAACTCGTGTGAAGAAGCAGCCGTGCTGGAAATATTTGAAATTGGGATCACGGTAGGCTTGGTTTTCAGGGGAGATGAGCTAAGTAGCGAAGACTACCAAGTAGCGCTATTAGGAATCGAACCTATCCTTCGTTAAGTAACCTACTGATCTAGGGGTTATGGGCGGGCAGGTTTATGTACCTACCTACCTAGTAAATGCGCGTTGTCATCTAACGGATCCGTCGATGGGACCCTTGCTACCCTACGGCAGACAGCGAGAAAGAGAGAAAGTCCACCAGCTTCTCCTATGTCCATATTTCGTTTCTTCTAAATTCCCAACGCTGGCACTCTTTCCAGATATTTCGCAGGCTATTCCAACGCCTACGCGTGGTTCTAAGAGCGATATATGCTCACGACTCTAGAGGAACATGATTGAGTGAGACCGCAATGCGTACACCTGTCAATAGGGTGTCTCCCCTCCTTACGTTAGCAGACCACTCCCAGCGCCGCTGTACATCGTCCGCTAGCTAGCAACGAGCGACTTTCCGTAACATACGAGGGCTGTGCACCCCTGTTGCCGGAGGAGGAATGGATTTTGTGAATACTCCTTGCTAGAGTTCCCCTATGCGAGGTGGAACCGCAAAGGAGCATTTTGCGGGTAGTTAGCGAGGCCAGAGGCAACAATTATTCTCTGCCGCCGTCGTCGTCTAGCAAACGACGACGTTTATTACCACCAGATACCACGTCGAACGGTTCGCGTCCGGAAAAATTGAACATCTTCTCGAGTTCTGCCACCGCGTCGACTGGTTGCGTAGCCGCGAAGTCCTTGTCCTTGGTCGCGCGTCGTTGGCTTGAGGTACCTTTCCTAAGAGACCGGTACGTGTCGTACAGCTTTTTCATGCTAGCTTCGGTGACGGGGAGCACGAGATGGGAGGTTCTGTCGTCCTTGACTTTCTCGCTAAGGACGTTTCCGGTGACCGCCTCTACGTACTTCAGGCCGCCGGGAGCGGGCACGGCAAGCACCACGGTGAGATCGTGGGCCGTGATTTCGAAGGAAGAGCGCTTGACATCTAGCAGGTTGCCGAGCTTACTCTTCCACGGCAAGTTGGCCAAGCTGAGATCTTCGTAGTACTCGCGCAGATATTTGCGGCTGGTTCCGGCCTTCAGGTCGGCGCCGTCCAGATAGTTCTTGACCAGCTCCTCCTTATGCTTCAGCATCTTTATGAAGGCATGCTGAATCACCCAGACGTTCCGTAGCGTAGGCTGCAGCACTGCCGCAGGCCCTCGATGCGATAAGCCGGGAGCGGTGCCGTCGCTTTCGACCACCAGCTCGATATCCGCCAGATCGGTAGCGAATTCGCGGAGTTTATAGCTGACCTTGCCGCTCGGGTGCGCTTGGCACCCCAGAAGCCGGTTTAGATCGCTCGCCGGGTCGACGCCGGGTAGGTTGTTGAGGGAAACGGCGGTAGGCGCAATACTGGCGTGGGCTGGATGCCCTATCTTGGTCTCCACCTCGTGGATTGCCTTTGCCGTCTTGCTCTGGACGGCGACCATCAGCTCTCTGAACGCGCCAAGCAAGCTGGATTGGTGATCGCGAAGGTCTGCGTCGTTGCCAGCGTACCTCGCCCGGGCGTTCTCATTCAAGGCAAGGCTATTTTCGACGAGCTCGTCAATGTTACGGAGTATGATCGCTATCTGAGGCGGTGGGGGTGCCTGGGGTGGTTTGGGGGGGTCACCGACGCTCGCCTGGGACGCCATGGCCGATTTGCCTGGTAGGTGAGGCAGGCCGGGGGTTTCCCGTCGCGAGTGCGGGAGCGCGGACAGCGAGAAATGCGTGCTCGCCGGGGCTGTAGGTTGGTGAGAGTGTCGCGTATCCTGGGTTCCTGGAGGCGGGTTCTTCGCAGTCGCAAGTAGGTACCTAGGTATGTAGGTAGGTAGGTATGTTGTTGCAATTGAGGTATGAGGGAGAGAAGAAGAAGAAGAAGAAGTAGACTGCGACATCGAGGAGGCACAAGCAGAAGCGGAAACGGAAGCAGAGCAAGCCACAACGAGATGACGCGGGGGTCTCAAGTGGCAGGCCAGGTATATTAGGTACTGTGTAGCGGGTACTTCGCCGCCTTACCCAGCGTACACGCCCAAGAGGTAGAACCGCCGGCCAGGCGGTAGTTGTCGTCAGTGATTTCTATACTATCCGGGCCTGAGAGGCCGGAGAGATGTTAAGTAGGTACTTCTAGGTATAGCTCACCGACGCATCAGATAGGTACCTCCTATACGGGTACTTGCATAGGTAGGTAGATAGAGGAGGTAGGTATGCAGTTTACCCGTAGTCCATAACCTCCTCCCCCCTCACTTATTAGGCTGTGTCTTGTCGCCAAGGTCTGTCTCTGTGCAGGAATGCAACTCTACGGTTGCGGTATCGTTGTCATGCTTTCTTATCAGGTGGCAGACGGACCGTATCAAGTATGAGTGGCATTTGCTCGTCTACACGATACCTACTCTATACTACTATAGGTATATCTGCCTCGCCGTCAGCTCGTTGTTTAGGCGGACCGAATAAATCTCCCCCCACTTAGTTAGTAGCTCTAGTTTCTTCGGACACTTCTTAATGTCTATTCAGTGCCGTCTTAGACTCTAAACAAGAATAACAATGGTGACAAACTGACTGTGGTCACTGTCCTGGTTCTTTTCCAACTTGTGTTCTGACGGGAAAACTCCGCCCTTGAAACGGATTCGCAGACTTGAGCGCCCGCCCCGACAGTTCTCAGCACGTAATCAAGTAACGGCGAGCATCATCCCGAGGAGCACCCCCGACTTTCTGGAGGCCGAAACCCTCAAAGACGACCTAGGTATATGACCGTCAGACTTTCGCTGTCTTATACCCAGGGTTCCTAATGTTCTTCGCAGCGTCTTTGAGTAAACTGGTCATAAGTCGGGAACGAGGAGAGTGACGTGCAAACTTCACATGATCCTGGGAACACTTAATCATGAAACATGCCTCCATAGCATAACTGGTTCTCTGATCGTATGTCCAGGCATGGCCATCGGAGGAGGCGAAGATTCGGTACGGAAGATAGACTCCGAGCTGCGGGTATTGCCGACTGCTGAGTAGTGGGATTCCAAGAATCCGGCCCGGCGTTCCATCGCAACTCCGCCGATTTCCCACTCGCGAACGAGACCCGGTCCCTAGTTTGGGGTAGCAAACAATTTTCAGCTTCTGGAGATCCGTTCCTACTTCCCCGAAGCTCACCGGGATCTGGGTCCACCGGCCAGACCGGGGCTGAGATCGGTCGCCTTTCCAGTGCAGAGCAGCGCGGTTGATGCTGAATTCGGAGCGGGCACAGAAGAGCCGTTCGAATGTGGGCTATGGGGCGCGGGACTCGTGTAAATAGGTATATAAAAGCCTCTGGCTGCCCCGAGGCGATGTCTATGTGCGCGACTTGGGTATCTTGTCCCCATCAGTCATAAACTCGTCGCACTTGACCTAGATGCTTACGATGCATGCTCATGCGGTATTGATACCCTCAGGCCTGCTCCTCGGCACCGCGGCCGCCCAACAGCCCGCCTACGCGCAATGTTAGAGCCGCACGTATTGAAGCCTATAGTCGAGAGCTCGCTGACAACATGCTACCCAGGTGGCGGCGTCGGGTATACAGGTCAGACTGACTGCGTGGCAGGATACGCTTGCCAGATCGTCAAGTAAGTCGCAATGATATTTCCGGCTGAGGGGCATCTTATGGTACGTGAACACTTGACTGAGAGAGGCGGTGCTACTCGTGTAGCGATTATTACCACCAGTGCCTCCCGGGGCAAGCCACGACACAGCCGACACGCGCTCCAACTGCCACGATCACGACGACGGGGACGGCCAGCGTGACGGAGACGACAGGCGGCGGTGACCCGTCGTATCCCACGACCTTAGAGTCGGGATACTACTGGGTGCGCGCAGTCGCGAGTCCCAACTTCCACTCGTACCTGCAGGCAGCGCCGACAGCGACGCCGTCGCCGGGGCCGGGGAACGCACACCTCCTCGCGGCGGCGCGGGCGGGCCAATTCGACCTCGTCGACGGACAGCTGGCGTACTACGTGCCGGGGGCGGCGGCGACGCTGTACATGCACATCGAGAACCCGGCCGATAAGACGCAGCGGGCGCTGGCGACGTGGTTTGACGGGGCGCCGAACAGCTACGGCGCCTTCGCGTTCCAGGGAGACACGCTCACGTGGTCGGTGGCCGACATTACGCGCCCGAACGCGGCGGCGTGGTTCGTCTGCGGCGACGAGAAGAGGCTGTATGTCAACACGGGCGCGTACGCATACGATACGCCGGCGGGGTGCGCAGATCAGACGGTGAGTAGCGATTTGCCTCCCAGTCGGATCTCGGAGAGAGCTCTATGCTGTCCTTCTGCCCATGGCGATGCTGACGGCGTCGGCGACTAGATACACTCCTACGGTGGTTCGACGGCGGATATTTGAGGCGCAAATAAGGGGCTCGACATCCAACAGGGGATCGAATGCGCCCGAATGCATATCGACTGGGGAGAAACAGAGCGTAAGAGGACCGGAATAGGGCAGATTCGGAATTCCATCACATTAGGTATATCTGTCTCCTTACCCACGGTGCACTGCAGCAGAAGAGAATCGACGTATAACACCCACTCCCAATGGGGACTCGACGAAATCTAGAAAGCTCGTTCTACTCGTATATAACCCGGGCGCGGATTTTTTCTTTCCTTCTTTTTGATATAATATAGGCTCAAACACCGCCAGAACTCAAGCAGGCGGCACGCCGCCTCCCATCTTCTGTCTACTCGGAGGGCTTGACGCTCGCTTTTCCTCGATCGGCCTTTTTTTTCTTTCCAAAAGAGAACACAAAAACTGAGCCTTGGTTATTATTCCGGTTTCCTGCCAATTACTACCTTCTGCGGGTAATAGGGGTGGACTTTTCGGGACCGTAGTTCACGTCGCAGATGTACAGCGTAGACCGAAATTTCTTCTTTTGTCCACCCCATGATAGTAATCCAGACATATACCAGAAATCCTACGCGATAAAGTAAGCATGGAAGAAGTTGGGAACCCCGAGGTAAGGCAGTTAAACCATACCTTCAATGTCCTGTTCAAGAGCGAGCTGGTTATATTGACCGATCTCCTTCAACTTGGGGTCCGCTGGCCAATCTCCCAACGGTGTCTAGGGACAGAATGTTAGTCGATGAGCTTCGCGGGAACCTTTCAGATGTGTATACATGCCTTGAAGTCGTGTTCGCGGATATCGACGAAGCCAGCCTCCTCCATGGCCTTGCGCTGGATCCCCTCCTCGACGACGCGGAACGAGCGGCCGATCCTCTTGCCAGACTCCCCAAACACCTTACCCCATTGATCAAGAGCGGAACCGTCCGCCACCGTCCCATCGTCGCTGGTGATAATAGCGGACGATTCCTTGTTCTCGAACCATCCACCGGGCTTCAGGGCCTTGAAGACCTCCTTGTAAAGAGAAGTCCAGTCAGTGATGGAGCCCACTAGCCAACGCATGTGGATGTAGTCGAAACTGTTGGGCTTATACGTCCAGGGCCGCGTCACGTCGTCGATTTCGAATTTCAGGTTAGGAGGGATCCATTGCGGCTGTTGCGCCGATATGTCTACACCGGTTACCTCAGCGCCGGGATGCTGGTCGGCGAAGTCGCTTGGCGGAATTAGCATCATCTCGACATACCCGGGATAACGAGCCTGGGGAGGGGTGTATTACATTGCCCACAACCCTTCGACGAGACGCCTGAGTTAATACGAACCGACGAGGGCAAATATGACGATACTTACCAGTGCCACAGCCCACGTCCAGAACTTTCTATGCTACGTTAAGAACACAGCACGGGCACGGATTGGTGGATGCGAGGCTTCTTACCTGCACGCTGTCGTCGATTGGAGCTAAGTAAATCTTCCCGTCTTGCAACAGCGTCGATACGTGATGACTGACAATTGGCGTTAGCGCGACAAGCGCTGGGTTGGGCGGTTCGAGGCAAGACGACGAGGGGGGCTCACAGGATATCCATACACTCATCGTGTTGGGCATCATTCGGGTTCCTCATCGAGAACTGTTAGCTTTCGTACACTGAACTGTGCTAGCTATACGGCTAGCTGAGCTTGGGCGCAACGGGGCGAGGAGAAGACGCGGTCGCACCAGGATTGAGCGTTACCCAGCTCGCTGTGAAACGTGCGTCCGTGCATGGTTCGATACTCGAGTATGCTGGCGCTCAGCGACGCGGTCGAGCTGGCATTGTCTCCCCCGTAAGCAGAATCTTCATCGTCGGAGTCGTAAACGGCCTAGAATGGCCATGGTTAATTACCTGACCCTAGAATGACGCATGCATACTTTATTCAAATCCAGGTTATCGCGTACCGGTATTTGCGCCCAGTGGGACGCGGGCAAGACCTCCGGTACTTGAGCCTGCTGATCGGGCTCAGCAGCCGACGCCATATCTAGCGCGTCTACGGTCGTTGACGTTGCTGCCGCCCCGGCTTCTGGTGTAGCAGCGGTAGCAGAGGCAGTAGTGGTAACAGGAGGACTAGAAGGAGGGGCAGGAGACGACGGCGCCTCTGAAGTCTCCGTCGCAACCGTTGCACTAGTTGCGCTCTCGCCCGCTGCAGTGCCGGCCTGTGGCGTTACGTCTGACCTCGCCACGGGTTCTGGTGCCTTGGTAGAAAGGTTGGCCATGCTGGTAGGCTAGATAGATGTCTATCTTTGGCTTGGAACTCTTGGCTCGATCGAGGCACTAACGCATGAACACAACCTGTCTACTGTGACTCTTGCTCGCTAGTTCAGATTATGCCTAAGACATAGGCAAGCCTACGTGTTGGGCTCCCTGGCAAGACGAGACAGAGAGAGAGGAAGAGTCGGAAGCGCTACGCTGGAGAGCGGCCTCTCTAAGGGACAACCGCAGCCGTACGAGTCAACTCAATAGCAATCGTCTAGCGTTGTGGGGTGGAGGGGCGAGGGTTGAGCCGCCAAGTAGAGAGTAGCTGGGAATAGGCAGGGCCATACGACTCGCAAGAATCCAGCCGGAGGTGCTGAAGGGGGGGAGTCGGACGATTTATTGGCGTCCATACTACATGTGGAAAACCCGTTATTGTACAGCGCGCCCGTGTCTCGGGAGCTATACATTAGGTATGTTCTCACACACGCCCGGAGACGGTCTTGGATGAGGCACATGGGAATCCAGCATCTGACAGATAATGGTAACCGGGTATGCTCAGAAGCACATGTGCCTTAGATACCACCCTCAGCTGAGGGAGGGCGGGGATTTGGCAGCATGCGTGAACACCAAACCCGGGAGTGAAGAAATCAACTGGGAGCAAACCGGGTTGGGGGGAAGAAGGCTCAAATCCGATGGGACGTGGAACGAATGCGACGGTAGCACTGCGTACGGAGTTGCATATCTACACGACTGCGCAGCGTTTCTCTCCCCCTTTTATTACCTATCGTGGCCCGTTGGCATGGCTGTCACCCGCATCATTCTCGCCCACCTAGTGTGCGTCCTGCGAGATGAATGGTCCACCGACCCCTCTCTAACCCTCTCTCAGTTGTGCGTCTCTGCTAGCTCGATGGAGGATATTTCAACCTCGACGAGCTATCGGCGATCGAATGTTTACGGGGACGCGCCGAGCTGTGTGTGTTGTACACCACCTGCAGGCTACTAGTGACAAGACCTGTCAATATCGAGCCTTCGGCAGACCGCTGGACAGGATAAGTCACTGTCAGCATGCCCGCCGGGGCTCTCTCGTTCGCCTTACGGTCTCGACGTCGAGATCGCCTCCCGGAATTGTCCCCTCCGAACATACATGCATACACCTACATAGTACAATGGTTGCTGTGTAGTTCATTCGGGCGTACTGAACGGTCCACCTGTCGCTACCGGGGGAGTGGTGGTGATCGCGCTCTTTTGGTAATGACTCGTCATGCGCCGCTCGCGAGGCTATCGAGTCGCACGCGAGGCCGCCGCCACGAGATAGGTATATCGGGTATGGCCTCTCGTATCTCGGTCCTGTTTCGAGGTGGAGCGCGGTGTCGAAAAGTCCTACGCCGCACACCCTCCAGTCGCCGTATACCTGCTCCGTTTCTCGTCTCCTCTGCCTGCGTGGGATGGCCCTCCTAGCCCGTCAACTTCGAGTTGCTTTTTCTCCTCTGCATATATACACACACCTCTATCGATCCAATGGGACGCTAGAGCCGGACGACGGTCTCCTTTCCGTGCCATGAAAAATTCTCGTCTGATATTAACCCCCAGCAGTGCTAAAGGCTGCGGCGCCACAAGGGTTCGGAACGGACCAACCAGTCTGGCCAGAACCCTCTTCGCTCCGATTCTTGTCTTCTCAGCCCCCGAGCAGGCATTGGGAATGCCGCATAGCTAATGGGGCGTACTGGTTCCATCTGACAGACGTTTCTGAGGGAATAATTCTCGGTCCTACATCCCATTCTGGGTTGTGGGCGTTGTCTTCGCTCTTAGGGACGGGGAGTCTGCATATATGATAGGCGACACGTTTGATTTCCGGAGCGCCATATATCCACGCCCTACCTCTGTTTAGGTAGGTATGTCTATTTTGCATAAGCAATTGACGCCTTCGTGGGAATCATGCGGTCAATTTTTATATCGCGCTCTGGCTCCTATGTAATAGGGTCGTACGTTATTCTAGGCGCGGGATTTTGCGGCCCAGACGCTTCGGCTGAAATCTCATCCCTATGCACTAGGGGAAGGAAAAGGGACTGAGGCTGAAATTAGGGTGCGCCTCCAACGAGGGATCCGCCTAGTAAACACGCAATAAACGAGAAAAAGAATTTCCAAAAGATAAAATATATACGCCGTAGTTCATTGTGAGTGGCAGAGCGTATAAGACCAGGTGGCTATACTCGCACACAGCTCTCTACCTAAACGAACGCTCGACAACCACAGCGAGGACCCGGCGGGAACGGGATCGATCGCGGCCGAATCTGAGATCGTAGCCCACTCGGAGACGAGGGCAAGATCCACGACGAATTTTTAGAAAGGGCACCCTCCCTGGCCAAAGCCGGCTTTTATCTTCTTGACATCAATTTCCATCTCGTCGACGCCGAGGCCTATGCGATTTGAGGGGCCTAGGTCCGAGAACAAGTACCCCTCGGGCATGAACTCCCCTGGGTTATCGCCGGGGACCTTGCCACCGTAGAGCCATACGGCCCAAGCTGCGGGCCCCCAGCGGTTGAAGACAGTGGGCGTGATGTAGAAGGGATAATTGCCGTACGGTATCCGCTGGGTCATGCGTCCCGTCTTCGGGTCCGGGTCGTACTGGCGCTTGAGCTGGAAAAAGCGAGGTAGCGATAAGTAACGTAGGACGAAGCGCCGCACAGCGAGGATCGAGTACATCACGGCCGCCGCCGTGACGTCGGGCTCCGGCAGCCTATCCATTAGCATACTTGCTGGCCGGGTTTCGACGACCGTGGTCACACGATGTAGGTAAATGATAGGTAGATAGAAGGAGGGAGTGGGTAACTTACATGAAAGCCTCACGTACTCTGCCTCCCAGGAGACTAATTATCGCGTCGGTAACGAATGGCTTCGCGAACCAGGGCACCCAGTACGTCATCATGGGGATTAAAGTGCGAGCGGGTTTCGCCGACACGACGCTGGGCTTCATCGCGCCGACTTCGTACGACTTGGCCCAGGCGGAGATGTCGTCGAAGAATTCAATGCCGTCGCGCCACCCACGCTCAGCATGCGTCAAGTAGCCCTTGTACTCAATGCCCATGGCCTCGCCGACGGCCTTCCAGAAGACGCCGCTCGCGCAATACTCCATCTCGTTGAACGGTCGCCACTCGTATAGCTCGGCGAAGCGCGCCGGCTCCGTCACAAACACCGACAGCGTGTATAGCAGGTCTGCATTCGAGATGGTGCCCTCCTTGATGTATCGACTGTGCAGGAAGTTCATACGCGCGATCCCGCGCACAGCCCTCTCCGACGTTGGTGGGTTGATTAAAAACTCACCAATTAGGGCCCCCGTGTCTTCGAACCTGTCTCCATGGTCAGGTAGCTGTCCGAGCGTTGATAGAGGCGTCTACGACGGGCATTATCGCAAGTCACGACAGTCGCAGTAGCCACCTATCTCAACGGCGGCTATCTCGAAGCGACCCGCTTCCTTCTTGGAGGAAGCCGGCTCGGCGCGCGGGCCTCCGGGGTGTGCATCCCTGGTGACCACGACATGGTCCTCCAAGAAATGGGAAACGAAGGGGGAGTAGAAAAGAAGAATATCCTCACCTCTTGAGGCTCTTAACGGGGTCCGTCAAGTTGCCCGTAGCCAAGAGAAGGCGACTGATGCTCTCGACACCATACGTCTAATCGCGCCCGAGTTAGCGAGCCATTCTCTAAAGGCGGGTCGAGACGAAACCATCTCGAACCTCCCCACCGGGGCTACTATTACGTCCTATGCGACAGACCTTAAACAGCCCGAATTGGAGGGCTTGGAAGTGGAGCAGGGGAATCTCCCAAGTCGAGAGGAAGTCGATGACCTGCTGGGCCTCCCCGACCGTCATCCTCGCGAGGGAGGCCCGGTTCAGGTAGCCTAGTCTCTTCCGCAGCGCATGTTCGCGGCGGAAGCGGAGCGCGCGGCACAGTCCGACGTAGAGTAGGACTCCGGTGAGGACGAGCTGCTTCCACGTGGTCAACGTGAAGAAGGCTACCAGCGGCTGCGGTGGCAGTACAGAAGCGGCGGCGCGGGCGTCGGCCACCGAGATGTTCATTATAGGTAAAGAAGACGATAGGAGCGAATAAAAGAATTGTCTCGTTAGGTATATCGTTTTAGTGGCAGGAGGAAGAGAGAAGGTGGTATAGACAGACGAGAGGGGGGAATCTGATGATCGAGCTCTAGATTGATATCGAACATCCGTCCATTTTACGATATTACGGCGTGGTCATGGAACTGCTCTAGATTTTCCGTTCCCTTACCAGATTATATTTCTTTCTCACTACCCCCTTTCTTTTGTTCTTCGTCTTCCCCCGCCTGGCCAAGTTCGCCTTTTCCGTTCTCTGTCTTTCCTATTACCCCCCTCCCCCCGCCAAAAGTAAGACTACAGCATGTCGATATTCGATACTTCGTACCTCGGCTCTTTCTTGCAGCTAAGGGTCATGTTTTATAACCCAAGGTGCCGATTTTAACTAGCTCTAACCTGCTGTTTTAAGGCTACTCTTTAAAAATAACTCTAAGTTTAATTATAAATATTAATTAATAATCGTAACTTTAAGTAAATACTATAATTTAAAGCTATATAAATATTATATTATGACTTGAAGGAAAACTTAATATCTAAATATCAATTTCTTTTAAAAAATACTTCTTTATTTTATTTTTATTTAGAGTTTTTCATAAAATATTTAAAGAGAGGTTTTTTTAAAAGAAAATATTATATTTAATTTTTCTTCTAAACTTTTATAATGCTCATTAATCACGGTCTTGCATTATATTTAGATAAATTAATTAAATATAATATTTATAGTATTTAATATTTTAATTTGATATATTGTATTCTTTTAATAACGATTTTGTAACGTATTAATAAATCTTCGGGCTCTCGAGGTTTACAGGTACCCTAGTAATTGATATATCACCAACAGCATAATGCATTACCAACACCGCTTCGTCTCCCTTGCTTGTCGCTCACGCCTCGATCCCCAAGATCAAAGCATGAGACGCCGAATAGGCAGTTGACGTGTGCTTATATGCCCAGAGGCTAGAAATAGCATGACGGAGTGGTGCGACCAAAATACCTCGGTTGCGGCCGCCCACCTCATCCTAGTGGGGATGAACATGTTGGGTCCATAAGGATGCGTGGATACGGTGCAAATCCGAGGCTTGAAGCCCGGTTGGGTCTGCGCGGAATTGCTGTTCGAGTTCACCTCGCTGTCAATTCGATCCTACCCGCCAAGGTCTACAGCGGCCTGCTCATTGACCACAAGGCAACCGAGTGGGCAGAGCTTCTCGAATTGAAATCGTTCTGATTCATACTACCTTTCGCCTGTACTGCCTTCTTCTCTTGTGGGTTGTATCCCTTCTCCAGGGTCACACTTTTGATCATGTCTGAAGCACTAGCTACTCAAGACGAAGCCTTGTCAAGGCTTTTAGCCTACGTATTCTCTGGCGCAATCGGCCCCCCTGAAGGGAAAGGTGTAGGCTATGCGCTGGTTGAAGCCAAGCCAACCGCCTTCTCTTGGTTGGCGTCGTTGGAGGACATCGATGGGCCTCCTGCGCCCGTCGACCGATACCTCATTAAGATTGACAGGCTGTCAAGAGATATCTGCCCTCCAGAACATATTGTACTATCGGAAATAGAACTTGCAGAGGCGGCGTTCGCGGCAACAGGCCAACATTTGGTCTCGTCGACCAGGTTCACCAACGGCGCGCTGAGCATCTCATACAAGGTCACGGTCCAAGAGAGCTTGGATATCGCATATGTCGTTCAGCTACGTCACCACGGCTGCGTAGCGTCCATGGATGTGCTCATGGCTTCGATCTCGAGAATGATTGACCCTCAGATCTTGCCCGTGCCTCCTGTATATCCAATACCGGGGGAAATGCAACGGCAGGTGGCCACAGGTATAGGAAGGCAAATACCTCGGCTTATACCGGGTGTTATGGCGTCGTCGATCTACCCTCGAATGTCGCACGAGGAGAGGCTCATCATCGTGCAGAAAATGGCCCTTGCGTTCCAAGCCTGCTGGAGAATCCAGCTCCCGGAACATCATCTGATCGGCGAGCTTATTGCCGCGACAATTGATGGTCAGGTTGTTCTCAAGATTGGACCCGATCGACACTATGGCCTCGGGGGCCCGTTTCCTACTGTACGCGAGTACCTCCGGGCGTATATCAGGTCCTCACTCGTCGCCCTCGAAAAGCAGCAGGGCATTGAAGAATATAAGGAGCGGTTCTTGGGTCATATCAGGGATTTTGTCGATAACCGTATGTATAATGTACCTACCCGCTATCGTCGAGGACATCCCCATCGTTGCTATGCACGCGGACATGGGCCTTCATAACATCATCTTGTCAAGCCAGATACACACTGAGATACAAGCGGTCATCGACTGGGAATTCACATCTAGTGCGCCATATGCCTCTCTCCGCCGAATCATTGAAATGCTTTTCCGTAAGCCTGCCCTTAATGGGTTCGGCCCGGAGTACGATCGCGCCAATGAACTCCGTGAGGCTTTCTGGGGCACCATCCAGGACTGGGAGCAGTGAAACCAGAGCGAGGCGACACAGGCATTCCTGGGGTGGTTTAGGTTCGGCCTCTTCATCAAGCCTGAATGGAGGCTGAAAGACCTTCCCCCTGATGAGACTGGACTTTTGGCATGAAAACATTCCAGCGGTCAAGAGCATTTTGAGCAAGCGTTCCACTGGCGTCGAGCGAGTGTCTCAGTCGGCACTTATGCATGATGACTAAATAAGGGGATAAGAAGTAATATGGCGGCGTGGATTAGAAAGAAGACCGGAAATAGTGCCAGGCAGAGATGCTTTCTTGGACTCCAATGTTAGCTTAGCACTAGTTCGTCTACCATTACATGAGACTTGGAAGAAAAGAAAAGAAAATAGCCGTTGGCTCTAATAAAGGCGCTTTACAATAAACTCAAATAAATATAAATAAATTTATTATAACACTAGATTTTAAGTTTTTTAAGAATATTTTTAAAAATATTTTAATATAATATAATTAATAAACATATAAATAAATAATATATTTAGTTATTTAACATTTATTAAAAAATAAGAATTAACTTTTAAAATTAAATATTATATAAATAAAAATATTTAATATTATATAATTTTATGTTTTTAATTTTCTTATAAAATAGAAAAAGAAAAAATTTTTTCATTTCTCTCTACGTTTCTTTTAATGAAAAAATTCATGTATAAGCTTATATTAAAAAAACCGGTCAGTGAAGGAGTGGCCCTTTGGGGGGGGGGGTAGGTTAGCTTACTCTCTCCTATGCTTAGCCTGTACTAAAATCTTATACTAAGCAAGCGGCTTTTAGGTTGCTTGGTTTCTCGTTATGAGGTACGGAGTAGGGTTGAGGCGGTCCAACAGAAAGGTGCTTGGAACTCGGCGCTGTATCCGTCGCTGGGAGTGGTGATAGGCTGCCCGGATACTCGCGACTTTGGGATGGTGCAGTGTTGGTTGAGCACATGTGTTAAAATAAAATAAAAACTTGTGCGATCGTCCAAAGGGAAGACTGTTTACTCTGGAGGGGGGGAACGCTGGGGTCAGCGGTTGGTAGATAGCTCTACGTAGCACTCATGACCCTGCCCATTGAGATGCAGTCATCATCTACCTAGCTGCGTCAGCCATATCGGAAGATGGAGACTGGCTGTCCGCTGGCCTAACCGCCTAGCGGCCCGCCCTGTAATCCATGGCTATACCTAAGCTGTCTACCAACCTGCGTATGGTTCCGTCTGCATTTACAGGACGATTGCGATTTCTAAGCGCGGGGAGCGAGACGAGGGGGTATAAGTGGGAGAGAGGGGTGATAATCCTTTGACCTGCCAACAGTCGTCTGATGCCTGGCAAATCCCAAACCGGAACACCAGGACGGTGGTTCGTCTCAACCTCGCCCGATCCTCTCTGTTCTCGGCGGAGCAGCTGTTATTTTCTTTATCTCTACTTCTTCCTCTTCTTCGCCTCTCCCTCCCTTGCCCGTGCAAAAATGCGAAGAGATATAGAGATACGGACAAACGGATGGGAAGAGAGAAGGATCTGCTGGACACCCCCAAAGACCGGCGGGCATGTTGAGTCAAATGATATAATATTGTGCTACCGTCAATGCCTATAGTTCTTACCCAAGAGAAAAAGAAAGCCGTTGCACGTATGGGTGACCCTGAAGTGGCCGACGACTTAGGCTTTTTTCTTCGCCTTTTCCTCCCTCGACCTCTTCTTCCAAGCCTTGACCTGGCTCAACAGGCCGATGACGAGAGGTACACCTACTGGCCCCAACAATGGCAAGTAAATGGCCACCTTGTGCTCGTCGGGGAAATAGAGCTGCCCAACCATGCTCTTCTCGAAGAACGCACGTTCGGCCTCTGCCTCGGCTATGCGCGCGTGCTCGAGACCGTCTGTCCCACCAAGGTGGGAACACGCGGACCGCAGGTGGCGCATCGATTTCGTCACTCCGTCGGCGACGCTGGGCGGGATGGATATGCTCGGCAACGCTAGCGAGAGACGGGCCAGCGACCCCAACGAGGAAGACGCCCGTAGAAGCAGGTCTGCAGACCGTATGCGGGTGAGTGTTGAGAGGCGCATCGGCAGGGGTCCCGTCTGCGGGGTATTTAGGAGCGAGAGCAGGTGAGAAGTAAAGGTCAGGATTGGCTGCTTCAACAACTCAGACCGGATGTGGTCGGTAGCAGGTGGCGGTAAGAGATAGACAGAACCCCACTGCGGGATGAGCCACGAGTGGGAGGATCCCGATTCGAGGGCCCCGGGGTCCGGCCCGACGGTTTGATTGCCAACATACATGACAAAATTAACCGTCGGCGACCCTCCGATAGAAGGCGACAGCGGCCATTCCGCGGCGTTTATGAAGGAAGATAGATCTTCCTTGGTGAGAACCTGCGACTGCACGCCGGGCGAAGCGTACAGCTGGACCTGTGTATCGATGGTGAAGTTGTGGATAGGTCCCAACATATCAAGGATGGGCCTCATGTATTCGTCTATCGCCGAATCGACATCCCAGCTGCTCGGCGTAGGCCCGTTGGTAAACAGCGAGAAGGTCAGGTGGTAGGTTCGCGAGTACTTCAGCGATCTCGTCATCCGTTTCGACAGCGAGGCCTCGGCCGCGTCTCGAAGAGACCCTTGCGGTCGGGGTTCGGCATGTGTCGTGTAGGTCGCGAGGAGATAGGACATGACATCCCGTTCTTCGGAGAAGGTCTCGCGCAGTTGCGTTGCTAGATAGGTCGCGAAGTCGGAAGAGTTGGCGGTAGGGGACGGTATAGAGTTGGGGGGGTAGGTGACATCGAGAACGGGGGAACGCGAATGGAGCGAGGCGGTCATGGTTTGGCCGGGACGGAGGCGCACCACGAGCGCGGCATCGGAATCGTGGGACGGGGCGTTCATATAGTCTGCACCAGTAGACGGTAATGGCTCGAGTTGCAGACGCTGGGCCGCAAAGTCGCCCATGGCATCCAGTGCTTGCTGTGTGATGCTCATGAGGTTATAGGATTCCTCCTCTCCGAGGCCAGATGTATCGAGGGCAATTCGTATGGCAAATACCGGGGTGCAGGCCTTGGGCGGCGTAGAGACGTCAATAACAGACATCGACGGTATATAGCCGCACGGGGTTAGGGATGCATCGATCTCACCTTGCCGTCAGCCCAGTCCATCATCTCGCTCAGGGGCAGATCCGCCCGGTATATCGTGGTCGTCTTCCACCATATTGGCAGGCCGAGAAACAGGACGATGAGCCAGAAAGATGCGACAATGAACGATCGTCTTCGGACGTCCTCTGGCTTCTCCGGCGGCGGCTCCTTGCGGTTTCCCGGTAGGGGCGGGTTTGCCGTGTCGCTTTTCGCGTCTGGCACGATCGTCTCGTTCGCCTTGCCCGCGGCGCTGATGTCTGCTACTGCTGGGGGTGCGACGTCGTCGTGCCGTTTCTCAGAGGTGGGAGACATGGCTATATCCAGCGGCGCTACCCTCTCGGAAGCATGGCTCTGGATCGATCGCGTCGTTGGGGCTGACCGATCGTGCCAGCGTGTCGCAAATTGGGAAAATGTCCGATGTAAGCGAGTGGAAGACAAACCTGGCGGAGGAGCCTAAAGGAGCAGCAAGGTACACACCTACATGAACCGAAGGCGCGCCGGCTGGGCCAGTGCAGCAGCCCTACGGGCAAAGTAGGTACTTACCTACCCTACCATTTCAGCCACCTCCTTAGATACATACCTAGTTAGGTAGGTAATTGGACATGTAGGCGTCTATCGCGAATATATACCTACTAAACAAAGGAGTTAATCCTACCTCGGCCCAAGCAAAGTGGATGCTCCCGTCTCTCTCGTCGATCGGAGGTACTTTTTTTACCTAGGCCACGTCCATCAATGATCACGGCGACATCAACGTCAGCAAGGAACCTAAGAAGCGTACTCATCCCCGTACGGATAGCTGGATTACAAATCCCTCCCAGTCGAACGATCCAATTGATTGATAGCGACTCTGTGTACAGGTGCTTGTCTGTACGCGCAAACGCGAGTCGACAGACCTAATATAGGTAAGATGTCTTACCTCCTACGTGGTTCTTCTTCAACCCATGCTAGCGAGTCTTGGCGAGCGTCCGTAGCTTCAGCTCCGACACCCAATAAACGCCAAGCAGTATCTTCCTTCTTATGGGTGGACAAGACAACTCTTGCGCCTGGTGGTCTTACGTGTGACCTATAGTAGGTATTCTTTGCTGCGTCCCAAGACCTGGGCTGGCGTATGCGTCCGAATCCGTGGCTTTAGTGCAGCACAAAGGCGCTCCCTATTAGTGGTGTAAACGAGACTCGAAGACTAACCCTGCTCGGTCCCTCGAGCTACGTTGCAAGCCGAGGTTCGCAAACACAATTGGGAAATCGACAACCCCAAAAGGCGAGGGGTAAAACAGCTTGGACCGGTCCGGATGACGATCTCATACCTTCGTATCCCCTATGTACCGCGGATCTCCCGGGTTAAAATTGAATTTGAAGGGACAGGAGGAAAGGGAGGTAGGAGAAGAAGAAGAAGAAGTAAAAAGTACACACAATATTCCTATAAATAAAAATTCAATACAGTTCCCCCCTCCCCCCTCCCCAAAACAAGGACAATCGCTGACCGAGACATTCACTACGGCCCAGCCCTATCAGGGGACTCGGAATTCGCGCGCTGGTATGGCCAGGGGTAGTAGTTTGGACCCCCGAAGACGTCTCGACTCGACAAGAGAACCCACCCAGCCTACCGAGGCAACAATACTTATTAGACTACTTACGTACCGCCACACCTCCCTATTCATTTGGTGGGCGCTGGTAGGGCTCCCCTGGTGTGAGCTGGGCTTCCTTTTATCTACTAGCTACCGCCCGTCCTTGCCGCCTCGGAAGGGTTAAAGAAAGAATAAAAACAGAGAAAATATCGTATACCAATATCTACCTCCCGCGTCGATATCCGATCACGCGCGGGCGGATTTGCCTTCCTGGCTGAGAAGCAGAAGCAGGTTTTGTCGGTAGACAGGACAGAATCGTACGAGCTGTGTGATGCTTCGTGCTTCTTGAGCATAGCTGAGCTGGGATGCTGATCTAGCAACAACTTCTCGTCAATCAAGAGAAGATCGATCAATTGAAACATGCCCGGTAGGTTCCACCCCGGTTCTTTTTCTCTTAACTGGATAACCCTTCGTCGAAGCGTATTCTCTTATTGAGTCGCCATTCTGGCTGTCGCTGCTAACCTTGCCACATAGTTCCTCTTGCACTCTCCGTGCCGGCGCTGGCCGCCGGCCTCGCCTATCTCAACGCCAAAACCGGCTTCTGGTATGATGTAGGTCTGCTGCGCGGTACGTTTAGGGCCCTCATACGTGAGCGCTATCGGGAGTCGAAGGATCGCTGTAGTTCCTTCTACGTCCTCGAGGAATATGCGACAAACACGTCCTCGAGAGACCGGCTGTTCATCCTCTTCGAGGACAAGTCGTGGTCCTTCGCTCAGGTATACGAAATGGCGTTGAAATACGGCAATTGGCTGAAGACAAAGTACGGGATCAAGCCGAAGGATGTCGTTGCCATGGATCTCCAGAATTCTGACCATTTCGTCTTCATCTGCTTCGGACTGTGGGCCATCGGGGCGACGCCGGCTTACATCAATTATAACCTGGCCGGCCAGCCCTTGATCCACTGCGTGAGGACGGCACAATCCGTACTCATGCTCGTCGACCCCGAGGTTGCGGAGCGCGTCGACGACAGCGTCCGAGAGCAACTGGGAGGTCTTCGCATCGAGCTTTTGACGGATGAGCTCAAAGCCGAGGTGTCTGCGGGCGAAGCGGTTCGGCCGCCAGACTCTGTGCGGTCAGGCCGGTTAAGCAGGGATTTAGCAATCCTCATCTACACTTCCGGCACGACTGGGTTACCGAAAGCAGCTATTGTTTCCTGGAGCAAGTTGGCGTTGTCCGGTTCGTTTGCCGGCGGCTGGCTGCGTACGAAACCGTCTGACGTGTTCTACACGGTAAGCTTTCTTGTCGAGAGAATGAATCTGGGCGAGGGTATATTCTAATGGGTTCCGCAGTGCATGCCGCTTTACCACAGCTCTGCTACCCTCTTGGGGATGTCCCATTGCTTAGAAGCCGGCGCCACGTTTGCGATAGGCAAGAAGTTCTCGACCAAGACGTTCTGGAAGGAGGCTCGACAGCATAAGGCGACCATGGTCCAATACGTAGGAGAGACTTGTCGATACCTCCTAGCAGCACCGCCCGAGATCGATGCCGTCACGGGTGAGAACTTAGATAGGAAGCACAGCATACAGGTAGCGTTCGGCAACGGCCTACGCCCGGACATATGGGAAAAGTTTCGAGAACGATTCGGCATCGAAAACATTGCCGAGTTCTACGGGGCGACGGAGGGCTTCTTGGCGATGTGGAACCTTTCTCGGGGCGACTTTTCGAGCGGTGCTATCGGCCGCTTCGGGCTACTCTACTGGCTGTTCGTAAGGTCAATGCTGATCATCGTCGCCCGGGACCCCGAGACCGACGCCCCGGCTCGCGATCTGACGACGGGTTTCTGCCGACAAGTTAAAAGCGGCGACGTCGGCGAGATGCTGCTCGCCCTCCCTACCGACGTGACGAAATCGTTCCAGGGGTATTACAACAACCCCCAGGCGACGAATAGCAAGATCATCCGCGATGTGCTTAAGAAGGGCGACGGTTACTTCCGAACCGGAGACCTCGTGAGCCTGGACTCGGAAGGGCGGGTATACTTCCACGACCGCATCGGCGACACTTTCCGGTGGAAGAGCGAGAATGTCGCGACGACGGAGGTGGGTGAGGCGATGGCGACGCACCCGGCAGTAGGGGAGGCCAACGTATACGGCGTGCAGTTGCCGAATCACGACGGGAGGGCCGGGTGCGCGGCCCTCACGCTGGCGGCAAACGAGCGGCCCGACAGCGCGCTGTTGCAGTCGCTGGCGCAGCACGCGCGTAGCAAGCTGCCCAAATACGCGGTGCCGATCTTCCTGCGTGTCGGTAAGGGGACAACCGTCGCAGTCACGGGAACCAACAAGCAGCAGAAACACCAGCTGAGGACGCAAGGCGTAGACCCGGCGCTGGTCGGGGACGACGAGTTATTCTGGCTCGAGGATAACAAGACGTACGTGAGATTTGGAAAGCGAGAGTGGGATCGGCTGAATGCAGGTCAGGTGAAGCTCTAATTCCAAGCAATGGGTAGGAGGGAGGAGCTATACGGGCAGAGGATGCTCGGGACAATATCCGACATGCCTCGACTCTTTTCGATTCTCCACCATATCATGGACGGTATAATGAGTACATAATTAATATATATGTATATATATATACATACACATACATATATATATCAGCTGTAGGGATGCTGTCCGAGATTACCTGTCAGCATTAGGCACATACCTAGGTATCTACTTGCATATTTGGCCCGGCTGGAGGCTGGTGCCTTATCGAGCCCGTCCTTCTCTGTCTGCCTCCCTCTGCGTAGCTTTGCTCGAATGTACGTCGGGTTCTTCACCCGGTGAACAACTCGCCGTGCCGTGGACTAGAACAGGTAGGAAGAGATCCGGACAGTTAGTTGAGTACTGGTAAGGAGGCTCTGATAGGGGTAATCAGAAGAAGCGATACCTAGGTTACAGGGCAGCGCACAGGTTAGGAACCTTACCTAAGGTGGGTGGTAGGTACGTCATCCACGGTAAGTATATACTACGCGGTACCACTTAGGACGTAGCACTCAGCGGGCACCTAAGGTATTCTACGTGTATCCGCCGGCGTTCCGACATGTATCTCCTGACCCTCTAAGTAAAACAACCATTGCCCCTCCAAAAGTAGGTACGTATCCCTGAGAACCTGGGGGAACTCCTCGGGCCAATCACAGGCCGGCATCCCCTACCCAAATTTCCAATCGCGACATGCTCGTTGGTGCATCTCCCACCATCATCATCACCCCTCCCATTCCATTCCTACCATGGCATCCGAGTTGAGCGCCGCCCCCGTCCTCTCGACACCAGCTGAACACATCTTCGACGACCCGACAGCCTCCTTGGCCACCGCCCAACCTCGACGACTTCGTAGACCCGACCACGAGCTCCTCCATGTCTACGAGATCGAACGGACCGCCGCCGAGATCCGCCGCCATGGCTGGTCGCGCGTCGCATTGCAGTTCCCCGATGCCATGCTGCCCGATGCCCCCTGGGTTGTCGGTGCCTTGGATTCTCGACTGCGGAAGTTGGCCGAGGAGGACGACGGGAACAGGGACGTAGAAGGGGGAGGAGACGCTCAACGAGAGCAGCCGAGCCAAGGGGGAAAGCAGAGGAATCGCCTATACATCCTAGCTGACACATCCTACAGCGCATGCTGCGTCGACGAGATCGCGGCCGAGCACGCTAACGCCGATGTTGTCGTCCATTACGGCCGTGCGTGCCTCAGCCCGACCTCGAGATTGCCGGTGCTGCACGTCTTCACGAGACAGGTCCTCGAGTACGATGCCGTTATCGACGCCTTCGAGAGGGAGTTCCCGGGGAATGCGGAGAAGGTGGTTGTCATGGCGGATGTCATGTTCCAGGAGCACATCCTACCAATATGTAACTTGCTTAGAGACCGGGGGCATCGCAACGTCGTCGCGACCGAGATTTTCCGAGACCCGGCTGGGCCGATACCGAATCGCAAGTTGGTTCCGCTCGATACTTCGCCCGCCAGCCACGTCGACTACAACTTAAATGAATACCACCTTTTCCATATTTCCACCCCTCCTACCTCCCTCCTCTTGACCCTCTCCTCGCGTCTTGCCTCCTTACGTATCTATACTACACCCTCCTCGCCCTACACGACCGATTCGGCTCCTCTGGACCCAAGCACGACGCCGTCTCTCCTTCGCCGTCGTTATGCGCTCGTCATTCGGCTCGCCACCGCTTCCGTCATCGGAATTCTGGTGAACACGCTGTCGGTAAAGAATTACATGTCTACCATCTCCACCCTCCAGAAGAACATCGCCGCCGCCGGAAAGAAGAGTTATACCATCGTTGTTGGCAAGCTGAACGCGGCGAAGCTGGCCAATTTTGCCGAGGTCGATGGGTGGGTTGTCGTCGGGTGCTGGGAGAGCGGGTTGGTTGAGCAGGAGGGCTTATGGAAGCCCGTGGTTACGCCTTTTGAACTAGGGCTGGCGCTTGAGGGCGAAGAGAGCAGGGTCTGGACTGGCGAGTGGTGGGGCGGTATCGAGGGCGTCAATAGCTTGCTACCTACGGGTACGGGCACCGACAGCGTCCCCCGTCAAGGAGAAGTGGGGAACGAAGGAGAAGCGCTCGGACCTGCGGTAGAAGAAGTCGAAGGTGGTGTGGACGATGAAGAGTCAGAACCGCCCGAGTTCGACCTTCGGACCGGCAAGCTCGTCAGTCATAGCCGACCGATGAGACTCGCCGTGCGGAGCATCCCGAGGAGTGTGGGCGAACTCGGCAGCGCCAGCATCGACCCCGATCAAAAGACTCCGTCGTCAGCAGTAATCAAGAGGACGACGGGAGACGTGGTGCTCGTCAACGGCATAGCTAGCCCGGGAGCAGAGTTCCTGAGGTCACAAAGGACATGGCGGGGCCTGGGCACGGACTTCGACGACGAAGAAAGCACCGTCATCGAGGAAGGGCTGAGCGGTATCGCGAGAGGGTATACCATTGGCCAGGGACAGATCCCGACGTGAACTACGATCCCCGGCTGTTCATGGCAATTCGCAAACTAAGCGAATCAACCCAGCAAGAAGAGCCAGTTTCGATAATTGGCGGGCCTCCTCCTATCGCTACCGGCGTTAAATCTCGAGGAGCAATCTCGACATTGTTCGCCAAAATGGCGGATGTGTACGTTGATTGCGTTTTTACGTACATATACTACGGAGCCAATATCCCGGTCTAACAGTGAGCTGTCGCTACTCCACGTCTACCGTCCGGATAAGTTGAATGAACTTATGGGTGCGCGTAGCAGCGCAGGCTCGGAGAGGTCCGATTTGAGGTATGCAACTACAAGCACATTTGACAGGAAATACGGGGCTGCCTAGAGAAGATAAACGCAATTGATGTGCGATAAAAGGATCCAGGGGGTCACGAGCTAAACTGGACCGTAGGGGATCGGCTGGTTTTCTATTCAGATCCTCTCATCCAAGTTGGGGCAGTCTGCCTAAGTAGTTAGCCCTATGAAAGAGCGGCAGTTATCAGCATTCTCTTCTCTGATTAGGTCTCCGATCTCCCCCTCTCCCCCTTCTCGCCCGGCCCAATTACGAAAGTGGCCGGCATACCAACAGGCCAAAGTTGCGAAAACACATCAGCCCACCCAACTGCTCGGTCGCATAGATATACGGCAAGTGGAGTTGTTGGTTGCGGTTGGGGAGACCATGAAGTAACGTCGTGAAATAAGTCGTAGGGTCGTATAATTCGTTATCGTCGTGGCGGGTCGTATCGAACCGAATTCCTGCTATTGCCGTTCCCTCCTCGTTCCCCATCCAGCGTCGAGCCCGTATTCGGGCCGGTGTTTTCTGCGGCGCCGTGGAGCCCTGTCCGTCAACCCACCTGACCAGTTCTATCCCGAATCCGAGGGTGGGCAGAGGAACAAATGAGACAAAGCCAGCTGGCGGGACTACCAGGGCGACCACACGTCTGGCAGTGCGTGTTCGAAGGTATACACTTACATAGGTATACCTGTGTAAGTGTATACCTCCGAACACGGGCAACGCCTATGCCTTTTTGTTCTCTTTTTTTCCCTTTTTCTAGGCCATTTCCCCTCGCTTCTCCCCTTTGGTTCTTGCGGATCCCAGTAGTCTACATAATATTCGAACGCACGTACACACACATTCCGACAAACGCCATTATGAAATCCTTAAGTTGTTTCGATTAGGCCGCCACCGGACCACAAACCCATCTACAGCGCGCACGCATGCGCACGCAGGCGGCATCCGCTCCCGGAATGTGTGGGCATCAGACGTAGACGCGGCGATGAGAGTGGGAGCTGTGGCGGCTCGGGGCGCGGCTGCTGCGGTGGCCGTGGCGGTGGTGGTGCGTCTCGCGGTAGTAGGTGCCGCGGTCGGAGGCGGCGGAGCGGTCGCGGTGGAGGCAGGCGACGACGGAGGTGACGAAGAAGAAGACGCAGTTCATGATGCCGAAGGCGAAGGAGGCCTTGAGCATGGCGCAGGACTTGTCCGTGCTGGAGTCCCAGTTGGTGAGCGAGGCGCTGCCGAAGGGCCCGAGGCTGACGTCGTACGGGTCGCCGCGGCGGATGCTCGTGCAGTCGGCGCCGGCGATGAAGCGCAGCGCCCACACCGCCCCGATGAAGGCGCCGACGAAGAGCAGGTCCACGAGCGATATGAACGTCGCGTTCGCGCTCGACTGGTGGTAGCTGAACAGCGTGTAGATCGCCCAGGCGAGCGCCAGCACCGACACGATGAAGAGCACCAGCACGTAGTTGGGCGTCAGCTGGTTCAGCTGGACGAAGCCGTTGACGAAGTAGCTGAGCATGCCCATCGTCGGAATCTGCCGGGTTCGTTCGTTGTCACCTCGTTAGCCTCCTGGTAGGTAAGTTGAGCGGGCACAATAGGCCGGCGGTAAGTAAGGCCCGCATTGACCCGGAGCGGTGAGGAGTTTGGATGCTCTTCACGATCGCATATCTCCCGACAGCCAGCTTGTCCGGCGCCGAGAAGAGATGGGAGCTGGGTGGGCAGACCAGAGGGATCGGGTCGGCAGAGGAGAGTGGGCGGTGCTTACCAGCGTGATAATTTGCATGAAGCGCCAAAAGGCGAAGAAGATGGCGAACATCATCTTGACGGTACGTTGTCTCCTGTCGCTTTGATGATGCAAGTATGCTCGAGGGACGACGGGGAGAAGCGTGCGGAAAGTCTTCAATGCGCGAGAATGCGATGGGAGTGAGACGGGTTGGAATGGGGTGGTGGCGACGAAAAGCGGGAGGGGGTGTGTAATGTATGGTATGGTGGTGTGAAGGAGCGGAGAGGCCGGCAACGAAAGAGAAGACGGACGGCGGAGAGACACGAGGTGGGGGAGCTTCAGCAGCAGCTTCTCCTACGACGACATGCGCGCCAAGAGCTGCAAAAGACGAGGCGGCTGGTAAGACAGGAGAGCAAGTAACTCGGACCGTAGAGGAGGAGGCAGGGCGACCAGGGGGAGGGTCTCGTTAACTAGGGTCCCATGCAGTCCCTCCTGTATGCGCCGACGTAGTGTATCTCGAAAACCACGGCGGCCGGTCTTGGGGGAGTTGGTGATTTCCGACGGGGTCCTCTCAATCGCAGTCGTCGGTGTTTCCATGCTACGTAAGATCGCAAGATGTGCGTCTGCTCCCAAGGCTGACGGAGGAAAAGGGGAAGAGGAGAAATCATACGGGCTGGGTATGAGAGAGAGAGAGAAAGCCGTTACCCCAGTCCCCTGGTAAGTAAACAACACAGCAGAGGTGACGAAGATGCCCCGACAACCCAAGCCTAACCAACGTGTAAGGTCGAGGGATGGATGAGGCCAGGCTCAGTACTACCTACGTAGCAAGTGAAGAAGTTAGGTACCCGAGGTCGCAATGATGCATCGCATGGGCATCTAATAGGAAGCCACTCATTGGTGCCGTCGTGGCGGTACTCTCTATAGGGCAAGCGGATGGAGGTGAGCTACGACACCTACGAGCGAATAGAAATACCTAGGTATGAGTAGGTATAGAACAGGACTAGGGTATCTAATAGTCGTGACCTTCTATGTATGTGTGCGCATATGTCCGAATGATAAATTTCAGAAACACGCCTACTACGGGTGAAAACCCATAACAATGGCAACGTGTCGCGCAAGGTAGTTGTTGGCTGGCTAGCTGGAACTGCAGTACGAGGGAGACGTGTACATACACGCACACTGGTCTACGTCCGTAGTATAGCGGCTATGACAGCGCGCGGGGCTGGGAGACGTTTACAACAATCTCGAGATCCTTCGTATCCGTAGCTAGGATACGTGCTTAGCGGCTGAGAGAGAGCTGGTTAGTTGACCAGCCACGTCGATTTTCGCGAGGTGGGATCAACAGGATAAAACAGGTTTACCGCCTCCCCCGTCGGTTTTTTTCTTCATGATCATCTTCCGCGGCTTTTGTGGTAATGCTACCTACGTAACAGAGCCGCCAACCAACTCGGAATCTATCCAATCGTGAATGCCATCACGTTTCTTCTCCTACTATTCAGTAGGCTAACCCTTTTATTACTGTGCTGCCGTGTGTGTGCCTTTTTCCCACTTCGTAGCCGTTGCATGGCCGTCTCCAGCAAGCCTCCTCGCCAAGCTACTAACCCCTGCACCTGGCTAATATAGCCGAGAATTGGAAATACCTGTTAGACACAATGGAACTAGCTGCCTATATTCTACACGGTAGTTGGTTCTAACTACCTACATGCATCAGTAGTCTTCACTCGCAGCTTTTCGCTCACGCCCCCGCCTCTCCTGAGCGTCACTTCTGGAAATGTGCTGCTATTGCCACTGAGGAACCCATCATCGTCAACGCCTAGCAGGAACCTGCTGAAGAATGCATCGATATAGGTCCTCATAATCTCCGCCATCCTCGTCCCCGGCACACCCCCAGTCTCTGGGCCTTCTCTGCCCCCGAAAATGTCTCGAAATACGGGATAGTCGGAGTAGCTCTCGTGCACCGTCCCGGCCACTGTGAAATCCCTCTTCCAACCATGTAGGGACGGCCACCCCGGCGCGGCTGTGGGGTCGTCTGTAGCGACGTGCTCCGGGAAGCCGAGAACCAGCACTGGTTTTTCGGTGCCTAGCCGCACCACCGGGCCGTAGAGGAATCCGTCTAGGTCTGCCGCCGCCACCACCGCGGACGAGTTCAGCAGCGTGCCTACGGCCGCGGCGCCGCCGAACGAGTGGCCGAGAGCCGCGACGCGCGAGACGTTCACTGCTGTGATCAACTCATCGTTCTCGCCGGGCCTGATTTCGCCCCAAGCCATCCGTTCTCGGCCCTGCAGCCCGCTCTCCAGCCGCCCGAGGACGAACAGCAAGTCGGCGACGCGCACGTCGATCGCGAGCTCGCGCACGGCCGGCTCCAGCGGCCAGCGCCAGCCGCGCGCGCGCACCACACGGCCGTCGGGGTATTCGACGACGGCCGCGTCGTACGGGTGGTCGACCGCGGCCACGGTCCAGCCCCACGACGCGAGGTCCTGCAGCAGCGCCGCGTACAGCCCGCGCGCGAACCCGAACCCGTGGCTGAAGAGCAGGACCGGCGCCGCGCCCGCGCCGGCGTCGGCGGCGAGAGGGCGTGCGCCGAGGCGCGCGCGCGTGGTCAGCGAGGCCGCTGTGCCCGGCGTCCAGGAGAACACGCCATCCACGTGCGACGCCGTCGCGGGCGAGAACTGCGGCGCGAGAGGAAAGTTGAAGGAGGAGGAGGACGCGGAGGCGGTCGGGTAGAACAGGGTAACCATGAGGTCTCGCGGCGCCCCAGACGGCGAGAACGGGTCTGGCCGTCCGTCGTCCACGAGCTCGATGTTCCTGAGGCCGACGCCGTAGGGCCCCGTAAGCTCCGGTAGAAGGACCCGCGCTCCGAGGGCGGAAATGGCGGAGAGGAGGATGAGGAGCAACATGGTGGTCGTTTTCCCGAAGCCGACGCCCATAATCCGGCCTGCTTTACACCCACCTAGTTTGAAAACAGCTTACGGTCCTGCTCACGTAGCAGCGCAGCCCAGATCCATCCGTTCAGGGAATGACGGTTGTGTCTCGTCTCTCCAAGTCTCCTCGGGTGCACAGTGCGGCGTGCGAGGCCAAGAATCTGTCACAAGGGAGACCCGAATCACGTTTTCGGTCGACGGTGTCTCACGTAATCGCGATGTATCATTCGACAAATTGAATGAAAGACTCGCAGAAAATATCGAGAGGTTTGTAATCGGTGTCTAGAGGTCGTGTCCGGATATAACAACATCCCTCTCTAGCCGTGCGACGGGTCGCGAATCGGCTGGAAAAGATGGGAGATTTTGCTTGATCTCTGCAGTCTGCTACACGCAGTAGTGGCCAGAACGTCGGTGAGGGCGGTGATGACGCCAGCTCCTTTCGCCAATGGGCTGCTCGGCCGTGTTGTTATTGGCACGGCCATGGTAGGCTGTGGTCAGCCACAGCTAGGTAAAGTCGATACCATTATTTAAGAGCACTCCATCCGCCCGACCCCCTCGCGACCGCGGCTGCGACCTGCCAATTCCGCCGCACTGTTCTTGGGAGTGCCGCCTCAACCTGGGCAAGCATCAACATTGCTGAGGCACATCCGCGTGCTGCTGACGAATTGACCCGCTGTTCGTCAGCCATGATGGACAAAACTGAGTTGGGTGACCGAGCCTTGCCTCGGATCGTATGTAGGTAGATGAGCCAATGCCACTATTCGCGGGTGCGTGGGTTGCGTCTAGCATCGGCCCGCTTCCAGTGGGATGAGGGTTGAGACGGGTACGCGGAACAGCGGATCACATCAAGGGCCAACGTGTTGATAGATACACGTATAAATGTCTATTGATACTCCATTTGCTCCGATGCCTTCAAGATCTACTATATCCCCTTCTCTATCAGCCCAGCCTAGTGATTACAGTTAATGCATAGACGGCAGTATGATCCGCTCCCATCTCCTTCTCATAACTGCAGCCGGGTCCTGCATGGCAGCAGACCTGAGCACACTCCCCGGGCACCTGAAGACAATCTCTGCCGACGTCTTCCCGGGCCCGAAGGGCATAGCCCAATACATATATGCCAACCCGGAGACGTCCACACAAGAGTTCCACGCGCACGATATCGTGGTCGATTATTTTACCACGACGAAGCCCGGCCTTTGGGACGTAACGCCGCATGCTTACGGCGAGCCCACAGCCCTCGCGCTGGATTTCACCCACAAACCGGCGGGCTTCTCTGGTTCTGAGGAGGACATACCCACCGTGGGCTTCCTGGCCGAATACGACGCCCTGCTGGGCATCGGCCACGCCTGCGGACACAACCACATCGTGCTCAACGGGCTCGCCGCGGCGAGCATGGCGCGGCAAGCCCTCATTGATCTAGATATCCCCGGGCGGATCAAGGTGGTCGGCTGCCCGGACGAAGAAAACACCGGAGGCAAGGCGCGGCTACGGGACGCGGGGGCATTCGACGATATACCAATCTGGCTGATGGCACACCCGACGGTGGCCAACGCCGTACAGCCGATGCAGGGGCGAGTGAATGCGCAAGCGAGCTTCTCGGGGACCACCCACGCTGACGCCATCCGGACCGCGTACGAGGCGCTCGTGAGAATCACGGACCTCGTGGGCACGCTCCCCGGAACAGCAACCACAGCGACGCCCGTGGAAGACGTAGGCATGTTTAGCATCAACGTTGTGGCCCAGCAGATCAAGTTTGGCATCGCGGGCTTAACTCTGCAGGAAGTGAACTCGACGGTTCTGGCACTGCTGGACGGGTCGTACGCGGGCGTGAACTACACCGTGGCGGAGGACGACGGCGTCGAAAGGGGAGTCGCGCTTACGATCAACGGGCCGGGCGGCCACGCGTCCGAGAGCACGAGAAGCCCGCTTCGCCTCAGCATCGAGACGTTCCGCACGCTGCAGGCCAGCAAAGGGGACGACGTCTCGTTCTTCCTGCCGGGCAACACCACCGTCACGGAGCTGGATATCACGGTATCAGTCCGCACCCGATACACGCTCGACATCGAGGCCGCCCTCGAGCCCGTGGTATCGACCCTCGCCGACACCGCGGCACACGTCGCCACCGATCTGCCGTATCCCGCTCTCGAAGTCGAGCGGACCCTCGGCAACAGGTTTATAGCGCTGATGCGCGACGCGGACCACGGCAGCCAGGTGGACTGGGACTACTCGACCGTGGCGCCGGCGGCCACGGACGCCGGGTTCGTGCAGGACGCGGTCGTCGACGCCGAGACGAGGGAGCTCCTGAGCGTCGGCAAGGTCGTGTTCCACCCGAACTTCGGCATTTGCGACCGCGCCGACGCGGGCGCGCCGTGCGGCTTCAACCACGAGCCGGTCTTCGCCCAGGCCGCCGCGACCGAGTTCAGCTACGGGCGCACGGAGATCGTGGCGAGAGCGCTGGCCCAGGTGGCCGTCGAGCTGCTCGAGGACCCCGAGTTCAGGGAGCAGGCGACTAGGCTCGTGAGAGGATAGGCCCTAGGTCAGAGGCAGGTAGGTTAGATCTGACTGATAGGGGGGGGAAGGGCGCCGAGGAGAAAAGGGGCGAGTTGAGATCGACGCCCTGCCACTCCTCCTCGCAGCATCGACGTCGACGTGGAATAAACGAAGAGAAAAAGGATTCTCGACTCGTTACTCATTCTAGAAGAGTAGGCATCTAGGTACTTATAGACAAAGCTTCTCGTCTTGCTCATCTCGTATCCAAGCAAGGACTTGGGCCTTGTCGGAGATGCCGCCTACCTCCTTTACCTATGTGTTTCTATCCGCACGGAGGGTAGACAGGCATGCTTCAGGCGACTCGGGAGGTTGAAACTAAAATTTCAATAAAATTCTCTGCTCTCTCTTCGTACGTGCCTGTTTGGTTTCATCGCCGTTCTCGCCTGTTTCTACCACGCCTAGATTCCCTGTTTTTGAGTATTAACCCGCATCGACTCCTTGCCGGGGTGATTTAAACGATTCAACCAGCACGATAAGTTCTAGGTATTTTCCCTTAATCGCGCTGGTCACTTGCGGCGACGATTTACCTACCTATGTTCGCAAACCGGCGTAATCTCGCGCTTACTGATGACGGCGGCGCATCGACACTCTGCGACTCCCGCGACAAGCCACAGGCCAGCATAGTATACGAGCTCTGCAGAGACGCCCGTATGCATTCCTCGAAATACCGAAAAACGAGTCGACGGACACGCGCCAAACGATAGATGCATCAACAGTGTTTTAACCAACAGCGGGCCTGTTCACAATCGATTGGCTCACGACTGGCATGTCAACCCTAGGCATATCGACAACTTCGAAACAGAAAATCGATCGTTGCGGACGGTGTACCGCGAAGTAGCGTAAGAACAGCGAGGCGCGATACCATATTTGGTGTATGGTTGCAGACGGTGGTCGTCCGTATGACAGCGGAGATACGGGGGATGAAGTTTTATGTTTCCTTCTCTCCTCCATTGCTACTCGGAGTCACAGCTTAACTCCTGGAACTGGGGATATCTCATGCTAACAGATAAGGAGAGCACCTTGGGATGTAGTATTCCGTTGAGTTACACATAATAGGGCCTTGCGTTGAGCGATAGTATCGTGCTACGTCCCTCGGTGCTATATAACCATCAACTCTTCATCACAACCCCCTGCCCAAAGAAAATATATCCGGCGACAAAATGTGCGATATTTACGCTCTCCTATCCGCACCCGGTGGTCTTTGAGTATGTACGGCTTTCCTACTTGCATATAAGCAATCCCGACCCTCTTATACTGAGGCGACATAACGCTGAAGAGGATAAGCTTCAGTCGAGAGTCCTCGCGAATACCTGTCGGAGCGCCATTACCGTGAACTGGGAGCCACCCTAAAATTTATCGCGAAGAAAATTAGCTATATATCCGAAATTGGTAAAAACAAGACCGCTGCCTGATGGTTAGGCCTAGGATGTTTGGGGGTTGGTTCAGAACTGACCATAAATTTGTAACCACCAGTGCGGATCATATTTCTCGCCATCGTTACTTAGGGGGTACTAGACTCTCGCCTCCAAAAAGGCTAGAATGGGCAGGACAGCACTGGGAGCCTCACCGGGATGGTGACATCGGCACGAGAATTGTATGTGTGCTTGGACAGAATCCGAAGAGGGAGACAGATCATTTGTTGGCCGTGTCGAGTTATTAATATACGAGAATTCGATCTTAATATATGGAGCTAAAAGCCGCAGGGCATGTTCCTGAAGCACGTCTATATTCATTTCGCCTAACTGTATTCCTCGTCCACGCACTCGAGCTCGTCGAAGTCTCGAATGACGGGGCCCGGACCGTCTGAGCTACCGGGACTCAGGGCAGGACCGATGCCGCCACCACTTCCGCTCGGGCTGTTGGGACTGAAGGTGACGTCGAGGAACTCGCCCGTCCGTGTGGTCTCCAGATGGAGGTCCAGTGGCGCGGGCGGGTTCATCCGATGTATGCTTAGCGGCGGCGGCAGCCACTTAGGGTCCTCGATCCGTCGCGGGCTCGCGGCAGAACCGAGAGTGGCGGTGGCACGTCCTGCGCGTTCAGCCTTGTTATTGCCACTACTCCCGCTTCCCCGTCCCTGCGAGGCCTGGTGACCCGCTGCTACCTCCGTCGCCGACATGGGCCACGAGCTATAGTTGGTGTTGTCCGAGGCCGCCCCGACGCTCATAGTGGAGGAACCCCCCCATGTCGTGGCCATCGTCGGCGTGGCGGGCCCGGGTGTACCAGCCGAGGTGCTGGGACGGCCGCTTCGCGACGTGCTCCCCCACCCGCCACTGCTTGACCGGCTCGCGACCGTCTGGGGCGGTCGCGGGAATTGGCGAGCCTTCGCGCGCATCATCATGCGCAACACGGGGTCGGAACCGCCGACGACCGAGTTAGCCGACGTGTCCGAGTCGGCGCCATCGCTACCGCTGTGCCAAGTGCGTGGCGCAGCCCAGCAATGTGAAAGCTCATGGCCGGCCTCGGCAGCGGGCCTGGAGGCCCCCTTCCACGGAGGCGCCTTCGCGCCTTTGAAGCGTGGCGATAGGTGGTAAGACACATTCTCCCGGTAGTGGATGTCGGGCGAGTCGACCGCCACGCTCGCGATCGTCTGCAGGATACCGTAAATGAGCACCCACCGGCCGCGACGAGCCACGAACGGGTCGACGGTGCCGATGTGGTCTGCCTTCTCAAATTTCACGAAGCCTTCGATCAGGTCCGTCTGCAAGAAGTCGGATCCTAGAATGTATATGTTTGTCGCTTCGGTGTAGGCTAGCTGGGCTCTACGCTCAACAATGCGGTCGTCGCCTCCCTGCTTCGTGTTATTTACATTACTCTTGTCCTTTTTGGACCGCTCGCGCGCCGAACTAGACGGAGGCGACATGATTGGCGGTATCGACTCGGGGACGAGAGGATAGGGGTGGGGGATGTGGGGGAATCTCATCCGGTTGTCGAACTCGATGAGCATGTCTGTAAGGGGAAGGTCAGGGGTATCTGGGTCGAAGGACTTGTCGCCATTCTCGGATACCATCATCCATTTTCGGCTGCTCCGGGTCTCGGACTCGTCCCACACGATATCTCGATTGACGAGGTAGTCGTACAGAGAGCCGAAATCCTTCTCCATCTGCCTTGCCATCGTCCTCGTCAGCCACATCTCTTCGCCGTCTGCTGTCCTCGCCCCCGAATCAGGAGGTGGCCAGTCGCCATACTTCTTGGCAAAATGGCCGACGAGGAACTGCTGCAGGCGGTCAGCTGCGTTCCGAGCGGCCCCGTGTGCAGCCGGACCCGTCGTCGGCCAGATGTCTTCGAAAGAGAATTCCGCAAGTCGCCCTTCCGCGGCCTGCACGCGAAGCTGTACCTCGAGGCAAGTGCGTTCGAGCAGGGCCCGTGTGATCGGGGTCACGTTCTTGAAGTCTGCGCAGATCTCCAGTCGCGAATACATCCCGCCGCAGTGCGCGAACGCCTCACACCATCCTCCCTCCCACCGCACTTCCGAGGACTCCGACCATGCCAGTAGAGATACCGCAATTTCCGGGTCGTTCCGGGCGTCGTCGATGCCGCGGACCGTCAGATACTTTATTATGTTGCCGACGTTGTCGGTCTCTGGAGGCATGTACGCCGTAAGGCGTGCGAGAAGGTCTGACAGCGCCTGAAAGAGTGATAGACCGACTAGAGAAGCATGGTAGAGAAGTGCAAAGACGTTGCGCGTCGTGATCGCGTGTCGGTGTGCCTCGAGCTTGCTCAAGTTCGGCGGCGTCGGGAAGTACATCTCGTATGAAATCTGGCCATCTGTGTCTGTCAAGCTAGCGTCTTCCGAGATTGGGGGGGTCGGCTGGCCATTTCGGTATCCAGCCTGCGAATACGAGCCATGCGGCCGTAGCAGCGTCGGCGGCGCACCTATGGGTGAGAGGGGCACGGGCACTTGCGGCGCGTATTCGTCGTCCGTAGCCCCTTCACGAAGGAGGGTGATGAGGAAGCGCGACTCGGTCGCTTCTATGATTCGAGACGACACACGGAGTGACGGATTCGGCCGCGGAAGCTGTCCCTTGCGCCCAAAGAAGACCAAAACGTCACCATTGAGGTCCCATAGCTCCGGGTCCTTTCGGAGCTTGTTCCATCGCTGAGCGGGCTTCCCGGCGCCGACCCAACGCTTGAAGGGCGGCGCCGACGACGGCGGGGGGATCGGCGGTAGCTTCATAGCCGGCGGTGGCGAGATCATCTGCTGGTATTCGGGATCCCACACCCGGTGTTGTGGGCTCTGCAAAGGTATGACGGGTGCCTCGCTTGTGTCGAAGAAATCGCCATCGTTCTGGTTTCTAGACGTGGTGGAGGATCCGGGTCGGAAAGGCGTGTCGGCAGCTTTCTTCTTCTTGGCCCCGAAAGTGAAGGCCTTGGTCAGACCTTTGCGGAATTCGTCGCTCTTCTTGTCCACGGCGCTCCGGAAGCCGGATCGCTCGATGCCCGATACATCCTCGGTCCGCAGCACAGGCTTCCTCGCTCTAGCGTACGCAAAATCGGGCATTGGCCCTCTGTGCTGCGGATTGCCACCACCTTCTCGCCTTCCTGCCTCACTCCCAGCACTGTGTCCTTCGCTACTCTGATCGCTGAGGGTGGTAGCTTGCGTGCGGTATCGTGCTATCTCATCTTCTCGTATCGACTCCGAGAACCGTAGAAACCGTGCAGTTGTCGTGCCGTAGCCGGTGCCTGGAGGTCCGGCATCGCTGATGGAGGAGAGGTCATCATGCTCATGAACCCGCGGGTTGCCGGAAGACTTGACGCCGGACTTCGGCTCCGTAATCTTTTTTCTCACATATGCGCTGCGTCCAGACATGGTTGATACGTGTGCGACGATATCGTTATATCGACCTACCTAGTTCGCGACGATGGCACCACCCACTCCACGATGCATGACCTGCTCGGGCCCCGGGAGGTCAACAGTACGTGTTTGACGAAGCGGTCGGTATGCCGGGGATAGATCGGTGCGTATCGCGGTCTGGTGAAGGTCGTGGGACTTGTCTAAGACGGAAGGTTGAGTGTGATGATAGAGGGGCTGCCCGACGTAGTCCTGTGATATATCGCGGCGCGACCGAGAATTCAAATTCCAAGCTGTGGTAAACACAACGTGGATAGGCGCAATGATATTTGGCCGAGAGGAGGAGACCGTCCGAAACACTGATGTCTATCACAGACTAGGCGAGAGGAAATCGATAGTCTAGCATACGGAGTCTCAGAAGAGGGCAGCCAGGCGAGATTAATATCTACCCGTCTCTGCGAATCCAGTGACCGACTCGCCACATCAGCGAATTGCTTTTTTTCCCTGGCAACCTGAAATTGGTTTCGGCTTCTGCAAGCCCGTTCGATAGGAAAGGGGGGACGGTCGCAAACGTCGAATCGCACGGGAAGGGCGCCGAATGCATGGGCGAGGGTCAGCTACAAGTTATGAATTGCCGTGACCGATAGAAATAAACAAGCACGGGAGGGAGGGATGTAGTCTCGAGCTATCGCGTGTGGACTCGAACCTCTCCCAGATCGGCATGATGGCCGGAGTAGTTCGACGGCACTTATCGCAAGGTAACGCGGCGGGGATGATAGGAGTTATAAGTACAGCGTCGGCGTGTTGGAGCTTGGCTCGTAAGTATGAGCAGCTCGTCGCTCGATTGGCTCTTCACCCACATGCATCTATTTTGACATTCCCTTGGCTACCAGGCCCTCGACCAGCTGCGTCAGACAAGGGGCGAGCAGGTATACACATGCGCATGTCGGCCAAGCTATCCCTACCTGTCGCCGGTCTGCTGCGAATCACGGCTCACTCCTCTCGGACAGCCGCACGAGAGGAAAGGCGTCGCCTAACGTCGGGGCCCAGTCCGCCAAGTATCAAGGCTACCTTTCAACAACGATCGGGACTCTTCGTGTCGCATTCGGGCTCGTTGTTGCGGCTGTGGGACTCGTCCCAGATTTCGGGCGACACGATACTAGACTAGACTAATAAGCGGCCCAGGGAGGCCAGGGGGGATGCTGCCCTTCGCTCAGCTCCGTATCATTGCAGCAGGTAGCACTGCGTATAGGTAGGTGAGGTCTGCCGCAGAGGATGAGGCAACTCTCGCAGCCACTGGGCATACATGTCAGATAGGCGCTGCATTCCTTCCACCGTCGAAGCGAAGACGCGGGACGAGAGAGGACAGGAGAGCGCAATCTGGGCCTCGTAGGCAACTTCTAGGCACAAACTAGAATGCGGAATGGATATTGGAGTACAGAAACCGTCGTCGGGTTAGTGCCCTAAACGGGGTTGCTTTGAGAGGTCCCAGAGAAAAAAGATCTGCCTGGGGTAGGGATGTTGGATGCCTGCCGAGAGGTAGGTAATGTGCCTACGCACGTTATAGGGGGCACCAGGTTATATGTGCGTGCCTACCTACCTAGATCCAACGAGTGGAGGTTTCACCCAAACCAAGGAGGAGATGGGAAGCGGCCATAGCGTGTACCTACCTAGGTAGGTACCTACAGGCTGGGTGTAGGAGGTACCGAGGTCAGGTACCTCGAAGAGAGATGGGTGGCTGTCCGTCGGCTCTATATGTCGACATGTACATTAGGTAGGTACTTTGGTAGGTACCTACCTCCGGGTCCTAGAGCTACGGAGGTAAGGGACCTTAGGCAAGGGATACCCTACTAGGTGCCTGTACCTGCTGAAGGGAAGCCTTAGCGGCGCCTGATGGTTGATAAGAGGAGGTACCTAACCTGTTCAAAATATGCATGTGCTTACCTCCTATACGTAAGTACCTGCGTGGACAGTAGGTAAAGACCTGACGTAATGGTGCTGGTCTTATCTGTAGTGGTGATGGGTCGGATTCTATGACCATGAGGAGTTGGAAATTGGTAACAGGTGGGTACGAGTTTGTGTTAGGTGACCCCATCGTTGATCAGTTAATCATTGGTACGGTACCTACGAATGCCCCTACGTGCGTATAAGGTAGATTAAAGTGCTTCTATGTATCTACCTCATCTTATAATTTGCCTACATTTAATTAGGTACCTAGGTAGGTATCTGGATACCTCCTGAGTACCTCCGACCTTACGCACTCGTTGTCACCACCAGGTGAGAGGAGAGATACCGAATGTACCTACATATGTAGGTTGGTAGAAGTTATCGAACTGTTCGGCCATTGGACCCATCCATCCCGCTCTGTCTTGGATCCCCGCTTCTAGACCCGGAGCTCCGGTAGCAGTCACGTAAGCCCATGTACGTAGGTACGTAAGCATGTAGGCATGTAGGCATCGGATGATGGGGCCATCCCGAGTCGCGACTTAGGACGTAAGCGCATGGGATATGTGCCTCTTTGGAGTTAAGGCCGTTCTAGGATGCCCGCTTCAAGGCTCTAGGATCGGGTACATATGATCATCTCACAATACATTAAGTGATACATAATCTCCTGGCAGGTTACCTATGATAACCTCATCAGTACCTGGGTAATGAGCAAGTAATAGGTACCTCGTGTAGTTAATGGGATCCCAGGGATCCTTGGCCTGTCTGATATCATATCATCCCTGTCTAGTCAACCTAATACATATAACATAACCCAATTCTTGTCGATTCCTATGAGCAGTCTTTTACATGCCTCAACTACGCAGTAATAGCTCTTACGTGCAGACACGGCTACTGCTCACTACAGGCACCTAAGGCAGGTACCTGTGTACCCATATATACATCCAATATTATTCTTATGCGTTAGGTGGATATGAGGGTAACGTGCCCTCGGGGCTTGTCTTTGCTATCCCTTTGAAACTGTACGAAAATGCATCCTATTGGACCATATGCTGATGCTATTCCATCGTATTTCTTACTATGTAAGACGTTCAGCACATCTCGCTCATTAGGAGCCTGCCCCCGAGTGAGGAGCACCCAACGTCCATAGACACCTACGCATACATATATGGAGTTAGCATGCCCCAGAGGTTGCTCATCCGATTAGGTCTACTTGAGCTCCTTTACAGGTAGGCACAATAGGAATATTGCAATCCCATCCCGGGATATTGCTTATGATTACCTACCTGTTTCTTTTCCGCGCGGGGGGACTGGGATGTCTAAATGTAGGTTGATAAACACCTCCTACGATTCTGCGACCTTATTAGCCCGGTATCTACCAGCAGCATGTCTCTTCTGTCACCGAGGCGTATTAAAATAATAACGTATCCCACATCTCTACCTTAGACATACAAGCTGTTATTTATGGGGATCCATCCCTTAGGCCAGATATCCATCTTCAAGACGGTTCCAATACGTCTGTCTCCTAATTATCTGTCGATGAGATGCGAAGTCCCCGCCTCTTACAACGCTCTTGGAAGCTTTTCATGTACGGTGAAGTGGCCTTGGTAGCGCCGGAGCCATCACCAGTCTTTCCAGTGTGCGTCGTTGGAGCAAACGTTTTTGCCTCCGGGTTGAGCTTAGATAAAGGCGATGTGCTAGTCGTCGAGGCCGGACCGCTGCCGAGGTTCGTTACTCCCGGGTCGGTATCGGGGATCTTAAATGGGATAGACGGCATCTTATTTTGCGTTTCGAAGAGATTGCTAGCAATCATACCTTGTCGTCGCCTATCAGCACACGCTGTGACGCAGAGTCACGTTTGAATCGAAATATTCCAACTCACGAGCTGTAAGTTTCCTTGCTATTATCTTGTATTGCTCTTGTGGGTCTGCTGAGTCTTCTCCGGCCACTGAGTCATGAGCATCTCTCCAAAGATCAGTGAGCATGACGCCGTTTCGAAGTTGACTGTTGATCTCCCTTTTGGCGTAGGCCACGAGGTACTGTCGAAACGGCACATTGCTGTTCCGAGGAATAGATTCTGGAGAGAAACACAGATAAGACTTGGTAGATGTTCGGTTTGAAAAGGCCGTGACAATTGCTTACTAGTGTCGAAGTGGAAGTATTTCGCTGTCTATTGCGTTAGCAGCTAATGCAGGTATAATAGCATTAGATCGTTGAGGGCGGGAGCCTTACAAGCGTGCTTAGCTTCACTAAGATATTCATGGCTAAAGGAACCCTGCGGATGATCCATTGTGGGTGTGCTTATGGATTCCAGCTATTGTCGAACGGATCTCTAATTCAACCCTCCCTTGGCTCTACCTTAGGAGGTAGCTATAGCCAAGGTTTCCAAAGGCCTAGAAAAGCAGGGAGGAGGAACAACCAGACGACTTGCTAGTGTGACATCAGCTGTGCCTCTTTGCCCCAAGAACAGAGCACTTGAGACGAGATCGGGTGCGGCCGTGGATCTAGGGGTTGAAAACTAGAAACTTGTAGAGAAGTTGAAGCAGCATGTCAGCAACCAAAACTGTGGAAGAGCAGCACGGAATAGAAGGGGATAGAGCAAGTTAATAGGCGAACTCACTGATGGGAGGGAATGCGTGCGCATATGTTACAAACGAGTATATGCGATCCTGGCGGTTGGGTCGGTCTCTAATTGTGACTTGAGATGAAGAACGTGAACAGCTCAGCTGGTATTGTTGAATTTAGAGAGAGAGCGGGTATCGGCGTAATAGTAATCTAGGAAACGGAAGGGTTCGTGGTGGCCTCTGCGACTTAGGGTCAATGAGTCCCCTCAGGATAGTGACAGCCATAGACCTCGGAAGCTCTTGACAGGGGACGAACTTGTTGCTAACTTGAAGGACCAAAGAGGCTATTGTTTGTGGGAGAGGAAAGAATTCCAAGAGGCGACCAGGCCCAGAATCGGATTGTGCAAAAACATACCTGGTAGTTTCCTACGCAGGGTAGAGGCAAAAGTAGATGAACAGGCCAGACGGGAATGCTGGACGCCAAGGTCGGAGGCGAGAAGACGGAAAGGAGAGCGGACGGGGAAGGGAATGTTCGGCGACGTGGTGCCAGATGTGTCAGAGAAAAAGCCCTGGAGCCTTTCCAGTTACCGGTTAGAAAAGAGGGCAGCAACACAGAAGTTGAAGCTGAGCAATCACGCCCAGGACGACCCCCTTCCTAAACTAGATATGTAACCTGGGGTAGGTAGGAGGAAGGTAGGACTCGCCCATTGCGCACATTCTACCGCCTAAGGATGGCACCTGCCCACCTTCTCTAGTTGATACCTAAGGTATTCCCGCTTATAAGAGGCAGGCACATGGGTACCTATAGATCAGTGGGTTACTGAAGGGAGGATAGGTTCGATTCCTAACAGGGCTACTTGGTAGTCTTCGATATTTAGCTCATCTCCTATAAGAGGTCTAGGCAGGTACCTTGGGTATCTCAGGTAGATGATACAAGTGGACCGTCTCTGCTAATGTTCATTTTTACAAGTCTCTATGTTAATAAGTCTAAGAGGAGGCACCTAAAAGATACTTACCCCAAAGATCCACGTTACAGGCTTCTTAGGTACCTGTATCTACCAGAGGAGGTAGGTAGGTACCTATGTAGAGCAAGGCAGGAAATGCTATAATAGAAGCAAACCAGCATTGGCATCTCTTAATCTCGACTCCGCCACGATTTCCAGCTCTTCTACCTGTCACTTGGAACTCGGTGGTTTTGATTCTTGCAACTCACTCTCCCATTTCGTAGGCTTATATGTTTAACCGCTTGCCGACTAGACAGACTACATATCTTCCACAAATACAACATTCGCTCTGGGGAAGACGGTGGTCCTCCAGTCGTGTTTTCAACAATAGTGGCCAGTCCCCCCACCGCGTTCTATACTAGCAGAGCAACCCATAGCCCTACCCCAATTGCCTTCTGTTTTGGCCTCTATACTTGCTCTTTTGTGACTTTCGAGTCGGCGAGCGATACGGTATCCACGGCCGCCTTCTCGACGTCGTCGGTTCGGATATTGGCGCCAGCAGGCCCAGCGTGTTCGAAGGACCGCCCACGGCGTTCCGGTCCCAAAGCAGTTGTGACCATGATGCCAACGGCGATGATAGCCGTGGCAATTCCCATGGTTGGACCATAGGCCTCGACAAGCTTTCCGCTCTTGCTGGTGACAAATCTGCTTTCGGCTATGGCGTTGACGATCTGGGCCGACGGCGAAGATATCATGTTTCCAATCTGGTAAGTGATCCCCGGAAAGCTCGATCGGTAGGCCGGCGGCGACAATTCGTTGAGGTGGATCGGTATAACACCCCAGGCGCCCTGGACGAAGAACTGGATCATGAAGCCCGAGGCGGAGAGGCCACTTTCCGTGTTGGGGAGAATCCAAGCCGGAATCATGCAGCAGCTAAGCAGAGCAGCACCCACTATGGCCCTGCGACGGCCGATGAACTGGGAAAGATATCCGATGATGGTACCGCCTACGCATGCCCCTGTCTTCATGAGGATGCTAGCACGGGTGGCGGCGTCGTTGGGGAGCTCCTTGGATGACAGCATGAATGTGGTATAGCTATCCTGGCTGGTATGCGAATAGTAGTTGAACCAGGTCATGAGGATGATGCAGTAGATACACATACGCCACTCCTGGGCAAGCATCGACTTCGTCTCCCTCCAGAAGTCGCCAGCGGAGATATGGTGGCCGGCTGCTTTAGCCTCCCTGAATTGTTTCGATTCCGGGAAGCAGCAACGTATGAGACCAGCAAGGATGGAGAGGCCGGCAGCGATCCAGAAGACAGTTTTCCATGTATCCGTCGCGCCGCCGACACCAAGATTCGCACACGCGGCGAAGACATAGCCGAGAGAGTAGCCCTGCTGTAGGATACCGCTCATCAGACCACGTGCGTCCGTCCTACGATGTGCTGGTTAGCAGAATGTACAAGGGCTCGTCGGGAGATCACGATCGCTTACGGGCAGTTCTCGAGCGCCATGGCCACCGCATTGCCGTAGACGCCGCCCATGAATAGACCAAATAACGATCGAACCGCCAGGAATTGTTCAAATGTAACGCTGAAGATGGTGGCAATCTGCAATAGGCCTTGCTCAAGTGTAAGTGATTGTACTCACCGGAGGGGGGGCCGACGATAACTTACCGAGGACAATCATGTTAGCAACCATGGGCCATTTTCGGCCGAATCGATCGCCGAGGAGCCCAAAGATGGCGGCACCAACAGACCGCAGGAGCAGTGTCAGAGTGATGGCCGTGGTGATGTCGGTCTTGGACCGATTGTAGTACCTCGACAGTTTGACGGTCTGGATAGAGAGGGCGTGGAAGTCGAAGGCGTCGGCGGTCCAGGCAAAGAGACCGACAAGAAAGTAGAGCCACTGCTTCCCACTCAGCTGCCTAAGAAGAGAGATGGGATTCTTGAACGGCTCGGGAGACTGCCACTCTGTGTGAGATTCGCCGAGCTCGTTCGTAACGAGGACCCTCTGCTTCCATCGAAAGAGATCACCCCACGATTGCTTCGCAGTCGCGAGAGTGCCCTTTACGATGGGGTCTGCGGGCTCGTTACCGTTGGCGGCCATGTTTGGCGTACAGCGTGACGCCGCTCGTCTCTCTGGAGATTCGTGACAATGGTCCTTGAGCTTTATGCTACCGCCAGGGGGATGCAATGGACATGATACTCCCAAGGTTCACTTCCTGGCGGGCGGCCGTCTCTTATACGCCCTCTCGAGGATGACCGGGAGGGCTCGGGAAAGGGTAGGGAAGGATCTTTCCACATACACGGGCATGTATAAGTTGGAGCGGCATTCACCCCTGGCGTGACCGTCGGATGACTCCTCTGGAGAGTGACAGAGGCGCCTGGAATTCCCTTTCATGTCCCCTTCAGTCTCATCATGCCATCGATCCTATCCACGCGATGCAACTCGACGGGCATAACCACGCTTGCCAAGGAGGTCGACGATGGTCTTATTGGGAAGCCAAGATCAGCCAAGCACACCACGACTAGGAAGTCCCCAAGCTTACGACGAAGGGCCGACTGTTCCCCGCCTGGGGGACTGATCGCGGGGGTTGGAGATTGGGGGAGAGGCCCCAGTTGGGAAAATCCGTCGTGTGTTGACCCTCAGTTGGTGGCGTTCGGAGATAGGCTCACGCTTGAGCATCCCTACCACCTCGGCCAGGGAGAGAAGGCATCGCGAACAGTAGCTTGCTATCTACTGTTATGTATAGGGGCGGGAACTCGGGCTTGCGTAACGTAGAAAAGGGGGGTGAGGCAGATAGCTAATCACAAGTCTGACAGCAGTCATCATCGCCTCCAAGTCTGGTCGGAACTGATCCCCATACCTACCCTGCCCTACCGGCTACCCCACCTCAGCCTGCAAATTTTCGTCGACGGCATACGACCTGGACGCTCGAGATCACGAGTGCACGTCGGCCCAGGGCCACGGATCCGCAAATAGTATAGACTCGTCAGAATGCCGGGTAATTATTACTTGCGATTGTTTCCCCCATCAGGGTGGTTAGCCAACGACCCCCCACGGTTGGGCTTCCAAGACTTCGTCCCGGGACTTCGGTGGAGCCGACAGTACTACGTAGCATTGCCCTTGTAGTATTCTTGGGGTTCTAGGGCCGCTTTTGTCATTCTCAGACACCAACTAGGCCAATACCACTCTAAAGCCCGCTGCTGTCCACCTTGGCCGCAAAGACCAAGCGATTCCGTCAAATCTTGTTTACGCCTCCCGAAAAAACCAAGCCAGTTAGCGTGCGGCTCACGAAGCTTCGGACACGAGGAAGAATTGATTGGCGCACCTATGCGGTTAGCACCTCGGCAACCTCTTATGCTAATGTCGGTTTCGCGACAACATTCGCACGAAAATAAGCCGCCGGCTCGAGGTCCCTTACTTCTTGCTGTAGTAAGTGTCGTAATCGCGGGCAGAGGTTGCTTGGAATCGCCACCCTTTGCGACAGATGCTTTTCGGAGCAGGAGACGAGAGAAGAAGACACGAGAGGAATGAAATGGAGGAGGATTGGAGAGGTATCTCTAAGTAGGTGCAGGTACCTCTATACTATTCGGCGAGGTGTACCTAGTTGCCACCATACACGCTTTAAGGAATCCAGCTTCCTACGAGGTGCTTGTATAAAGCAGACAGGTAACAATAGATACCTCTCTACCTTAGGTACCTAACTCCCGCGGTACCCGTAGGCCAGAACCTTCTATAGAATAGGTACCTGTACCTCCTCATAGTGGAATACAGGCAGGTACCCTCTAGGGACTTAGGGACCTACTCTTAGCAGTCTCTAGTTCCAGCTCTCGGGAGAATATATGGTGACATTGTCCACCAATAACCCGGGCTCATATTACCTAAGTGACAATAGTAGCAACCCACGATGCACACGTATTAGAGTCGGGATCCCTAGCCTAGGAAGACGCATGAGGTTTCCATTCTGAACGCCTTTCGGTCCAACTCGGACCCCGTCGTAAGGCGCCATGCACACGCTAGTACATATACTACGCGTCGTCGGCATGCGCCAGGAATAGGTAGAGGAAAAAAAAAAAAGAGAATTTATGTAGATAAGAGGTACCGGGTAGGTGGAGAGATGGGGCGAAATAGGTACGCATAGGTATGTTAGGTACTCACCGAGGCGAGGTTGATAGCCTAACCCAACAGATCTAGCCCAATTAGAACTATGAAGTCCGCGGCAGCGAACCGCTAAATTTTATTTTTTGGGCTGCTTCGCCGGGGGCAATCCTTTTTGTAGGCCCCCTCCTGCTGTACATATAGGCGCGAGCTAGACGTCCCTAGGTTAGGCACCTATGGTACCCACATTCCGTCTGCCTCTGACTAAGTTGTTACCAACTGACTCAACGCGTGTAACGAGGACTTAAGGCCTCCACACACACACACTCTCTCTCTGTTTCTTTTTTTTTTTTTTTTTCAACAGGGCCGATTGCCCGGTCTCTCACGATACTCGATGATGCCATCGTGGCCTGTGAATCTATTACGAGGTCACGAGGACCCGTGGGAGCAAGCCTCGAACGAATGCATACTATAGGCATACACTTCCGTCGGGCATTGGGTTGTGCCCAGAAAAGGCGTAGGTATAGGATCATCGCCGGGCATGTAGCCACATCCCTGACCCGGCTTCCGACGCCCAGAACCTCGGACGTGAACCATGACGCTGCTGCGCCGGCGACCGGACGACAGGCTAAGTTAGCTGCCGTCGCGGATGCCGCATGCAACGGACGGCCCAGCCAGCTTGGATGCCTCGATAGAGGAGGGACATTAGCGGCGCACTCCCACGCCACCGATGGCCCTCGAAGGGAGCGGCCGCTGGATTGTGTGGAGGACCTGACTGACGTGTTGGCAACCAGGTATTTTAAACTGCCGAATGGTACGGGCACCGCGCACAGGTGCCTTAAACATGAACAGCGGAGCGACGTCGCCAAAAAGACCCATCTCGAGGCTCGTGAAGCTCGAGGAGACCCCCACGACCTGGGTCTAGAGCTGATCCTACTAAGATTATGCATCTGTAAACGGCCGCGGCATTCCCACGCCTGATGGGGCCCCGGAGATCGGCAAGCACACCGGAGTTGCTGCTAAGCGGGGCGCCCACCAGTATGCCGGCGGGGGGGAGGGGGGGAGGATCTGCTGACGAGCAATGCTCCTAGATGTTCAGGGCGAAAGTGCCCAGGGGAAGCGAACGCGATATATCACGAGGCTATACCTACCATGCAAGGCCCGCACTCGGCCGGAATATTACATCCACCATTCTTGCAAACCTTCCTCTTGGTCCACGGCCCGGGGGTATTACCCGGACGCGACTTGGGGACGAACGTGCTGCTACGCTCTATCCGAGCGCACCTCATGCCGGATTCCCGTCAGTACAGACGTGGCTGGTAGCTGAGATGATACGTAGCATTGTTTCTAGAGGGGCGCAATTTACACAGCAGCTACCACATGGCCGTACACGTTTGTATCTGACGCATGGACACCGTCGGCTGTTACTTTAAGGGTTGTTGACCGGCCAGCTCCTGACTACGATGTTACAGCGGATGCAGATCGATCGCGATTCGGTCTGATTATGTAGGATCGATAAATCTGCCTACTGGCCGATGAGCAGACAGGTTTATTTGATCTGCCTATATTTAGTTATGGCTTCTTTTCGGCCCCACTCGTCCTAGGTGTATTGACCGTAGCACCCTTCACTTCGCCAACGTACTCCTCCCGCTCCCTAGCCTCGATGACGGCGCCGTTCAAATCCCAAGTCGCGCCTTGAAGTGTGGCCTTATCTGGCACAGCGATACTCAATCCCGCGTAGAGGATGGCCGAAGTCAGGAATCCGAACAGCCAGTTGAGTGTATAGAGATGGGTAATGCCGTCATTAATATGCACCGCATCAGGTCCGCTGATGCTGAGGCCGAGGCCAGGTAGAAGAGGCGCAACGGGGACGATGAAAGCGACAGCTGCACGCCAGTTGCAGCCACCGACATACCGATAGCGGCCATCAGGGTCGTAAAGACCGGGGACGTCGACGTTCCCCTTCTTCACGAGCCAGTAGTCCGACGCCATGATACCGGCCATTGGCCCGAGGAAGACGGCGTATCCGCCCATGAAGGCGAGGAGCGTGTGCGCGGAACTCAGTATCTTCCACGGTACTAGCACCCAGCCGCCGACGACGGCAGCGATCACACAGCCTCGCTTGATGTTGACCCAGCGAGGGAGGAGGACGGTCAAGTCGTTGGCTGCCGATATCGAATTGGCCGTGATGTTTGTGCCTACCTGTGTGGAGAACGTTGGCATGGTAATTTTAAAGAGATGCTTAGGTGGCATTCACGTACCTGAGCGATATACCAAGCGAGGGCAGCGAAGAAAGCAGCGCACCGCCCGCCGGCACCGTGATCAAGCCACATGGAGATGATGTCTAGGGGATTCCACATGTATTCGCCGCTGAACACTTTGCTTGCCGACGTGGTTACGATGCCCAGGATACCGCACATGGTGAAAATAAGGGGCATCGCGGGAAGTTGGACATACTGGCCCTTGGCCGACCTTGCGTAGCGCGTGAAGTCGGGTATGTTGACTGCTAACGTACTCCAGTTCCCCGTTACGCTTGACATGCAGGACAACCACAGCCAAGCATACTGCGGTCCGCTAACCGCGGCCCGTAGAGCGAATATATCGCCACCGCCCCCAGCCTTGTTGATACACCACCCCATGGTCGCGACGGCGGCAACAGGCGCCGCGACGAGCTTTACCCAAAAGAGCGGACGCAGCTTTGTAGGATGGATGAGGAGCAGCGGCAGTTGGATAATCCAGAAGAGGAAATACGAAATCATTCCTTGCGTCGTGATGCCGGCCGATTCGGGTAACCGATTCCGGATGCCACCGTATGACGGTGCCCAAGCGCGGAGCATGATGGTGACGCATTGCGCACCGTTGGCGCTCTAATACAAGGCCGACATTAACCGCCCGAACGGCCTCCGCAGGGACACACGTCGCTAAGGGACTCCAATTACCTGTATTCCGAGCCAAAACATCGCGAGAACAGCTCGACTGACGATGCAGAAATACCTAAGGTAGTAGCCGAAACTGCTGGTCGCGATTACGGCGAAGGGAACGTGGAGCTTCGCACCGATGGCGCCGTTAAGCACCAGTGCTACCGCGACGCAGAAGTTTCCGACGATCATGACCGGGATCGCTTCCCGCCAACTCAGGCCCACGGCGAGGATGGCAGAAGCCGTCTGCCACGTAGACAGGTTTATCGTGTCGGTGGCCCAGTAGGCCAGGATTGTCCAAATGCTCCATGTCTGGTCCTCTATAGGCGTCGGGTCTATCGGCGAAAACGTCCAGTTAGCATGCCGCGTGTCTCAGGGCAGGGCCATGCCGGTTCCGTCGGTGAAGACCTTGCTCACCCATATCACGATTTGTCCACACGTGGGCTGGGCCAAACGCGCCAGCCTGCTTGGGAAGCTCCCATGAGCGGAGCGAAGTAAGCCTCCGCCTGAGCTCGGCTGGGGAGAAGTGCCGCATAGTGGCAGACTCTTCTCTTTATCGTGGCTGCAAGTTGCGAGATACCCTTCCTAGGACGAAGCACGCAAAATGCAATGCCGGCGAGTCGCAGGCCATGCCAGGCCGTGTCGGATCAGCCTCCATGATATAAAGGGGCATAGGTAATCGTAGCCGATAACAAGAACGCGAGAGACGTAGGGGTCGTGAGATAAGGAGGCTTGGATGACTGCCAAAGCACCCAGTCTCTTGCGGGCGGGCCGGTGAGAAACCCAATGGGAAGGGAATGTCTTATCTGCCCACGCGGACTCACGCAAGCCCAGACCGCGGTGATGATGGACATTGCTGCGTGGCTAGGCTAGCTCCGGCGCCACAGCTTGGATGTCTCTCGACCTGGTGAACGGAAGAGGGCGAATAAATTTCCCAGCAGAACCGTACATTGGAACGATTTGCCCGTGGTGTTGCCTGATCTACGTGCTATGGAGGGATTGTTCTGGAAGCCCGACGATACGCCGACCTACGCTGAGATGGCATGGAAGATCGGGTGATAGATTTACTATGCCTAGATCAGCTGCCATTGGGACCCTGCGATTCTACGAACCTGTTACCCGGACACGCATAGGTAATTACTAGGTACCTAAGTACCTAAGTAGATAAGCACCTGGAGTAGCAGGTCCCTAACGAGGAATAGGTACCTACCTCTTAACTCCTTCCGATGCACTCGGTAAATTCCGCGACTACGGCATTTCTCCTTTCCTGAATGTTTTGTTTTCTATTCTTCTTCCACTTTTTTCCTTCCCCTTTGTTAACAGGTATTCTCTTGCCGCTTCGTTCTCGACTTTTCTCTACCCACGAGCCGCATCCGCTACTGTCATCCATCTCTACATGCATGCAACGCTTCACTCCCTGGTGTAAAGCGGGTCGATCTCGTGTCTCTCGGTGAGAATATCCGCGCGCATGTATCATCGTCCTATCTCAGTCAACATGGATGGTTTGGCTGGGTTGGCTGGCTGGGCTGGCTGGCCCAGCGTGGCGTCTGTAGGTATGTTCAAAAATCGATAAAATTGACGATAACAACATATACCTAATACCTTTCCATGACAGCAAGGGTCCCCCCTTACCCCTCGCCTCCCCCACTCTTCCCCAGGCGAGACTCGCTCCAAGAGGACGGGGTAAAGTCGGCGATACTATCCCTATAGTGACCCCATGGCGAGGTGATGGCGCGTGCAGTTATCGACCGGGGCCACCTCCCACAGGGGAGAACCATCACGTCGCTGCCGCTACCACTACTACCACCACTACCACATGCAGTAGGTATATACATATAATGCGACATCAGATTTGACGATTCCGGGTTCCGTCGTTGTGATCATCCCCGCCGAGCTAAACCCTCCAGGGCGTCCTGCTTGTTGCAGAATATGTTAATCGCCTGGATGATCTTGCCTTCGGCTTTGCCCTCCCAACTCCGGGTAAAGGCCAGGCGCCAAGCGCTCTCGTCCTCCACTACGCTGCTGTAATCGCGTACCGCTTCTCCCTCTTGGCCTTCGAACACGCTCCCGATCTCTCCTCCCCAGGGGTCCGCCGCCGTTTCGGCTAGTTCAGTCAGCAAGTGAGGAGCGATGGTGATGTGGTGAGCGCCCGCCAGCTTCATGACCTCCTGGATGGAGGTCAAGCTAGCAGGCAAGACCTGCGTCTTGCTCCCGATCTTCTCGTAGTATCGCTGAGCAGAACCGCAGAACCCGAATGCCTTATTCTCGTCGACGTAACTGGACGCACGCACTGGTCAACGGCTAGCCCTCGCCTGTCGTCCCTCCTCCGCTCCCGACGCAACATACCTCTTGTCAAAATGCACGCGCAACTCGTTGATGTAAGGCGCGATATAAGTGCAACCTACGTGAGCGGCGAGAGCGGCCTGCTCGAGGCAAAACATGGTTGTTGCGAGCGTCGCAATCCCCTGCTTCTCTAGGTCACGGCACGCCTGCATGCCCTCCCAGGTCGATGGCACCTTGATGCACACTCTTCCGGTGTCGTAGGTCGGGTCAAGCTCTGCGAATATCGCCACGATACCTAGAGACGGCGGAAGTTAGCGATCCGCGACCCAGGATTGGCTTGCCGGGGATGCCTTTACGTTTGCCATTCTCCACCGTCTTGCGCTTGTCGTAAGCATACTTGGGGTTGGTCTGGATATGGGAGTAGCCCTTGAGATAGGGAACTATCCTGAGAGCCAGCTTCACCATCATTACCTCCACCGCCAACTCGGCTGTGTTGACATCCGGATATACGCTTTCTTTCGCCGACGCAAAGCTAATGGCGTCCTGGATCAACTGGGCATGGATCGGACGCCCGTCCCCATCGAGGCGGACAAGTTCGCCGTACGCGATAGCCTCTCTCGGCCTTTAGCTCCTGAGCAGCTGCTGGAATCGATGCTGAAGACTAGCTCACCTGATTTGATGTGCAATCCACGAACGGGCCGAGCTTCGTAGGCACTGTGCTGGTGAGATTCGCACGCCTTGCCACACGATGGTGCCGTGGCGGTAGACAACAGCTGCTTACCATCGACGTCAAACGTATCGCAGTCCACCGCGCTGCGCGATCGCAGCACGTCCAACAGACTCGTTTGCTGTGCGTCGGTCCCCATTTCGTATGATGTCGCTGCCGAACGGTTTGTGAAAGGTATCCCTTAGATGTGTGGGCCGGAGAAGTTTTGGATGCTAGACATGCCCGATCAGTCCCACGCAACCTCCCCCACCTCATCCGAGATCGCTGCCTGTGATATAAGCGGTAGGAGCCAATACCCGGGGGAACACCGGATGGCTCTCGGGGTGGATCCATACGAGCATCGTGCCAGACGGCGGGGGATCATCGTGTCCACCCCTCGTCAGAATCGCCATGCCATTATTAGTCGCTGCCATTTCCACGACCAGTGGGGTCATACACCGCTCGCGGCCCGTCCTGGGCGCAATATTATGACTAGAGCATGTGTGTCTGCTTGGAGAAATGCCTGGTGCCAAGGCGCTGTTTGACTATAAACCTCCCCAAACTCTTTCCCAAATACTGTGTTCATCGGAATCCTACTATAGCCTCCGGGCCTGAATCTCGGTTTTGAGAGTATTATCACTACCCCAGCCGCTTTTCTTTTTTCCACCACCCCACAATGGTCCCGCAGTCCCATAGCCCAGAGATCTACTATATTGAGGCCTTCCCGAATATGCAAGTTCCGGCTTAACCCAAAGCATAGCAATCGGTTGGACGCTTAATCGCTCGCAACAGGCATCTTTCTTCAGACATATTAACAGACACGACTTGTGTTGTCGATATCTATCCTAGCTAAATGTGTGGTTGGGAGAGAGCGATATTAGCCCGGACTAACTGCAATAGGAAATGTTGGCACTATAACGAATCGTCTCGATGGAATGTGGTTAAGTCGGCCTAGCCGTTCCGCCGTACAGCGACATGCCATACAATGGCATTCAACTGAGGTAACAGCCGAATAGTTAGGGAGGTATCGCTAGGACGTACAACCGTCCCTCTAGTCTCTACCGGTACGGTGGGTTTTGCAGTTTACGGTCATTTCTAGACACTTTATTGTTACCGTTGTCAGAGTCATGAGCGAAGTGTGGTTGGCTGTATTATACCAAACCGTACCTGTGGTAGCGATGAAGCGCATTCCGGCCTCTCATAACACCGAGAGCATTGCTCACGAAGGCTCTCCCAGGGCTTTCTGCGCACGGGGAATCCGAAAACGGCTTGTTTGTGACTGAAAGACGTTTTGCACGCGGGCGAGATGAATACAGCTAGTCCAGTTCCCCGTTCTTTGTCTTTCTGTCTGCAAGGAATTGTTTCAAAACTGATAAGCGAGTGGAATGGCATGCTTCCGTCTCTGGTTATACCATTCATCTCCCTTCTAACTTGAACAGCAGAAACTATTTCCGGGATCGTGCGGCAGCTGAATGGGCTAATTTGTCACCATCCTCTTCTCGTATAAGCTAGCTCTATTCTTTGTTCCTGGTATGCCTAAACGGAAACCATTTCTTTCTCCTGACAACCCTCATCGGATACATCTTTAGACACGATATTTTTTTTTCTCGATCGGTGGCCGGGGCCCTCAATTCCACATTCAACACTGTCCTCGCAACCTCGTAGCCGGCAAGCTTCTCATGTGGTTAGAGGAACATCTATACTCTCTCTGCGCCTTAGAATAGGCTATGCACACCGTTGCCATGCCTAGAACCGGGCGAAGCGGGAATTCGCAGGCTGTTAGGCCTGCCAGCCGGATCGGTCAGCAACAGACCACAAACTTCATAGAAAAGAAGCCTTTCGAGCTCCGAGCAAACCCATTCATCGACAAGGACCACCCAGACTTCTTGCGGATGGAGGAATACTTCTCGAAGTTACTTGGATGTAGAACGATCCAAGAAATCCTCGAGAATACCTTTGATGATTACGAGATCGCGCTTTTTGAACCAACCCACACCTCCTCGGTCTTAGCTGAACAGCAAAGGAACCACTCCATCCGTTATCAAAACCTCTTAGAAACACGTTTCCACGGCCACCCCCAATCGCTTCAACTCAAAATGGCCTTTCTTTATTTTGGGCTGCCCATTGCCCCGATGAATATCGGCAGGTCCCAGGGATACCAACCGACTGACCTTGATTTTGAGATGGAGAAGCCGATGGTTGACGACGACCCTCTGGAATTTCTTCAGGATTACGCCGAGAGATCTTACGGGAATCCCCAGCAGCGCGGTAAGGAAACTGAGAGACACAAGCCTCTAGGTAATATGCATCTAACGCCGGTCGTACAGTCCGCACCACGGATTTTCCCGGGGGTCCATCAACGCAGAATCTTCCGTTAGGTCTCCGCGGTGGTGCTCTCCTTTTTGAGGACCCCGACCAGAATAAGGATGGTGGAAACACAGATACCTCACCGGTAGCACCTATTCGGATTTACGGGTTCCAGGGGTCACTCCTCACGAATAACCAATATGACGATTTTGTAGGCGCGGTAAGACGCCTCTTGGGAGTAAAGTACAGCTACAACTTCAACATATGCGTCGAGGTTTGGGATGCAACCATCCCAAGCGTAAGTTTTCTGGATCAAGTAACTGGCACAGTCTATTCTGGCTTGACGGAACCCCCCCCAGACGACGCTCTTTTCTCGACGGTCCAGAAGTGGCTAAACACTGGGGAAGGGTATCGGTACTGCTATTTCATACACTTCGATCAGGAGGAGCACCCCGGCTCCTACCAGCCGTCCTACTGGTTTGACGAGAACGTTGTTCGCTTGTTGGATGATGACCGTCAGGATACAGCATACATGAACATCCCGCGGGCACTCCAGTCGACGAACGCGTCAATCCGATATCATCCCGAATACCGACATGCTATAAGGGTGCTTTACCCGAAGGATTCCCATAAATATCTTCGGTTTGGGACGGATTCAGGAAGTCTCACATACGGATCGTTAGACCCCCCACCCGATGTCTGGGGAGGGCTTTGGAGAGGACAGGCCGGAAAAAGTGAAATCCCACTTCTTAACTTCAAGTCGATCACCATCCCCGAAGACTACGCGGCAATTTGCGTTCCCGGTTTCCATTCCTACGAAGATAACTTTTCGACTTTGGACGAGACCTCGAGCCAACACCCAATGGTCATCCATAAAGAGGACCTGATCGTTAACGGCACAGAAAAGGACCGCCAGAGTTTTTCGAAGGTGCTCGAGGCAGTATCGGAGACTAATCGATTCGCTGTAAGTTCTGATGAGATGCTCGGCATCGACATATGGATCCCAGGCGAGGACTTCCTGAACGTGCGGGTTAAGCCAGGCCGCGTTCTTACCGCCGGTGGCAAGATTGGCCTCTCAACGCTGTCAGATTGGAGGTTTATCATGCGAGCATTTCAGGCCCCGCGTATTCATTCTGGGTATAAGAATGTCAGCATCATAGCTCGCCCGGTATTTGATTCCTATCGAATACGGAGCAGGCAACCTGGGACACAACCAGTCCAAATTGACCTCGACAACATCACATTGGCGGATTTCAGGGCTGCGGTCAAGCAGGATCTGTTTCCCGACTACCAGACTGAAGGTGATAACCAAGTCCTTCAACTGACCCAGTCAACCTGGGGGCAAAATAAGATGAACTTTGTCATCTTCCCGAAGACGGACGAAAATGGCTGGAAATGGATTGCGAGGAATGTTACAGAACCGGACCTGGTAGTATCTCTTCAGAATTGGGACGAGTCCTGGGGTGAGTATTCAACCTACTAAACCTCTCGCGAAGCTCAGATTAAACTAATTCCACTCGAAAGACCTTGACCAGAACGTGATATGGGGCCCGCGATACGACCGTACCGACATAACGCCACTATCATCTCACTGGGAGGCGGCGTTCAAGCCGGAGCCGTACAGCGAGCCGATGAACCAGCTTTTCAGAAACTCGGACAATAACCGGACTGGCGCCGAAAGAGCCCAGAGGCTACGTGAGAGGCTCTTCTGGGACGTTCCGGGGATCTTTACCAATCCCACCAAACCTGCGATTCCGATCCAAGCTCCTCCAGTCGAAACTATCATCAAGACCGGACCTAGCATTCCGGGGTTCACCATCGCTATGCGGACTCCCGGTGAGGTTGCCCGACTAGAACGAGAGGTCCACATGCTACGCGGACAGCTCCTTGACAGGATTAGAGAGTGCCCCTATCTAGATTGCGGCCGGTATTTTCCGTTTAGTGACGGCGAAGGTCTTGCTAGACATTTGCGAGAAGACCATACCACCCTGACCTGTTTTCTCTGTCCTAGGCTGGATTATGCTCTCCCCCTGTTCAACGACCACAGCATTAGACAGCACTTTCTGGAAGCGCATTACGATGATTTAAGAGAGCTCTTCAGTGTTCCTAACACACAAAAGGGAAAGTCGCTAGGAACTCTGACAAGAACGAACTTCTGCCATGTCTGTGGGCGAGATCAGCTAAAGCTGAACAATTCCAAGGATCAGAAACACCATGACCGTGTGTGCTTGGAAGCTTCGGAGAGAGGCGCCGCATCCGGGTCGACTACATGGTGTCAGCACTGCGGACGGGCATTGCTACATCCGTATGTCGCTTGCGAATGTGGCCTGGTGAACGAGGACTTTTTCGATCCCGGTCGCTTCTGCGCCTCCTGCGGCTTGGAGTACGACCCTACCATGAACCGGGCATATCGCGAGATACACGCCGGGCGTTGCCGACGACCGGGCGGGCCCCCTTTCAACTGCTGCCCGAACTGCGGCGTATTTCTCGGCGACAAGAAGTATGGTGAGAAGGCGTGGCATATCAAATCGTGTCTCGACGCGTCGTCGGGTCCTCCAGCGGCCGCCGAGGGGAAGCCGGGGGACCAGGACTCTAAACCTCAGGAGAAGTATGAAACAGGGGAGGAGCTACCGCAAGACAGCGGCGCCGAGAAGTCGGATTACTCGATGGCTAAGGGCGACGAGAAGGCTGGGTTGGATCACGCAGACGAAGACGTACTGCTATGGGTGGAAGCATCTCCCCTTAGCCCGCCGCCCGCGCGCCGCGAGAGATCTCCCGACTGGAATGAGAAACTCGGTGTGGAGGACCCAGCACACGAATTCTTGCCAGTTCCAGACGCGAAATGCTCTCGATGCTTCAGAGAGGCGGGCGTGAACGCGGCGGAAATTAAGGTAAGTTCATTAGCTACCACCACCACCACAGTCGAGTCCTTCCGAGCTGACAATATGCAATCTCTTTAGCTACACATGAGTCCCCGAGGTTCCTGCAAAATCCGTCGGGGCTACGGTACCGCCCAGATGTCCGAGATGCCCAACCGCAGTGGGTGGATCTTGCCCGGGGGAGAATTCGACTTCGCCCGTGCTTACTTCGAGTTCGTCGCCCGGTATCCGGCCTACCGGCATACCATGTTTCCCGTGCGTCCTAGCAGCGTGAAGAGGGTCTGGGAAGGGCCGTATAATGCGAAAGCGGCGGTCGGCTCGATTGAGGACGACCCGAATAACGACGATCCCACCGGCTTGCACGCCCTGTCCCGGAGTCGCGCACTCCCATGGCCACCATATGAGGGCACGGAAATCCCGCTTCACGATGACCCAATGCCAGACACCGAAAAGTGGCAGGACACCTCGAGGTTGGGGGGTGACGAATGGTTTGATCGATACAAGGACGACTTTGAATACGAAGATAGCCTTGATGACGAGGGTGGCCATGATGACGAGGGTGGCCATGATGACGAGGGTGGCCATGATGGCGAGGGAGGCGACGATGAAGAGGGCAGCGATGATGGCGAGACCGGCGATGGTGACGAGGACAGTAGCTACGAAGGCGTGGAGGACGATAGTCTCAGGGACGAAGACTACCGTGATATCTTCTGGGAGGAATCGGAGTTCGACGATGATGATGATGATGATCCGAATGTGCCGGAGAAACGGCGGAAAACCCGGAGGAAGCCACCGCAGAAACGCAAGCGCGGCTCCAACCTTGACCGCTCGTTCCCAGCGCCGGGTAGCCTGGACTCGGACGACGAGGTGGAGGAGGAGTACTCGGAAACAGGCGCCGCCCCAGACCCGCTTGACAACCTGCGGCCCGACGCGCCACGGTCGCCCAAGAAGCGCCAAAGGAAGAGGCGGAGGAGGGCTGGTGGGAGGGCTGGTTCTACCCCGAAGACGGGGACTAGACAAGCTCCTGGGCCGTCGTCCGCCGGGCCGAACCAACCGGCTCGACAAATGGACCCCGTCCACGCGGATCTCGTGAGGAGAGTGATAGAGTTCGGTAAGGTGTTCGGCGAACGCTCCCCGGCCTCTCTGCCTCCGCGTAAAAATCAAGAGACTGCTACGGACGCCAGGGCGCCGACGACCTTGGAGGCCCCCGCGGACGCGGGTGCCGTTCAGACCCAGGATTCTGGAACTCCTCGGCAGCCGGGCACTCCTCTTCGGGGTAGAGGTAGGGGCAGGGGCAGGGGTGGGGGTAGGGGTAGGGCGAGGGGGGGTAGAAGGTCATGAAGGCTGGGCATCCTGTTTGTTAGCAACTGGATACCTAAATCAGCCGAGCTGTCGATGTTGATATTCAAAGAAGCGTTTGGAGAAGAGTTGGAGGCGAAGCGTCCATTTGAGCTTCCCGTTCGCGTTTCTTTTGTCCGCGCGCACCTAGCATACAAGCTGATCTATACATTTGTAAGCTTGCTAGGTATTGTCGGGTTCGTCCGAGGTGAAGGTTATATTAGTAGCCCGTCGTTTCCTGCTTAGCTTCGTGACTGTTCCTTACCGTGTCTAACGGTATAGGTCACTGACGCCTGAGTGTCGTTTCTGGGCCTGGTTCTGTTGCTTTGCCCTCGCTTGCTAAGAGATTCAACATCCTAATGTAGTAGTTCAAGAGGGAACCATCGCAACCTGCCCATGCCGATCCTATTTAATATCCTATATTTAGGTGATTTGACTCGAATTTGCTCGTCCGATAATAAATTGATGTTTACGTGGGGGACTCTTCTAGCACCCGCCGCAAGTTATAATCACATTGGCGCATGAAGTTATTGGGGTAGCTGAGCAAAGAAGGAGAGAAATTGTCAGTCTCTTGAGGGTCTTGAGGAAGGTGGAATATTCAGGCTTTATAGAGCAGGGCAACGAAACGGGCGAGAGAGGGGAGAGGCCGCAACAGAGTATAATTCTTGTCATACGGAGATGGAACCCTGCGCTAATAAATCAGGCTATAAAGGTTAGGAGGATAATATCGGGTATTAAGGCCGTTACCTCGGCGACCTATTAAGGAAAGTCCTAGATAAGCTTCGGATAGCTACGGTATTAAGGTACTAAGGTATAAAGGTACAGAGGTACTTCCGGGTTATATTAAGACGAGAAAGGAACGTAGAACTTAGAAGAAGATAAGGACCTAAGAGACCCCCTATAGAATTATTAGTTAAATTAAACCTATTCTAAGTATATCCCTTTATTATAAATAATTTTATATTACTTTTACCCTTATAACTTTACTATAAGTTAATAATAAGAAAAGCCTAAGCCGGCGTTATACGTTAAAGCCGCTACCCCGGTACCATTACTACCGGATTAACCTCGATCCTTTACTAAAGGACTAGAAGCGTAGACTTTCTTACTCCCGCGACTAGTTACTTCGGAAGTAGCGCCGATCTTTATAGCGGAGGTAGCCTAAATAATAGCTACGATTAACGAATTAAAGGCCGTAATAGCGGAATTAAAGGTAAAGGACGCCGAACGAACTACTCTAGCGCCTTAGCCGGAGCTAACCCCCGAACTAATTAATAAATCCCTTATCGTATATTAACCCTAAGAATATAAGGTAGTTATAACGGATGCTCCGGAAATCGCAAACTTAGAAGTAGTTATACGTAATCCTCCGTAGTAAATCGTAGATTTATATAAGTAAATGGGATAAATATATTAAAGCCTAGTAATACTAACTAATTAGGTCGACGTAGGATACCGATAAAATACGATCCTAAAGAAGTAGTACGAATAACTACGATAGCTTTACTAAACCGCTACGGTAATATAAGCTACCGGTATCCGAACCACGAAGATATAGATCTACGAATTCTAGAAATAAGTCGTAGAATAAAGCACCTACTTCGCCTAGAACGTATAGGAAACCGTAGCTAAATTTACCCGGTAGGATAAAATACGAATAGCCGTAATAAACTAACTTCGAGACGCCGTACTATAAAACTAACGAGCCTTAACCTAACTACGCGAGGAATATAATAAGTTAGTAACGGACGTTAGCTCCTAAGCTACGTAAAAGGATAAATAGATTAACGAGATCCTTAGTAAAGAATACCTTACCCCCGGAGCTATAGAGGAAAAAACCTAGCTAATTAAGGACGACCTTAAGGCTTACGCGGTTAATTTAATTAAGGAATATTAGTAACGATAATTAAGTAATAAGCTAACGGATATTAAGTCTATTATTACGGGAGTTAATTAAAAGGTAAGAACGCCTACTCCCGCGCCGGGTATCCGTATTACGATAGCGTTTACCGGAAGATATATTAATAACGAGGTTAGAATAAGGGAAATTATTTCCGACGGCGTACTCTAAAACGCCGCGGCTAAACGTACCACCGCGCGCGTAAGAATCCGTTTCTAAGACGCCGCGGTAGGCGCCTTTATATTAAAAGGAGCCGGGTAAGGACTACCGTAACCGCCTCGGACCCCGCGGAATACCTTAGGAAACTTAGGGAATTCCGACGACTCGGACGACTTAAAATCCGGGGACCCGTAAAAGCCGTAACGCCCGTCCGGCGCCCCTAAAGAACCGTAGGAGCCTCTCGACCCGGCCGAGGAACGTATAATTAAAGCTTAGACTAGAGCTATAAATAATCGACGAAATACTACGGTAACGATTAATCTAATATACCTTATTAAACCTACGGCTTATAACGATAAGGACTTAGTTAAGTTCCGACTATAATAAATTAAGGTTAAATCCTACTTCGAAACTTATAAAGAAAGCTTTACCCGGAACGTTTAAAAGATTAATTAAATAAGATCGATACTTACCGAAAAGGCCTAGCTCTAGTATTAATAACGGCTAGCTTAGGTAAAAAGGTTAATAATCGTCGATACGTAAGCGGGATATTCCTAAGTACTTTAAGAACGGTTTAAAGACTCCGCCGAACGATATCGTAACTTTAAAAAGATATAGGAACTAAAGTATTAAAGAGATATCTCCTAATACCTTACCGAGCTTATAAACCTTAACGATATCGTCTAATAATCCGGAACTACCTTCTAAAATTATATCGCCCGTACCTTACCTAACGAAATAACTAAGTTAGTTTACTTACGACTAAGTAGTATCCCCGAAAGCGATAAAGCCTTCCTTAAAGTAATTAAGGAAGCCGGCTAAATCTACGAAAATATAATAGCTAACCTAAGGATTTCGGGAAAAGGAAGGTCCGCTTCGTAAAAGAAGCATACGAAAGCGGACTAGTAATAGCGGTAACCCGTAAAAGAGACTCGCTCCCGCTTAGGCTAACCGGTAAACGAACGTAAAGGAAAGGATAATAAGAAACCCGTACCGGCTAAGGACTTACGATAGATAGGTAATAAGGAAGCTTTAGCTAGGATTAACTAAGCCGCTATCGATTAGCGAAAGAAGAATAAAAAGGCCTGCTAAAAATACGGAAGGGATAATTATTAAACCCTAGCTTACTTTATAAAGAAGGACTTAAAAGGACGGGACTTACCGGCGCTACCTAAGAAAATCTTATCGGAAAAAAGAGGAAGGAAGGAATCTAAGTTATTACCTAATAAAAGGGCTAGGATCGATACTACTATACGATAGAAGGAAACTCTTTCCCGTATTATAAAGCTATCTAATTCCGATAAAGAACGGGATTTTTAAAAGCCCCCCCGTAAGCGTAGACGGAAGAAAGAGGCGAGAAAGACTACGCGAAGATTACGGCTATTAAACGGCCTAGAACGCTAGAAGTAACGGGAGCGGTATTAATAACGAAGAAACCACGAGTCCCCTAGCGTAATCCTAACGAGCTAAGGTTAGGTAAACGGCCTATTCATACGATATAGATAAATTATTAAGGAAAAGAATACCCTTTACGAGTCCTCTTAGATACCGGTAATAAGGTACCCTTAATTAACGCCGCTAAAGTCGAATAATTACGCCTTTCCGTTAACTAACGCTTTAAGGCTAGAACCCTAATAGGATTCGACGGCTTAGAAATCTCGTTAGGAGGACTTTAATATATTAATAAAATAAAGCTCCGTAGCTACGAATATATCTACCGTATCGCTTAGGAAGTTAATAAATTAAACGAAGAAGTCGATGCTATCCTACCTTAGTAATAAATAAAGGAATACCTTCCTTAGGGACTATTTATAAACGGACGACTATACTTTAACTCGCTACGATACTAAAGTTACCGCTTACGGCTAGCTCGCGTAGGGATAGTACGAGAAATAAAGGCTTTAGTATAAGTACCGGAATAATTTCGTAACTTCGTTCCTATTATAACTAAGAAAGCCGGATAACGGTTCCTTAATCGGTAACCGTAGGACTACGCTATTAAGCTCCGACTAGGAACTATCCCCCCGTAAGGACCTCTATATACCATAAACGGACGATAATTAGATACCTTAAAACCCTAGCTCGACGAGATAATAACCATAGGAAGAATCCGAAAATCCAAGGCCCCCTACGGCGTATCTATAATGTTTATAAATAAGAAGGACCCGGGCGCCCTAAGACCGGTAGCGGACTACCGGGGGCTAAATAAAATTATAATACCCGTCCGATATCCGATTCCGTTAATTAACGAACTATAGAACCTATTCTAAACGGCGCGGTAGTTTACTAAGATTAATCTAAAATCTAGGTTTTATATGGTACGGATTAAGGAAGGCGATAAATGAAAAACCGCCTTTAAAACGCGCTACGGGTTATACGAATATATAGTTATACTTATGGAATTAATTAACGCCCCCGCTACCTTCTAGGTAATAATAAATTATATCTTCCGCGACCTCCTAAACGCCGGGGTTATCGCTTACCTAAATAATATCTTAATTTATACTAATACGCTAGAGAAATATAATAACTTAATTAAGGAAGTCTTAAAACGGCTTATAGAAAACCATTTAGCGGTAGCCCTAAAGAAATATACCTAGCAAACGTAAGAAGTTAAATTCTTAGGATATAATATAAGTCCTAGGGGTATTACCATATCTAAAGATAAAGTAAAAGCTATCCTTAATTAACGTACCTTAGCTATACTTAAGGACTTATAAAGCTTTATTAGGTTTACTAACTTTTACCGTAAATTTATACGTAATTTCTTAAGTATAGCTAGGCTAATTACTAGCGTTAATAAAAGAAACCGTAAGCTATGAAAATAAGAAATCGAGATAAAGAAGGCCTTTTAAGAATTAAAAGAAACCTTTACGAAGGCCCCGGTACTTATATATTTCGACCCTAACCGAGTCCTAATCGTCGAAGCCGACGCCTTAGATTTCGCTATTTCCGCGGTCCTTTTATAGAAAGATAATAAAAGAAGACTAAAACTAATAGCCTTTTTCTTACGACGACTTACCCTAGCGGAAATAAATTATAAAATATATAATAAGGAATTACTAGTAATCGTCGACGCTTTCGAGAAGTAACGATATTATTTCGAAGGTACTTAGCATTAAATAAAAGTATACTCCGATTACTAAAACCTAACGTACTTTATTACGGTAAAAGTATTAAATCGACGCTAAGCCCGCTAAGCTTAATAGCTCTCCTTATATTACTTTATAATATACTATCGCCTAGGAAAGTAAAATAAAAAGGCCGATATTCTATCTAGACTACCTTAATATCGCCTTAAAAAAGGGGGAGCTAAGGACTAGCCGATAGCGACGGTCCTATAGGAAAAGTATTTTTTAAAAAATTCAGGCTTACCTACGGTAATACTTTCTAGCGTACGACTAAGTAATATCCTAATACCCGCTTAAATCCTAGAGTTCGTTAAATAGGTTAAAACGGTAGCTATATAAGACCCGGAATACTAAGCCTAGTTAGTTAAATTATTCGGTAAGGAAATAAAGCTTTAGGAAGGCCTTTTCTATCGGCGAAACCGTTTCTAAATACCTAAGGACCTATAATAAGAAGTAATTAAATCGGAATACGATATTAAAGTAACGGGATATATAGGTATAAATAAAACCATAGAACTTATTACTCGTAACTTTTAATAGCCTAACTTAGAAGTAATAGTTAGGGAATTCGTTAAAAGGTACCGCGAGTACTAATAAAATAAGGTATCCCGATATACCCCGTTCGGATTATTATAACTTATGGAACTATATTATCGACCATAGTAAACGATCGCGATAAACTTCATTACGGACTTATTAATATTTAACGGCTACGATTCTATCTAGGTTATTATAAACCCCTTTATTAAGATAACGTACTTTATCCCGCTAAAAAAGGACGGTAAAAAAGCCGAAGACTTAATACCTATCTTTATACGTAATTATTAACGGCTATATAGGATCCCCTTAGACATTATTTCCGACCGAGACTCGCGATTTATTTCTTATATATAAAAGAGCGTCTTAAAACTTCTCGGCGTTAAACCTAGAATAAGTACCGCCTTTTATCTTTAAACGGATAAATAAACGGAAAGACTTAATTAAATCTTAAAAGTATACCTACGCGCCTTCGTAAACTACGAAATAAGCGACTAGGAAAGCTTACTACTTACTACCGAATTTACCTATAATAATACCGCTTTAATAACTACCGGTATATTACCCTTCTACGCTAACTATAGGTAATACCTAGTAACATATAACCCTCCTCTAGGTATCCCTAAGAATCCGGGAAGTAACCTCTATACTTACTAAATAACTCGGGTATATAACGAGGCTAAGTAACATTTAAAAAAAGCACGGTAACGAATAAAAGGATAAGTAAATAAATACCGAAAGAAGGAACCCCCTCTAAAAGTCGAATAACTCGTTATATTAAATGCCCGTAACATTAAAACCAAGCGCCCTATAAAGAAGATAAATAAAAAGATACTCGGTTCCTTTAAGATCTAAAAGGTCGTTTTCCCTACCGCCGTAACTCTAATACTTCCGAAAGGCTAGCGTATTTATAATACCTTTTACGTATTCCTTATCGAACCTTACCGCGCTAGTAATTAGGAATTACCTAACCCTAACTAGATCTTACGGAAGGTAGCCCCGATCGAAGCAGAAGACTATAAGATAAATAAGGTATTAGATTCCGTAAGAACCGGAGAAGTTATTAGGTACTTAATAAAGTAATAAGGCTAGCCGGCTAAGCGCTACTAAACTTAGGAACCGTAGGAATACTTTACTACCGAAAAGGCGAAAGAAGCCGTTAAGTTATTCTACCTATAGAACCTTAATAAACCTACTAACCATCGGGCCTAGGCATTACGCTTAAGAACGAGCTCCTCCGAAGAAGGGAAATAGTATTATACGGAGATAAAACCCTACGCTAATAAATCAGGCCATAAAGGTTAGGAGAATAATATCGGGCATTAAGGCCGTTACCTCGGCGACCTACTAAGGAAAGTCCTAGATAAGCTTCGGATAGCTACGGCATTAAGGTACTAAGGTATAAAGGTACAGAGGTACTTCCGGGTTATATTAGAACGAAAAGGGAACGTAGAACTTAAAAGAAGACAAGGACCCAAGAGACCTCTTATAAAATTATTAGTTAAATTAAACCTATTCCAAGTATATCCCCTTATTATAATTCTCGAGGATCGCTTCTTCATTAAATAGCTTCTCCTAGGGATTAGGATAGACAGAAAAATAGGATATAACTATCTTTTCCCTTCTCATCTTGGATTGAAGGTTTCATATAGTTCCAAAGGGGCATCCTTTTTATGATTTCCACAGAGCAAGCTGCGTGATAGAACCCACATAGCCTTAGACCACCTAGACGGAAACTCGGAAGCACTTCTCCCACTGCTACACTCATGAACACGTATATTGAAGGGAAAGTCGTGGTGATCACTAATGCCGTCCGGACCCTGAAGCACCTCAGTAGTACATTTCAGCTCCGAGTAGTGTATGGTAGAATGAGCATGAGCAGGAAACAGGCAATTACTTTATTCCATCCGGTCGTGCTACCAACGTTGCTGCACCCAACGCAATCTGGCCCTCCAACGGGTTCATTGCCAAACTCTTGACTTGGTATCATGAGCAAATCGGAAAATATTCTTCCGGCCTCCCTCCTCCATCACTGTAGGAACGCCGATAGCACCTGAACACGCCTAACCCGCTCATTGCTTTATGTAGGAATTGATAATACATGCTCTCTAGTTGAGACTGTAGTATGGCATCATGATAGTTCCGAAAGGCTTAGATATGCGGCTCGGGGCAGCGTCTGGCAAGCAGGCGCACGTTATTGACGAGGCCGTCGACTAGGTCTTCGTATCTATTCGGCTTGTCCTCGATGAGTAGACGACCGTGCTCAATTAGAGAGCGTGCCTCTAATTCTATCTCGAGTTCGTGCTCCTTTGTGGTGCCTGCTTGTGGCAGCGGTCCCTGGTTTCCTTTAGTAGGGTGGCCCTGTGTCACCTGCGTCAAGTCGATTTGATATAGACCGTGGGCGTAGCTAAGCCGATCTTTGATACGGTCGGGGGGGCGCTCCTTGTTGGGTATCTGGTTAAGCTCGATTTCCTCTGCCGGCCCGTCCCAATCCCATTCAAGGTTGATGCCGATGCGGCAATCTAGAGGCAAATGGGGGAAGTGTATGTTAAGATTGCCAATTCGCGCCTTGATAATCTTAGCCAGGATTTTTCCAGTTTTCTGGTCATATGTTACTCGTGCCTTTAGGGGCGAGCTCTGCTGTAGTAGACCGGAGACACAGACTGGTATCCGCTGACGCATTTGGGACGGGAGTTCGAAAAATCGGTCAACCTCTCGGCGGTGGACATATTGCACCTGTACACGGGAAATGGCCGTAGGGTTGCGAGGGAATGAAGCCCTGACTTGTTCGTTCAAAAAACCATTAAGTTCACAGTGTTGGCTCTGCCCATCGACGGGGGTTCGTTAGAAAAATGGTTGGTAGAGTAGGGGGGGCAAAGAGGGAGAGATACAGGGAGGGGTCGTCTCCCACATGGCTTACCTCGGTCATGGAACTGCGAAACTGGACTCTGGCATTAGGCCCCAGTACACACTCGCCAGCTCTGATCGACGGCATATTGATGCGATCGTTTGTCATCTTGTCAATGATTATGCCCAGTCTAGCCTCGATCTCGAACTGTACGCCTCGGCTTTGCACTTCGGCAAACTGAGGAAATTGCAAGACGTTCATACCCAAGAAATCGGCGACTTCACGGGAAACGATGTTCTTCGGGATTTCATTTCCGATGCTGGGTTCCCACGGGAATGGTTGGCCGTTGAAGGTCGGAAGCTCCTTGGTACTTGCGTGACTTGGCTCCTCTGGCTTAACACTACCTACGGACCTCGTAGCTTCGGGCGAAGTGTGTCTAGAGGCATGCTCCGACCTGGGAGCTCCACTTCCGTCGTGACGGCTGTTTCCGTTGACGAGACCGCCGGCGTTAGGTTGGCGACTATGGTGCCTCAACGAGAAATTTCGACTTGTCACCAACGGTCGACGTCTGCCACTCTGAGCCCATACGGGAGGTGAGTCGTGTTTGACGCGCTTCTGCCGAGGTACCATGTGATTTCCGTTCAACTGAGGAGGGGGGGGAACTCTTTGCTCGTTCTCCGCCTCGTCCTGATCTAGTTTCCGCTTCGATGGAATGGAGGCACGTTGGGGCTCCATCGTACTAATAGCGATAGGAGCTTGTGGGATACTATGTTGTGAATGGTGGGGATCTGCGTCACCCCCGGAGGAAAGAGGGCGATGACCAGTGCTGCTGGGCAGGCTGGGAACACGTGTTTTTGGTGAGACACTCACACTTCTTTCGCGGCCGCTCCGGGACCGTGACCTGCGGTGCGATTCGGTTACCGTGTCGTAGGGACCGTGACTGCTGCTACTGGATAAGCGCGGAATGGAGGCCGGGGCCGGTGGCGGAGGTGACGTCTGCGTAGGATGCGGAGGATATGGGGTGGTTCGCTTTTGGTACGGGCTTGGTGGTTGCTGGTAGCTCAGGGCCGGGGATTGCCGCGCGGGTACTGGTATCGGCGGCCCGAGAGGCGTCGGAGGCTGCGAAGATTGACGTTGGTGTTGGTGCTGAAGTTGAAGATGGAGTTGAAGATGGTCAACCTGGGATACTTGGCTGTGTGTCGTCGCAATCGGGCTGCCTTGGCTGTACGGAGGAGGCCCATACGAGCCTGGTTGACTATGAGCAGACGTAGGCGTCGGTGTCGACTGGATGGAGAGTGACCTCTGGTGGGGGGGATATTGGTGACCACCGCCCGGCGTTCCAACCGGCGGTGTCTGCGGCGGCGGCTGGGCCGGTGGTTGACCCTGCACGTAGGAAACGGGGTTGCGAGAAGGTGCAACTGGAGCGCCAGAGGGTGGGTGTTGCACGGCGAAGCTGTCGCGAGAGTATGATCCCGTGCCCGTACCAGCGCTAGGTGGGCCGTACTGATGCCGCTGCACGGGGCTCACAGGCGGCTGAGTTGGGGGAAATGGGTAACCTCCACTAGCGGTGCTGGCGGATGAGGTCGGTGTGTGTCGGTAAGAGGACGGCCCCGATATGGACGCGCTTCTTGGGGATCGTATGTCATGTGGACCCGGAGGCTGGAGTGGAGGAACAGGGGGTCTGCCTGCGAACGCGTTGGCGGGTGGGTTATACGAGGTCGGCGACGAGTACAGAGCGGCAGCAGAGCCTGGATGCGCGGAGGAGGACAGGGGAGGCGCGGTAGGGGAGGAGTACTCGAGGGTATGCGGCACGGGAGAGGCGTGCATCGGATGGGGATAGTCTCTAAAGGATTGAGGAGGAAGGCCGGCGTGGACTGGAGTCGCAGGAGTAGCTGAAGTCGGCGTCGGCGTCGCAGATGTCGATGATGATGATGGGGGTGGGTGCTGATGGGACGGAGGTGGTGGTTGCTGATTTTTCGACGCGTCCCCATTCGGATCGTTTAACATGGTACGCAGATCCATTTTCACGATGGTGCCGTTTGCTTTTCGGGCGTTCTCCATGTTGGCCTCGTCCGTTTTGCGACACACCTACTAGCGCACGAGGGACCCAGAGATATTCGTCGTCGCCTGCTTCGTCTTCTTCTTCACCTTCACCTTCGTCTTCTTTCTTCCCTGGGATTATCTTTTCTTCTCGTTCTCGCTCGCTCTTGACCATTCGCTTACACACCTACACCTACACACGCACTCGCACGCCACACACCCTATCAGTTGCGCGCACGATCACTCTCACTCGTCTCAAGTTGCGGAAAATTCAGCGTCATCGACACATTCGGGTGACGCGCTCCGCCACTACGTAGTCAGGAAAGGGGATGAGAAATGCGTTGTCGGCGTTGGCGATGGCTGTCTGCTGCTTTGGATAGCATGTAGGTACAGGCCGACGGATGAGAGTGGAGCGGGCGGATGGGATGTCAAGGCTGACCCTTCGTCGGTCCGTTGGTCTCTCGTCTTCTCCTCGTCCCCTTTCTCGTCTTTTCTCTCCCTCTCTTTTGGGTTCGGCTCTAGGGTCCGATAGCGTGCGAGTCGGGGATCACTTTCGCATTGCTAAGTTCGCTGGACGGCTAGTTGGCGATGCCAGGGGTTTTTTTTTCTTCTTATTCTCGCCTGTGTGGTTCCGCTTCTGCCTCGCCGTCTGTGTCTAGCTGGATGACGTGGAATTACTGGAGACAAGCAATGCGACGGTTAGGCTTGCGCGGCGGCGAAGAATGCGAATTGGTAAGGTGGTTTGGAGGCATTACCGAATTCGCAGAATTGTGAACAAAGAGAATCCAGGGATGAAATGCGAAAGCAGCCCGGGTGCGGGTGTGGTGGCATGGTGAATCGAGCCGGCCTGTAGAAGGTATCGAACTTATTAACCCTACTGAGAGGCCAGCAGGTATGTATGTACTAACCCAGGGCAGTTTTCCTTCTCGTCAATTGAACCTCAGGTAGAGAGCTTGGATCTTTCCCTCCCCCTCTCCCCCTCTACCTAACCCAGCCTTAGGTAGTAAAGATGTACCCGGGACCCGTCTGGTGCGGTGCGGGTACCTCTTGGATTCGTGCCAAGAATGGGGAACGTGCACGTCCATTAGCGGACTGCACCGCCCAAGGCCTGAGCGCGGCGTACCTACACCAGGAGGTACCACCTAAACCGAGCGCCGTTCCTGTTGAGCCATCTCCGGTATGTCCATACCTAGGTACAAGTATGTAAGTATCTGATATATATGAGGTATATGTAAGGTACCTTGGGCTATGAGCGTGCGTACAATCTGGCGCGAATCTGGCGCGAATCTGGCGCCTGATCTACCCCGGGTGGTAACCTGGGAGTAACCTGGGAGTACATTAGGAAGGTATCTAAGGTACCTCATATACTTCTCTTACCTCATGCATGTACATCCAAACAGATAAATTGTGGCGGCCAGGGCGGGCCAGGCAGAGGTTGCCTGACGTGGACATTAAATTGGTCTGTGCCGTTCGCAATTTGGAGCCTTCCTGAGGTAAGGTCCCCAATGTACCGCGTACCTACTATCTACGTGGTAGCCAACCCAAGTTACGTAAGCCGCCCCAAGCCCCAGCTCGCTGCCGCGCATGCATACATACCCTGATCCATCTTGATTCAACACATTTTCCTTCTTCTCATAGATCCTAGAACGCCATAGCTTTCTGCGACTCGACACGCGATACGCACGCCAGATTCGGTTGCGCAATCTCCTCGTTCCGTCCACCCGTTCACTTGAGCTGGTCGATCGACAGCTTCGGGCCTCTGTCCCCTACACACGTTCTTTGATCAGCTCCCGTCGCCGCCTTCAGATCAGCTCCGAATCTTCGGAAGGTCCCAGCCGCCCTCTCGTCCTATTAATCGTTCACAGGTGCGCCGGCTCAGCTTCAAGATGCCTGGCCTGGTCACTGCCACGGGTGTGCTGGCTTTCCTGGCCGACGAGGAGCCAGAACTCAAGGTATTTGCCCTGCAGACGCTTAACGACGATATCGACACGGTTTGGTTCGAGGTCGCCGGCGCTCTCGGTCAGATGTAAGCCTTCCCCCGGACGCCTGTACTATCAGATGCTGACCAGCCACCCCCCTTCCAGCGAGGCACTGTACGAGGACGAAGCCTTTCCCGAACGAAAGTTAGCTGCCCTTGTTCTTGCCAAAGTTTATTACCACCTCCAGGCCTACGACGAGAGCATGTTTTTTGCCCTGGCCGCGGGTGAGCTATTCAAACTGGACAATCCTGGCGAGTTTGAGGAGACCATCATATCCAAGTGTGTCGATCACTACATTGCCACCAAGAATGGGGACCACACCGTCATCGAGACAAAAAACAAGGACACCGCCCTCCCGGCTCTAGCTACGGCGTTCGCCAGCACAGGCGCTGACGGTAGCGCTTCGTCCTTGATCTCCCCCACCACGCCCTTCTCCCAGTCGACCTTGCCGTCCAAATCCCTCCTCTCCCGAGCCTCCGTCGACAACACCATTATCGATCCCTCTTTCGAACCGCAGAAGAAGCAGCACCGGTCGTCTTCTATCGCTTTGACCAATAGCGAGCTCGATACTCGACGGGCCATCGACCGAGTGATTGAACGGCTATTCGAGAGCTGCTTAAAAGAAAAACGTTATCAGCAGGTTGTCGGCATCGCCGTCGAAGCAAAGAGACTTGATGTGGTCAGCAAAGTTATTCAGCGCGCTGATGACGACTACAAACGCAACAAGGGCAAGTCTACACAGGATGACGCTATGGGTCCTGCTGAAGAGCTGCTAGATTACTGCTTGAGTATATGCATGGATGTAGTCCAAGAACGAGCGTTCCGGGATGATATCCTACAGCTCGTTCTCGATATTCTCACCAGCGGCCGGGCTAAGGATCCCGACTACTTCTCCATCGCCAAGTGCATTGTTTATCTCAACAAAAACGAGCAAGCGCGCACAGTTATCCAACACCTCGTCAAAGCCGAGACTGTAGAAGCTACCGCCATAGCTTACCAGTTCGCCTTCGACCTATACGATAACGGCACGCAGGAATTCCTGGGTAAGGTCACCTCTGGGTTACCCAAGGTTAATCCCCCTGTCGAGAAGAACGATGCCCCGTCCGTTGGGGAGTCAGAAAGGGATCCCTTATTAGGCAGTGAAACCGGCGAAGCTGATTCTGAACCCGATGAGGCGGATGAGAAGAAGATTACCATTTACAGAAACATCCGCTCTATCCTCGACGGTAATAAAACGATCAAGCTCAATCTCGAGTTCCTCTATCGTAACAATCACACCGATTTGAGCATTCTCAACAAGGTTCGGGATAGTCTCGAGGGCCGAAACTCCATTTTCCACACTGCCGTCACATTCTGCAATGCCTTCATGAACCAAGGCACTACCAACGACAAGTTCTTCCGGGACAATCTGGAGTGGCTCGGCAAAGCCGTCAACTGGTCCAAGTTCACCGCAACGGCCGCACTTGGTGTAATCCACCGCGGAAACCTCTCCCAGTCAAGGAAGCTCCTGGAACCCTATCTCCCACGAGGCACTGGCGGTATCAGTGGCGGCTCACCCTATTCCCAGGGCGGCGCCCTCTATGCATACGGTCTCATCCACGCCAACCATGGCGCTGATGCGTTGGATTACCTGAAGACGCAGTTCACAGCTGCCGAGGAGGAAGTTATCCAGCACGGTGGCGCTCTGGGCCTTGGACTTGCCGGTATGGCGAGCGGGAACGAAGAGATCTTTGAGAATCTCAAAGCCGTGCTGTACGCCGATTCTGCGCTCAACGGCGAGGCTGTTGGCCTCTCAATGGGGTTGATCATGTTAGGCACTGGCAATGTTAAAGCTTTGGAGGACATGGTCGCTTACGCGCACGAGACATCTCACGAGAAGAGCGTGCGAGGTTTGGCTTTAGGCATGTCCCTGATCATGTACGGCCAGCAGGAGGGTGCGGACGTCATGATCGAAGGTCTCCTGAATGACCCGGACCCTACCTTGCGATACGGCGGCATCATGACTGTGGCGATGGCCTACTGTGGCACCGGTAGCAACAAAGCAATTCGGAAGCTGCTGCACGTCGCTGTCAGCGACGTGAATGATGACGTGCGCCGAATCGCGGTCATGAGCTTGGGCTTCATCTTATTTCGTAAGCCCGGCAGCGTCCCCCGCATGGTTGAGCTCCTCTCCGAGTCGTACAACCCCCATGTTCGTTACGGTTCCGCCATGGCTCTCGGTATCTCGTGCGCCGGAACCGGGCTGGACGAGGCTATCGACCTGCTAGAGCCCATGATGAAGGATCCTACCGATTTTGTAAGACAGGGAGCCTTGATCGCCCTGGCCATGATTATGATTCAGCAGAACGAGGTGATGAACCCCAAGGTTGCGTCAATTCGCAAGACTCTCAAGAAGGTGGTGGGCGATCGTCACGAAGACGCGATGACAAAATTTGGTGCGGCCCTTGCCCTCGGCATAATCGACGCCGGTGGACGCAACTGCACGATCGGCCTGCAAACGCAGACAGGCAATCTCAATATGGCCGGCATCGTCGGGATGGCCGTCTTCACCCAATACTGGTACTGGTTCCCCTTCACCCATTTCCTATCACTGGCCTTCAGTCCTACCTCAATCATCGCTCTTGATCACGACCTGGACATTATCGATGTCAAGTTCCACTGCGCCACGAAGCCGAGTCTTTTCGACTACCCTCCAGAGCAGGAGATCAAAGCCGAAGAGGGTCCGACCATGATCGCGACCGCCATCCTTTCGACGACTGCCCAAGCCAAACGCCGAGCGCAAAAGAAGGAACGGGCACAGCGACGGGAGAGCATGGATATCGACGCGACTGCCACCCCAACTACTTCTAAGCCAGGCACGAGCGGTGATAAGATGGATGTAGACGCGAAGAGGAAATCGAGCGACCTCAACAAAGACAAGAAGGAAGGCGAGACACCCGCGCCAGGCGATAAGGAGGCATCCACGCCTCCTGCAGACACTAAGAAGAAGTCCGAGAAGGAAAAGCCAGGCTATGACATCGAGAATATGAGTCGCGTCCTCCCCGGGCAGCTTAAGTATATCAGTTTGGTTAAGGGACGTTACTGGCCGGTTAAGCTAGTGAGGCCCGGTCCCCTGGTAAGATGATACTCCTTCTATCAGCTGGGGGGGGGTTTTTTTTTCCCTTTCATATTGCTAAAATTTTTCATAGCCTACCGGGGGTCCAATACTGCTTCACGACATGCAACCGGAGAAGGACAAGGTCATTATCGAAGAGAAACTGAAGAAGGTGGCAACGGAGAAGGCTCCTATAGCTGGTGGCAGTACCGCTCCCAACCGCAACCCTCGAACGATGGAGGAAGCAATCCTTAGCCGGCTAGGAGGGCGGGACCGGCTGGCCACTCCCAGCCGAACCAACACGTCGGGAGCCGCAGCGGCGGCAGGAGTTTTGACGGCTATCGATGAGGATGGCGAAGGAGACGAAGAGGCGCAGCCGCCTCGCGACTTTGAATACTTCACAGAGGACGAGGAGAGTGAGTAGGGACCATTCTCCGACCACTGGTAAAGTATAGTGTTATCGAGATGAACGAACCGCCACATGTAATCATACCCATTTATGGAATCTCTAGGCAAGGAAAACAGCAATGAATTACACGACGGAACGGGTAGCCGTTCCTAAAAACTGACCCACGCCCTCTTTGACTAAAGATGTACTTGTGTCTCACGGGCCTATCCGCCGGACCATGATTGCATTGCGTAGGCAAGCCGATACGGTAGATCCACGACCAGTCGTGACGAGCATATACAAGCGGTATCCAGCCACGTCCCTCATCCTACATAGGAACATTATTGACGAAATTCCGGCAGGGTCCTTGAAACTATACGACAGTGAGGGAATGTATGTCCTCTCTATACGTACTTGGGCAAGCCAATTTCTTTAACAGGCATAAGTTGTAGGCGTAACTCGGATTGAAAAATTGGAGAGTAAGACTGATAATAGAAGGCTGATATTGAGGCGCGTGGGGTGGGTACCTATAATTAGATGCCTTGGGTACCTCAACCCACCTAACGCCTAACCTGCCCGAGGTACCAGGCACTACTGCTATGTGCATCGATATGATCTCTCCGCTGTTTGTCGCAAGGCAGTATTACGAAAGAGGAAGATATTTCTGTTCCACGCGCCGTTACGGAGCTGTCTATGGCTGTCGGTTACGTAACACGAGGACGCCACCAGGTATTAGCGAACCCAACCCGGTCGGCGGTCGGTCCCGAATGCCGTGGGGGTGCCGGGAGTCGGAGGGACCAGAACGACCAACATTGAACCTGTGGCGCCGTTCTTCGTGGCTGTCAGCTCTCCCTTAAGGGCTGTGTATCTGGTGCAGACTGCGTCCGAGTTACCTACCTACCTACCTAGGAGGTACCTACCTACCAGCCTTACCTTGGGAGGTACCTACCTGCTTGGGTACTCCATACCTCTCTTAATTGAGGTCGGCAGGCAGTGGACCTTGTAGGTGCCTCCATGCCAGCAGAGGCTTAGGTGCGTAGGAGGAACCTAGGTACGTCTCTCAAAGGGCAATTTTTTAAAGCCTCAGGTAACCGACACACACGGGGGGGCCTTTGGCGGTGAATGGCTGCGGGCCTGTCATAGCTGAATTATGTTTCCCTTTACGTGCAATATCCACAATCCGTGTCCGATGTTGCCTTATTATTCCCTCTGTTGCAAATCGCTAATCTACCTTCTGTAAACAGCACCAACCGTTCGCCTGACTCCCTCTGGGCACCGTTATTATCATATGGCCGCATCAGATTCTGAACGAGCCAGAGGATCGATTTTCCTTTTCCTCCCTTTTTTATAGAACAGAAAAAGGGGAGCAAGAAGAAAGGTAGGATACCAAGACTTCCCGACAGAGAAAGTGGGACGAGTTGGTTCCATAGGAAAACAAACTGCTCCAAGGAAACTCCTTCGAGGGGACTACGTGCCCGGACCCCGAACCGGCAGGCAGGTTGATTTGCCGTCCTTGCGGTTAAGTCCAGTCATTCATTATCTTGATCCGCTTCAGAATATCCCAACACATCTCCATGCATTCGCTTCCTTCAATCGATCTTCTTTCCCTTTTAAAATCTTCCTCGTTATCTCTCTCTGTTCTCCGTCAGTGCCTCGCACACGATATCGGCTGGTCAGGTTGGCGGCAACCGGCAACCGACAACGACATCCTTCTCTCCCGCTCTCAGCAGCCGTTTCCCTGAGCCTTTCTCATCTTCTCCTTCCTCCCTCGCTCTTTTTCTCGATTTCTCGCCCCTGCTACTCTCTCCCTCCTCTCCAAGTATTCTTCCGCTTCGTTCGGTGGTACGCGGCTATATCAATATCCGGCAGCAATATCCCTAAACATCGAAGGCAGGAGGCAATCCAGTATTGACCTCACCTTGCCGGCTTCCCTCGTCGTCCATCCTCTCTCTCGTCCTCCGTCGCCTGAGTTCGAAGGACGCGCACCGCCGATTTATCTAACAAGAATATCGGGCGGTTTGCACGAGTCGAGCCCTTCGCCATCTACCACGACGTATATGTGGACACGCGTCTTCGTGAGTAAGGGGGTTATGGGCACCACATCGAAGCACCCCAGTCCCCGTTGACTTGAGGGCTAGAGTTTGGAGAGCTTCTCCGATTTATATCATGTCCACACCAGTCTTGCGACAGATTGGCTGGGACTTGTTGAAGGTGACGCGGGGGCTGAGGCCGTGTTTACGTCACGCCCAGACCTTTGAGCCGCTGCAATCGAGCAGTTTCTGCGCCCGGTCAATTCGTCCCCCAACTGCCATCCGAACGGCATCATCTAAGGCCGTACCGACAAGGCTCCCCAATCCCCGTCGTCTGCGGCCTCTTCCCTTTCTTGCTGCTGGTGGCGGGATATTCACTATACTATTTGCCTCGCTCCAGCCGTTTGACGACCCGATCCGGATAGCCCAAGATGCGGCCTCTTCCTCCCCTAGCGACAGTGACGGCGGCTTGCCGCGCTACCGGCTTGCCGAAGTCAAACAGCATGGGCCCAAATCCGAGCGCCCTTGGGTCATATATGAGGACAAAGTGTACGACATCACGGATTGGGTTCCTGCCCACCCCGGAGGCGAAGTCATTCTGCGCGCCGCCGGTGGCAGCATCGAGCCATACTGGGATATATTCTCTATTCACAAGTCGCCTTACGTTCGAGAGATCCTCGAACAGTATGTTGTCGGAAGGGTCCACCCAATTGACCTCAAGGATGGGCGACCGTTACGTGATCACATCGAAGATCCCTTCGTCGCGGACCCCGCCAGGGACGCGAGGATGCGAATGCTGACGGAAAAGCCGTGCAATGCCGAGACCCCGAATGACGAACTCGCCAAATCGTTCCTAACTCCTAATGAGGTCTTCTATGTCCGCAACCACATGTGGGTCCCTGTGGTGGACGAGGCTGAGTCCGATAACCATAATATTACGATCGAGCTGCCCGATGGCGAAAGCAAGGTCTACAGCGTCCAGGACCTCAAGGCCCGCTTCCAGCAACATGCTGTGACAGCCGTCTTGCAGTGCTCCGGCAACAGGCGCAATGACATGACACGGTACGCGCAGAAGACAAACGGGCTGCAGTGGACGGTCGGTGCCATCAGCTGCGCGAAGTGGGAAGGGGTACGGCTTCGGGACGTCCTCGCTGATGCCGGCCTGTCGCTGGAGGATCCGGGAGAAGACGCGAAGCATGTCCAGTTTTCCGGCCTGGAGGCCTACGGCGCAAGCATACCAGTCGCGGCCGCCCTAGACCCGATGGGAGACGTGCTTTTAGCGTTCAAGATGAACGACGCAGTCCTCCCGCGCGATCACGGATTCCCAGTCAGGGTAATCGTTCCGGGTCATGTAGCGGCGAGATGCGTGAAATGGGTGAATAAGATTGTGGTAAGCGACGAAGAGAGCAACACGACCTGGCAGCGCCGGGATTACAAGTGCTTTGGCCCGAACGAAGCCAAACAGGATTGGGACAAGTATAAGGCCATCCAGGTGATGCCTGTCACGAGCGCCATCACCCGAACCAGGTTAAAGCCCAGCACGAACACGGAATCGGATGCGCGGAGCGGCCAGTCCGAGTCAGCCGGTGACCGAGTTGTCCAGATCGAGGGCTATGCCTACTCGGGCGGGGGGCGGGAGATCCAGCGTGTCGATGTCAGCCTCGACGGTGGGGAGACGTGGGACCAGGCGCAACTAATCGACGACACCAATCTAGAAAGGGGAAGCAAGGTGTGGTGCTGGAAGCGATGGAAGTACGAAGTCGGGCTGTCCACGATCGGCGCCAATAAAAATCCGCACGGCGAAGCCAAGGCTACGCTCGTCGTCAAAGCCACAGACGACGCGTACAACACCCAGCCCGAATCCCACAAGAGCATATATAACCTGCGGGGAAATCTAGCTACCGCTTGGCACCGGGTCGATTTCGACCTCGCCGCTGCCCAGCATAGCTGCGAGGAGGGTAAGGATCAAGAGTAACAAGCACTTCCGTAAATGTAGGTTAAAAAGGCTGGTCGAGAAAACACGGCACGACATCGCAGACGGAGGGGAATCAATTTGCATAGCGTATGGCGTTTGCGTCGTGCTGGATAAGGCAGGTTTATTGGTTGCGAACCATGGACGACCCGACTTCGAGCGTCCTCGTCGCCCGTTTAGGTAAATGCATTGTGTCTATCTCACACGAGCACTACTGTGCTATGTATCGGTGAGCATCAGATGGAGCTGATATTTATCACGTATTAATGACCTGGTGCAGATCGAAAAGAGTCTCTTCGCCATGTAGGTATATCTGCGCTTCTACTTAAAAAGAACGAGTCGACAGAAAGAGTGGCCTGCGCAACCGATCATCTTCAAAAAGTATGGTGGGAGCCCTCCACGTATGTGGGTGTGTGTGATCAGTTGTATGTCCGCACGTCACCTATAAAGGGAGACTGGGGGTATAGATATTAAAATGTACCCTACATAAGACCCCTGGAATGGAAATCGTCATGTTGATAACGTGTTTTTCCCAACCGCTGGCGCCTATAACGCCTGCAACCCAGAACACCTGCGCACAACTGGGAGAATAGACAACCCCTTGAGAAAAAAAAATCGGCATTCGACAGTTGGATGGTGTAATACGCATTGCGTGATCCAGCCGAAATATTCAAGGTGAAACAAGAGCGAAATCGCCAGCCGACGGCCAAACGGCCGGGATTGTTCCCCAACTTGACACTCGCAGATTATCGGTAGTAGACGGCACAGATGGTAATTATTAGGGAGGAGGGGGGGCCGTTTCGAGGAATAGCGGCAGTCTGTATACGGGGGTATTCACACTCATGCACCAGGGTTGGCCTGCGGCTTGCTGACGTCATGACCCCGACTGCGTAGGAAATTGATACCGTCGAGAGCGGCAAGGAAGGTGAATAACGCCCTACACCACAAGAGAAAAGAAGGGACGGGGTCAGCTGTGCCCTTTCTCTGTTCCGGTTGGGGCAGGGAAAAAGAGACTCACCAGAGGAAGAAGCCGAAGGCGACGGCGGCCTCGGAGGCGCCGCAGTAGGTGTTGGCGTCGCATTGGTAGGGTCCGCCTACCAGGACGGCGAGAGCGATGGCGCCGGCGAACCAGAAGACGGTAGTGATGAGGTTCAAGGCGAGGGCGGCGAGGGAGTGGAAGACGTTGGCAAAGTACAGGGGGGTGAGGCCGACGTAGGCCAGCACGAGCAGCGACCAGACCGAGTTAAAGATCATGAAGTTCACCTGCGACGGCGAGTAGTACCCAAGCCCGTACCAGCCGCGATAAAAACTCGACACTAGAGGTGGCGAACGGGAGCGCGCCGGTCAGCTTTGTCTTTCCTATCTATATGTTCGTCCGTCCCACGCTCGGGCAGGGATGGCGCACGGCATCGCATCGCTAACGCCAGCGACGAGCAAGCGCGGTAGTGGGGGCGGTAGGATGGGACGTACTATAAGCCGTGAGGCCGAGCTCGATAATGGCGAAAATCACGGCGACGACGTGGACGATGGGGATAAATCTGTGTAGATTCGCCATCTTTGCGGGTAGCGACGACGGCGACGACACTTTCTGGCGAAAGCTCCCTCTCTTTTCGTACTCGTGCTGGGAGGCAGCAAGGATGGGTAGGGGCGATGATGCTCGGTTGTGGCCTCGATGGAGATTTCGTGATGTCTCGGATCGCGCTGGCGATGACGGCTCTATGGTACACGATATAGCCGCGTATAGGTAGGTAGGTAGGTAGGTAGATATGTGCGTATAGGGGTGCTTTCGTATCAACGGCGGCGACGAGGTAGATCTGATGGGCAAGCTCAAGAGGGAAAACGAAAGGTTAGCCTGTAGGGCAAGTAACCTACGTAAGGCGTAACAGGTATAGTATATATACTGTCTAGCCTGTCCGTCCGCGGCCGCAGGCGTAGCTAACCACTACTGCTCTTGGGCGCCTACGTGCTGATTCGCTACGGCGCCGGACGTCCACGCAGGTTTTCCTGTGGCATGGCGTGGCATGACACGGGAACCGTGGCGGTTGGCATTCAGGGAGGCGGCCGTCTCGACGTGTATGCGTGATCCACCCATGACGACGATTCGTCTAGCTAGGACAAGATCGGGGCTCGGCGGGTACATTGTCTTGTCCCGCTGCGCAGGTACCCCTCAGATACCTCCAGGGAGTCAGGTAGGTGGCGTATGTGTAGATATCTCTGCCTACCTACATAAGGAGGTTAGGTAGGCAGGTATGTTCCTATGCCTCTCCATCCTTTGTCTCGATTCCTCTTCTTTTTTCTCCCAGTCCAAAAACGTCTCCTTTGTCGTCGCTACAGGCAGGTACCTGGGTACATGGCCCTCAACCGCTAGTGCGTCATTCGTCACCCCTAGGCCGTTATCGCCCACCTGCCTTCCCATAAGCGCAGCCCACCAGGATGCCAGCTATGACGTATGCAGCGCTACCCCGCCGTAGGCACGGATAGCTATTACGTAATTGCATTTGGCCTCGCTGCAGCGAAGCTGCTTCTATCGTGCCGTCTTTGCCATACTGCAGGTACCTAAGGTACCTAATAAGTGCATGGTACTAGGTACCAGGTAGGTACCTAAGAGAGAGGAGACCTCGCATACGTACGGTCCATTATATATAGGTACCTATGCCTTACCGCAAGACGCTTTAAAAGGTACCTACGGCTATGTAGGCAGACGGGTTAGGCGCCTATGAACAATTCGTAGGGAGACAGGTATCCTAAGGGGCTGTGATCATTCACGTTCTCCGAGGGGAGATGAGGATAGGTATATTGTCAAGTTTACGCAGACAAAGCGCCCTACCACAATATCGCTATCGATAGCCCCCCCCCCCCCCCCCAGTCCTCGTCATATAATTGGTGTGGGTGGTAGCGACGTTCATCTCAATCGTTGGGTCAAGGACTAGGTATTGAGACTTTTATACGTCTCTACTCGCGGGTGGTTATATAATTCGCATAAAACGACATGTATCTCTCTTCCTTAAAAAGACGGATATCTGAATGCCTACATCGTGATATAGGGCTGTCCGAGGCTGGTTGGTTCTTCGCATAGGATCACCACAGACAGGTGATCCCGAGATTGATGTCCCCATTAAACTTGGGGCCAATTCGGGATCGGTGGCTCATCAAACAGCCAAACCATCTGCCCTTCTCGTAGGTATATGAAGAAAGGAAACCAGGAAGTGATGCCGTGCAACCCATACTTGGGTATACCTATAGGTAATCCTTCGAGTCTCAACATTGTGATGGGATCGTAAATATAATGTTAGCACCCTCGGCAGTGGAGTCCGACTATATAGGTAGAGGTAAGACAGCCAGCCAAGAGAACAGGTCTATCTACGCAACTAAGGCGTGGTAGATGGGAGGTGGAGAGAGCAGATAACAACGCCAACTTCTCGTGGTGATAGCAATGGGTGTCGCAGATGCCTCGCCCGAGAGTGCTCTGGCCTCACTCAGGCCTCTAGACTCATAAATATGGATCGTCATTCGTTGACATTTGGGAACGGCACTCATCTTAGTAACTAGATAGGCTCGGACCTACTACTACAATAGAATTAGGCCCAGAGTCCTCCTTTACTCGATAATCCGGCCGCTAGAAACGTACATGGATTATATGATCTTACAAACAGGGGACTTCTCACCACGTGGCAAGCTAGATTCCTTAACAGACGTCTTGCATGGTGTTACGTAGTAATTGAACCAGCCTATATAAGCCTACATACCGCAAAGCGTGAATGTAGGCGTCTACGTTTTACGCGACACATGGTTAGGAATCATCTTTGGCTAGGGTTTCGGCGAGAAATAAGGAGGGCTTTGCGGCTGAAAAGTCCTCCCCAGCAAACAACATTCACTTATATATTGCCTACCGTAGCCTAGGCGGACGGCCTCCCCCCCTCCCCTCCTCTCCCCCTTTACGCAGTAGGATAATGAACGAAACAAGAAGACGGAGAAGCGGACCAGTGCTCTTAAAAATGAACGGTCAGGAGACAAGCACAGAGGCGACTAGTTAACTGTAAGGCCAGCATATATTCCTCGGCAAGGTCGTCGAGGTCACCTACGGGATAGGTATATACCTACACTCGTGAGGTAATACTTCGCGAGACGTGTATTAGTGATCCAAGATAGGCGAACCGCAACGAGAAGGAAGAGGAAAAACGGTTGAGCGTATGTTTGGATCATGATGATCTTAGTTGGGATCTTACTCGGACAGTGTTGTGTATTGTTCAAGAAGAGTTTTATGGTTGGTAATAGCTCCTTCGGGGGGGGGGGTGGGTGATCGAGTCCGGCGTGAACCAGGACGGCGGAGGCTGCAACACTTTCGGATTTCGTCGAGGTACCATTTCCGTTTCCGGTTTGGCGTTACGTTGACTAGAGGCTTGTGGGAGGCCGTATGATACGACACCGTCCCTCCGAGGACGGGGTGAGTTATTATCTTCGGCAGAGGGCTCTTCGGTATTTGGCGTACCTGTCTAATATCCGGGATATCACTAGTTACCGGTGCCGTCTGCCGTGAGGGGACTAGGGACCAACGGGGACACACTAGCCTATCGCTTAGGTTATCGGCAGCGGTTAGAGGAACAAAGAGGCGATGGGGCTCTCTACCGACCCGAGTTGAGTTCCTTAGAAAAATCACGAGCCCGTCCGTATCGATGAGCTCATCGCCGTCGCCCAATGGTACCGCGCGTCGCTCACCCAATCCACGCCATTACCCGTCCACACGATGTGGGAAATCTGCCAACCGCTAACTAAATATCTACTTATTCGTTCCAACGTTGCGCTCCCAATGCGAAGCACATCCACCCGGTATCCATATCACCGTAGGTGGCCTGGAGAACCATCCCGAGTTCGAGCCAAGACGGCTACGATCATTTGTAATCACAGTAGCTCATACCACCTAGCGAATATTATTTATAATATATCCCACTTAGGCCATCCCCGCCTGGCTGGCGGCTCGTAGTATTATAAATACCCAGCTGTTGCAGGCCCGGCAGTGCTCGTTATAAGAGGCTCGATATTATTAAGATATCAGTCTGACCCTACTCGTCTAGCATTCTTCGGGACGGACAGAATCATCGCCAACCTAACAACCCCTCGGAGACAACTCTTGTGTAAGGACGTACACACGCATACCATGGCAGGCAGTATTAAAAACGTAGCCGTCGTTGGGGTGAGCGCTCCACGAGAAATGAAGATACCCTTGGTACATGCTGTCGCTAATTTCCGTCGCGAAGGCCTCAGGCAATGTTGGTAAGGATGTCGTCCAAGAACTCCTCAACGCCGGCTTCAGCGTGACCGCACTCACGCGGGAGGGGTCTACGTCCACCTTCCCGGCCAACGTCGTCTCCAAAAAGGTCGACTACCAATCCGTCGAGTCCCTGACGTCGGCCCTCGACGGGCAAGATGCCGTGGTGTCCACCATTGCCACTCCGGCCATCGGTAGCCAGCTTGCGCTCGTGGACGCCGCCGTCGCGGCCAAGGTCAAGCGTTTTATCCCTTCCGAATTCGGCGTCAATACGAGGATCATCGCCGGCACCCCCATCGGTGACATCCTCCAAGGAAAAATCAAGACTGTCGACTATCTCGTCAGCAAGTCTCAGGAAAACCCGTCGTTCACCTGGACTGGCGTCTCGACCGGGCTCTTTTTCGACCGGGTACGTTGAAGAGTTAAATGATCCGTCTCCAACATGTCTCCCCGCGCACGTTCGTAAAGCTAATATTAATATCGCCCGCCTAGGGACTTAAATACGGTAGCATCGGGTTCGATAAGAAGTCTAAGACAGCGACTATCTACGACTCTGGCAACGAACCCGTGCAGGTGTCGAATCTCTCCTTCATCGGCAGGGCTATTGTCGCGATCCTGTCGCAGCCGGATAAGTCGGCAAACCAGTATTTATCCATCGCGTCCTTCAACCCGACCCAGAACCAGATCCTCGAGATCGTCGAGGCGGAGACGGGGGAGAAGTGGAAGGTAGAGCGCGCCAGCACCGCTGAGGAGAAGAAGATCGGGGTGGAGAAGCTGAGCAAGGGAGACTACAGTGCTTTCTCCAACCTCCTGCGCGGGCGCCTCTTCACCGACGGCGCCAACCTCGCTGCCAAAGGAGAGAATAGCGCTAACGACCTGCTCGGGCTCAAGGAAGAAGATTTGACAGCAACCCTACGGGAGTGGCTACGCGGTTGACGAAGCGCGACGCGACCCCCGAACCCCGTCTCCGTGCGTGAATAAAACTACGTATCGTATGCTAATAAAGGCAAAGAGTTTTCGGCACGAAGTGATCGTAGTATCGTTTTAATCACCCTGATATATACAAGTTTAAGTTAGCAGCCGACCATAAATCGACTGTCACTTTTTCGTAACCGGTGCCCCTTATCGCCACCCTCACCCAACCCGCTCTCCCTTCTCGATACCGCAGAGGCATTGTACACGGCTATATGTATATATATAATATATACCTATACAGATGCAAGCCTGCTAAGCATTCCGAGATAACCAGCACTTGGGAGGCCGTGCTCTTTTGGTATGTTTTTCTTAAGCAAGGGTGGGGACTTCCCATGGGGCCCAGTCGGCGACGGCCACGTTCGCGGTGCTCTTCTCGACAGCCGGGGGCACTGTAGTCCCGGCGAGGAGGAAGTAGTTGATGTAGGCCGTGAGCTCGGACTGCTGAGAAGACGGGAACTGGCAGTGGCTGTGGCCGCCGACGAGAGAGAAGCCCATGTTTGTGGGCACACCAAGACCCTTGTAGACGAGGCGGCCGGCCTTCATGCAGCCGGTCGTGCTGACGGGGCCCAGCCAGTCGATGTCGTTCTCGAAGACGATCAGGCCGCGCGGGGCTACTAGGGCGGCCAGCATGTGGTGATCTTCGGGCATCGTGCTAGTCTTGGTCGCGTACTGGTTCAGGTTTTGGCTGAACCACACGTTCTCGCCTATGATCTGACCGGCCGTCTGGATGTTCCGGCCTTTACTCTTCTCGTCGTCCGAAATACGCCAGCAGGCGGCACCCCCGGAACCCGACTCCTGCGGAAGCGTGAGGGCAATGCGGTTGGCCAGCGCACCGACAACAAACGCGCCCTTGCCGTTCCGGGAGCAGCCTGTGGTCCCGAGCCTCGTGGGGTCGATGCCCGTCTTGTCAGCGCCCAACTGCTCGAGGCCGTCGATGAGACGATCCACGCCCCAAGCCCAGGCGGTCAACGCGCCGGCAGAGTGAGTGTTTCCGAACAAGGTGTAGAAGGCGCCCTGGCCGCGGGACTGACCAGACGCCTGCGAGGCGAACTGGTCGTTGCTGAAGCCGATGGTGCCGACAGTTCCCGGGATCGGCAGCGAGGAGCCGCCAATGGTGACGATGGCCGGGCCGGGGGTGGTGCTGGGCTTCCTGATGGAGGCGTTGATAGTCACGGATTTAGATCCCACCGTGACCTTGACCGACAGGGTGGTTCCTGACAGCGAGGCCTCGACCTTGTCGGGAGGTGGAGGGTACGTGCCCAGCTCGAACTGCTGCAGGAGTTTGCTGATCTCTTGCTGGCGGCAGTTCCAGTCGGCTTTGCTGGCGACCTTCTTCCCATCCTCAAAGGTAAACGGGTCCGGCAGCTTGGCGAAGCTCACAGTCGAGTAGCTGCCCTTGACTGCGCACTCGGTACCATTCTGGCGCCCGTAGATTTCGGCGAACGGCAGAGCGCAGGCTGTAGTCCCTAGCAAGAGGACGGAAACCAGGCGACGCATCATTTTGGACGCGATAATATGAACGGGAGGGCAGGAGAGGCTTCCGAAGTGGGTATGCTTCGTTGGTGTCGAGTGTCTAGAAGATGGTGGCTCGGAGTGTGGGAGCAACTCTTATTAAATACCTATACATGTGCCGGCACACTCGAGCATGACCGTGGGGCGAGCCACACCCTTCCCCCTGTCGCTTCGCCAATATCCGGTTGATATTGATGGACATCGGAACAAGGCGACCTTGGGTGTCTAATACCCTTCGCCGTTGAACTAGTTCGTCCAGGAGTTCCGAACGAGCCTCGATGCCACGACGCACCCCGCCTCGAATAACAGCCTTAAAGCTTGCGCATGCTGCCGCCTCGCCGTTCGATGCCAGTGGCGCGCCTAAGCGCCCATCATCGCGCGTGGTGGCTCTGGTCCCTTACACCGAGATCACCTTGGCACTTTGGGAACCAGCCGATGATCAACGGCCAGCGTAGTAACCTCCACACTTCCAAATGCGGAGAGGTTGGCTAATATGGTTAATATCACGCGGATGCGTGGTGAAATATCCATGTAGCTAGGGTGACATTGATACAATTGCTACCCCAAGCCTGCTAAGCCGCATCCAAATGATGTTTATTTTATCCTACATTCACGAGCGCCTAGTCGTCTTTCTGGGAACTCACCGGGTCCGATTCCTGAGAGGAATATCGAATAGCCTCCCGTCCCCTCCGAATGCCATTCTTTGCGAGAGTGGCGGTATATGGCGTCTGAGCCAGGCGGCATACTATTCGTATAGCGGGTGGAGGACGCAAATCCTACTTACCATCGGGGTCCTCGACTCCTTATCACGACACGATCGTTGTACCCCTATCCGCACTCTACCATCACGTCCTCGCCACCCTTGCATGATCGATAGTAGCAATAAGTTTCTCGTAGACGACGCAGTAAGTAATGTGTTGTGTGAGAGGAATATCCACAGTGCAATGTTCACGTTTCCTCTATTGAATATGGCTAATTCCAAAGTTCCTATCCTCGGTTGCGAGGACGGAGCATCTTAACTGGGACATGCTGTAAATAGCCGAACAGGCAGGGTCGTATCAGTCCGCTTGCTCGACATTCCGAATTGCCGCTCGTGGCCAACAGGTTGCACAGCTGACCTGTCCGAGTTTCTAAGGTCTCGTCTCGAGTCTGACCCTACTCGCAACATGGTGCGAACAAGTACATAGAAATGGAGGGCCTCCCAGGCTCTTGGCAGTCGGGAATTGCCGTGCGTATTCTTTTCGCTCTTCCGTTTTGACGACCCCAGATGATACTGTTTCAGACATCGCTAACGCTTATCGCACGATGACAGGTTCAGTTCTCTTGGCAGCGTTGCTGTTGCTGGTCGGTTCTGCCGCCGCCCACGGCGGTCTTGCGAACTATACCGTCGGCGACACATGGTATAGGGGGTAAGGTCATGTCATCGGCTTGCGATGGCTAAGCCGCATCGCTAAGAAGAGCGTATCGCTGAATGCAGAATAGATACGACCCGGACCAACCTTTGGAGGCGCAAGAAGGCCAGCCGTGGATGGTCCAGCGCATATGGGCGACCATAGACCCAATCTTCTTCGTGAACGACACCGGCCTCGCGTGCAATAACCCGGGTACGGCGCCACCATCGTACATCCCTATCACCGCCGGGGACAACATCACGGCTGTCTATTGGTACTGGCTCCACCCAGTCGGGCCTATGACTGTGTGGCTTGCAGACTGCGGGGTGTCTTGCGAGGACATCGACGTGAACGACTTGAACTTCTTCAAGATATGGGAAGCCGGCCTTCTGGAGGGGAATCTCGTGGAAGGCATCTGGTATCAGAAGAAGTTTCAGAACTGGGATGGCTCCCCAGATCTATGGCCTGTCACGATCCCCGCCACGATTAAGCCAGGCCTATACATAATAAGACACGAGATACTGAGCATCCACATTGAAAATAAGCCACAGTTCTACCCCGAATGCGCACACCTGAATATCACTGGTAACGGCACGGCCGTGCCGCCGTCTGAGTACTATGCGAAGTTCCCAGGGTCTTATAAGGAGGACGGTAGGCTACTCCCACGCGCGAGCCCTGCATCCCCCCTTCTTCCAATCCCCGTTGTCGCGCTATAAAGCCTGCTAACAACGACAGACCCATCACTGAGAATCGACATTTACGCCGATGAAATGAAGACGATAATAGTGAGACACCTAACTAGCTAGTTCTGTCGAGGCGAATGCTAATGCGAGACATAGAACTACACGATTGCAGGCCCGCCAGTGTGGGATGGGTGAGTGGGGTAACTCCCGCGCCTTGAGAGACGAACAATGTTAATACAGATTTGACAGATTCGTAAACAAATATTGTCACCAGTGCTGAGGTGCCGGTGGAAACGATAGTTTAGGGGACGAAGTATTCCGGGAACGTACCTCTTAATATAAACCAACAACGGCAGTATTGCCCATCTGACATGAGCATGCCTACCAACAAACCATGACACCTAAATTCTTGACTCATGAGGCTAGTGGGGGAACTTCCGGCCGTCACCTAAATATCCGGGGGCCAGTTCGTCTCCGGTAGGTGGGCTTACGCGAGCGCGGTGAGGTCGTGTCGTGTCGTGCCGGTGCCAAGCAGGCGTATTTGGTGTGAGGAATATTAGACGGTATTCTCTGGGCCGCTCTGGGCCGCTCTACCTATCTTCACAACTTCCCCTGTCGCTGCGTCTTCACTCAATCTCCATCCATCCACACGCCGCCGTTCACGAGCGCCGTAAACTTGCCTTTCCTAGCAAGCAATTCATCATATGACCCAACTTCGACCACTCGCCCTTCGTCAACTACAGCAATACGGTCCATCATATGCATCATATCCTCGCTGTGAGTGACCACGATAACAGACATCCCCTCTCGTGCCATGCTGGGGTAGACACTAGCCTCGGCAGGCCGCATCAAGGTTTCTATCGTGTGCCTGACGGCCTCGGCGCTCTCTGTATCTAGCGCACTGGTAGGCTCGTCAAGAATTAGAGCACTCGGGCGTCTGGCTAAAGCTCTGGCAATACAGACTCTCTGCGCCTGTCCGCCGCTGAGCGCCTGTCCACCGTCACCCACGACTGTGTCGTAGCCAGCCGCTAAACCGTGAATGAATTCATGGATCCCCGCCTCTCTAGCTGCTCTCTCAAGGTTATCTAGAGTCCGAAGTGGCGAATCCTTTCCCAGGCCGTAGAAAATATTTGCCGCGAGAGAGGCGGGGAAGAGGAAAGCTGCTTGGGGGACGTAACCAAAGTGGGTTCGAAGGCTCCTGATATCTACCGCTTCGGTGGGAGTGGAAGCAAAAGTAAGCTGTCGACGGTTGTTTCTATCCATTGAAGTACTGTCGGAAGAGTCTGGCTCGTACAGACCTAGGATAATAGATGCGATAGTACTTTTACCGCATCCAGAGGGGCCGACGATGGCGGTAGATGTGCCAGCATCGAAGCGTAGGGTGAGATTTCGAAGTGTAGGTTGGTGTTTCGACGGATAGGTAAATGATAGGCCTTGCATTCTGATCGGAAAAGGCGTCGGGGGCTTGATTTTCCCCTTTGATTCTAAGGAGATACACGGTGCCAAAGTCGTATAGTATAGTAGCTGTGTGGCGGCAGCCTGGGCGGCAGTGAGGCTGGGTATGGAGTTCAGCGTATTTGATGCTGTTGTCAGACCGATGACAAGTAGATTCACAACTTGTAGGATAGCCTGCACCGTTATCCCCCCTTGCGTAGCGAGTTTAGTCGCATACCAGAAAGTGAGAGCCATCATAAACCAGAGCATAGACTGCCAGCAAGCGAATAGGGTAGCCGTCCAAAAGGCCTTTCTGACACCAATTCCGAAGGTCCTACGGGCGAATCCCCCATGCCTTTCAGAGAAGAAGCGTTCTAGTGCCAAGGCGCGGACAACACGTATGTTGACGAAAGTCTCAGTAACATGAGCGTTCGTATCCTCGGAAGCGTTGTTGTACCGAAGCTCCCACATGTGAGACACATAGCTATACGCTTTTGTCGCCAGTATAAGTAGTGGGGAGCTGCTGAGGGTCACGACCGTGAGCCGCCATGAGATGGCCAATGCCCATGTGATGGAGCCAACGATCATGACAACGATAACCAACAGCAGAGGCGCGAATCGTCCAATTATATTCCGCATCTCCTCGGCATTTCGATCGAGACACTCGTTGATACGGTTAGCAGAGTGCGTCGGATTATCAAACCATACCTTCGGCTGCCGTAGGACTCTGTCGAGTGCTTGCATCCGTAGAGCGTTGATCCAAGATTGTCCCACCAATTGCATCAAATAGAGGCTGAAAAAATTCGACACTGCTCCCATCGAAGCAATTACTAGTAGGTACAGCGCCCACTTCAGACCGGCAGCCTTCCGATCGCCATCCTCATACAACACTGAAAGAAGGTTTGCAAAGACGACAGAGAAGGCCGGAACGGTCCCCGCAGCGACGATGCACATGAGAAGCCCTATTGCGACGTATAACTTCTCTCTCCAAGTGAGCACTGGCCAGACAGTCTTGTATATCATCCACAGTGGTGTCTTTTCCGTTTTAGACCCAGGCTCCATCTTCTCATGTGGCTGGTGGTCTCCCGCAGGCACAGTGTTCATCTGTAATTGCCTCTCTTTTTGGGAGGAGCCAGTCCGGCTATCCTGCACCATATTTCCTCGGTCTCGAAGAAGCTTCCAAGTAGAGTTACCGTGAAATAGTTGATGACCGACCTCCGACGTCGAGACCCGGCTTCTGGCGGATGAGATGGCTAGCAAGGGGCCATTCTGAGGAGCCCCATCTGACTTATCTTCATGGTCCCAATACTGCCTGCCGAGAAACTGCAGGGTCATCATATTCGAAACCCTAGTTAGAGAAGCACTTAATAGATACCGGCTGTCATGCCGTCGGTCAAGGCGCTGAAAACGGTCAAGTCGAGGATAATCGACATTGTCCCAAGGCTGAGCAAAGTTGATGGGGGCGCTGCTCTCAGCATGCAATTCACCTTTTCGATCATCCTTCCCTAGGGAGGCTAATGAGGAGAACATGCCCCCTTTCCGACGCTGGAGGTCTTTTCTGAAGCCTTGCTGCACAACCCGAGCATCGTCCATCACGTAAACGAAATCGTCATCCTTGATCTGCGCTACTTCGTGAGTAATGATAATTGTTGTCTTGCCCTGCCGCCACTGTCTGATCGCATCCATGATCAGATTTCGGCTCACTGGATCCAACCCGCTGGTGATTTCGTCGAGGATAAGAATGGGAGGGTCACGCAATCTTGCTCTTGCGAGGGCCAGTCGCTGTTTTTGCCCACCGCTGAGGTTATGGCCACCTGCCCCCACATATGTATCAAGTCCGTTGGGAAGTGAAGCTATCGTGGATTGGAGCAGGGCCGTCTCGCACGCAGCCATGATGTCAGCCCTGGAAACATCATCGCGACTCTTCCTACCCATCGCTATGTTTTCCATAAAGGTATCGTTGAAGAGTACACTCGTCTGTTGGACCAACGTGACGTTGCTCCTTACCCAGTCAACGTCAAGCGTCTCGAGTGAGTGCCCGCCGACTAGGATACTGCCGCTCAGGGGCTTGTAAAATTTCACCAATAGATTTCCGAGCGTGCTCTTTCCAGATCCGCTTCGTCCGATAACGAAATACAGCTTTCCAGCACCAAAGAAGAATGAGGAGTTCCTTAGCACGATCGTGGATGGGTTGGACGGGTATGCGAAACTGACCTTGAGGTTCACGCGTTAGTGAGTGATAAAACAACTCGTGTCTGTGACCCTTACATCGCTAATTTCGATATCGCCAGGACGCCCCCGCGGGCGGTGACCTCCCATCATTTGCAGAACTCTGCGCCCGTTTTCGAGATCGTGGGCGATGAAATATAGTGCCTGCCCCGCGGACATGCCCCTAACCAGCGACGTATACATCGGCACAGATGACTGGATGGCCTGGAGGGCGGCGAGGGTGGCGTAAAAGGTGGTTATGATATTGCCCGGGCTTAGTCCGTCGTCGACAAGGTAGGCACCGTAGTAGAACCCTATCACAAACATGCTGTCGATCCAGAACCTGGTGAACCCTATTTGGTATGCATTGGCCCTGGCTTGGATGAGATATCTACGCATGGATTGTCGAATTGCTCGAAGATATTGCAGTGTTTCGTTGTCGACACCATCGAAGACCTTTACGAGATCTATCGCGGTTATGGCCGATATCGCGTACTTCGACGCTCGGCCGAGCGCCTGTTTCTGCGCCTGCATAGCTGATTTCAGATTGCGTGTCAGTAGGCGAAGAACAATGGTGGCCAGAGGCACGGTAGCCATGAGCACGAGCGTGAGCTTCCACGAGCCGTAGAATGCAACGGCTAGATTGGCGATCAACGTAGCAATCTCTTCAGAAAGCGAGCCGAGCACTATGGAAGACGCCATCTGAAGTTCTCGAGTCTGCCTATCGCGATATTAGAATTGGCGGTTAGCCCGAGGGAGTAGTGCGTACGTCTGCATCCTTACTAGTAGGCTGGCGACCCCATCGACTTGACAGTCGAACCAGCCCATATCCTTATCCAGGAGCGCCTTAAATAGCTTTATGCGAATGTCTCTTGCCTGGATTTCGCTGAAGACAATCCAGCAGAACATGAAGGCAAAATTGACAAGCCATCCTAGTCCACCGACCGAGACCAACACAACACACCAGTACGAGACTTGGGCAACGGTTTCTGGCCCAGCCAGACGCCCTGCTCCAAAGTTGGAAATTACAGCAAATATTCTACCCATGAGAATGGCCAAGGAGGTCTTGAGGGCGCCGGAAAACAGCGCTGCTACCAGGCCCGCTGCTAGAGGACCGAAATGACGCCGTGTTGTAAAAGCGAAGACATGTTTGAGGGACGGTAGCTGGCGCGATGATATATCGTCCTCCGATTTGCTTCCGGTGCGAACGTGGCTGGTTTTCGAATGCGAACGAGACATAATGAGGCTCTAGCTTGTTAGTCTCGCTATCGCCAGACTCAAGGATATGACATCGTCTTTTCGTATAGCGGAAGCCAACTTCGTTTATTTGGGATTGCCAGCGGACTATCGATTTTTCCCCAACGACGAACATTTCTATCAACAGGCTCCCGCTTGGGTGAGAATTGTTTTCTTGGTGGCGACGTCCTTTGTCCTCTGGTCCTTATGAATGCAGCCATAGTGTACTGGCAATAGACATCAATACCACGGGGTCAATGAGGCTTAAATAAGGCACAAAGAGCTCAATTCGGCAAGATCCCCTTCCTCTGGCGGGTAACGAGGGCATTTACTCGAACTTCAGATTGATGGTACTGGGCGGCCACGTGCCTATGATCATACCTGAACATGATTCCCTGGCCTTATAGTGAAGGAATGTGTCGTATGTAAACACGCGGGAATCATTGCGTACCAATGACTTTTTTTCCCGCAAGGTTCGACTGCTGCCCATTCCAGTAATCAAGAATAACCCCCCAAAGAGATTCAACCCTGTGAGTAGCAATGATTCGCCGTACACTTCACAGAGACGTTATGCAGCAAAGTACCTCACAAAGACTTTTAAATAGCCTGCTCGTGTAATCGTGGATGTGTGGACATCTGCTCGCGAGAGGTTTTTGTGAAGGCGGCAGCACCCTTTGCAGTCCAAATCATTCTGGATATGTCTGTTCAACGAAGTAGGTCAAGTTCCGTGTCGGTGGCATGTGGCTTTGCCGCCTTCTCAAGCCTTGGCCGCTGCTCTGGCCTTCTCGTAGATCCAATCGTTGAGACCGGCCCTGTTTCTTGCTATCTCGACGGCATAGAACTGCATCCTGGGAACTACGATAGTAAACATTAGCGCGTAAAACCCTAATGTTTAAATGAGGGGTATCGGTACCAAAGATGGTCGTGTCCTGCTCGTACTCTACTTTGGGGCTCGTCCGCAGCATGGTGCCGAAGTTATAGTCGTCCACCCTTTTGTCGTATGCCATCATAAACTTGCGCCACCGCTCCTTGCCCGTCTTACTTTTCAACTCATTCTCGTCAATCGTAGCGGCGGGATCGAATTCGGGGAACTCGGCCTTGAGATGCTCGTAGATTTCGTCGTCCATCTTGGTCAGACGTAACGAGGATCCCTTGACCTTCTTAAGAATGGACCAGTACGTCTCGAGATGTTGTACAGCTACGCGCAAGCCAGAGACAGCAGGGGTCAGCGTTAGCAGGTTTGGGTCCCGGGAGCACCACTGACCTTTGACTGCGAACTGCTTCTCGATCTATTACGGATCAGCAGGCTATCGCGCAGGCAGGTCTGCCAAGGGTGGCCAGCTCAGGTTGTCTTACATCCTCCAGGTTGCTCGCATTCTCGGCGTCAAACTGAGCAGGAACAGGCGCAGACATTTTCATGATTTCCTCCATGGCGGCGCATGTGGTGGTTGTGATGGAGGACGAGGGGTAGACGCTGGTAGAAGAGGCAGATGAAGACAAATTGGGTGGAGGATTGTAGCTCCCGATGCACCTTACTCAGGAGTAAGTGGGGTTGGATCGGGGACATAAAAAACCTGTCGTCATCATGTTTCTGGGAGGTACCGAGGTACCTGAGGTTATATGGGGATATATGAGCCACATAGGACGGGAGGTACCTACCTAATGTTCCTACCTTGGGTACCTTGTACCTAGGTAAAGAAATTGAAAGTATACCTCCTATATAAAAAAGAAACTGCTAAAAACATATATTCTAAAAGAAGCCCACGAACTTCCATTGCTTCTCGTCGCTCTCTATCGGATAGGCACCTAACCTAAGGCAATTCAACCCGTCGAGTACTCGGTCAAGGGCATACCATTCTGAGCAGCGCTTGTTTCGTTACAGGGTCTCATATTCGCGTGCTCACCTGTACGTTAGATACCCCCCTCTTGTGCTCTAACGCCTGTCTTGTGGTTAGCAACGGGGCCAACGGGATTGTTACCTCGTTTCAAGACACTCACGATCGCAAATGCACTCCTCCGCCGAATCTTGTCCCCAAATAGCACCAGCACCCAGGGCACGACCGTTAGGGCCGTGGCGATAGCCCCAAGCAACCCGCCCATCGCGTTCTCCCCCAAATTCCGGATAAGCGGTCCCGTCACGAGCGGAAACGCCCCGCCAAGAACGTTACGACAGAAGGATTGCGCCGCCAGTGCAGAAGATGCGTACGTCTGGTAGGTATCGGCGAGGTAGTTGAACGTGGCTAGGTAAATGTAAAAGATGCCAATGCTGGCAAGAAATATTGCCAGGGCAGGAACCATCCAATGGATAGACGGTTGTGAGGCGAAGCCGAATAGGTACAGGCCAGCCGGGAGCAGGACCGAGGTAAAACAGGTAAAGTATAGCCGCGATTCGGGCGACTCGGCGGGAAATCTTCGCCGTAAGGACTCCCAGAGCGTCCGGGCCCCGGTCGTTCCGGAACTACTCCCTGAACCATCGGAATCCGAGCCATCGGATCTCGACTGCCAACTAGGATGCTGGAGCAGCCCCTCTTGATATATCCCCACGGTGGTTGCAAGTATAGAGCCTATTATCATAGCAGTGAAGACGTAGCCGGATTGCTCGATGCCGAATTCATACTGTCGTTGAAATACGAGCGGGATGGACCCGAATGTGAGGTAGAGGATGGCCCAAGCAAAGGATACCCACAGCGAGAAGAAGAAGACGATCGGCTCTGTGAATAGAAGTTCGAACGGTCTAAACAACGAGACTTTTATCATCGTAGTAATTGATGCCCGCTGCTCGTCTGCCTTCACCACCCATCTAATTCGCTGCAGCTGAACGCCCTCTCCCGGTGTAGAGCGGCCTCGCGCTATGCGTGCCTGTACTCGCTTCTCGGCTTCCAGGACGCATCCTTCTGGCCCCGATACGACGACGCCGGGATCGTCATCCCGTCCTCCGAACGAGACTCCGAATACACCCCTCTCCTCCAATTCATGATACCACCCGTTTAGAGCCTTCGCTTTCCTCGACAAGAGCACTGGGCCTCGACTCTCCTTGAAGAATGCAGCGACGGCGATCATCAAGACGAAGTCCATGATAACTAGACAAAGAATCAGCGATTTCGATTGTCGCATCTCTCGACAGGACTTGAGCAGATTTGAGAAAGAAGGAAAACGCACCTTGGTGCCAGAAAACCCATTTCCACCTCTGACCCTCACTCCACCTCTCGACCATCACCCCGGCCGTGAGAGGGCCGAGGCCCGTCCCGACGAGGACGGCGCCGCTGAAAAGGGCCATAGGCGTGTTGCGGTCCTCCTTACCGTACATATCAGCGATAACCCCGCCAACCATGGTGCTGAATACGCTGCCGCCGACCCCCGTGAAGAATCGGGCGATCAGCATCCCGGCCAAATTGGTCACGACACCGCATACAGCCTGGGAGACGACGAAGATGAGCCCGGCGACGGCAAAGATCGGATAGCGCCCATAGACCTCCGAGAGGGGAGCGAGAACCATGGGTGCGATGGCGAAACCAAGGCAAAAGGTGGTGACGCCGACAAGAGCGCCTTCGTGGGTGCTCCCAACATCTGCGGCAATCAAGTCTGCACACTGAGAGTACGCGCCCGCAGCATACGCCGTAAAGCCGGTAGCAACGCAGGAGATGGTTACCATGATCCCTTTGCGTATTGCAGGCCAGGCCAATGGATCCACATATTGCGAAAGGTCCGGGCATGCTGGCAGGCCATCGTAGCCCAAGGCCCCATTACTCAGGTTCGGGCGTGCTAACGCGGTGTCAAAGGTCAGGTAGAGGTATGTTATGGGAGTATTGGCGTCTAGAAAAGATGTATTATGGGTCAGCGTTTCCTCAATCATAACTCTTGGGGAATCGGTTTCTACAACACGATTAGGGCCGTCTTGGAACGAATCGAGGCCGAATAACGAGGCATCCTTAACCTGAGGAACGGACTCCGCCCCGGATATCTCACATGAAGTTCCCATGTTACAGAGTCGCATAGCTACATCAGGGAAACCCCGAAACGAAAAAAAAATTTTGGGTAGGTGAACCCTTATAAGTGAACGCGTAAGTACGAGAATAACCCTTATACTTACCTATTCGTCATAGCCCTAATATTACATCGATGATTTGCATTGAAAAATAGACACTTCCTTCAGAGTAGTCTAACCGGTGAGGAAAGATCTGGCGCAGTCATAGATATTCCCGGTTATTTCCGCGCCTGGCATGTGGATATTTTTCTTCTGCCAGGAGACTGAGCAAACAATAGGGTCGTAGGCCTGATTAACTCCGGCCTACTTCCGACCTAAGTAGTACCGATCGTGATCAGCAATCAATTGATTTCGCACCCTGAGATTCTTTCCAACCTAAATTACCGCAAATCAACTTCTCGTGTGCCGATTTTACGGCCTGTTACCCGAAGAGGAGCCCTCTACCGCCGCCACTAGTAGTGTTGCGACGTTAGCAGAACCAACGAACCAAGATGGTGCGGCTTGCCTTCTGAAGTACCTCATCGCCCACGGCGGAACATCACCCTGCATCAATGTGTTCATCATAGCTTTCGTTAAGGGCCCTAGCTTTCAATTCAGTTGGTGATTTTGGTCGTTGGAAAGCGTTGTTCGGCACAGAGCATGGCAAAAAGGTCGGATGCCCATCTAAGTCAGTAGTAGGTATTATTATCATGTTCCCAATCCTAAGTGCTCTCTCTCATAGTCCCGCCGTCGGAGATCTACCGCTAGTTGATGGCTCGTGTCTAGAGATCAATTGATTCTGGTATGCTATTTACTGGGATCCTGATCAGCTACATCTCTTCCCTGGTCCGGTTGTGTCCACTTGGTGCCTGTCTGGTCTTGCACAACCAGCAATACTTCATGATCAGAGCCAACAGCCAGACGATACACACACGCGATTATTATCATACCTAGGGCAAAATGAATCGTTGGTCGACCTACTTGAAAATTTTATTGTCAGATTTGGATTCAGCAGTAGATGCGGATTTACTGATTACATAAATAACCAATACTGTGACAGCCAGGAAGCAAGGCAGATTCTAACAGGCTTTTCTAACCCCTACGTTTCACCCAACCTCTGGCAATCTCCCAATATTCTTCTCCGCATCGTTTTTCTTACTTTAGTTCGTTAGTCTATAGAAGCAGTCCCAAGCAACCCAAGCTCAGGTCTCGCCTGCAACCGTCACATGAAACAAAGAATCAATACCGCGAGTAAAGAAGAATAAAGCCGGTTCTCTTCCGAATTCGGACTGGCTCGGAATTCTACCCTATTGACTTAGGAATGGAAGCTTGGTCCAACGAGCTTGCGTGAGCATAGGGACGTATTCAAAAGGTTAACAAACCCTACGAACCAGCGCCTTTCATAGCGAACCTTTCAAATCCGAACAATGTTATCTATCTACCCATACAAGCATTGGCACTCGTTTGTTTTCGACCTAGCGACTCTAGTAAGACGAGATGGCGATCCCCCAGGAAAGCGACAAGCATGGATGGGTAGATAAAGTGCGATGGGAGAATTCTCCGATTAATCCCCTCTTAGATCCTGGGAAGAAATCGAAAGCCATGGCAATTACCTCTGTTCGAAATCCGACTCTGGGTAATAAATCCAAACGTGGAAATTTACGAAAACGCAAGCCCACGAACGCCCAAGACGTGATTGACCTCACGAACGACCGAGACGTGATTGACCTCACGTCGCCGGAGCCAGAAGGTGAAAATGCTGCCCCCGACAGCACACATTCATCGAGAGGCGCTAGGCTGGTAGAGTCTGCCGATGACTACCAGCTGCGACTAGGCCCTGGCTGGACTTTGAACGACGGAACTTATGAGCATGTACCCGAAAATAAGAGGCGTAGGAGGGATGTTCCCTATCCAAGCTTCATCGATCGAAGCTACCGATCCATGCTGGGACTCAACACCCTCCAACTTGCCCGCGATGCCCCGATCAACCTATGCGCTATGGATATTGCAACGGAGCACGTCTGGAGGTGTCTCCCCGACATGGTTAAATCTATTGTCCGAGTGGCACCTCCCAACGGACCCGCACTTTGGAGCATCGATGAGAAGAACCGGCAGGCCATGTACGAGGAGATGGCGCGCCCTGCCTACCTAGACAAGACGACACAGACGACGTTCAGGTTCTACGCAGATCTCAAGGAGACCCCTTGGGTGGTTTGGCCGCTTTGGGTGGAAGATGAATGGGGAAAAGACTACGTTCTGGCCGCTTGGTACGCCGAGGCCAAACTGGAAAATACGTACGATCGCCTCCGAGCATTAACCATATACGACCCTCGTCGAGACCCGTTGCCCGGCCCGGATGGAAAACACGGGTTGCTCGAAAAGCGCCTGGAGCGAATCCGCCTGCGTCTCTTAGAGTTTCTGCGGAATGGGGATTTTGACGTGTCCCAAGTGAAGTACTACGATGGATACTGCAGTCCGATGGCACTCGGCGAGGCCACGTCTGGCGAGAGGTGTTTCGCCGCTGTCAAGGAATTGCTCGAGGATATATGCCGGAAGACGCTCGACGGGTCGCCAGTAGATTCAGCGCCGAAGCCTTTCCCCGATATGGCGCGATGGGTTCATCCGTACCAGTTTCGGATCGAGATGGCTGGCATCAATGCGTGGGTCCTGATGGCAACGTTCGACTTCAACGCCCGCATCGCCGTCGAGTGCGTGATGCCTGACCGGAGGAATGAGATCGTGGCCGACGGGAGGCGGCGGATACTGAAGCCTGATGACCTTGCCGGCCGGAAGCCTGCGCCCCCTTTAGCCGATAAGGACTATCGCATCTAAGCTATAGGTAGTGGAGGAATGGAATCGCGGTGAAACCTCGAGGCTAGACAAGAGATAAGTACTGGTAATGATAAAGCGCATATCCTCTAAACCTGTCTGACATATCAAGTTTGCTGTAGAGAGGAGGGAGTCTGGATTTAGATTTAGAAGTAGCATTTCCTCTCCAACCGAATGGTCCTCTCTAACCGGATGGGTGTCTGAATGTCCATCGGTATAACCACCCGACGGCGGCTCGACGCCGCGATGTTTATGGTCGTAGAATGAGTGACGGCAGAGGAGGTACCTAAGGTACCCTGAGGTACCCTGAGATACCCTGAGATACGTATACGTACCTGATTGGCTGGCTACTATAGGTACTTACCTGCCTGGTAGAGGTATGTTAGATACTTACATAGACAGGTATCTCCTACCTCTCAAGGTACCAGCATGTACATGTACGCACCTGGGTCGTATCGAGGTGCACTGTTCTCCTAACGCGTGTTGCCGCGGTGTCAACTTGAAGATGGAAGCTTGGGCCAAGTCGCGCTTTCCTTTCGTTAATTGAAATTGGATCGCGTCAGACCTTCAATGCGCTTCTGCCCACCTCCCCTTCTACTACCACTACCACTACCAACAGAACAAGCACGTATTACCGGCTAGACAGACGACGGAATTCTTCTACAACTCAACTTCCTCTGTAGCCCTGTTTAATTGCCTAAGGAGAGCGCATTCCACATTTCGTAGAACTTCCTGCTCCTTTCGAGGCAGTGACTTGGTGGCTAGCTGCTCAGTCATCGTTCTACTACACCTCTCCCATCATTGAGACGTCGGCGGTAATTGACTGTGTGGGTTAGCCAAGATGGGGGACACACGAACACCTGCAAAGAAGACGCCTTCTCTATCGAAGAAGACCGGCCCAACGCCGTCGTCAGCCACCGGAAAGCAACAGAGCATTCTTGGCTTCTTTGCCAAATCCTCTCCCATCCCGTCCCCTGCCGCTTCGTGTCTTAAAGAGACTACAAAATCCAACAGGAAACCCTCTACTGTTACACCTATCCCAAGTAGTGACGGCCTAGAGCCTGCTGACTCGCAAGAAAATCACGACTCTGCTGCCACTATAAAGGTACTTAAAGACAATCCGCTCCTCTTCCTCACCACAACCTGCTAACGCCCCAGCTAAGCACCGCGTTTCCACCCTTGCTATCACTATGGATAGCAGTCCAACTCGCAGGGTACAGTTTTCCCGTCCGCACGTATCCGTATTTTTCTCCCACTGATGCCCGTCGCACAGGCCAAAAAGACCGTCAACTACGCCGAGTCCTCGGACGACGATGGTGATGATGTCTTCGTAACCATGAAAGCCTCCCAAGCCCGAAGACGCGGCCGCCAGCGAACCCGGGTGCTTGACGACGACCAGGATGACTACGAGGACAACAAGGATGTCGCTGCTGATGAAGATGGTGCGTATTAACGGGTGCGCCTTGTTGCGAACTGTGGTGTTTTAGTCCTGACTCAGCCTACCGTAGACGAGATGGCCGATTTTGTCGTGTCTGACGACTCGGATGCCCCGACAAAGAAACGGAAACGCCCCAACCAACCTCAGGCTTCTCGGAAGCGTTCGCAGGCGCCACCCCTGGTTTCTAACCGCGATGACGAAGAGGCGATCGACAGGGATAGTGATAATGAGGCGATAGACGATATTCCATCCGCGTCTACTGCTCAGCAATGGCGATACGATCCCGATAGCAGAGAACCTGTGAAACATAGACTAGCCTCCCAGCCTACACCGAAAACTGCGACAAAACAGAAGGCACACACCCGCGATCCCGAGGAGCGATATCCCTGGTTAGCAGCTATTAAGGACATCAATCGGAATCCTCCGTCCCACCCAGACTATGATCCATCGACTGTTTACGTCCCTCCGATGGCATGGGACAACTTTTCGGCCTTCGAAAAGCAATATTGGGAGATCAAGCAGAAGCTATGGGACACCGTTGTCTTCTTCAAGAAGGGCAAGTTCTACGAGCTTTACGAGAACGACGCCACCATAGGCCACCAGCTGTTCGACCTCAAACTCACTGATCGTGTGAACATGCGCATGGTTGGTGTTCCCGAGAGCTCGCTCGACATGTGGGTCAATCAATTCATCGCGAAGGGCTATAAAGTCGCCCGCGTCGACCAGATGGAGACGGCACTGGGGAAGGAGATGCGGGAAAGGGTTGACGTTAAGGCGAAGAAACAGGAGAAGATAATACGTCGGGAGCTCGCTTGCATCCTAACTGGCGGTACGCTGGTCGATGGTGCCATGCTCCAGGATGACACGGCAACGTACTGTGTCGCAATCAAGGAGTCGGTTGTGGGCGACCATCCTGCATTCGGCATCGCCTTTGTCGACGCCGCCACGGGCCAATTCTTCATCTCGGAGTTTGAGGATGATGTGGACCTTACCAAATTTGAGACCTTCGTTGCCCAAACAAATCCCCAGGAGCTTCTCCTCGAAAAGTCTCGCATCTCCACCAAAGCTTTGCGAATCCTCAAGAACAATACCTCCCCCACCACCATATGGAATCATTTCAGATCCGGGACGCAGTTTTGGGAGGCGGATCTTACCCGGCGAGAACTCGAGTGTAACAGCTACTTTGCCGAACACGAAGGGGCGGAAGAGCACTGGCCAAAAGCTCTGGCCGAGGCCAGAGACAAAGATTTGTTGCTCTCTGCCCTCGGTGCACTCATCCAGTACCTAGGAGTGCTGAAAATCGAGCGGAATCTCCTATCACAGGGCAACTTCACCTGGTACAGCCCCATTCAAAAGAATGGCACGCTAATTTTAGACGGCCAAAGTCTTATTAACCTCGAGATCTTCGCGAACTCCGTGAATGGCGGGCCAGCTGGGACACTGTTTACCCTCCTTAACCGATGTGTCACTCCCTTTGGCAAGCGGCTCTTCCGCCAATGGGTGTGTCACCCTCTCTGCAACATACAAAAGATCAACGAGAGGCTCGACGCCGTTGACATGTTCAACGCAGATCTCGCGCTTCGAGATAAATTGTCGTGGCAGATGACGAAAATGCCAGACCTTGAGCGTCTCATATCACGAATTCATGCCGGGGCTTGTCGTCCGGAGGACTTTGTAAGAGTTCTCGAAGGGTTTGAGCAGATTGGTGACACTATAGGCCTCCTCGCCACCCCCGCGACCGGTTGTGGTCTGATCGATCGTCTCGTTTCGAATATGCCGAACCTCGATGAGCCATTGTCATACTGGAAGACCGCTTTCGACCGTAAGAGGGCTCGAGAGGAGAAGATTCTGGTGCCCGGGCGCGGTATCGAGGAAGACTTCGACAGTAGCCACGACAGAATCTCTGAAATTAAAGATGACCTCGAAACACTGCTCAACGAGAAGAAGAAAGAGTTGAAGACCAAATCCCTCAAATTCACGGATGTAGGGAAGGAGATTTACCAGATCGAGGCACCCAAATCAGTCAAAGTCCCCAAGAATTGGCAGCAGATGTCGGCGACAGCTAGTGTCAAACGCTACTACTTCAAAGAGTTAACAGACCTCGTCCGCCAGGTTCAGGAGGCCGAAGAGACTCACTCTCAGCTCGTCCGGGAAGTTGCGCTGCGGTTGTTCAAGCGTTTTGACGTCGACTACGACACTTGGCTGCAGGCCATTCGTATCGTATCCCAGTTGGACTGCCTTTTAAGTCTGGCGAAGGCATCTTCGTCGTTGGGCGAGCCGAGCTGCCGCCCTGTCTTCGTAGACGAAGAGCGCAGCGTAGTCGAATTCGAGGAACTCCGGCACCCTTGCATGATCAATACCGTCGATGATTTCATCCCCAACGATATCGTACTCGGCGGCAGCTCGGCCAAGATAAATCTTCTGACGGGCGCAAATGCTGCCGGTAAATCCACGATTCTCCGAATGGTGAGTCAACCGCTCGTTCCTAGAGCCCCTCCACCAGCTAACGATGTGCGCAGTCGTGTATCGCGGTTATCATGGCGCAGATCGGCTGCTACATCCCGGCCGCGTCGGCCCGGTTAACGCCTTGCGACCGTATCATGTCGCGCCTGGGCGCGAATGACAATATCTTTGCGGCGCAATCCACCTTCTTTGTCGAATTGTCAGAGACTAAGAAAATCCTATCCGAGGCCACTCCGCGAACCCTTGTCATCCTAGACGAGCTGGGCCGTGGCACTTCTAGCTACGACGGAGTCGCCGTAGCTCAGGCCGTTCTGCATCATGTTGCCACCCACATTGGGTGTGTCGGCTTCTTCGCAACCCATTATCACTCTCTTGCCACCGAATTCGAGAACCACCCTGAAATCAGAGCAAAACGCATGCAGATACAGGTCGACGAAAGGCAGCGCCGCATTACCTTCCTATACAAACTAGAGGACGGCGTAGCCGAAGGCAGCTTTGGTATGCACTGTGCAGCCATGTGTGGAATTTCAAATCGCGTCATCGAGAGGGCCGAGGTTGCCGCCAAAGAGTGGGAACACACGAGCAGGCTGAAAGAGAGCCTAGAGCGTGCGCGAGAAGGCTGCTACATCCCTCTAGGCATATTGAGCGATGTCGCAACGATGTTGAACGAGGACGAAGACGAAGGTATCAATACGCGAAGCTTGGAGGTGCTGACAAAGGCTATCGAGGCTCTCTGACAGGTAGGATAGCGCTAAAATGTATCTATTCAAGTCATGTTGCTGTGGCCAGTTTCGAGCCGTAGGGTTATGTACGTATTTAGGACCTATGTGTGCGGAGTTGGCGGGTTCTAGCTAGATAGACTGGGCAGGATAGGTAAATAAGTCAGTTTAATATTAATGGGCTCTAGAGAACGTTCAGGCATGCTTCAAAACGATAGCCCAGCGTAGTACCCTGTCGACTGGTGAGCTATAAGATGTCGGTAGATAGATTGTAGTGGCACGGCATTAGGAGCCTGCTGCTTACACTTCGATATATAAGCGCTAGATCAGCTAGTACTATAACACATGAGTCGGGCGGGAAAAGAGCCGCCGGCGCCTCGTGGACGCGTTGCTCGAGGTGAGAGCACAGATAAGAAATGTCGAGCGGCCTCTACTCTGAAGAGTCAACTTTTCATCTAGATTGTCTCGCATTTTTGCGTCACTGTTGACCATCTTCGGTGATCTCCTTTTTCTCTAATTTGCCGTGATTGCCCGGGCCGTCACCGAGGCCCTGGAGCATGGAAGTAAGCCCAATGTCTCTGTTGACCTCCTCCATACGCTCAAAGTCGGCCTGGGCGGTGCCTTCAGAGCCGAATATAACATCCTATCATGATTTTCCTTCTCGTCAGCCTTCGCACGAGAGGGTTGAGAAAAATTGGGGGGGGGGGGGGGGGGGGTGCGCTCACCATTTCTTCGAGTGTCAGTCTCTTCGTCTCAGGTACGAAAAACCAGACAAAGGCAGCACCTATGAATGTGAGAAGTCCGAAGAGAATGTACGTGCCATAGCCAATCTCGTTAAGCATGATAGGCGTAACTTGGCCGACAACTAGTTGAGCGTGTTAGCACGACGGAGGTATGGTATCTCAAATCAAAAGATGCGCCGTACTAAAATTGTTCATCCAATTGCTGGAGGCGCCGAGCGAGACCCCATAAGGACGAGAACTAAGCGGCCAGATCTCGGCCACGATGATCCATCCGCAGGGTCCCCAAGAGTATCCGAAATGTACGACGAAGAGCCAGACCATGACGACGGCAGCCCAGCCAGCCGCAGACTGAGTTGCCCATTGGCTCGCGTTCTTAGCGACAATAACGGCAATGATGATGTGGCAGGTGGCCATCCCGACAGCGCCCACCGCCAGGACGGGCTTCCTCCCTACACGATCGATGTACAACACTGTCGGCACAGTGGATACGAACATGACAATCCCAACGACGCCGGTAGCCAATAGCCTAGTGACGTTATCGTCCATCCCAAGCTGCTTGAAGATACTGGGTGCGTAGTATAGGACGGCGTTGATGCCGGTCCACTGCTGGAAGAACATGGTCACGGTGGCCACTACGACACGTTTGAACATCGCCTTCGTCTGGAATAAGGATTTTATGGCCACAAACTGGAGCTTGAAGGTGTTCCACGGTGTTTGCTCCCTCAGATGGGGGAAATGTTCCGCTATGGTGCGCTTCTCGAATTGCGACTGAGCCTTAATCTCGAGGAATTCGAGCTCGACAAGCTCGTGGTCCGGGGCGAGACCACGTAGATTCGCCAGAACCCTGCGTGCTTCTTCCTCTCGATCATGGTGCACAAGCCAACGCGGCGAGAAGGGCATGAATATCATTCCCGCGAACAGGATGACCGCCGGGAAGAGCTGCAGGCAGATTGGCACAAGCCAGGCAGCGTCTATTTGGGTACCGAGGGTGGTTCCTCCAATGTAATTGGTGCCGTAGTCAATCCAGAAGCTTACCATTATGCCAAAGGTGATTGCAAGTTGTTGGAGTGCCACGAGCGCGCCGCGGACCTCTGGGGGGGCCACTTCAGAATTGTATATGGGCACGATCATGGCTAACGAGCCGACACCCATACCGGTGATGAAACGGCCCGCGAGGATCACGTTGTGACCGCCGGATTGCGCCGTTGCCTGGATGACGACCCCGAGAATGAAGACTGTCACTGCCACCAAGATCCCGTATTTCCGCGAGAGGGCCTCCGCGACGAAGCCCGACAGCAGTGTGCCGACCCAGGCACCGAGCTCGAGAATAGCAGTTAACCATCCCTTCTTAGTCTGATCGGCTGAGTCATCGAATGGATCGTACTCGCCCATATCTGCCATAGCTCGTTAGAACGGTTACCCCTGATCTCGGTATTATGTATTCTGATACTTACGTGCCTTGAAAGCGGGCATAGCCAGGACACCCGAGAACATGCCTTGGTTGTAGCCATAGAGGACACCACCGATACAGGCAAAGAGGGCGACCCTGAATACCTTGAAATTCGTGACCAGGGCCATAGGACCGGACGCCCCCATCATGGCTTGACGGCGCTTGAGGGCCGCATTGTACGTAGCAGCTCCCGTGTCGGCACCCGCAACCATTGTGACCGAGGACGAAAGTTGACGGTTTGAGATGAGTATATCTAAGCTTTCGTAGTCACTCTGACGTGGGGAAGAGATGTCATAAGAACTTGGAGCCGGTGTGCTAATTCATCAAATGGAGTTGAGATAAATGGATGCGGCATATTACCAACAGCTACTGTGGTTACCCCGACACCTATATATATATACAATTAAATTCCTCTCCATATGGAGTTCCGGAAATAATTGCCAAGGGAAGACTTGGGTAACTATGTGTAGCTGTCTACTCCTGACAGGACCACACGGGGTAGGACGTGTGCATATGCTATACCCAGCACTAGCGGAGGACTAACCTGGAAAGCAAAACCTAGGGTCGCCGTCAGGCACGACAAGGATGCGGGATAAATAGGCTCATTTGGGGTATCGAAAACGACGTGGTTAGATCGTAGCTAGCCGGTCCTCCCCAGCTGATTTTATGAGGATAGATAATAGCAAGTCACCAGCTTACAATGGATGTATTTGGCTAGCCGATCGCCATTCCGCTGGATGCCGATCCTATAGGTGTAAGCGGGAGTACTTACGTGAAGGAATCCATAATATGAGATAATGGTTTTCCCTGGGCCGTCCATCTGGAGTTAGCAGGTATTATACTGTGACTAGCCGGTATACCGCCTATAAGGATGGCTCTTTGCGATATGCCTGCAACCATGGTGTCAGATTGGAGAAGGCTTCACGTGTGGAGTATTATTTCGGGGTAACCATGAAGCTGTCGGTCCCGTCCGTGTCCACCGGCATATATATCCCCAATTTGACCGGGGTTGCCAAATTAGCCTGAATTGCCCCGGGCTTGGGGACATAGTATCATTGGGTGGCGATCCGTGAGGTGTGTTTCTGAGCTTCCTGGAGAGCGGACAAGTTAGTCGACCCATTGGTGATGTTGCTTAGATACGGACAGGACGTTTTCATGAAGAGAATATTGGCTTCTCCGATCCCTAGGCTAGATCTAGGCTCAAGCTCGTCTAGTGAGGCGGCGCGTTTTTTTGCTTTCTTTTTTCCCTGAAGCCGACAGTAGAATATCAGTACGTATACTCTGTATATGCGTACATACCTATCTTCAACAGGAAACCAGGCCCGGAACGCACGAGCTCGTAGGTAAGTTTTACTGTGCTTTACCCTCTCAGCTTACAGTGTTAGTATCCTGAATACTTGCAGCCGGGTAGATTCTCGGCGGATAGTCAGTCGGGTATGTTCCTTCACGGCGATGGCTTGGCGAAGCGGGTGCATCCCTAGATGCCGTGGCGGAATAAAGGCAAAGTGCCAGCCTCGAGATTAGGTAGTTCTCAATCCGTGTTGCAGTACAACCGTGAATAGCTTCATAGGTGCTAGTAAATGTTGACTATATGTCGAGCGCGATAGGGCGGCAGGGGTGCGGATCCTTGCCCCAGCTCACCTGGCCGACTTGGTCTTCTTCACATCCCCTTGCCCCGTAGATGGTTGACAGATGGTCGTAGCGAAGATGGTCCGGGCTTGATAGGTCCCCTAAGCCTACGATGCGCACAGGCTGTTATGGGCCGATGAGGAATCGACCCACGAGAGGCGACTTGAGCAATCTGGAAATCCCGCCAAAGCCGCCTACTCAATACGTAACAGCCATTAAGACACCTCGCAAGGTTCCCCAGTCGCGCACGACCAAAGGATGGGCCACCGTCTCAGTTGTCAACGCCGGGTGTCCAGTCGTCGTCGGGATTGCGCTTATCGAAGCTCGCTTAGTGCGGACCCTACCGAAGAGAAGACAAGTCACGGTTGGTACCATGCGCTGCGGCTACCAACACGGCGGCGAGCGACGTGGGTCTACCACCCACGCCGCTCTTCTCCATACTAGAAACGCACGTAGCTGCGGCCGCTTAGTAGCCGTGTGGAGCTTGGCGATCAGGATATGGTCCTTGTAGGGAAGAATGCGTGGACGATGTGGGAGCATATCTACTAGGTAGTAAAAATGCCTTTGCCGGGTCTAATATCTGGTCGGCGTGCTTACAGGGCGGACTGGACGAAGAGACATTGGGGTAACCAATTAAACAGGTGGTACCTAACATCTAGGCACCGCCCGGGCACACCTCCATAAGGTATCTATATATTCAAGACGGGGTCTTTGCGTAGCATGGTAGCCCGGCACGTCTACTACCTAGTATGAGGCAGAGGAAGGGGTGCTGTCGAGACCCTTCATCACCACCATATGCAAGGAAGCGGTACCCACCTAGAGTTACTAGGGCATCTTCACTACCTAGGTGCTCGTAGGTCCCTCCATGGCGTAGCTTCTAGGTATATCTGTAGCATGGGAATATCTCTGCGCACGCCTACATACATCTAGTATGTAAGTCCAATATGCCCTAGACCATCGACAGGTCTCTCTATCTCTCAATGGGTTGGGTGACGCCGAATTTGGGAAACAGATCTAGCGAATAAGATCAGCGGGGCGGGATAAGGGGGGGGGAGATGACCCAGGACGACCCAGGACAGCCAAGGAAAGGCACGTGATACCCCATCCGCCGTCATAAGACGCCAAGCTGGATAGCCACTACGTAAGGTTGGTAGGTTAGGTAGTTAGGTATGCAGAGTAGTAGTTAGCTAGGTACCTTACCTTGGCGATAAAAATAGGTCGCCAACGTTGAACCAAATCTCCCGGATCCATGAGAGCGAAAGCCGTCGGCGTTTAAAGATCCCGCCTCCCACTGTCTCCTTAGAAGTTGTACCGAGAAGCTAAAAAAAGGGAGAAAGCCAGCACTCATGACTGGAAATGCACGGACAGTGAAGCAGATTTGGGGAAACAAAGGCTGAGCCGGTTCGGATGCGAGCTTCTCGCAGGTTCCGCTCGCGCTGGTGGGCGAACCGACTACCCGATCGTGGGTGTTTTAGCGTCGAATCTAAACGCGCGCCTCCATCCCCGCCTTTGTTTATCCTTCAGGGGTTCGGTCGCCGTCCCGCTCTCCACCGTCCCGCTCGAGGGGTCTCGTCCAATGCCGCCTCTCCATCTCCACTGAAACAACCATGTTATGTGGTTCCCAGGTGACGCCTCGCAGCGGATGTCCACGCCGGGCGAGAAATCGTGGTTCTCTGTTCTATTTATTCGCATTCTCTCGTTGGAACGCTGGCTCGAGACCTCGCTTACCATCGATTGGGACGGTGCTGCGCTGGTCGAACGGTCGACTTTCGTAGCCCAAAACGGACGCGAGAGAGAGAGAGAGAGAGAGAGAGATCGACTCTGGACGGACGGGCGGGCGGACGTACATATGCAGGCCCGCATACATGGTTCCTCGTGGGGGCCACGCTCTCGCTACGTCCTGGGCGGCCGCGACGCCCCGTCCCCCTCTCCTTCTCCTCTGGCAAACGCAAGCCCCCCTCGCGACACATGCAAGGCACCGTTCCGCTATTCGGTTCAAACGTGCGTTCGGGTCTGAGTCGAGGGATGCTTTGACGTTTGGCTACAGGTTGGCCGAAGAGGGAAGAGAGAGGGAGAGAAGAAGGGAAAATGCCCCTCTATCCTTCTATTCTTTCTCTTGCATCGCGGAGTTTGGCTGCAGGAAGAGGAATTTCTCCATCACGTGTATGTGAGGTACCTACCTACCTACCTACCTAGGTAGACGCACGTACCTGCCCTAACCCGCAAAGCGAGAGTCATGTGCCTTCCGCCGACAGAATGTACCTATGTAGGTACCTAAGGCAGGTGCGTTGGGAGGGTTCACATCTTGCACGGAAGGACATACCTACCAAGTACTTCTAGGTAGGCACTTTACCCTGGGTAGGTACCTGGTACCTACTTGTAGGTAGGAGAGATACCTAGGTACCGGATGGAGGTACCCGGAGGTAGGAGCTACCTCCCTAAGGCAGGTAGGTTACCGCGACCTCTTTGCGAGGAAGGTGCCGCCTTGGCTCGCATCATCGTCCCTCACCTTGGTTCGCCGCACCGTCGCAATCGCAGGCAAGCGCGCGCGCGCGCGCATAGTCGGCAGAATTGTTCGACTTTCCCTATAAGGCTGGCGCCTACTGATACCCGTCCACCCCCCCCCTGGCTATTTTTGACCGAGTATCCGACCCCCAAGCCCATTTCACGTTGTCCGTCATGTCCCGTAGCCGCCCTCCACACCGGGCCACTTTCCCCTTAGCCGCCCGACTCCAGACAGACGCCATCCCCGACCTCGCCAGCCAATATCCAAGGCCCGTCGACAGTCTATCCACTCTTTCAGATACACAACCCAAGTTTCATGGCTCCAGCTTGCATCTTCGCCCCCCCTCCCTCCCAACTTGCCCGTCGCCCCAGATCGTATGCTCTACTACCATGCCAGCTTTTGTTTCAGCGCCGAGCCTCTGGGTCCCGCATCGCCATAGCCGGCCGGCCACCCAGCATCTCCCTCTCTCTCCCTCTCTCTCTGCGTGTATCTGCGGGCCTTTTTTGGGCCCATGTTTCTTCTTGCCCTCAGCTACGGGCCGCCGTCGTCCTAAGACATCCGCTGCTTTTATAAGTAGCCACGCCCGTTTCGCGACCTGGTCTGGGTCTTTTACCTTCCCCTCCCGGACCTTCTAACTATACCATCCACCGGCCTATTTCTTTTTTTCCTCGCTTCTTCTTCATCTCCCCTTGATATCCCCGTTCGTTTCACCACCACCACCACCACCAAACCCCGTTTCCGCTGCCTTCGTCGTCGTTAGCTTTCGTTTGATACGAGCCATCCTCCGCGTCGCTCCCGGCAGTCCCACTCTCCGCGCCATAGCATTCTTTACCTCCGGGCGAGGTCGAAGAACGGACCGGGCACCGAAACGCAAAACCAGATCGCTAATACTAATCGACCTTCCCCTTGTATTCGAATCCGAATCCTATACGTGTGGACTCCTTCACCTCTGTGTATCTCGCTTTGTACACCGCGCTCTCGCACCGCATTTTACCAATGAATATGCCGAAGCACACTCGCTCGTCAAGCTCGAGCCACAATCGTTACTCCAATCAAAACCAGATGCCTGTCTCCCTTGCGCCGTCGGCTCCGGTCCCCATCTATACCACGCGGCCGTCGCTCCCCCTGAACACGGGGGCGGCATATTACCCAACCATCGGGTCTTCCGCCCAGCCGCAGCCCCCGATGCAGGCGCAGACATACGACCCCTATCCCGCAGACGTCGTACCGCAGGCCCCGCTGCCGAACCGCCCCTCTTCTGGAGCTTGGACTGTCCACGATGACCAGAACTTGGTGATGGCGAGGCAGCAGGGGCTCAACTGGGCCCAGATTCAGAGCAGTTATTTCCCGACCAAGTCGCCCAATGCTTGCCGGAAGCGCCATGAAAGGCTCATGGAGCGCAAGGGAGCCGATGACTGGGATAACAGGAAGCTCGAGCGCTTGGCTAAGGAGTACATGAGCATGCGAAAGGAGATCTGGCAGCCATTAGCGGCGCGAACCGGAGAGAAATGGATCGTTGTTGAAGCAAAGGTAAGGGTTTTTTTTTCCCGGCTATTACATTTCACTTCCAAGAAAAAGAATGCATCTTTTTTCCTCCTTCCCCACTTCCTCCCGCCTCTTTTCTTTAGGGAGGATCGGGGATCAAAAAAGACGCCAAACGGAAAGTTCACACCGGCTAATTTAACGTCTATTTGGTTCGCTGTAGTGTATGAACAACGGGCTCAAGAATCTTCAGTCTGCGGCTCGGTCGGCGTCTCGCCGCGAGCGGCTAGAAACTGGTGGTCCAATCCATGGGTATGACGACGACAGCGGCATTTCCGGCATTGGTCTGACACCAGTAGATGACCTCGATGCTTCGTACAGTAGCCCCGAGACTACCGCATCTAGCTCAGGCGGTAGCAACGGCGGTGGCTACCACAGCGGCATGCACCACATGGCTCTCAATAGCCACCCTTACGGCGCAAACTACACAGCTAGCACGGGCGGACTCTCTTCAAGCTACGGCTCCTCTGTATCCTCGACAGCGGCAGTGGCCGCGCATTATGGCACTGCTATGGCAGGCTCTCACTCGCAGGGAGGATCTCCCTACCTGGGCGATGGGCAGAGGCTCCCAAATGACATGGGAATCGACGCCATCATCAATCGACCGGGCCGCAGCGGCGGGCACACTTCCACCATGCGGCGAGAGGATATGATTTAACGTTGACGAATGTCTCTTCGTGTACACCAATTTGCTTTCCATCTCATCGCTCCTCTCGTCAAGATTTCCGTGCACGGTCTTCCTCTGGTTTATTTATCGTTTCTGTTTTCCTTTTTCTATCCTTGAATTACGAATAATGTGCTCTATAAGACGGCTACTGAATACCTTTCTATTTTGTCTATCCTTCGTCCTGCGGCTGCTCCACAGGTTTTAGGCGTTTGAGGTGTTGGCATAGCATGGCGAATACGGGGAATATAAAGGGGCACGGAAACGGGGCGACTGCCGGCGAGCAGGCCACTGTCACGACAACGAGTGAGAGACTGGACATTGCGGAGAGTAGGGGAAAAAAAAGAGAGGAAGTTGATAGTCTTTTATAATATATCTAAGGGGCAAGATGCGGCTCTACTGCTTATATTGGCATTTAAGTTAGGATACCGCTCTACGGATTACCCCTTTACGGACTACCGCGTTTAGACCTACGAACGCGTTTTTTAACGCGATACCGTTACTTAAATAACCTATAATTTCTCGATTAGTTTTAATCCTTCGTAACTTATCTTATTATTAACTTATTCCTAAATTCTTCTTAATTCTCGTAATGCCTTTAAAAATACCTAAATCCGGGCAAACGTCGCTATACGTATGGTTTTATACGGTACGAATATCCGTTAAGCTACCTTTAGAGCTTATATCTTTCGTTCCTACTTAATACGCCGTATAGTTAATAAACCGATAAAAGAGGAGCTTAATAAGGATCGTTAGGCTTTATTACCTATTTAAGAAGCCGAATTAATTCGTTAGGCTATCGGGTAGGCTAAGTTAAGCTTCGCGCCGGCGTTTACGTAGTTTAAGTTTATAGCCTAGTACTTATTAAACGCCGACGGCGGTTCTCGAAAGCTAGGAAAGTATTAGCATTACCGTTTTCTAGTTCGAAACCCGGAGGTTAAGTCGTTTAAGGCTACGGTCGTCGATTATAAGAGGATTAAAGGCGCTACGGCGGTAAATATTAACATTTTTTTCAATAGGTTAAAGGTTCCTTAGTTAGTAGCTATCCCTAACGAACGCTTCTTTAACGTTAATAAAATAAATATCGCTAAAGGCGTTACCGGAAATTATTAAGTAATTACCGATATTAATACCTAAAGGGTACTTAAGAAAGGCGTCGAAAAAGGCTAATAAATTATTACTCTTAAGTATATAGGTTACGGCGGAAGGCCTCTTCCTCTCGTAATACTTTTTAAGGGTATCGACGTTTAAGCGTAGTAATTTCCTAACGATACTCGCGAATTATAGGAGAATTAACGGTTTCGGGTATTACTTAAAGGATAAATTAGTAACGTTATTACGTTATATTAGCTTTAAAATGTTTTTATTCCTTATATTCGGGCCCGTTTCGGTAATATATAAGTAGTTTTAATTTACGACGGCTACGAATCGCATATTAACGACGACTTCCTTTAACGCTATCTTTAGAATAAGATATAGCTCGTCTTTTATTAGCCTTATTATAGTTACGTCGTTTAGGTCTTAGACGTAAAAGTATTTAGGTTATTAAAAAGAAAGCTAAAAAACCTTATTAAGGAAAGCTAAAACGTAACTCTTAGCTTATACCTATTAAAAACGGATATTTTAAAGGTATACCGATTAACTAAGATTTAATCGATAACTTCGCGAAATATTAAAAGCGTTTAAAAGACCTTTAGAATTATTTCACGGGATCGTAAGAAGCCTTTCTCGTCGAAATTCGTAGTTTTAAAAGATAAGGGTATCCTTCGGATATAGTCGGAACTATCGGAGTCGGTTACGCGACTTAAAATACCTAATTTTACGATATTATTAGTTCTAAAGTATATTAAAACGCCTTCTAACGGTTAGGAATTACGGAATACTTTTCGGAAAGAGATATTTATTACGGTTAGGTCCGAAATCCCGGCTTTAAAGCTATTAATTCGGAAGGCTAGTAATAGCTAGGATAGTAACTAAGGTAAAATAGCGGCTCTGGAAATATAGGTTAAGTATACGGTAATAAAAAACGAAAGAAGTACTCCTAAGATCCGTCGGAAGGTCCTCCCGGCGCTAGGTAAGCGCTTCGTACGTATGGCTAATATACGGCGAGTAAAAAAGTCGTTAAAAGGAAGGATCGTATATAAGGACGAGGCAAGCGACGAGAAGGTACTTAACGAATAAGAAACGGCATAAGAACCGGCTAAAAACGAGGGATCGTAAGCGGAGGATTATATTAAGGTAATAACGCCGTAATCAAAAGGTTTTAATTAATTTTAATAATTTAAATAGCTTTAATTACTTACGTAGTAGTAGTAATAGTAAGGGTTTTTTAGGTAGTCCGCGAAGGGGTGGTCCGTAGAGGGGGGGTCTAGCTTATTTAAACTAAGGGACCGTGATATGGGCAATGTGATCCACTTCTGTCAACGTTATTAATGATTGCATTTTCCCACAACACCAAGTTCTGAACGAAGGCACTCCGTACATATTTCTAGGCCGAGTACGAATTCTATTCATCCGACTAAAGTCGAGGGATAATGATTAGTGAGGTATAACTACTCTTGGTTATGACAGGGACCTGCTGGCTCGCACCTATTGTTCCATTCGTACGTACCCTTCACCTACTCCGGTCCCTAAACTCTCCTCGACTTATGTTGCGGTTGTTGGGGGTGTTGGGAAGTGAGCTTTCTTCTGCCATTCTTCCCTTTCGATATTTGCAAAGTAGTATATTACATATTAACAGCTGTCCCCTACTCGCAGAAGCCCTGCGTGCCTAGGTAGGTACGCAGAAGCCCAGCCAGACCACCAGCTGGTTGGGATATGATACTTGGCAGGAGCTCTTCAGACCCTAACCGGCAGCAGCCGGAGTTGGAGAGGGTTCTCCAACATCGTCTACGATCCAGTCTTGGTCATCCTCGTCCTCGAGATCCGGCTCGCCAACTATACTTCTCCAAACGCGTCCCCACATGCCTTTCTTTTGCACGAGGGCCAACACCATAATGGCCGGAAGATGCCAAACGCTAGCCCAGAAGAGACCGCGTGCGCTCCCCTTGAAACCCTCGTACCGCCAAAACCGTACGGCTTCGCGCGCGAGCCAGAAGTTCAGAGGCAAGCTCGTCACGGCGAAACTCCATTCCGTTACTCCTATGGCGCAGAGCGCGACCGAGAGCGGGAGGAACAGCAAGCTGTATCTCAAGGCGACGCGCGCGTTGCGAGCGGGGTTGATCCAGCATAGCATCTGGTGGCCGGCCGCCTTGTATTCCTCCCTTATCGGCCAGGACAGGGCCATGAAGTGAGGGAACTGCCACGCAAACAGGAAAGCGGCGAGTAGCCAGCCTCCGATGGCATCCGAGGTCATGAGCAGCTCACGGAACGACCCGTCCCCTGTGGCAGACTCGCCGGCAGCCGCTGCCCAGCCCATCAGCGGTGGGATGCCCCCGATGATCGCACCGGCCCAAGTGTTGAGCCACGAGATCCGCTTCATCGGGGTGTAGACTCCCGCGTAGATAGCAATATTAGCACCACCCAGGAAGGCAACTGTAGGGTTAACGCCAAAGTAGAGGCCGGCGATACCGGCGAGCGCCGTAGAAATGGCAAAGACGAGGGCCTTGCGTTTAGACAAAAGCCCGCGGACGAGAGGCCGGTTCCGCGTGCGTGTCATCTTGGCATCCCAAGCTAGTTCATAGAGCATATTGAGAGCATTCGCGCTGGCGGAGCAGAGTGTGGTTCCGGTCGTGAGAAAGGCCAAGGTTAGTGGGGATAGGGAGGGCGTATCTAGGCCGATCGACGGCGAGAGAAAAGCAGGTACCGGGTAGAGCGCGTAGGGTGCCATCGCCGTGAGGACGACGAGGACGGTAAGGCGAGGCTTAGAGAGAGAAAGGAGGAGAGAAAGCTGGCGACGAAGAGAGCTGGCGGGGTGCTTGGTGGACGCCGTGGTAAGGACAGATGACGCATCCGGAGGCATCAAGCTTTCGGTGGGCATCGTGGCCGCCCCGGAAGTGAGCGGGCGATTACGCCTCGCTGCCTGTCGCCGCCGGTGGGGGAGATCGTGGGCTATATCTCCGGTTCCGTGCGCATTAAGGGAGGAGGAGGAGGCCGTACCAGCAACAGCGGTTGGAGCGGTCGGGCTCGCGCGGGATTTAGAGGCGGCGCCATCTTGGGCCCGAGGCAGGAGACCATTCGACAAGAAATAGCCCGCCTTCAGCTGGGATCGTGGCTTCGAGATTACGGGTCCAAATGTCTGAGCAAGAGTCCTCTTGGTGGGAAACTTCGCGTAGCCCAGCTGTTGACTGCCCCGCCAGCAGACGTTAACGAGCGCACAACGACGGAGTAGATTTCCGGCAGGCCGTAGGCGCATGCTGGCTGTAGGTCATGTCGTCAATTTCGTCGTTCGGGGGATTTCGGCACGCATTGGCGAGAGGTGGACGCTGTACGGGCCTGTATCTGTCGTCTGTCTGATGCGAACCGAGACCGAGACGACGAGGGGGGAGCCGGGAGGGGAGCCGGGAGGGAAGCGGATTCGTGGGGTTCGTCTTGCTGAGTACTCTAGCTAGGTAGGTAGTTTACACACCTGATGGAAATGAAGAACTCGGTCCATTGTTTTTTCCGTTACCCCTCTAGGTACTTCCAGCCTCAAGAGATTGTAATGTGGGTTAGGTACCCACCAACGTACCTAAGGTACGTTAGGTAGCTACAGCTAAGTAGGAAGCCCCCTTTATTATGTAATACACATTATATAAGCAACCCTCGAGACTTAAAAGGTATTACCTAATAGGGATGCCCTAGATAGGAAGTTTTAAAAATCAAGTACGATTTATACCCTATCTAACTAATAATCGAACCTAAGTACTAAAGAGGTATCTAAATTACGGGTACGTTTAGTTATTTTCTCGTTATTTTTATTCCGTTTTAGCCTCTTCGTATAGAAGGTCTTAAAGAGTTTATTTTACTCGTATAAGAGTACCCCTTATTTCGTTATTATCTACTAAAAAGCAATACTTTAGTTCGTCGTTTTCTATTAAAAAGAGGCATTCCTAGTTCGTTTTCGGGCCTTATCTTAGGATATATTAATTCCTTCGTTACCGATACTATTTACCGGCGTAACATACCGAAGGAAGGAGAAGGTAGTTCCCCTTTTCCTATACCCGACGAGCTATATATCGCTACTATCCATAACCGAAACCTAAAGCTCCTTAAAGCTTTAGCCGATTCTTTCCTTGTCATAAGGTACCCCTACCTAACGAGGGTAACTAGGTTTTTACTAAATTCCGGAAGTCCCGAACTAAACGACCTTTTATAGGACCTTAAGAACCTAAGTAAGGTTCCCCGTAGGATATCCCCTTAGTCTTAGTTAACGTCGGAAATAAAGGTATTAAGACCTTCGAATTAAGCATAATTAAATCTAATAGTAGATTTATTATAGCCCGAATAGCCTCCTTTATCGCTATCTACTTCGTTATCTTCGTTTCCTTTAAAGGAAAACGTACTACTACTTCTTCGTATATCGAGTTCGTCTCCTTCTTCGTTATTCTCCGTAGCTTCGTTATTATCCGTAATAACCGACCCTTAAGAACCTCCGATCCCTCCGTAAGCCTTACCTAATTTAACGATATACGATCGTTTTAACGGTAGCGAGGCCGCGTTTAAATGGCTTATATTACTTACGTAGGCCTTTAAATTAGCTAGCTACTTAGTTCCACTAGCTTCTAATAAGCTTTAAGCCATAGATACTTTATATAAAGGAAAGATAGCGGCCTTTCTAAATCGTAATTCTTATATCCGGCGAGCTCTAGACCTCGCGGGATAAGGAATAACTACTTAAAACGATTTACTTATGGTTTAATAGCTCTTAAGGGAGAAATTCCCGTTTAAAATAGCTAATTAATCGGACCTACGAAACGAGGTCGTCGATATCTTATAAGGCTCGGAAGAATCCCTCGCTTCTTATTATACTAAGGCATAGGAGCTATTAAGGCGTACGGGTTCGAGAGATTTCCTCTAAGTCCTACGCCTAAACGATACCGATAACCTAATTGTCCTCGAAACCTATATACTTAAGTCGGTAATTACTCGCTTTATAAACGGTTTAAAAGACTCCGACCTAAAAAAAGAAGCCCTAGAAAAGGCCGCTTACGTATTTAGAGCCCTTTAGGAGGCATATAGTATAATATAAGGTTATTAAAAAGTCGTAAACCTAAAGAAAGAATAGCTTAAGGAGTAATAACTAAAGAAACGAGAGAACCTAATCGAACGTTTTATTATAGAAAAGATAGGCTTACTAGTTAAGTAAGCTATCGCTAACGAATACCCTAACTAGGTATTAACCCCTAAGGTCGCTACTACTACGACGCTACTCTAGCCTTCTTTAATAGTTCCGCCTCCATACATACGAATATAATAAACCATACCTTACCTAGTTCCTACGGCTTATCTACCATATCCTTCTTATTTATATCCGAATCAAGGCCTAATATAATAGTCTTAATAAGTTTCTAAAGCCTAGCTAGCCGCTTTACCTTAGGCCTTTAATAGTTAATAATAATAACCTTAGTAATATTTATAAGAATAGTAATCGTATAGTAACGGTATTAATTAAGGATCCGGTAACGGCTTTAGAAATATAATATCCCGAATAATCCCTAATAAAAGAACGTTAAAATATCCGATCGTTAACGGTTCGAAGGTCTTATAACGAGGAAAAAAAATATACTTTAAGTACGGAAGCCTTAATTACGTATAGCCTTACGAGGCTCCCCGGGGGTAGTAGCTAGCCTACTAGGAATAATTAGTCCTTAAATCGTTAATTTATCTAACCCTAAAGTAAGTAACTAAAATAGGTAGGAATCTCGACGTAAAATCCGCCTAATTCTTCTACGAGTAATCTTAGGAATAGGAGGCATTAAATTAGGATGCGGCTAAATATAAGTAAGCCGTAACTAACGAATTATAGTCGACGTCTACCTTAGCTACCCTTAATATTATTTTACTAGGTATTACTTTTCTAAATACCTAGTTATTACTTCTTATAGTTAAGCCGATAAGCATAGCAGAATTAAAAGCGGCTAGCGTCGATATTTAGGATAACCTAACTACCGAAGTACTAGAGCTCGCCTCCTTCTTAGGCAAACGCCGGTATAACGGTACTATCGTAGGAAAAGACGACGGTAAAATTAAGAAGAAGAAGAGGTCTCGTAAGGACCTTTAAACCATCTACGGAAAAAAAGGGAATCCTTCCTTTAACTTTAATATACTAGCTCGCTAAATTAAAGTTAAGTTAAACTTAATAAACTTATTTTAAGTATCTCCCGAATATACCCGGTAGTTCAGGCATTTCTCTACCCGTAAGAACGTAAAAGTAAAAGCTAGAGCCGTACGTAAGATCGTAGCCCTTAGACCTTCGTTCTAGCCTCGTCCTTACATTCTACCTAATCCTCTACCTCCGAAGAAAGGGAAGATAATACGTTTCGCTAAACCAAAACTAGCGGTAAAAAAGGAGGATAAACTTATTAAGATAAGTAATATACCTAAATACCTACTTAAGTTCCGAGTCGCTACGCCCTAGGCGTTAGAAATCGTTCCTTATAATACTTACCTAAATAACGTTTAAATGGATATAAACGGCGCTACCCTAGCTTCGAAAGCCGCCCCGGTTTTAACCGAACCCTTCCTATTAAAACCGGTTAGATCCTTTTATATAAACGCCGTTTTTCGTTTTAAATAAGACGGAGAATTACTTATATCTTATACTTTGCCCGAAAATACCACTTAAACCGACTAAGGAAGCGACATTAACCTTATATCTAATAAATTAATAAATTAGCTCCGTATTAAACGGAAACTCTTATATTACTTAGGTATTAGGCGTTTATTCTTATTAACCTTAAATAGTCGTCGCTTAGAAGTAACGGAATTCGTTTTATTTAACGTCGGAATATAAGGCATCTAAAGATCGGTATGGGTTATTATACGACCCGAGTCTACGAATAACGATACCCTTTTATTACTTAATATCCCCTAGCTATAGGATGTTATGGCTAAGTTCGATATTAAAGCTAGCTCCCTTACTATCGGCGATAAAGCAGCCGGTAAAGAGGTAGTATCTCTTTAGAGCCTCCTCTTATAACCTTCTACTACTTATAAGATAGCCCTTAAGGCCGCCGGACCTATCGTTAACCCCGTGGAGCATTTACGGGTACTTATTACTTATAAGTCGCTAATAATAAACGACGATAATAATAATAGTAATAATAATTCCTCCGATAAAAGCGATTTAGATAATAACGAGACGGGAAATTAAATCATTAGCTTAAACCCGAGTATGTCCTTAAACTACGAATAATAAGACCCGAGTATATCCATAAACTATAATTAATTAACGACCTTACCTCCCCGGATGTTAGCTTTTAGTAACCTATAGATAGACCCGAGTATATCCTTAAATTACGAGTAAATAGGACCCTTACCTCCTTTAAAGCTTATATATTAGATATCCCTTAAGAGCTTTTAAACTTACCTTATCGATCCTTCTTTCCTAGCGTTAACTAGTTAAACTTCCATGTTCTACGAATTATAGTAACGTCGGAGAAACGCCTAGCCTTTCGTTAAATGGCTTATTTCGCATCTATATTATTACTAAGAGACTTATTCCCTTTAGTAATTAACGAATTCTACCTATCTACGTCCTAAGTAACTAGAGCTAGATTACCTACGAGTACCCGACTAATTAGAGCCGTTACGTTTGGAGATAATTTAGCATTAGGTTTACGTTAGTTAATCAAATTAACCGCATTTAGAGATAATTTAATAATTTATTACCTAATTAGAAGCGCCGTAATTAAAGATAATTTAGCATCTAATATTAGTTCCGTACTACTAGAGTTAGCATACCTATTCCTAACTATTAGGCGAGTTAAACAGCTCCTATTAGTTACTAGTTACGAACTACCCGAGTAGGAAGCTCTTTATTAGCTTAATAAAGCAGGAGTAAAACTAGGTCCTCTTATTTCCTACGATCTAAGGTTAAAAATTACCTATGGATTATATACTTACCGTAAACTTATAGCTACCTTAGTACTAGACATACTAGCGACCGACCTTTACTAATATAGAGTTAGGTTACGGCCTAGCATACTTCCCTGGAATAGATCCAGACGAAAGAGCTAGACCCTACCCTAGAAATACTGGTTAGATCGTTTAATTTAGGAAGGGATTAAAGTAGGATAGTTTAAATTAACTAAGGTTATTAACGGTTACCTTTTAGACTAGGTAGCGTAACCCGTATTAATACCTAAGGATAAAGATTTACTAGACCTTAATCCCTAGGCCGAGCTACGCCTAACCTTTAACTATAGTTAGGTTAAAGAGAAAGTATTAGGAACGAACGTAACCTTATTAGCGGACGTATATAACCATTTCTTATACCTAGGCATTAGATCTTATTATAAACTAAACCTAAAATACGGATACTAATACGTTAAAATATACCCTAAAGATAGGCATATCTTTACATTCGCTATCCCTAGCTTTCCATAACTTCAACCTACTAGGATATTATAAGGGATATAGATAGCCGCTTTCTCGATAACGGAACTAATATACGTAGTCCTTAACGCTATCCTTAAACCATAAGCCGAACCGTCTCTTTTATCCTCCTCTTCTCTAGATAAGATTCCTAAAGGCGTATTTTATATAAACGATATCTTCGGTACTTATATTAATGTAGAAGAATAATAGCAATAGCTAATATACTACCTTCTACCTAGAATACGATAGGCTAAACTACGTTTATCCTTCGTAAAGATTTATATAGGGTTTATTAAAATACTAGCCATAGGAGTTATCTATTATATAGGCGGCCGCTTACGCATAAGGGAAGATCGAGCTACCCGTTTTCGTAATTAGCCCGTCCTAACTAACCAGTCGAAGGTAAGGTCTTTTCTAGGAGCTATAGGCCCTTGTCGTAAATGGATAAAGAATTATTTAAAGATCTATCGCCCTTTAATACGCCTACTTAATAAAGACGCCGAGTAGAAATGGAATACGATAAAGTCCCTATCTTTTAAACTAATTAAATTACTAGCATTAACCGCCGTTAATACCTATGGTTACGCTTTTAATCTACTAATATCCCTATATACTAATACTTCGTAATTTATAATAGGTTACGTTATCCTCTAACGGTAAAACGGGATCGATATTCCTATCTTATACGATAACTTTATATTTTCGAAACCTTAACGTAACTATAGCACCTATAAAAGAAAGCTTTATATAATGGTTAAATTCTATCGTCGGTATAGCTATATATTTCGGGCAAGAAACCGATCTACCCTTTTTACTAATTATAAACCCCTAACCTAATTCTTATCCTTATCTACCGTTAAAGGCATCTACGCTCGCTAGGCCTCCGAACTTAAATTACTCTATATATAGATTAAATATATCCTAGGAATACGGAATAAGGCTACGGACGTACTCTTACGTACTATATTTCTAGGCGACGACTACGAAAACGTAAAATACCTAAAGGCCTTAGGCGATTAAAACAACGGGCTATGGATTTAAAAGGATAGCGTAGGTAAATATAAATAATTATTAGCTTAATTACCTAATCTAGATCTATTATTAGGATCCCGAGGGCGGGATCTTTTACCCCCCTCTATTAAGGTAAACGCAAACGTAATTATAGCTTTAGTTTCGTTATCGTCGTTACCTACGGTTATAAAAGGACCTAAATACGTCCTTAAACTACATCTAAGACCCGAATACGTCCCTAAACTACGAATAATAAGACCCGAGTACGTCCTTAAATTACAAATAATAAAACCCGGGTATATCCGTAAACTATAAATAACCGAAATTAATATCGACGACTACTTACCCCTACCTACCGACGAACCCTAGATGCCCGATTAATAAGCTATTATATTTCGAAACTTTACCTCCCCGGATATTAACTTTTAGCCATTACTAACCTTATTAAAGCTCGCTACTAAAGCCTTAAAGCTCTTCGTAAAAGAATCGTCCTCCGAATAAGATAGATAGCTAAATTCTAAATAATACGGAGAAGTAATTAACCTCTTAGCTACCGGAAGAACCAAAAATATATATAGCCGACTTAAGGTACGGTTCCTACTTAATAAAGCTAAGGAATATAGGATCTATAAAACGTAGTTATAGCATTACTATCGTAAGATATGGAATAAGTATCTACTACCGGACGAAGTTTTAAACGCCTTTATTAAAGCTTACGACGAAACCGGTTACTTCTTTAAGTCGATTACCTTAAAACGCTTTTCCCGTTTAATCTTCTAGCCTAAGATAGCCGGCGACGTATCCGCCTATATAGATAGCTATCTACCTTACGTATATCATAAACCGACTAAACCGCTAGGCCCTCCTTTTCCTATAATAATTTACGCCTCGTTATAGATCCTTTCGTCTAACTTTATTAGTTCCTTTCTACCATTAAATTCAGGATACCGCTATATCCTAATAATCGTATGCTAATTTAATAGATACGGATAGGCACTACCTACCCTAGGTACTTTAATAGATAACGCGCTTATAGGTTTTAATATATAGCTCTTTAACTTAGGGACGAGGCCCCTAGCCTTCTACCTAGATCCGGGGTCCGCCTTTACCTTATAAAGGATATTATAACATCTTATATCTAAGGGAATACTAATAGTTAACGCCCCTTTAGGTTCCTACCGATTAATTAGGTTAATTAAGGTATTTAATAAGATCCTCTAGTAAGTCTTAAAGAAGACGGTAAACCTCCTACCTAAGACCTAAGAGCTACTAGATTAGGCTAGCTCCGTACCCGAAATAATAACAAAAATTAACGCGCGTTACGTTAAATCCCTGGGATATTTACCATTCGAAATACTATATAGAAACCTACCTATTAGTACCTTCGAAGCTAAGTATCCTCCATCCTATTTAACTAAATTAAGATCTACCCTGGTTAGCGGTTCTTTTAAGCTCCCTAGCGAATAAATATACGCCGATCTAATCGTAAGCCATATAGCCCGGATATAATACTATAGGGAAAACGTTTGGAAGCTATTTAAACGGACCAGGAAGAAGAGAGAGGAAGGTCTTAAGGAAGTAAGAAGGACTATCGAAAAAGGAGATCTCGTTATACTTTACTAAGACGGAAAACTACCTAAATTACGAGAGAAATAGATAGGACCTTTTATCGTAGGGATCCTAATTAGAAGATCGGCATTTTAATTATTATTATTAAATAATAAGCTATCGGGACCCTATTACTATCATACGAATTAGTTAAAGCTATTTAAACCACGGAAGGGTTATTTAAGGTTACTAAGGGATCTTTAGTTACCGTACTAGAGGAGGCTAAGAAGGGCGAGGAGATAAGCTATTACTAAAACCTATTTCTATTATTTATTACTATAATCTTTTAGAGGCTTTAAAGATATAACCGGGGGCGGTTACCTTTACCCCCCCCCACTAACTAAGTAGGAAGCCCCCTTTATTATGTAATATATATTATATAAGCAACCCTCGAGACTTAAAAGGTATTACCTAATAGGGATGCCCTAGATAGGAAGTTTTAGAAATCAAGCACGATTTACACCCCATCTAGCTGCTACCACCTATATAGGGGGGTGGGGGTACCGATAAACCGCACCCGTCCTGTTATAGTACATGTTAGGTACCTGATGTACTAAGTTAGGTTAGGAGGTACCTAACGTGATATCACATGCGGTACCTGATACCCAAGGCTAGGGGCCTAATGAGCTTGTCCGCTCTACAAATTTAGAGGGGGAAGAAACCTAGCCTAACCGGTAGGAACCGAGTATGGGTGGTGCCATCAACAAAATGTACACACCGCAGCCTTTAGGGAGAGTTGCTATCTTAAGTTACCTACCTGACCTACCTACTGATTGGGTGCGTTCTACCTAGGTATACGGAATGTCTACGACGACGAGGTCGCAGGCGCTCTGTTGGTCTTTTAAATACGTGGCCTAGGTAAATCGATCGCTCTACTTAACATCCCCGCCGACATAGCCTCGGCGACGGGGGAGCAGGCAGCGGGTTCGCCGACTTGTATATCGCCTTTAGGTTTTTATATCCTGGGGTAATAAATGCAACGGTTGGTATTTCAAGTCGCGATTGACAACTCGCTATTGAAGCCGTTATCGGCTCGCTCGGTGCTACACCTCCTTTTCGTGGGCGGGAATGATCCCGTCGCTGTTGACGCTCTGTGTGTTGGGTGACTTCTTAGTTGCGCTGGATTCCTCGACGGCAACTAGCTTTTCATCTGTCTCTTCCATCTCCTCTTCCAACGTAAGGTTGAGAACCATGCAGATGAAGGCAGTGACCGTGAAGCCGGTTTCCATAATTAGGACGATAGCATCGAGGAATCCCTGAAGATTCCTGTTGTCGCCGCTGTAGCTGAAGACGTTGGAGAAGTAGTTCGGAACCAAGGTTGCTATTCCACACCTGTGAGCCAAGAGGTCATTGCGGACCAGGGAGAAGGGAAGAGCTGGGGAGTCAATAACTAACCCCCAAAGCCGATAGATAACCCGGCGGTCAAGATGAATCTGTTTCGACGATTAAACGGGACTCCTTTTGTGATGATTGCAATACCCGACACGGACACGGCACAAAAGAGGAACGTTGTCATCCCGCCGAGTACGGCCGATGGAATAGCCACCAGAGCCGCAGCGAATTTCGCGAAGACACCCATGATAATCAAGAAAATGCTAGCCCAGAGGCTTGTCAGCTATGCACAGCATCTTCGAGGCGCCGAGGGCTTTCGCCGCCGAAGCTTACCAGCAGCAGTATCCAGCCGTGCGGTTGGCACAGCGTGTTAGTGCGATCACCCCGTTGTTCTGCGCGAAGGTTGACATGGGCGTGATAGTCATTAGAGCGGCGAGGATTCCGTTTAGACCATCAGCTAATACACCCCCTTGGATGCGGGACTCGTAGTTCCTGCCCTCCACTTCGAGGCGCGATACATCGCAGGTGGCGGTGATATCTCCGACAGCCTCGCACGCGCAGATTATGAATACCGCCAGTACCGGTAGCACCAGAGGCCCGTACACGGTCAACTTGAACGTGCGGACCCAGACGAATGAGGCGACTGGTGCGGCGTCGATTCCCGAACGGTCAAAGTAGCCAGTGGCTGCGGCGATAATGCAACCCACCAGGAGGCCCATAATGACGCTGGTAGACTTCATGATCGGAGATCCGAACCGTTCACACAGGATGATGGTGAGGAACACGGAAAAGCCGAGGCCTACCGCTCGCGTGTGTTAGCACCGGGATTTTCGGATTCTGGATCCTAGATGAAGCGCTGTGTCGCTTGTCAACGTACCGAGATACTCGGGGGAGCCCCATGGCAAGGCATGGGGAGCCCCGACGTTCGGGCAGAGGTCGAAGAAAGCGGTATGTGTCGCGTCCGAGCAAGGGCCGCTCCCGCCGGCCCAATTCTTGAATCCCGTCTCGACTAGGTGGAAACCGATCAACTGGGAGACGAAGGAAAGAAAGGGAAATTAGTTGTGTATTCCGACGTGGTTCGACAGGGGTTTGCTTCGTACCATCACCGTCGGCCCGGTAACGATGGGAGGAAATATCCTAAGCATAACCCTCGGGGGCATGAAGGAGATGAGAACTTCGAGGAGAGCGCAAACTGCGGCGGTTCCGATGAGGGCCCCGTAGGCGTCTGGACATGGTAGCTTCGTGCCATTGTCATCCGTCGGGCAAAATCCGTTGGCATACATTTGCGAAAATGCCCCCTGCGCGACGGGAATAATAGAGAACGAGATACCGACAACGGAGATCAGGCCCGTGCCGACGTAGTAGCTGGATAACACGGGTGAGATTCAAACCTAAGACCATGCATTGGCCACTCGCTGACGCGCGCGCACGTCGGCGGCTCGGAACGAGACCGACGCGGGGGAGGAGACAACGATTAGGAAAACGCGGGACTGACGGTGTCTTGTAAATGTGGAACCTGGTGATCTGGATGGTGGAGAGTATGCCGGACACGATCAGGGCAGTGGAAACGAGGTATTGCTGCATGTCGGGGGGCAGGTTAACGCCGGCTTGTCCAGACATGAGGATGGGAGGGGTGATGACACCGGCCAACATAGCCAGAGCATGCTGGAGACCGAGGAGGAGCGCCAAGACTACCGGCATCCGGTCATTCAGGCCGAAAAAAGGCGAGGCCCGCTGAGATTTCTTCATAAATGGCAGATTCGGCCGAAGGAGGAAGGCGTAGTCATAGTCGCCGAGAAGGCCCTGTCTTGTGAAAAAGGTCCTTCGCATACCAGCAACGCGGTCGCCAGCCGTCCGCTTCGGGGCCGGATGGGGCGCGATCTGGGACGGACCTTGGTCCTCGTCCATGATGACGTTAAATACCCAAGGGAGGAGATGTCTGTCTTTGTATATGGAAGAGAAACCGTTAGAGAGGAGGTATGTTGGGTAGGTGAGAACGTAGGTAAGGACCTCGGCAGGTAGGCAATGGACCTGTGTAGCCCCTAGGCTGAGCAGAAAGCGTGATGGTGGTAAAGTATATTGGATGGTAGGCGGGATACGATGAACACTCAGTGAGACAACTCAGTGATATACATATACATATCGAGCTGCAGGCAAGCGAGGACCGCGCCGTGCAGCCTTGTCGGGGGATTTAAGAGGTTTGTTATCGTTACCCTCGTAATCGTCTACAGGACATGTCGAGCTGCCTGCCTACCTACCTCCTATCGGCGGCCGACCGATTCGACCAGCTGCGATAACGAAGGCCGCACGTACAAGTTATTACTAAAGGAAGAAGGCAAGCTGAGAAGCTTTGTCCGCCCAAGGCCAGGTAGATGGCCTGTCAATCGAGGGACAGGGTTGCGAGCCGTCAACAACATGGGATATCCGTGAGTAAGTATGTGCGGAAATTTTTTCGTCGCCCTCTCCGTCTTGTCCTGCTTTCACCGACCCCCGGACTCGTGCACACCCTCCTGACAACGACTCCGTTCCCAGATAGCCCCCCCCCCCCCCTAAAGTGGCGCCTAAGGCGGGATGGTATGGCGGGTCCGAACTGAGACTTGCAGATAACACGCGAGGTTATCTACATACCTTCATACACTACTTGCCGCATTCGACGCCACATCATCCAACGATCTTGAATGCAATTCAAGCCAGAACCGTCGGAGTCTGGGCCTGCGATTAGCAACTGGAGATTAGCAACTGGGGGGGCCTCCCCATGTACACCCACCCACGTTACTTATCACACGGCCTCCTCGAGTTACTGAGGTAGTTTGTCAGAGATACTAGTCAGTAAGCCGCCAACGCTCTTTTAGTATGGTAGGTTCGCGGATAAGTGCGGTGCTAAAGCTCGCTTGGGTGGTTTATCTGAATGAAGCTCGCCACGCGCCGCCATCGCGCCGTCGCTAAGGCGTTTATGTGTAGATTTAAAATTCATGTGCCCACCCTGTTTGTGTGTTGCTCATCAACGGTTGACAACACGGGCGGCGGAAGGTCTCCTTTCTAGTAGTAAGGATCCCGGACGAATTAACGGGTTGTTGTTGTCTGGAGAGACGGCCTTTTCCTTCGGCGACTGAGGAGGAAGGGATAGAGCCCTCCCTAACCATAAGACGTTAGCAGGCAAGGCGGGTAGGTAGATACCTATTATAAAACATGGTGATAAATGCTGACTGGTTATAGATAAGACGGAGCGAAGGAAAAAATGTGGCGGGTAAACATCAATCCACTAATTATTTCAGGATTGATGCCGGAGGTACCTACCTATCTATTTATCTACCTGCCTAGGCATGTACGTAAGACCTAAGGTACATGCCGAGGTCCCTCACACCCTTGCCCCGATTTGTACGCTCGGTCGTGAGGAGTCAGGTACCTGTCGGTCGGTGCTTATGCCCCATTATCCTGACTACCTGTTATGCACGTGGCACCTGAAATGCATCATACCTCTTGTCTGTTGGTCAGTCACATCTATGCGGCGTCTGTCTGAGATCACCGAGATCTAAGACACCGAAGCATCCATCGCACGTGAACGTAGCCTGGTAGCGTCATACCCCCGGGCCGGTCGAGGTCCGCCGCCTCGCGGCGTGAATACGGACATCTCCCGAGGCTGGACGGGGAACTCCTCGATGCCAGTAGTCTAGAACCCTTGTCGTCGTCATCGCCGGGGCTGCCCAGGCGTATGTCACATCGGCGTGAGGACGGGTGGGAATGTCTGAAAACGGAAACCTCGGTACTTATGTAGTGCAGGTTGGCTTCGGCAAGTAGGTATCTCTTCGAGCACGCTGCGAGGGGCGTCGTCCGGTAGTACACGAACGGCTTGCCTGCCTACCTCGTAGAGGTACGGGCAGTTATTCAGCTACGTGGACGTAAGCAAGGCGGCCGCCTGCGAATAGTGCACTGCGACCATGGCCCGGCGATCTAGGCGCAAGGTAAGGGGATGGGTGCATTTGCACGCCTCGACACCCGGCTACGCGGCCTCGCTCTCTATCGAATACTGGCTGCGTCGCAGGGGTTCCGGCGCATAGTCACCCGTCGATTCAATTGTCGGCCGTTGTACAGAATCAAACCGTCGGCCTCCCGTGCAAACTTCGATATGAGACCGGTATCTGTCGGAGACGCAGAAGTTCCCGCTCCCTTGCTGCCCCCCTGGCAGCCGTTTGTACGGCCTGTGGGACCCGATCTCTTTTGACGTTTCTCACCTGCAACCACCCGGGCATCGTCGAGCTGTGTTTGTCCAGTTTCGACATGATTTGCTTAGCTTGGCGAGGGCGCGCCTCGCTGCCTGCGAAGACGACACCGTCGTATCGCGTGCGTATAAGTCAGATGGCACTACTGCCCAATCCGAGGCGCGTAGGCGGGAAGTGCCATGGCTTCGACCGCGATGGGTTGCAGGAGGAGGTGTTGCTTGTGACATCGATGGCGTGCGAGATCTGAGGTCAGCTTCTCGTCAGACAGAGCCCGTGCTTTCGGTCTCTACGACGTAATGGTCGCACCGGAGTGCCCTAGCAGAGAAGCATCTTCTGGGTCGGGCAGTCTCCAGGCAGCTGCCTACCGATATAGACCTTCCCCCGCCTCCCCTCCCCGCCCTTGCCTCTGCTGCTCTCCTCTGCTACCACCCCGCGAGGAAGCCGCTCCTAGGGCGTTCTTTCCGCGTCGGAAAAAGATACGAGGAAATCCAGCCATCTCAGCAGGAAGCAGGGAGTCGATGACGCAGGGGGCCGCCCTTTGCTGATCGCGGCTGCCGGTCGGCGGGACCTCGAGAGACCGGGCCGTTCGTGAATGCTGCGTGCGTTTGTTCCATTCCGCCTGCTACCTTTGTCGACGCTGGGCCCAAGCCATCTACGTAAATCGTAGCTCGGGCTCGTCATATTTGTTCGTCTGTAAAACCCTTGTGGCCCTGACCAGTTTAAATACAGGTCTCGCCCCCAAACGTCTGGGGAGGTCCTGTCATCGGAAACTTGTGAGCGGCACCATCATTGACTCCTTCACGCGAATTTTCCCGGCTCTCGACCCGAACGTACTATACCATCATGTCCTGCAGGCTGGCAATAACGTCGATGTCGTTGGGGCGTTGCTGTGCCGGCCATTCGCTCCCGCGTAAGCTCGACATGGCGGCACGGTATGGGTACAGGGGCATCGAGCTATTTCACGAGGACCTTTTCGATATTGCGCAGCAGCTTCCTGGAGGGGCCACGACTGACAACCAGCTCGAGGCAGCTCAAACCATCCGTAGGCTCTGCTTGGACAGGGGGCTTGCGATTGTGTGCCTCCAGCCGTTCGCGCACTTCGAGGGACTGCTGGACCGCCAGGTGCACCTGGAGCGCCTCGGTCAGCTTTCGGTGTGGTTTCGGCTCGCACGTGCCCTCGGCACCGATACCGTGCAAATTCCATCCAACTTCCTGCCGTCTTGCGAACTATCGGACGATGTCAGACTTGCCATCGCTGATCTGAGGAAAGTCGCCGACATGGGCCTCCAACAGCAGCCACCGATCCGGTTCGTCTACGAAGCTCTGTGTTGGGGTACTCGCTGCGACCTATGGGAGCAGAGCTGGGACGTGGTCCAGGCCGTCGACCGGCCGAACTTTGGCCTCTGTCTCGACACGTTCAACATTGCCGGTCGTATTTACGCGGACCCCACCTCGCCGACTGGCCGCACCGCCGACTGCGACCAGGCAGTACGAGAGTCCATGGCTCGGCTCGTAGCAACTATCGACCTCGACAAGGTTTTCTACGTGCAGGTAGTCGACGCTGAGCGCCTCGTTGAGCCGTTGGTCCCGGGCCACAAATTCTGGGACGCCAGCCAGCCGGCGCGGATGAGCTGGTCCCGGAACTGTCGGCTCTTCTACGGCGAAGAGGACCGTGGCGCGTATCTGCCCGTCGCCGAAATAGCCAAGGCCATATTTCAGGGCCTCGGATTCGAAGGTTGGGTTAGCATGGAGCTCTTCAACCGGAGGATGTCTGACACGGACGAGGTAGTGCCCCAAGAGCTGGCCAGCCGGGGAGCTGCTGCCTGGGCAAAACTTAGCAGGGACATGAACCTGAGAGAGGCGGTCCCGGCTCCAGAGAGAGTTTCTGCGTCGCTTTAACGTGAGAGACACATGTATCTCGGCGTCAACTTTATCCTTTCTTGATAGAAAAGAGACACGGAGGATACCCGAAACCGCTACCCCGCACTGAGTGGCGGGGTAGCTCCGCGTGGGTCGAAGTTCAAGGCTACGGATGCGCCCGGGTTACCGCAAACTGCGATCGCTGTTATGGCTGTAGTGCTGCGTATACATCATTGAATCTTGCCTGGAGGCTAACTAGAGGTAGCACATGGTACTGTGCGGCTACGTAACAGGTGGGAGAGAGAAAAATGTGCCTTATTACGCATGTAGGCGGATATGTGAACGTACCTGTGGGACTGTCTTCGTTATAAGAGAGACAGTATCCTCACGTGTCCGGACCCAGGCTACCTCCACAAGGCCAATTCACGCACCTCCCGGCTGCTCGGCTGGGGAAGACAGAGCCGTGTTTCGGCGTCGGGTGGTTAGGCAGCTGGTCATCTAGTACAAGAGGATAACGAAACGCTGACTGTCGCCAGTATCGCAGAAGCCAAGGCTAGGGGTTATCTCGACTAATCCAGGCCCTGGATTCGCAATACCCCGTGAGCTCCGTGTGGTCCAAGCCTCGCGTTGGCTTTCCCCTTTCTCCTCCTCTTCCTGCGACTTCTAGGCCCCTCGTCGCTGCTGTCCGAGTTGTCGTGCAAATTCCTGCCTCGATGCTTGGCTTTGCCACTATTAGTCTTCTCATCATCATCATCGTCGTCGTCGTCGTCGTCGTCGTCGTCGTCGTCTTCTTCTTCGTCGTCATCATCATCCTCATCCGATCGGCTTAATCCGCCTACATCGCTATCCTCTCTGGACTTGGTGTCACCATGACTTAGCAAAGGCGATTCCTGCCAGATTTTGATTGTTTGCCCCCCACCGCTTATCATCCGGCCTTCGCAGTCAAACCCAAGACCGACTACTGCCTCGATGTCGTCGTGACGCAACAGGGTCTCGACCTCTCTCTTCCTTAAGTCGACAATGCGCAAGCTGCCGTCTCCCACGCCGACGACCACCTTTTTCCCCCTAGCCACGCTGTCAGGAATCTGCACGATGCAATCGAGGCTCTCACCACCTCCCTTCCCGGGATCAACAATAACACGGTCTTGTTGGTCGTCCCACGCTCCCTTGTCCCACAGCGTCAGCACCCCGGTTCCGGTGCCTACCGCGACGATCCCGTTGTCCCGGTTCTTCTTGGGTCCCATACCCGGGATGAAGGCTGTGCAAAGGAGCTCGTCTTCCTGGTCATCGCTACGTACGAGGACCCCTCTTCGAATATCTGTGATGGCCAATGTCGTGCCGCCGGTGGATATCCATTGTTTGCTGTAGCCGCTCGTGCTTTCGAGGGAGGGAGGTAGCGCGGTGAGGCTCGAGACGAAGTCGTCGTGGGGAAAATGAGTTTGCTGTGGTTTGGAGGCCGCCAGGGCGCCGTCCCGCAGGTCAAGGATGTGTAGCGCGCCCGAATCGCAAGCTAGAAGCAACGTCTGCGGCGACAGGACGTGGAGGAGAGTCGGCGAGTCAGCGATCGACTTAGTCGACGGGATCGCGATCTTGGAAGCGACCTGGCCGGTCGTCGGGGAGAAGTGCTTCAGCAGGGAGTCGGTGCCGGCTGAGTAGAGTGCTGTCGGGACGCAAGGCATGTTAGTTCCTGTTCTGACCGCACGGTAATAGTGCCGAAGACCTGAGATGCGAGGGAGGCGGGGGTTGGGTTTAGAGGGATCTTTGTTGTCGAGACCAACTGACCGGAGCCGTCGCTGCTAAAGGCCAGGGTACGGCAGCTGCCCTTGTGCCTCCGGGTTCGCCATATGGTTTCAATGGCCCCTCTACCACTGGATAGCACGCTGAGGTCGGTGTCGTCTTCGATTGAGCGGTCAGCGGCAGGCAGGCGGAAGCATTGAACATGGCCGGTAGAGAGGCCGACGCCTAGAAGAGGTTCAATTGGGTGAAGTGCCTGAGCGAAGAGCTCGGCGCTTAGCGGCAGCGTACAGAGATTCTCGAACATGGTGACAGGCGCCGATTATGCGCCGCGACGGAGATTGATGTGGTTGTTTTGTTTTGTTTTGTTTTGGTTCATCAGGTTTGTCTTGCTTTCGGCAGGTCGGGTTGGCCTTCCCCTCTGCAGATGTAAACGGGAACCAATTGAACCAATTGAGCAAGGTACGGAGGAATGAAGAAGGGATACAGAATGGACTGTACAAAAAGAGCGAAAAGGAGGTTGTTGAGACATACCTCTACCTACCTAGGTAGGCCGGTGTGCGAATTTATCGTGGTGCGCGTCAGTCACCGGATAGACCCTGTAAAGTTGGATTTCAGAGGTGCCGACCTCCAGGTAGGTATACACTTACCTTAGGTACCTCATACTCTACTTCCAAGGTACCTTACCTGTCGATAGGTATGCATATACGTAAACGATATTATGCAGGTACCAGGGTTAGATACATCCCCCTATACCTGCCTCCTTACTATCCGGAACATCGTCGAGCACCTAAGTAACTAAACAACGTCGTTCCCTTTCCTGCATTTTAACGATTCTACCGACCGATGTGCGAAGTAAAAAGCCATAACGACTTCGGACTTCGCTTCCACGATATACTCACCTGCCGCTCTTTCGGTTCGAAAACTGCGAAAAATCTATGTCTGCACATAACACCGTACCGTACTCGTCGACAACGGCCCGATAAGTCTCAGTTGCCATGGTTCCCGCCCTCCTGCTGAATTTGCTCGCCATATGGCTCTTTGCCATGGTGGACGCCTCGGCGGCGACCCGCCCGCGGAGTATCATGTATCTCACCGGCCAGGCTCGTAGTTCCCACCCCCGCTGAAATAGCTCATGGTCCGTGATAATGTTCTCTCCGGCTAACGGCGGAGTGGGAGGCAGCATCCCGTAACGCCTGATCCGTCTCTCAGCTCGTCAATTACTCACGTAGCCTTGGCTTTCATGAGCCCTGACCTCTTCCACCAAGATACCGGCGAGTCCTCATGGCCGCTGTTTATGAGCGTCTCTGAAGCTCGCTCGAAGTTCCGAGCCGGGACCAAGATTATGGTTGCTATCGGGGGCTGGGGAGACACGGCCGGCTTCGAGGCTGCCGCACGTACCGAAGACAGCCGGGCAAAGTTTGCTCGCAGTGTTGCCTCTATGGTCCACGATACGGGAGCCGACGGTTTGTTCACAGATCCCTACCAGCATAGCCCCTAGTCTTGTCGAACGGTCCTCACGGCTAACCCTGCTTTGTACCTGGCAGGTGTCGACATAGATTGGGAGTATCCAGGGTAAGTACGATGCGCCTGGTGGCCGACGGATAGCACTGTTGACAGACTCGGAAATATAAGGGGTAACGGCGAGGATTACAAAACGATCCCCAATGAGGACAAAGCCTGGCAAGTAGCCGCATATCCGGAGCTGCTCGCTGAGATCCGCAAAGCTCTGGGCCCTGATATAATCATATCGGCAGCCGTGCCTGGTCTTCCGAAAGACATGCTCGCCTTTACCGCCGAGACCGTACCCAGGATATCCGAATCTCTCGACTTCCTGAACGTAATGACCTATGACCTAATGAATCGGCGCGACAATGTGACTGGGCACCACACCGGAGTCCAGTCTAGCCTGACGGCTGTGCGTACATACATAGCTAACGGTGCTGCCCGTGACAAAATCAACCTCGGCTTTGCCTTCTACGTCCGATATTTCCGTACCGGGAACGCGACTTGCCTGCCGGACCCGATCGGGTGCCCCACGGGTCCTATGGAGGATCCACGAACAGGGGCTGACCTGGGCAAGGCGGGCTCTTTTTCCTGGCATGATGCTGTCCCCCGAGACGTCAGGAGGTCATTTGAGAAAGCTCTAACGGAGGGGCAATACGATCAAGTTGGTGGTGGTTACTGGTATTGGGACGAAATCGAAGCGATTTGGTGGACATTCGACACACCTGACGCTATCACGAAGAAGTTTCCTCTTATTATCGAAAGGGAGAAGCTAGGCGGCGTCTTCGCGTGGGGATTGGGCGAAGACGCACCGAGGTGGTCACACCTCAAGTCTCTAAATGCTGGGGTGGAGGCTCTAGTAGGCAAAGAGGAATTATAATTCCTCGGGTTACTTTAAACGGCATTTACCTATGACAGGATGGTCACGCAAGAAATCAAGTAATTGTTATATCATACTCCATGCTGTCCTCTGGAGCGTATACCACACACGCCTGAGATATGATGCACCTATTACGACATACGTAGGGGTTGCTTCAAGGTAGGGAGCCATTCGCTTGAGATAGCCTCTTAACTTGCTACGGACATATAGAGCTCTCTGCGTGAATAGTAGTGTCCAGGGCGTTATATACGCAGCGGGAGGGGCGGTATATGTGTTGTGTAGGCTCTGAGAATGGTGTACCTTCTTCAACCTAAAGTCCTCATATCCGTGTGCAGTTCGTCTTCTAGAAAAGGCCAAAGCAGTTCGCGTAATAGGTAACAGTCGCAGACCAATCCGAGAAGATCCCAAGGACTCCAACCTGGCGCGCCAGAACGTCGACGAGCCTATACATGTCACCATCCGTGTGTGTGCCATTAGCGATAGTCGAGTAGTAGTAGTCATTGTTGGCGGCAGCCTGCGCTAAGGGCCCCGAGCGTTCAAGCGACCACGTTAGTATCTTGAAACCCAGCTTCCGTGCCGTCGTCGCATAGATCGAAGGGACGTATTCATTGTTTGCCCCGAGGATGACGAGATATGGCAGCGGGGGGGCGATGACCTTAACGCCGGCCTGTTTGTAGAAGGTTAAGTTGGCGACCGCGTCGGGGAAGGTCTCGGGGGTGTCGCCGCTCTCGTCTAGGAGTACGGCCTGTTCGCCGAAGGCCGGGTCAGCGCGTAACCAGTAGGCGACATCTGCAAATACGAAGCTTTGCAGCCAGACGCGCGACGGGTCGATACCGGCGGCCCGATATTCATCGATAACCTGCTGCGCGTACCTCTCCTGCGTGTAGTCGCCATCGAATGGCATCGGCACGCGCGGCTCCTTGAGTTCGGTAGTGAAATCCCGGCCGTGTGAGTCGACGAGCTTGATGAATTCCTTGTGCGAGAGGACCGTGCCGCATGTCGAGTAGAGGTCGGTCCGCCATGACGGCGTGCCGCGCAAGAAGTCCTCGGGTGTGGTGGCCGAGGCGTTGGACCCGTCCATCTTCCCGCACAGGGACTTGAACTCGGCCAGCGTGATATCGCTCGTGCAGCACCTGGCGGTTGCCGGCGTACCGTCCCGCGCAGGGGTGAAGGGCGTCGTGCACTTAGCGCCTAGATCGGTAGCGACGATATTGGTGGTCGTGTGCAAGTCGCACTGGTCGTGGCGACAGACGAGCTCGCGGTCGCTCGTGAAGGCCACATCGCACTCCTGAATCCCAGCGCCCATGCGCGTACCGGCCTCGACGGATTCCCGCGTCTCCTCGGGGAACTGCAGGCAGGCCCCGCCGCGATGACCGATGCTGAACTTGGACGGCCAGGCTTCCATCTCGGAGCAGGCAGATAGCCGGTCCTTGAGCCAGCCATCATCCATGTCGTTCACCAAAAACTGCGGACGCGGGCCAAGGTCCGCATTGCGGAAGGGATGCTGGTGCGGGGGCTTCCACGGCCTCGGCTTCCACCACGGCGCGCTGTTTGGCAACGCGGACACTTCGGACGCGACCGAGACGGCGACCAGGAGGGAGGATGTCTTGATACGCATGGTAACGGGCTGGGGCTGGAAGTCACCCACGTGTCAAGCGATAGCAGACCACGAACGACATTGAGACGAGGGAGGGGACCCGACACGACCTGGGGGTCGGACAGGCGGACTTTTTATTAGATTTCAGGTGGCCGGGAGGTTGGCAATCAATGAAATTCTGAAGGCCATCGATCCTTTCGAGAAAGGGATTGTCCAATGAGAACGGATAATGAAGGGGCATGATGCAGATCGTAACGCATCAGGGACCTGCCCTGGCTGAAGGTGATAATGCTAGCTTCCAGCCGGCATCGGATCCTACCCGCGATGCGTACCTACATAAAATGCTGAGCTAGTGATGCTTGCACACCCGTGAGGCTGGGCTTCGACCTATTACGGGTAGTAACTAGGCCGTCCGTAGTAATCCAGACAGGGAATGATGTTCCACTCTATGAGGAACCGGGAATGCGGGGAGGATCTTCTGACAGGCAAAACGTAACCATACCGAGCTGAGCATTAATCCACGTGGTACGCTATGGTACCCGTATACCTGCCTTTATAGGCCATTATCGCTAATAACCTACCGGGGGCTTTATTTGTAAAGGAGAGCTACTGTGGCACCTGAGCAATCAGGCATCAAGAAAGGAGCCTTGTAACTAGTGGAATTGAAGAAAAACACGCAATAGCTAACTATTCGTAAAATGCTATATTTAAGCCCTTTTAATAGTTTAGTTTTTATACATTTAGTTAAGTAATGAGGCTTACCTTTTAACTCGTTTTACGTACCTTATAATTAAGGTAGCGAGGCTACGAAAGAAACTACTAAAATGTATAAATAGTTATTTACTATAGGTAAAATGCTAGTAATATAGCTATTAATCGATTAATTATAATTAAAGTTATTTTTAGTCTTTTAACGATTCTACGAGTCGTTTCCGATATCTTACGATATCTTTACCGCTAGTCCTAAAGTTCTCCCTATCTAAAAAGCCGAGCGCCGAATCTAATAGCAACTTAAAAGGCTTTATAAGTAATGTAATTACCTATAGTAAATTAATAAACGATACTTATAAACGAATAAAGCTTTTAATTCGTAATCTCTGCCTAGAAACAGCTTCTCGTATAAAAAAGCTACGAATTAATATCGATTAAAGTATATAATAATAACTATAAAAATATTATAGTGGTACGGTAAGATATACTCTCTTGATGCATTACGTAATACGTTACGATAGGCCTTATGCCTATATAGAGTAACCATAGCTCCCGTAAGTACGAGACATACTATGCTTATTATCTAGTTTATTACCTAGCTAGATTACTATCTTTACTATTTTTACCTAAATTAAAGATTCGTTTTTACCATTAGATTCGTCGTTAACGTATAAGCCCGGGAACTTTTGTAATGATATTACTACTACTAGGATAACGCTTAGCCTTTAAATATCGATAACGCCTTTACGCTATCGATACTACGATATAATACGACGACCGGACCGCGTTTATACTGATTAGGATAACCTTTGTATGGTTATTTATCTATTATATAGAGATACCCGTAAAATCCGAGAAACTTTCGTCGTAATATTAACCGCCGTTAGGAATAATACTTAGCCCTCGATACTAACCGCTTTCCCGAACCGCTAATAATATAGTATATCTCGTACGAGTAAATAAAGCTTATAGCGATTAAGGTAGCCCCCTTATAATTATCTACCTGCTATATAGAAGACGTACGAACGCCTTAATATAAATTATAATAACCTATATGACCCGCTAGTTCCTTACTAATACTAAAGGCGGATGAAGGCTAATAATAATTATACCCTAACCGACCTTATAATAGCTTCTTTTTTCCTCTAAACCTATTAATCGATATAAATTAAATATATAAATACTGATAACTTATTATCCTAAAGGTATTTTAGGATACCTAGGCGTAGCGACTCGACGATATAATATACGATATAATATAGATATTTATATTAATAATATAAATAAGATTAATAAACTAATAACTACAAGTAACCGATAGTTTTAAGGAGAACTATGAATGAATATTAATAAGACTACATAGATATAGAGGATTAAGGAAACGGAACTAAAGTCGAGCTAATAAGTATACCTATATATAAGCTAGTCTTATATTACTAATTAATAACTAACATGGCGAGAAGTACTAATATAGGCGTAAGACGGCGCCTAGCGGTAATACCGCTAATATTATTAAATAGCTTCCGTTAGATCGAAACCGGCTTATAGTTATAACCGATATCGTATTTAACGCGATCCTCTACTCGGGATTTATTCCTTATACGTATTACCTTAACGAAGGTTATACGTTAGGAGTTCTAAACCTTAATAAGAGGAATTATTATCGATTTATTTATAATAGTTAAACTATTAGTCTAGGGAATACGTATCGTACTTTAATTAGGCGTTAGCCGATTAAAGAAGCTCGTATAATACCCGGACCCTATCGATTAGGATAGTATAATAAATAATAATATACCTATACTAGAGAAAAAATATCAGGATATAAATAATAGCTATCTTACCTTTACCCCTATGTTAGATAATAAAACCCTTACTACCCTCCTTTTTATTTTATACCTCGTACCGTTAGACTAAACGGAGTCTATAAATAAGAAACGAAGTAAATCGCTATCGGGACCTAAAGTAATAAAGATTAAACTATTAATAAAGACCTTAAGAGTCGATACTAGCTTTCCGCCTCTATATCCGCCTGAAGAGAAGGAGGACGACGATAAAACTCTTATTTAGCTACCCCTTACCCGCGGCTTTATACTTATTCCGCTAATCCTTATGGTATTATCTTAAAATAATAATAACGAGGCCTCTAATAGCTAGAATATACCGGTAGTTACCCCGATTATCGTAATGCTAGTTATTAGATTCCTAAACCCTACCGATTATCCTAGGCTTAAGTTTAATAAATATAACGTAACTTAATAACTAAAAAGGATAGATCGATTATTTAACCGTTACTATTTAAGCGACGACGATAAGATTAAGTAGATCGGCGAATAAATTACGATTAAGATTATTAGGGAGCGTATTAACGACGTTACGAAGGATTAAACGATCTAAAGAATTATCGTTATAGCCTTAAAGTACGGTTTTAGGATTACCGATAAACTAAGCTAAGCTAACGTTAAACGTAAACTCGTATAACTAGAACGAAGTAACGTAATTAACGATCCTAAGGCGATCTTTACGTATCTTATAAACTATAAACGTCTTTCTAAGCTCGTAAATAATAACGGAAAGCTTCCCTAGAAAGTAGGATACTTAACCGATAAACTTCGGATATTCCTAATTATAAAGTTTTATAAAACGGGAGATTATAACCATAATAAGGTTAGAGATATCGATTACCGGACTTTTTATATCGAGCTTTATAAGTAAGCGGAACGTCGTATAATAATATAAATTACCGATAGAACCTAAGCCGAGGAACGACGATAGTAGAAAACGGTAACTTTCGAAGAACCCGAGAAGCCTATAATGTTAATAATTTAACGATTAGCGACTCCTAACCTCTAGATACCTCTACTACCGCCTTCCTCGTAACTTAGACCTTCTTACGGCTACCTAAGTACTAGTTAGGAAGTTAGTATATAGGCCTTCTACGACCGACTTAACGCTCTAGAGATAAAAATAACTTCGTAGAACTACCGTTAAAAGAATAGCTTTTATAAGCCTAGGAATACGTATAACGCCGATTAATAATATTAATAGGAAAACCCGTTCCTAATAAACGCGGTTCGGAACCTAAGTCTTTATAACCTATAAACTAACGAAAGAACCCTAGTAGGTTTTAAACGTAATACTATGTTAGACTATCGAAGCATACGTAATAGGATTTTATTAACTTAAACGAGTAATTATAAGGAATTTAAATACTAGTTCTATAGTACTTTCGATCGGCTTTATAACTATAGCCGCTACCCGTTATTAATAAATATAACCTAGAATCGGTTCTGCTATAGGAATAAAGAGCGACTATACTACCTCGAGAATAGAGACCCGAATAAGCTAGAATTAATACTAGTCCTAGGATCGATTATTACCTAAGCTAAGCGTAAAGGAGAACCGATCGCTTACTATATCTTATTTTACGTATACTAAAGTAAGGAATCTCTAGAGTAGGTACGTAGGATAGCATACTATTATTTAGCCGGAAAGCTAAAGCTTATATCCCTCGACCTACGATACTTTAAGAGCGAGGAAGTAATATTAAAGTAGGAAGAGATACTAAGAGCTATATCGGAAATTAACGTTATTTAAATAATCGAACGTAAATAGAGCTACGAATTATACGAAACGGGGATCTTAGGTTATAGTTAAACGAAGGGCCTTATTAACGATAAGGATATCTACTATTATAAGGGTATTATTAAAACGAATCTAATCGAAGTTAACGTAGTTAAGCGAGCTAGAGGTTCTAACGGCGAGTATATCGAAAGAAAAGTACCCGATTAGGAGGATATAAAAGTCCTATCGTTATAACCTAGGCGTGAACCGACCAAAGCCGGTAAGAACGCTACTTCGAATATAAACGATTAAGCTAAGAAAGCGAAGACTATTAACGAATTATTAAGAGAGTTTTAGCTAGATAAGATTAATAAAAATAATAGGAAACGCTTTAAAGTTTCGTAGGACGATTTAATTAAATTTATACCCGGGTTTTCGGAATAGGTAGTTAAGTACCTTATAATACGCGTTATACAAATTAACGAAGGTTAGCCTAAGGTTATTAAGATTATAAAGGAATAAATATAAAAGGATCGGGAAGAAAGCGTTAAGATATCTAGCGTACCGTAAACTACCGCCCCGTTTATTAACCCTTCGAATAAAATATCGGTAAATTCTATTATCGCGAAGGATATTAAAAACTATATCCGGCTTTTTCCTAAGCTAGTAGTTAACGTAGGACCTAACGGGAACGAAGCTCTCGTATCTACGGTAATCGATATAAGGACGTAGTTTAGTATAATCGTAGAAAGCTATATAAAGAAGTAACGTCTTTTTATAACCGGTACTAAGGCGATATAGCGAGGTTTTAGATCCTTTATAGAAACCTTATGTATAGGAATAATCGACAGTTTTATTTAACTTGCCGATTACTACCTTCGCTTACCGATTTACGTCGTTAAAGATAGGTTCGTTAGTTACCCCTTATTACTTAATATAAACTTTATCTTTTAGTCCCGTATGAAACTCGAATTTAACGGAAGTACCTTTATAGGAACCGTTAACTTTAGCTCGGTCCGGATAATGGTCCCTTTCGTTATTAACTTAAGAAGCGATACGTTACTAAGCCTTATATTCGGCGATTAGGAAAATTAGATACTATTAATACCTTAGGTCGCTTTAATAACGTATATAGGCCTAAAAACGCGT